TTTGTGCTGCAAGGGTAGAATCTTGTCGTTGATGAAAGTATCGATACGCGCAAGGTACTCTCTCACCTCTGGGGGCAGCTCGAAGTTCATGTTTAGGTGTAGAATAGTATGCAGATGGTTCTGAAAGTGACGAATCTATTAAGGCCGTGGAAATAGATTTCCTTATAGCAGGGGGATAATTTCAGAGCTATGTTCAGAGTTGGTTGCTAACGCGAGGCTGGGCTGTGACCCTCGGCCTCTTCGGCAACCCTTCTCATCACGGGATCTGTCTTCTCCGCATCCCGCAAGATGTATTCTTGGCCTTAATATGACCAGGGAGTTGTATTGCAAAAATTGCCGTCGATGGAAAATGCGCCTGGGCCTCGGGTATCCAATCATCCTTAGTTCTTCCTGTTGAAAGTGACCGATCACGATTACTGGCTTTATAGTACCCCTCTAGTTAACTACCACTGTCCCCGCACATATAGGAGCATTGCTGACCGTAGTTTGAAAGCGTTTGATCCTATCAGAATGGGTTCTAGTACATCGCCTGTATCTGTTTCACGTCATGACCTTGATGACAGGGCCCTAGGGAGGTATCTACTCCAGTCTGGAAAGATCCCCGATCTACAGCTACCGGTCGAGACAAAGAAAATTGGATATGGTCAGAGCAATCCAACTTATTTTCTCGATGATGCAGCGTAAGTGCGACAATCAATCGTCCAGCACAAGATGACGAACGATTAATGTCACGCTTCTAGTGGCACAAGATTCATCCTCAGAAAGAAACCGCAGGGGCCAATCATTAGTCCCGTAGCACATCAAGTCGATCGGGAATTCAGGGTTCTCCAAGCACTTGGCACGGTCAAGGGCTTTCCGGTACCCAAGGTCTTCGATTTATGCATGGACACCTCGGTCGTTGGAACCGCATTCTACGTAAGTTGGTGAACGGGAAAGCAAATTGACCACAAGAGTGATCCTACCAAAGCTCACTGTCTATTCTAGGTGATGGAGTTTGTAAATGGGAGGATTATCACTGACATGGAAATGAGGGAGCTTTCCTCAGCTGATAGACGCAAAGTGTGAGTCTTGATACATCCTGTGTTTACATCGCACAGTAAGTGACTAGTAAGATAAAGCTGGTTTTCCGCCATCGAAACTCTGGCATGGCTTCATTCGATTGACCCAGACGCTATTGGCCTTGAGGGCTATGGAAGTAAATCCAACTTTTATGCCCGTCACTGCAGAACCTGGAGCCGCATCGAAGCTCAACAAGCTGCGGTTAAGGATAAGAAAACGGGGAAAACTCTTGGCCGGGCTCATCCGAGATATGATGAGATATCCGATCACGTCAGAAACAACTTGCCAGGTGATCGTTATGCTATTGTGCATGGGGATTTCAAATTTGATAATCTGGTATTTCATCATTCAAGTTTTACTTGGGATTATTGATGATAACATTTCCTTTTCTCAGATCCTGCACCCCACGGAGCCGCGAGTTATTGCAATCCTCGATTGGGAATTATCAACAATTGGCCACCCTCTCATGGACCTCGTCTTTCTTGTATCCCCGTTCTTCCATGATTATGCTAGAGTCGAGCTGCCAGGTTCATCTTCATCGGAGTCACCTTATAAACCAGGAACCGAGGGTTTTAGCGGTATACCAGAAATGGATGAGCTCTTGGCGCACTATGCCCAAATCTTAGGCTTTGATCTTCGCAACGACGGAGGAGGCAAGGATTGGGAGACTGCTACTATTTTCCAATATCTCCGCGCCGGTACGATCAGCCACGGCATACAGGCTCGGACTATTAGTGGCCAAGCAAGCAGTGACTTTGGCCATATATACTTTTCAAAGACAAAGAGGTCTCTGGATGCAGCTTTTCGGCGTGTGAAGAATTTCAAAGACGAAAAGACTGGCCTGTCCAAACTTTGATGTGCGGTCGCTTACTGGTGAGCGCAAGTTAATGATCCGCGCTGGGTTTCCTGCGGTGTGAATACTGTGGATTTGAGCTTGTATAATGTTATTCTTGTCACGATATATTCAGCCGTGTTGAAAGCAGAATAGAAGATATTTTGTGCTCTTTTCACTAGTCAAGCGATAGATGTGAAAGCGAAGTTTAGATAAGCATATGCATTCCAAGGTTTGTAGAGGCATAGTCAGTTACTAGCTTAGTTCCTCACAGTAATCTGTTTAACGCAAAAGTCGAGGTTATAAAGGGCAAGCCGAGGCAGTGAACGGGGAGTAGGGCACAGTCCTGAGTCATCTGATCGCTAGAAAATCCACGAGGAATGACCCCGCAAACTGTGGAAAAGTCATCTAAATCTAAAACAGAGTCTGTACTGACCAAAAGTTCTGTTGGCTCGTGGCCATGAGGTACGACTTCCCTCGGCTTGCGTATCGGCACTCATTATGGTGCCAAGGGCGCGCATAGCCCTTGTCAGTGGTTGTTGAATCGCACTATCAAATCGATTGCCGGTGCCGTGGCATTATAGGAAGTGGCTAAAGGGCTAGCTTTCTGGGTCAGGGATTCTCTAAGGATGCGCTCCGCAGCTACATAGTATAGAGCATTCCCCAAGTCAACTCTACTTTTATTCCGGCACCTCTCACCCTTCTCCTGTCATTGGTCCAAGCGATTGTGGCTTTTAAATTACTTTCAACGATGTCGGCCCCTACCATTGAGGTTGATTCTGACCATTCAGCTGCGAGGGAGGCCATGCCTGCGACGGCCCCGGGTAAAGTCACGACAGAGACTCTGCACGAAGAATATGTAGAACCTAAATCAGAGAGCTTTGACCTTGTTGCGAGCAAAGAACAGTTAAAAGAAGCCGTGAGAAGGGTGGATATCTTGATCATCCCAATAATGACGGTCCTGCTCTCATTCTCCTATATTGACCGCTCCAACATGGGTCTCGCGGCAGTGGTAGGCATGTCTACCGAGCTAGAGTTCAAGGGGTATGATTATTCTATCATGCTCTTGGTTTTCTTTCCGGGTTACGCTCTTTGCGTTCTGCCCAGCGGTTACATCCTCAGCAAGACTTCCGTGCGGTACTGGCTTCCCTTCATCTGTATCAATTTTGGCCTTTTTACTCTCGGCTCAGGCCTTATTCGCAATCAGGCGGGTTTACTGGCCATGCGCATCTTTATGGGCATCTCCGAAGCAGGGTAACTTCGTTTCCTCGTCCTGCGTATGTTCAGTGTTGACATCTATAGTTGTTTCGCTACCGTGATATCCGTTGTCTGCACCTGGTACCCGCGTTATTACGTTGGGAAGCGCTTAACAATCATTAACACCGGCGCTTCCCTCATCGCTGCTTTCTCTGGCGTCCTCGCGTATGCATTTTCACGCATTAATATCCCAAATTACGCGGGATGGCGATGGATCTTTATACTCGAGGGTACAATCACAGTGCTCGTGAGTATCGCGGCCTTCTTCATCCTTGACGAATATCCGGAGACGTCGAGATTCCTATCAGAGAACCACCGCGATATAATAGTGGGTTTGATCGCGCAGGATCGTGACGAGCACCTTGAGGAGAGACTGACGGCTCGTTCAATAATTCGGACCCTCGGCGACTGGAAAATCTGGATATTCGCTATCATGTACATGCTCTGCGTTGTCACCTCGTATGGCATGGCATATTTTATACCGTTAATCCTTCAAGAAAAGATGGGATTCTCCGGGGCGCTTAGCCAGCTTCTAACGACTCCGCCGTATTTTTACGCAGTCATTCTCGCCGTCACCCTTGCCTGGCTATCTGACCGACAACGTATGAGATCGCCATTTATAGCCTTTTTCGCGTTGAATGTGATTGTAGGAATGACCTTGACCCGATGGGGTCCCAACACAGGCTCTCAATATTTTGGCCTGTTTCTCACTCTCGGGGGATCACTTGTCAACGGCCCCATGATCGTCGTCTTCGGTCAGAATAATGCGCCGACACGAACGGCTCGCAGTGTGAGCTCAGGGTTGCAATTAACCTTTGGCGCCATCGGAGGCATCATCGGCTCTACCGTCTTTCGTTCTCAGGACGCCCCAACGTATACTCCAGGGTCAATTGTGGTGATTTGTTGCGCGACTACCATCATTATTCTCAGCGCCATAATGGCGTGGCATCTCCACCGACAGAATTTGCTGAATGGCGGTGCTGAGAGTGAAGATGGTGAACAAGCTTTTGTCTATACTATATGAGCTTTTTCTTCCTTCTTTGATACGAACTTATAAATGTTATGATTATTGGTGCGGTTATGATTATTGGTGCGGTCACAAAGCCCTAGTTTTCCGAGATTATAGAGCACCTTGATACTTCCTTATCGTTCTTTATTTCTTTTCTGTGATTTTTTCTACTTATTGCAGTCAATGGCTCTATATCGTTGTATTGCTCCTTTTACGCTACATAGCTCAATCCATCACCAACCTTGTTGCCTCCGTTGTCTTTTCCCCTGTGAGGTGATGGGCCTTTTCATCTCCCTGCTATCGGGATTAACACTAAAGGACCTTCGCCATCTTCGACCTCGACGAGATGGAATTCCGCTGGCGTAGGTGATATGGTCGTTCTTCCAAGCGGTAGCCCACCATAAACATATTGCATAGGAGCGGAGGCACAAATACAAATAAAGTATGACTAATGTTAATCATATAGAATGGGCTTGATAGAACAGATCTGGAATCAAAATACAGTATACTTTACTAAGTACTTCGTCATTTTTCTGTCCAAAACAACCTTGGAAGGGCAAGTGTTTCAAAATCCGTAAGTACCCTTGCATATGAATCTGAATTTTCATCAAAGAAACTAGGGTATGCGGTCCTCAATTGATCAATTCTGTGTTCCTTGATGGATTGATATGCTTAAGAAAGTACTATAGGACAAGCCTCTAAGCTGGCGTAACTGTTTTGAAGACTGGGAATCATTGATCTCCGTAGTATATTGGCTCCACATATCATCATGTAGACACTACCCATGCTATGAAACATCCACCGCGCAGGTATGTACATCACTGCTGACCTCTTCATGACAGCCTAACAAAATTCACCACCGTCAATCCGGAACAGCTCACCGGTAGTATATTTGCTCTCGGGTCCCAGAAGCCACGCTATGGCATAAGCAATTTCCTCTGGCTCCCCATACCGTTCCAATGCGACAGCTGGTGGTGGGGGGTTCCCTTGCACCACGCTATCGAAGAGAGGGGTTTTGGTTGCACCTGGCCCAACGGTATTCACTCTAATCCCGCGACTTCCATACTCTCTAGCGGCGCATCGAGTGAGCGCAAGAACGGCGTGCTTCGAGGTACAATATGCGCTACAACGCGCAACTCCGCGGGAGCCGTCCTGTGAGGAGATATTGACTATGCTCCCACCGTCCACCACGTGTTTCAATTCAGCTCGCATCGAATTCATGGTGCCTGAGATATTGTCAGCTCCTACTAGGAGGTGGAGGTGGTTAGGGAAGGGGCGACATCGCTCGTACCGGTTACATTGACGCTCATCACCATCTCCCAGTCATCGTCTTCTATCTCGGTCACCTGCGCTTTGAAAATCTGTCTTCCTATAATCCCAGCGACGTTGGCCGCGCCGTCAAGTCTGCCGAATTTCTGTACGGTGGCACTGATCCAGTCGTCCACGTCTTTGCGCTTCCTGACATCAACGACGGTGACAAGGATTGGCCAATCATTCCCCTGGAATTCCTTCTCTACTTCCGCGAGTGTATTCGGGTTCATATCAGCAAGGGATACACTTGCACCTCTGCTGGCAAGCAACCTCGCCGTAGCCAGTGCAATACCCTGCCCGGCGCCGGTAATGGCGAATACTTGGGTCTTGAGAGACATTGCTGTTGTCTCGAGGTATCATCCAAAATGGATTCAATCCAATTTCGGATGCACGTAAAAGTAAAGATCTTATATGATACTCAGATATATAGCCACAGAGCCGAGGAGAATATGTGACCGCGGATTATGCTCACTCATATTTTGTGAGCTAACCCACAGTGAGGGAGGTTCAGATGCCGGTATGTTTACAATCGAGTTTCTTGCAATTTGGTTGATTCAATAAAGTCGACTAGTCACCTCGGAACGCACTGTCCGAGGAGCTGGCAGAATCCTCCCCTCGGGCCAAGCTCACGTAAGACCTCGACAGTCCTTCTATTGGCTGAAGTTAAGCTAGCTGTGGAGCGAGTCTAGAGTATCAACACAAGTACTTCATCAAAGTCTCTCCGTTTCTATGGATCATTGAAGGTTTCCGATCATGGATACCTACAACCGATTGCAATCCTCAAAGAACGACATTTTAGCCAATGGATGGAATAGAATCAATAGGAGATCGGGTACTAGGGCTATCATATCTGGTATACATGATTCATCCTTTGGAAAAAATCTTGGAAATGTCTTAGGAGTATAAAGTTCTGATGGCAAAGGTGCCCATATGGATTTAGTGCAAATTTTCGGCCCTGGAGGACTGGTAGAGTGTGCATATGTCCTCATCGTTAACATATCACCACTATCTAAATTTGAGACGTGAATTCAGATCAGATATTTTTTGGACGAGAGAAAGAGAAAAGCTCAGTCATTCCTGTACTACACCGAGCTACTAAGTGTAATTTCGAGAGAAGACTCGAAAGTGTGGGTGGTTTGACAGGAACGAGCGTTTCTAAGCCACAGATGACTAATCAGAAACTATGTAAAATATAGATGAGGCATGAAGCATTCAAAGGCCTTTGCAATCTGTGCAGTTTCTCCTGTTGACGAAGGCCTAAACAGTACATGCTATTGTGAGTAGTCTGTACTGCCAAAGCAGTCTCTGTTAAGCAGCGGATGGGTAGGTATACAGCAGAGGGTCTCAGACGTCCAAATTGCGTTCCATCTTTCTGCAAATGAAGTTCGCAGCCTGTGAAAGACTATCATCAGCCTCGGGCGCATTTCCAGCCATCATAACCCATATATGCTGCATGCCATCCACACGGACTAACTGCACTTCATTTCCAGCTGATTTTGCATTCTCTGCTAAGAGAGCTGCGTCGTCCTCTAGGACCTCCGCCGTTCCAGACGTCAAGTACATGGACGGAAGCCCGTTGAGATCCGTACGTAGCAAATTCAAACACGGATCATCAAGTGAGCTTTCACCCACGTAAGCGTCGATCACACCTTGCATAGCCTCTACTTGCACAAGGGAATCAGTTCCAGCATTCCGCTGCCAGCTCTCTCCAGTCAACCTCATGTCGAACCAAGGAGAGAACGCAACAATGGCGGCCGGGATATCCAGGCTCAAATTTTGAATTGTCAGTGCTGCTGAGACTGTCAAATTACCTCCAGCAGAATCCCCTGCGAAGGCAATATGTTTGCTCGAGAAGCCCATATCATCGATTAACCACTTGTATGCGGCAACCACATCTTCTATCTGCTTGGGGAATCGATGCTCAGGTGCGCGTCGATAGTCAATGATGAGAGCGCGACATTGGGCTTTTTTGGCGAGATGAGCTGCCACCTTCCGATGGCTCGAAGGGGATCCAGAGATGAAGCCTCCCCCATGAATATATAATATTACATGTGCAGCTGACGCTAACTGTGGCAAGCACCAGATTGCTGGTCGAACGGTTCCAGGACAGTGAACTTCTTCGTATGTGACGTTTGTTGGCTCGGCAGCCACGGTTGCCACCTCCTCCATCACTATTCGGTAGAGGTCGGTGGTCAAGTTCTCATCGCCGAGATGCTTGTTCAACCCGACGTAAAATTCCTCCATAACTCGAGACTGCGGAGAAGGCATGGTGAGCAATTTTTGGGCTGTGATGGCACTGTTTTTGCCATAGGGAAGTAAGAGGAACCCGATCTCTCACTCTCTGTTATAGAATATGAGAAGGCCGAGGTAATACTAGGTTCCACAATTCATCGACGAATCGGAATACAGTTATTCACCGAGCACATCAAGAGGACATAGCACTTTTAGCACTTCTTGATATGCATCTATAGTCTCTTTGGTGCTATGTACCCTCGTGGCCGTGGCCCACTTTGGATCTTGTCTGATTGATGTGGGCCGCGGCAATTATAGCATCTATATGTTATTTCCCATAAAATGATGTCGCTATCCAGCAGACCTAGCTGTCATGTGCTACTACACTATCTGGTTGGCATTGTTTTAAAAAGGCCCCATTTGAGCAAATTGAACTGACAAGAATATCATCCTTCCCAATTTCCAACGGTTGCCTCAGAGCCTACCAAAATGACGAAGACTCAGCTTGTCACAGAAGTTGGTCCCCCTTTCAACGGCCTGAAAGTAGCCGACAAACATGTTGAGGTGACGCAAGAGATGTACACCCAAGAGCGAGAGAAGCGTCTTCGTCCTGGTGCACGGTCCGAATACTTGGATCTGTATTCCCTTGAAAGATTCCGCCATTTCAAAAGTGACAAGTGGGCCGAAGAGGAAGCTTCCCACCCCAATGGCCCTTTGAGACCAGATGACGGCTCGCGATGTGAGATATTGATCATTGGTGGTGGATGGAGCGGCTTGGTTACGGCGGTCAGACTCCTCGAGGCCGGCTTTCAACTGGAGGATATACGTATCGTAGACTTTGCTGCTGGGTTTGGTGGTACTTGGTGTAAGTCTCACCTCAGGTGCATTCGATGGGAAGAGACTGTACAGAAGTACTTACTATTCTAGATTGGAATCGTTACCCAGGATTATGTTGTGACGTCGAAAGCTACATCTATATGCCTCTACTAGAGGAGACTGGGTACGTACCGACACAGAAATATGTCAGTGGCAATGAGCTGCGCGAGCACGCCAAGAGAATTGCCGCAAAGTGGAATCTCGACCGCATTGCATGGTTTCAGAACCGCGTGACCTCTCTTGCATGGGACGACAATTCCCAAGAATGGGCCACTACCCTTGTCCCTCAGCGAAAGCACGGAAAGGAAGAAGACCCGATTACAGTTCGGTCACGATTTGCAGTCCTTGCCACAGGCCTTCTTTTTGTTCCCCATGTTCCCGATATCCCTGGAATCGAAAAATTCAAGGGTGCATGCTTCCATCCAGCGCGCTGGGACTACCAGACCACCGGGGGCTCGGCCGAGAAACCCGATATGGTCAATCTCAAGGGGAAGCGAGTCGGAATAATCGGCACTGGTGCCACCGCAGTTCAAGTAGTACCACACCTGGCTCAGTGGTCAGAAGACTTGTGCGTGTTCCAGCGGACACCCTCGGCGGTGGATCGACGTGACAACGAGCCTACTGACGCTGAATGGGCTCGTAATGCGTTCTCTACTCCAGGCTGGCAGAAAGCACGGCAGAGTAACTTTCATGACTTCGTTACGAATTCACCATGCAAGGCAAGCGACGATATGGTTAGAGATGGATGGACGCGCATGCCTTCGTACAGTGCCATGACTGGGACACAGAGTTTGGACTGTTCCACACCAGAGGCCATTCAGAAACACCTTGAGACGCTCCATGCCCTTGACCTGCCCCGACAGGAGAGTATTCGGAAACGGGTTGATGAGGTCGTGACTGACCCGGATGTGGCGTCGAAGCTCAAGCCCTGGTATCCGGGGTGGTGCAAGCGTCCTTGTTTCCACGACGGATACCTCCAGACATTTAATGAACCACATGTCCATCTAGTTGATACCAGCGCTGTTGGAATCAAGGAAATCACGCCTGAGGGAGTTGTGGTCGGAGATGAAGAATATAAACTGGACGTGCTCATCGTTAGCACTGGCTACAGGAGCCTGTTTTCCCCTAGCCCTGCTGGCCGAGTCAGCATTGAGATCAACGGTCGCAATGGGCTCTCCTTTGACAAAAAATGGGAAGAAGGCGTCACGACACTACACGGAATGATGAGCAATGGATTTCCCAATTTGTTTTGGCCCGGTCTAGTTCAAGCTGGAGCCGGTCCCAATTTCACCGCCTGTGTGGAGATGTTTGGAACTCACGTCGCCTCCATCATATCTCACGCGGTTGAAACCACTAGGCCTACAGAAAGAAACATTGAGACTACCGGCAAATACAAGATTCCCTGCACAGTCGAGCCTACTGCCGACGGCGAAGAAAAATGGTCTCAGCTTGTTGCTTCACAGGCGGGAGCCTTTGCAAGCATTGGTGGCTGTACCCCTAACTACTACAACGGAGAAGGAACTTTGGGTGTCGGTGCGTCTCCTGAAGAGATGAAACGGCTGGCCAGGATGAGCCTGTGGGTCGGGGGTCCTGATGACTTTGGGAGACTTATCGCCGATTGGAGAGCAGCTGGCTTCAAGGACCTTGAAATTGCGCCTGCTCCTTAGGGGAGTTACCTATATAGACTTGTTTTGTAATGGAATTAGTTATACTTGGAATATGGATCGACCGAGCTCTTTTACTACTGCACAGGTACTATTCAACTTACCTATAACATCATCTACTTTCAGTCTCAGTTCGCAAACTCCTGGTACTACTTCTTCGGTTAGAATTCGAAAAGAGCCGTAGTTTTTCCAACGACTTAATCGTGATGCAAGAATCCACTGGGGCCCGTTCACCCCTATGATGGCCGGTAGGCAGCGTAGGATGTTTGTATATTTAAGATTTTTTACGTCATTCAGCCACTGATACTAGAGAAACCTTATCTATAAACTCGAATTTTGAACCCGAGGGGAAAGTATTTGTCATGTCTGGCAGAGAGGAGATAGGGTATCAATCAAGGCGGTGACGAACTGGAATATCATATAGAGAGGGATCCAGAAATTTCCAACGGAGCTGAAGAGGAAGCCTTATCTCCTGGGCAGGCACATTGCTAACCAGATCTCATGGAAAGTACTATAAGCATGAATACTAAATTCCCCGCTTTCTTTCCCCGCAATCATGCATAGTCTGCATTACCGAGCTAACACTTCTGCCTGTCGCCAGGCCGAAAGGTCAGCGACATGTAATTTGGGTTTTAGAGGTGTTAATACGACGGGCGCAGGAAAAGGCAATAGCCGAGGGCTGTAACACAAGTTCGGTTATTTATCAGAGAGGTCTACATTCATATATACCCTTGAGCTCTGCCCGGGGAAATAAGATTACACAGGGTACAAAAGGAACCCCTCAATATCCTTCAGCTCCTTCGTCTCTATATCAGTGGATGTGCGAAAACCCAAGATATTTGCTTTAACGCCATCATGTCGTGGTTAGTTGAAAGCTCAAAGACCTCTGTGTTTCTGATACCATTGTCGGCAAGTAGTCCCCCCCACATGAATATCACATTCGACACACATACTCTCAATATGTGGGCTATATAAGTCTTTAGAGAATGTGAGCTGACTGAAGTGTTATGAGAATATAGGTCGTATGCTATTTCCTCGGATATGCTTTGTACAATGTCTTTTTTCATCCACTTCGGAAATATCCAGGCCCCAAACTCTGGTCTATCTCTAGAATTCCTTACTCTCTTTGCTACATGTCTGGTAAGGCGCACAAAAGGATATTGGAGTTACATGAGGAGTACGGAGATATAGTTCGAATTGCCCCGAACGAGCTCATATTCTGTTACCCGGAAGCATTCAACGATATAATGGGCCACCGGAAGCAAGGGGAGGAAGAAAATGGCAAAGATCAAGACTTTTGGAAAGAAGACTCAATTACGCTGACCGGGTCTAATGGCCAAAACCATCGACGCGTTCGACGAATCCTCTCCCATGCATTCTCAGCAAAGGCCATGGCAGACCAAGAGCCTCTCATCAAGGGATATGTCGATTTACTGATAGAGAAACTGAAAATAGCTGTGGCCGAAGACAAATCACAGGAGATGACCAGTTGGTACAACTGGACAACCTTCGACATAATCGGCGATCTAGCCTATGCCGACCCATTCGGCTGCTTGGAGACATCTTCCTACCACCCCTGGGTGAAATTGATCTTTAAGCACATCAAGGGGCTTGCAATCAACAACAGCGTGGCCAAATTTCCCTTTGCTCAGAGTCTTCTCAAGATGATGATGCCTAAGGAGGTGGCGAAAGATATCCGCGCCCACCATGAGTTCAATCGGGCAAAGGTTGCGAAGCGCCTCGCCCTCAAGGATCCGAGGCCTGATTTCATGCAGTCGATGATTACGGCCCGGGAGAAGAATGTATGTCTTCAAGATTTAGCCGTATTCTTTATACCCCATTAAATGACTAATTCTGATCAAACATAGCTCATCTCACACGAGGAGATTGTCGCCAACTCTCATCTCTTAATCGTGGGTGGCTCTGAGACCACCGCGACTGTGTTGTCAGGTGCCACCTATCTGCTAGCAAGTCACAAGCCAGTACGGGAGAAGCTGTATCAAGAGATCAAGACGAAATTCGCCAGTCAGGATGAGATTGACCTTCTCAGCGTCCAGGCGCTAGATTATATGATGGCAGTCTTGAAGGAAGTCATGCGAATTTATCCGGCTGTGCCCTCCGCTATCCCCCGCATAACTCCCCCTCGAGGAACGATGATCCGAGAAAAATTCGTACCTGGCAATGTAAGTTTATTCCATGCAATGGGATTACCTAAAAGCTAACATTCACTACCCAGACTGTGCTGGGTATCTGGCCTTGGCCAATGTTCCACCACCCGAAGCATTTTGCAGAGCCCGAACTTTTCGCTCCAGAAAGGTGGCTCGGCGAACAAAAATTTGAAGAAGACAAAAGGATGGCGCTCCAGCCATTCTCCGTCGGTGCTCGAGATTGTATTGGTAAAAAGTGAGTGCACAATCATCAAAACCTTTGTTCATCATTGACCCTCTACAGTCTTGCGTATGCAGAGATGCGTCTCATCCTGGCGAAGATGGTCTGGAATTTTGAAATTGAGCTTGACCCTCGCAGTGAGAATTGGTTAGAGAGGAATGTGTTGTCGTTCCTCTGGGACAAACCACCGCTCTATATTCGCCTTACTCCACGGATTGCGTCCTAGTATATACAGCTAATGTATATTTACGACCGTGGGTTCCGATAGGGTGCTTTATGCCGAATTTTTCAAGGCGCAGTCTATGGAAATTGAAAGCCTGTGGATACAGGCAATCGGACAGGTGCTAAGGTTGTTTCGTTTTCATTTAGCTGTTTGGGTCCCTAGCTAGTCAACTTATGTTTCTTTTGACAATCTATTTCTTTTTGACAATCTATTTCTTTTTGATAATCTATTTCTTTTTGATAATCCATCCGGCTTCTCTTCTCTTTGCTCTGTTGTCAAAACCTACGAGCTGGAACAACACAATAACCATAGCGCAATCACGCATTCGCAACATGTATCAATTGATCGCAGTCCTATCTTAAACTAACATATTTGGGTCATGCGCATAGGTCACAGTTTAGCGTCTTCGAGGCCAGTCGGTGCCAAACGCAGAATCCCTTCTTGTACACAAGTTGCTATCAATTCACCTGTCTGACTCCAGATGCGCTGCGTCACTAGACCTCGCTCATTTCCTGTCCAGGGACTATCCATTTCCGCAAGCATCCACTGATCTGACTTACAGCTGCGTGGTTGATGAAAGAAGATAGTATGATCTAAGCTCACCATCATTCCAACACGTACACACGCCTGTCCATCAGGCTTCCAGGAGCTTGATTCATTCTGCCTAGCCTCTTCACTTGCCAACTCTTCGAAGTATCCTCTTCTCCAAGCCTTTTCCTCCGCATTGCCCCCTAGAGATTCCACCGTGCGGTCGATGTACTCTTTATCCGCGAACCTCGTCACTCCATGCACGCGCGCCGTCGTGCCAATGAAGTAGCAGTCAGTCATGTATGCCAATGCCGCCAGATGTGAGTGATGCTCGGCACCAGAATTTTGAGTAAGATTATCCCCAGCAAGGCCTTTAGCCCGAATCCATTGTCTCACTTTGCGCTGCTCTGGTGGGACCTCGGGGCCACTGCTCTCCACTAGGGGTCGCACACACTCACACGGACTGTTTTCGCCAGCGGGTGCGGTCTTTGTGAGTCTGGCGCTGTTCACAATGCTTGGTGGAGGTGTTAAATCAGTAGGCATGGGAGCCGCGTGCTTAAGCATAGGGTTTTGGTGTGATGGCGGTTCCCGCGCGAAGCTCACAGTCGCGGTGAATATGCAGTGACCTCGCTGCATTGCGCGGATTATGCGGCAAGCGAAATTTTTACCATCGCCAATTCGTTCGGCATGGTAGAATACAGGGTCAGAGCTGGTTCCAGGGCGGACAAAGTAGCAATGCATACTGTGCGCACAGAAAGCTAAGGGGACGGTGCGCTGAGCTGCGCAAAGTGATTGAGCTATAATACCACCACCAAAGATACCGCGTCCCCATGGCGGTCTCCAGTGCGGATTGACGTTGGTGTAGATATCCTCCCCATTCCCGGAGACAGGAGTTAAGGCAAGTGTGTTGTCCATGGGCGTGGAAGTGTACGAAAACGCGTTAATGATTGGTCAAGATGTCATTTACATAGGTGTAAATATGATCTAGCATAGCCAGCCAAGTCCTCCTTGGAAACAAATAAAGAGAATGCATCAAGAACGTCCACTCTAGCGCGTTCCGCTAGCCATGCTGACACTTGGCATTGCAAAGTGCAATATTCATGCGGCTATGCCTCGGCCCGTCGGCTAAATCAGGTTCTGCTTACTGTCGGTCACAGGTCCTTTGCTTTCCTCGCGCATCCCAATCATTATATGGCTGGCCCTTCTGCTGGAATAGAGGCCATTGCTAGGTGAGGTCAATTTTATCATTGCGTATCTAGTCTTTGCCCGCATTTCTCTCTACGTCGTGCTGTTGCGCTTTGGCGCTAATCATTCGCGTTATAGAATCGGCGACATGCCAAAGTCAGGATCGCTTTCAAAATTGATGAAAGTGCAAAGTAAGCTGTCAAGATCATCGCAGTTAATCTGTTGACCGCTAGAGTGAAGATGACCCTCCTGTAAACCCATGCCATTCTGATCCTGGCTTCTGGTATTCATCTCCCCCATTTCACGCAGCGGGAGAAGGGCTGGTGGCTGCATTGCCTGAGTCGCTGGATCCTTGGCAAGAAACGATGTTCCAGGCCCGTTCGATGATATCTGCGGCGAAGCTAGCAGTGGTATTTGATTGTCAAAACTCGAGGGGGTGGGATAACGCTTCTGTGATGGGTTTGCAGGGCTCGAAGAGGTGGCGTGCAACGTGGTCGGAAGGTAAGTTGCGCTTGTATTAGGGTTTCCAGGCCCTCGGCTGCTTGGTAAATACGTGAGACTGAGCATGGGCACTGGGATGCCCGTTTTTTGAATCACGGACTCGAGAAAATAGACGGCATAGTCGGCAGAGGCGTACATTTCCTGCAGTTGGTGCAGTACATGCACGCATTGAAAGAAGCGGCCTATGCTCAAGTTGCGCACATCTTCCTCGGTCGACCGAATTTCAAAGAGGTGAATCAGCGCTGCTGAGATAAATGCTGGGATGCTGCTGGTTGATAGATACCGGAGTTGATTTCGGCGCTGCATGTCGTAAGCCAGCTGCGTGATTTGGATTGCTGCATCCGTAACCTTCTGTCTTGACGTTTTACTGGTGGTAACACCAGCGGCCGCATTCGAAGAAGAGTGGACAACCTGTGGTCTGTGCAAGATACCCAGTGCAGTCAAGTAAATCATATGCAAGGTTGATTGTTGCAGCCGAATGATCTTGTCTGCCTCATCTTCCTTCTGTACAGAGCCTGAAACATAAGGCGTGTAGCGACTGCACGGATTCAGGCCCCCGTACCACTCACTGAGCTCTTCATCGCACTTTTCAAGTTCATTACTCTGCTCATCAGTTTTTTTGGGAAACACCATCACCGAAGTAGAGTATTTCGAGCTGACGGGATCATTTTCAACTACAGAGTACTGCGAGAGAAGAATGTGGCCAATGCAGATACACAGCTTGGCCAGTTCAATACAAGTAAGCGACAGATTCCGTTGCTGACCAGTGCTTTGTGGCAATGCGGACCCGCCGAGCAACATTCTGACCTCATCTGACACAGGCTCCGTATCGAAGTCACCCAGGGTGAGCATAGGGACGTTGGATTCGTCCGGGCGAATTCTCGCTGGCCGTCTGATCCCCAGAGCAAGCAGCCTGTCGCGCATGAAACACGACCACCAAAGCCTAATTCTAAGGCGTTTGGCCGCTGGTGAGATCTTGAGATTCTCAGGATTGCGATGGATTCCCATCACCTGTGCCAGAGAGAGACTAACCCCCATCCAGTGCCAAGTGTCTTTTTCATCCGCTGGCGCGTCATACCAGAAGGTCATGAGTAACAGAGATTGAAGCAATGCAAGGCGATCAGATTCGCAGTCCAAGCCATACAGTAAGCGAACTCGGTTGAAAAAGCGCTTTCGTGCCGATTTCCTGCCAGTGTAGCCTCGGGAACGAAGGATATCGATATCAACAAAGCTAATTCCAACAAACATGACAGCCTGGAATAGAAGAAGACTGACCGGATTACTGCCGTCGGCCTTGATTATCGGGGTGACAAACTGGCTCACATCCAGAATAGGCATGGATGGATGTACTAATTTGATATAATATCTTAACAGTTCGTTGCGAAGCTCGTCATCGGGGATGCTCAATGCATCTTTCTTTGCAAGGTACTCTATGTCGTCGGCAAGGATATGCGCTCCTAGTGGTTTTATGTAGACTGGGAGGTGTTGCCAATGTTTATTCGTTGAAGCTTGGGCAGAATCGATTGGAGCGCTCTGAGCTGAAGCGCTCTGACACTCTTCTTGTGGAACGTCACCTGACTGGGACGAGCCTATCTGATCTGCGCTTCAAATTAACTCATGCCACAACGGCCATGTGCAGTATTTAAAGACACGGGCAGCTGAACATACCTTCAAAGGTCAAAGAGACGGGAAATTGATCACCCAGGACAGTTGGTGTGTTGGAAGCGCGGCCATCTTCCAAGGCTCCATTGGGCGGACGATCTGAAACGTTGACCAGTGAAGCTGTTTTTTTGCTGCGATTTGTCTCCACGACCTTGCATGTCAAACTGTCCAGTCGACAGTTCGTGCAAGGATGACCACCAGTGACCACGTCACAGCGCACCTTGCGGCTGCGACAATACAAGCACGCCCTGGGCGCACGATTTTTCGTGACGCGATCGTCCATGGCTGCATATGCACTTCTTGTTTGGGCTGACTATTAGAGCGACGCCATGGAGAAAAGACCACTTGAAATCTCAGGGTCAGGGGAAATATGGCAGATACAGGTTAGGATAATTAGTCCACTATGCTTATCAGGCTTGGCTTCCCAGATCTCGACGTTGATCATGCGCGAGGTGGTATGGAGTAAGTCCGGGGATACAGCATGGGATAAAAATTAAGATACTAGTCAAATGATGCTGTTCATTCATGTGCGTTGGTTAAATTGGGCCTATGGCTGTGCAGTGTGACCTCGGTGACTAACGGCAAATAGCCGAGGCGTCTTTCACGAACAAAGTCCCCGTCTTCATAGGAGGGGCGCACACCGTTTGTCACTAGATAACGCCACTTGCTCTCAAATCTACCAATTCTGCAGGTGTGAGTCCTGCCTCTTGAAGTACTTGATCCGTATGCTGTCCCAGTCGAGGCGGCTCTAGTCTAATTGTAGCTCCAGCCTCGCTAAATTTGACGGCGGGCCCTAAAGTTAAACATCATCCTCATATTAGCAATGCGTTAAGCGGTGCAGGAATACCTTCATTAGAAAGCTGACTCACCGATTAGATTTATGACCCCGGCGGTCGCGGCTTCTATTGGCACTTGGGCGACCATATGCCTAGCACTTGTTTGCCGGTGCGAGAAGGTGCCCTCCATGTTGTTGATTGGGGCAAATGGAAGCCCTGTTCCTTCAAATACCTCCATCCACTCGGCCGTGGTCTTTTTGGCAAACACCTCGTTGAATATAGGAGTCAATGCGTCCCGATTCTCTACACGGCTGGGGTTTGTCGCGAACCTTTCATCCAGCGGCAGTGAATCCAGTCCAAGAAGCTTGCAGAGAGCAGAGAACTGGCCGTCATTAGTCGCTCCACAAACAAGATAGAGATCCTTTGTTCGGAAGGCATCATAAGGCGCTATACTTGGATGCTGGCAGCCCCAGCGCTCGGCTTCAATGCCTAAATTGAGCCATGAGAGCCCGACGTTGGTCAGCATACTGACCTGCGTTTCGAACAAAGATGCGTCCACGCGCTGCCCCTGGCCCGTTTGGTGGCGGACTTGTAAGGCCGCCAGAATGGCCCCGTGCATGTATAGTCCAGTTGCCATATCGATCATCCCAATTCCCACGCGCACGGGGGCCCCGTCGCGCTCCCCGGTAATATGGAGCATCCCGCCTTCCGCGGCGGCAATGGGGTCATACCCGCCTCGCTTGCTATAAGGTCCTGTCGGTCCATATCCTGGCAGTATCGAGAATATGGTCAGCCAGCTGAGGATTTGATGCGCTTGTTTGAAGAAAGGAAAATAAAAGAAAAAGAAAAAAAACCCCAGAGGAAAAGTACCTGAGATGCTCGCATAGATCAGCCTAGGGTTTACTTCCCTTAGGCGATCATACCCGAACCCGAGTCGATCCATTGTCCCGGGCCGAAAGTTTTCAACCCTAGTAATTTTATGAGTAGCCATATAGGTGGGTTTGGATGTTTGCTTACAGAACGTCGGCGTTTCGGGCCAAATTCAATAAGATCTCCTTCCCCTTCTCATTCTTCAAATTCAAAGTCACTGATCTTTTGTTGCGATTAACGGCGGAGAAGTAGTTTGAGATCGGGCCTGCCTCATTCTTCCATGCGGCATCCTCTCCTTTCATTCTCCAGTGTCTTGTGTCGTCCTGTGAAAAGTGTAGGGTTAATAAAAATATGCCCTCAAAGCAAAGGACAAGAGCGGGGCGCAAAATATCATACTCCTTTACCAGGTTCCTCAATCTTAATTATGTCTGCGCCATAATCAGCTAGAATTTGGGTGCAAAAGGGAGCCTATCTGAGTTTCATCAGTCAGCCAACTGCCCCACAGAGTTTCCAGCGACGAAGATAACCCACTGCGAGAACGCGAGATAGATCCAAGATTCGTATCCCGTTCAATATCCCCTGCTTTTTCGACTCTTTTATCTCAGCTCCCGCGCTGGTTGCGAATCCTCGAACTGCATTCATCAATGTTGGACCCATCTGCCCTTGGCGGCATGAAAGAGGCATGCATGTTCTGCTGGATATAGACATCATTCTACCCAGGGGGGCACGGGAGTACTTCATATTGCTAAGACAATGATACCCAATATATAGTGTCGGGGTAGCTTGAACTGGTTAGAATCGTGGAAAGGAGATGAGACAATACGAGGAGGTGCTACCATGCCACAATATTGTAGCTATACGTTCATGAAATATGTAAACGGCTGATTGGGTACTGATCAAAGTAGGTTGAAACCGTCAAGGTCATACCTCGGATAGTAACGGAACGGATACTTGGCCTCAAGGCCTTTTTTCAGCAAATTGTCATGGCCCTCGGGTGTATGAGTCGTTGGCCCTACCTCGGCTTTGGAGACACCGCAACCTCCTTTTTGGGCTCTTGTTCTCGGTTAGGCTGCTAAATGCGACTCTTAGTCCCATGAACACTCCATCAAATAAGACGGGTTCAATTGTATCCTGCACAAAACACTCGAAAGACACATGGATCTGCATTAGAGAAGTGGACTACACCACAAACATCACGGCAAATGGAAAACCATTACCGGGATAGTTAACAGAATACAGCCATTAGTAAATGCAATAATCCATGGTCTCATATCTTAATTATCACAAATCAGTTTCATCATCATTATCGTTGATAGCCATTGATAAGCCTTTTCAAAGTAATGTATGTCAATTCTACGGTTCAAATATTTTCAAAAGCTATGTTATCCCAAGGTTCCAAGGTTGTCTAATATACTCCTTATAGGAAGATACTCTTTCGACTGCTTATAGTACACTCCCGGGGTTCAATTAATCTTTGTAGCTGTTTGAAGTCAAAAATATATATCTCGAACCTTACCGGGTGAACTATGCTGTTTGTTGTGATAATTCATAAAGTCCTCCATTAAATGGCACCAAACTCCAAACCTTGGAAGGCAGACTAAAAGTATGCTGAGGAGACATCATTAACGGCTTGATCCGACCTCGGAATCCATGAGCGTCATTGTTGAGATAAAGTTATAATTGAATTCGCATTTACTATGTTTTTTGGGTTATCCGGGCCCACTAGCTGTCCGACTCGCAAGTGAAATACATACGTTATGGTGAAGCGTTATGATCGAGATATTATATTATCAGTCCATCTTCTTTTCTACATATCACCCCTAGGTCTCAATCCTTGTCTCCAACTGCCCCTAGCGGACCATTTAGACGACACGGACACTGGATTGCATACAGCTGTTCCCCACTACACTATGTAGATCGGGATGTATGGGTTGGTGGCCTGAGGCCAATAATTTCAATAAAATCAAGGACGCGTCTTACGATGCGGACTTCTCCTGTGACCAAAATTCCGCCCACTGGATGTTTTTGTTCTTTTTCTGGAATTGTTGGATCCCATATTCCCCTTCAGAGCCTGGTATCATCATACCATGAAAGGTGTCTTCGATGAACTTATCTTGCCGCGGGCTCCCCGCATCATGCCACGCGAGGCGTACTAGCTCTTTACAAATGGACGCAGAACGAGGGGCGCAATGTGCCAGTTTGTCTAAATAATCCTCTAGCAACTTGCTTGTATCGTCCGACACGCCATGAATTGCACCGATTCGTTCCAGCTCGGAGTAATGCACCTCTCGCCCTGAAAGCATGGCTTCACGGAAAAAGGGGATTCCCCACTCGCGTGCCATGTATCTCGATATGATGGCAGGGGCGACGCCGATTTTGATCTCAGAAAGAGTCCAGCGAGCATTCGTGGAGGCTAGGCGAACATCGCAAACGAACCCGAGCCCCACTCCACCTCCATAACACGGTCCATTGATAAGAGCAATCGTTGTCTGGGGGCAATTGTCGATGGCAGAAAATAGGGCCTGGATCTTTGCATGGTACCCATGCTCCTTGTCGGTGTTCGTCGTTTTCGTGCCTCCACTGAGATCCATGCCAGTGCAAAAAAACCGGCCTTCAGCTTCCAGGACTATATGGAAAGTGTCTTGGCAGTTAGCCAAGTCGGTGAATAGCTTGGTCAACCCCTCGAGCATCGGTGCAGTCATTGTGTTTCCATGCTGTGCTCGTGTCATGGTGATCCTCACCACAGCGCCAGAGCGCGAAACCCTGTAGTCCGGTAGTTCGGTGACTGTGGTCCATTCTCGTGTCGGTTTGTCTTTTGTGGCCGACTTTTCCGTCGCTGTGGCCATATTCCTCTTTGCAAGTAAAGCTGCCCCGGCTCGGCTTCCGTATGGCATGCCGATCTCTCGCGAGATCCATTCACCGACGGAAATGAGCTTGTTCAAGTCGACTCCAGTGGAGATACCGGAGTTTTCGAGAGTATAGATCACATCCTCGCTTGCCACGTTGCCCTTGGCCCCTTTTGCATAAGGACACCCCCCAAACCAGCGACGGATGTGTCGAACGCGCGAATTCCCATCGAGTACGCAGCGACCACATTCGCAACACCCTGTCCATACGTATCGTGAAAATGACCAGCGAGTTTGTCCGCGGGTACTTCACTGAGTAGAACCTCCAGCAGCTTCTTTGTTTGTGCTGGTGTCCCCACCCCAAGCGTATCACCTAGACCAACCTCGTAGCACCCCATATCTAAGAATCGTTTGACGACTCGGAGAACAGCGTATGGGTCCGTAGGCCCGGAATAAGGGTCCGAGAAGATGCACGAGATAACACCGCGTGCGCGCACGCCGCTTTGTTTAGCTGCTGTCACAACCTTTTGAGCGCCGATCAAGGCTTCCTCGACGGAACAATTCTGGTTCGCTTTGCTAAAGGCCTCGGTGGCAGATGCAAATACCTCCACTTCTTGCGCTCCCGCCTTCACAGCGTTCTCGAAACCCTTCATATTAGGGGCAAGCACAGGCAGTGTTATTCCTTTCGAGGCCAACGGTAGGACCTTCTCCATTACCGCGGCGCCGTCCGCTAGCTGGGGAACCCATTTTGGCGATACAAAAGACGTAGCTTCAATATGTTGAAGGCCAGTATCGGCGAGCCGACGTATCAGCTCGATTTTGGTTGCAGTGGGAATCGTTGTCTTGATATTTTGTAGACCATCTCTTGCCGCAACTTCAAGAATGCGCACACCCGATCTCTCTCTACAGCTAGTCGATGATAGCGAGCGCGTCGTGACTCTCAGAAACAAAGCACCCCTACATCGATAGAATCCACGACCGTGAGTGACTAGTGTCGACATACCCCGCAACCTGGTTCCGGTGGTGCTCATTATGTTTGGTTGGTAGATCCGACAAGAAGCTGTACAGTGTCTGCCGGTCGCGTCTGGGACAGTTTCATGTGCTGATTTATTAACTGGATGATCTAGATAAGCATCACGATTTTACTATTGAGCTTCCCGGCCATGTCTAGCTCATCTCTGTCAGGTTGAGATCGAGCCCTCGGGCCGAGGGCTTAATCCAGGGCAAAAGCCCAAAACGCATCTAAACCTTAATGATCCAGCATAGAAGTAAAATACTCTTGGTCAAGCTAAGAGAGGGAAAGTAAGGCATTCGGGCTTGTCATTCATGAGTGTTGGCGAACTTTCCAGCCAGGAATACCAGGCCTTCCTGACGCCCCAGGTGTTCAAGTGGTTAGATCTGCTTCTAAAATAGTTCAATACATTACCTTACTTGCTCCCGAGGTCTCTTTTTCCGTCGTCAAACTTTCTGGGAATAGCGGATGACTATGGCAATGTTCAGCGCAAATCAGTGGCTCTTCACCCTATCGCAATGAATGTGGAGTAATCTAGATTTATATACAGCTAAGAACAACACCAACATGCATGTTGCATCTACCTTGGAGTGCCCAGGTACGGATGGGCAAATTATTAAATTGTTATTCATAAGGCAGAAAAATTATTCTTAGAAGTCTGAATACAATAGAGATCTACGGAGGAGCGATGTATGTGAATGAAGGAGACTTGAATTGAGAGATGGGAGCTATCTGTCTATCTGCGCCGCGTGTCCAATGGGTCCCCACGCCACAGAACAATATTCGATTTACAAAAGTGCAGCCAGCCTCTCTCGAGTATCTCCCAGAGCAAAGTCGTTCCTGTTCTTTTTACTCCGAACCTTTTCAGCGTCGGCGAGGGTGATACCCCTTGCCTCCACAGCAGGGTTATAACCGAACCAGCTTTCCTTTGCAACGTCTTCGCTATTCACTCTTGAGGTAGGTTTACCATCAGCACGCTTGTAGACGTTAACAACAACCGCACCCCCTAGGCCCAGGTTATGCTGCAATGCCACCGTACTGTTATCTACCAGCCGATTGTTTGCCCAGCCACGTAGCTGCCAGGTCAATTCAGCGCACTGTGCCAGGCCCGTTGCGCCAATTGGATGCCCTTTGGAGATTAGGCCCCCGGAAGGATTGATCACCATCTTTCCGCCATATGTGATATCTCCTCTTCGAACCATTTCGTGTGCCTTTCCAGGCTCACAGAAGCCCAGAGCATCAAGAGTGACCATCTGGTTGGTTGAAAAACAATCGTGCAGCTCGCACACCTTGACTTCAGAAGCGCTGATCCCAGCTTCCTTCATCGCGGCCCGAGCAGCTCTCTGCGTCATGTCATAACCAACAAGTTCGATCGCACTCTCCGAGAAGGTCTTGGGTGAATCGGTCAAGAACTGCTGCCCTGCCATCAAGATTGCTTGATTCCTTAGGTGCGGTCGTGCGTTTAGAAAACTTTCGGATACTATAACTGCTGCTGCTGCACCATCGCTGGTCGGACTACACTGGAGCTTAGTCAAAGGCGGATAAATTGTTGCGGAATCCTGGATCTCCTGGAGCGAGTACTCTTGACGGAATTGCGCATATGGGTTGGCCTGGGAATGTTTGTGGGAGATACGCCCGATTTCCGCAAAGTCTTCTGCCTTGGCGCCGTATCTAGAGCAAGTTAATAGTGCCCTTAAGAAGATGGAGTAGTATAAAGTCGGCGGTACCTTTCCATGTATTCCCTTCCCGCGTTTCCAAAATATTGGGCCGTCAGTGGAGATTTGTCAAAACCACGTTGTTCCTTCATCTTCGCTGCAAATCGCCCGCTCGAACTTGGCCGGTCGTCCCAGACAGACTTGAGACTTCCGGGCTTCATCTTTTCAAACCCGACAACAAGGACACAATCTGCATTACCGCTCTTGATCAGAGTACGTGCCAGATACAGGCCAATGGAGCCAGTAGCACATGCGTTGCTTGTGTTCACGATTGGAATGGTAGACATGCCGAACTGATAAAATACACGCTGCCCGGATGTAGAGTCGCCATATGCGAAGCAAGCGACTCCATGCTCGACATCGTCGTAATTGATCTGGGCATCAAGCATAGCTTTTACGCCAGCTTCATAGCCCATTTCAGGATATTCTCGTTCGCCACGAGGTTTAATGAACTTTGTGAGGCCGACACCAAGCACGTAGGCCTGGTTTGAGGGAGTAGTCGCCATGCTGAGTGGAAATTCGCGCACTGTTTCTGATTAAATTCCCTCAGTTATATTCCCTGACTTGAATTTCGTCTTTGTTCAGGTCGATTGCTTTATATTACGATCAGAAATTGCATGATTTGACAATATAAGCGTTGTTTCTTTACCGCCGGGACCGAGGAAAGGCACTTGTAACCTCGGGCTCTAATCAACTTAAAGGCGGATCTTTTGCTACCCGCGAGATTTGAGATGATCACGCTATCTCGGAGAAGAAACGTTCTGATTTCTGGCTCCGTGCTGGTCGGCTACTTTCTCTCAGAATACAGATACGAGGAAGCAAACCAAAATTCTGGATGTCCGTAAATGTTGCCTATTCATAAAACTTCCATACGTGACTAATTCTGTGCATGTGCAGCTTCATATTGTGTCATCAATCCGGAAAACCAATTTCTGCCCCATAACTTGGCCCGCCTTCATCAACTCGAACCCCTTTACCGCACCGTCAAGGCCATCTTCACCCACTATTTCTGGATGAGTTTGGAGTTTTCCCTACAGCCCAAATGTTAGTCAGCACGCATTGTAAATAGACACTAGGGGAAGGGATTCAACTGCAGGTAACAATGCAATCACTCATACCTCTGCCATTAATTGCTCTGCCAAGGCGTAGAACATCCGTCCGAACTCATAGTCTTCCTGGCTGGCGTGCATGTCTTGATCTCCGAACTTGAAGTACTTGCCAAAAGCAGTATACATGACAGTGGTGATTGTTTCGACATCCTCGCGGGGTGATTTGACAGGCAAAAGATTGCCGTACCGTAACCCCAAGCCAGAACGGCTTGATAGGGCGTCGGCACAAATCTGTGCGGAAGCAGGAATGCTAATAGTATCCCACGCATATCGAAGCTCGTTCCGCGTCAGATCCCTTATCTTTGAACCTACATCTGGGTCCATGTAATCGAAAGAAAAATCGGCTCCCAGGTGTCTTGTGCGTTCAAAGTGCTCCGGTAGGCATGTAGTGATAACCGTGTATCCCGATCTAATTTGGATGTCAGAGATCAATTCTGCTAAGAGACAAACACTAATCTTTGAAAAGACTGCAAAGATGGTAGCATTCACAATTTCGCAAGTTGAATCGCAAGCGTTGCCGTTGCCGTTGTTCCTCCGTATATCAAGACCGGGACGTTTTTGTTCCTTTCAGGATCAGTGGGCAGCTTCAACTTCAATGACTTCTGATATAGACCTTGGCCAACAGTGATCAACCCGAGAGGTGTAGTGGCTGCTTTTTCAAAGGTCCAGCCATCAGGAATTCGCATCTGCAAATCACCCCTGACGACGGCATATTCTGCAAAGACACCGTCATCCGAATTGACAAGATTTGCCCCATGCGCGCACCCAAAGACCTTATCACCTGGGCTCCAGGACTTGCTGACTCCCTTACCTACTGCCTCGACAATGCCGGCATAGTCGCAGCCAACGATACAGCCGTCCGCAGCTCTCCCGTAGGAGACTGATTTCCAGTCGGTTGGGTTAAGTGCGATAGCGACAGGTCGAACAAGCAAAGAGTCTCCCGTCATCTCAGGGCGCCGCCTGTTGCGGTCAACCATGAAATCCCGACCGTTCACAACCATAGCCTTCATTGTGTGGTATTTCCGAACGGTGGGAAGTTGCCCTAAAAGCACGCGACCACGGCTGGTCATTATTTTCCCAAAATGCATTACTTTTGTCCCCTACGTCGGAATTTTCACAATTCAATATTTGTACAATGTAGCGGCGAGTTATAAATAATGTTTTTTAAGCTCCCTAATCATGTGGTTCTAGGCATCCTCCAAGCATTCGGAATTCTCCATGTTTGAGGACGAGGGTAGCCTCGGCTAATATAAGTAGAGCAACAACCACCTCGGCACTATGCATCTGTTCCTCATATAAAGTATTTTTAATTGTAGTGAGACTTGACCTTTGGTGATGCTGCGTCATACGTTGTAAGTTGCTGGCCGCTCAACCATCTCTGAGTTGTAAAGCATGACTTCAAAGCAGCCCGTATGGGCCCCAAGCGACATCGAATCAACCAACATTGTCAAGTTTTTGAAGCATGTCAACAAGAAGCACAACTTGAAACTTAAGACATATGACGACCTTTGGAAATGGTCAGTACATCCAGACAGTCTAGCGAAGTTTTGGGGTGAAGTGTGTGTTTTCCTTCGGATTTTGCCAGCCTCAGTGAAACCAGGGGATGTTCTACCGGCGAGTGATAGCAGCGGCACAAGAGAGGTAGAGTTTTTCACCCAAGTATACGGCAGGTATGCGTTTATAATACCAGGATTGACGACAATGTAGCTGCCTCTATACCCCCCACCCAAATTCTTCCCTTCGGCCACCTTCAACCTTGCCCAATTCATCCTCGCCAATCGAAACAAAGGGCAAATCGCCATTCACTTTGTCAGGGAAGGGGTGCCAGGTGTCGAGGAAATCAGCTGGAGGGCCCTGGAAGAACGCACAAGGGAAGCGTACGATGCCTTAGTTGGCTACGGGATCAAAGCAGGTGACAAAGTGGCGGTTGTCATGTCCAACTCTGTCAACGCAATCGTCCTCTGTCTCGCTACACTTGCAATTGGAGCTGTTTGGTCATCAGCATCGCCAGACCTAGGGTCTAAAGCGATCATTGATCGCTATAAGCAGATCGAACCGAGGATCATATTCGTCGATGACGCATATATATACGCCGGCAAAAGAATCTTCCTTGAAGACCGGATTGCGACCATCTCACAGGCGCTATGCAATGAAAACAAGCACCTCAAGAATGTGGTGGTCATACCCTATTGCGGAGTATCAATAAATATGTCCAAAATTCGCAAGGGTTTATCCTGGGAGGCATTCTTGAAAAACGGGAGTGGAAGGACGTTATCGTTTTCACCGCTACAGTTTAGTTCCCCGGCCTTTATCCTTTTCTCTTCCGGCACGGTACGCTACGTCTCCTTCGCACGTCAGCCATGGATATACCACATTCTAACAAATGTTTATATGCATAGACTGGAACTCCTAAATGCATCGTACATTCTGCTGGTGTAAGTCCGCGTGCAAAGGTCAAAACTACCTTGTTCTAATATGTTCATTAGGGCGTGGCACTCAAAGTTAGCACCGATACACGGCTACAGCATGATATGAGGCCAGGAGATGTGTTCTTCCAATATACAACAGTTTGTGACATGGACAGATCACCAGAGAACAGAAGAAAGACTGACATCTTGTTAGACGGCGTGGGTGATGTGGATCCTCAATTTCATCAATCTTTCGTCTGGGGCAACAATGTTCCTCTACGATGGCTCACCATTCTACCCTGAACCAGCCGTCTTGCTGGATCTTGCAGCCAGGCTAGGGTAGGAAGCGCTTGGTTTTTGAGATTGAGGAGCATGGCCAAGCTAATAGACATTACACAGAGTCACCGTCTTCGGCACTTCACCCCGCTATCTCTCCGAGATACGGTCGAGGAACATTGTCCCACGTAAGTATGTCAAAAACGCTGTAAACGATAAATGAAATTGACTTTGACAGGCGAACAATACAGCCTTGATAAGCTGCGAATAGTAACGTCTACTGGCTCTGTTCTCTCAACGGATTTGTATGAATGGTTCTATGGCCAGGGATTCCCTCAGAAGACACAGCTTATATCTATGAGCGGTGGTACAGACATTGCTGGAAGCTGTACGTTTTCCAAACAAAAACTGACCCGACCTCGAATAACTGATCCACATTCTCTCTAAAGTTGTCGGGGGGTGTCCCATTCTTCCTGTGTATCCTGGTGAAATCCAAGCCAAGTGCTTGGGTATGGCTACCAACGTCTTCGATGCTTCTAAGACTGAGCCAGAATCCATTGAACTCTCCGGAACCCCTGGCGAGCTGGTTTGCACACAGCCCTTCCCGAGTCAGCCGCTTGCTTTCTACGGCCCCGGTGGCGACGAAAAATACCGAGGCTCGTACTTCTCGCGGTTTGGAGCTCATGTATGGTCTCAGGGGGACTTCATAAGGTTCCTTCCAGATACCCAGGGCCTTTTAATCCTCGGAAGATCGTAAGTACTAATGATCACTACTGAAGTCACGCAATGGCCCACACTTTTCTTTCTCCTTGTTTCTCTGACCTTTTTCTTTAGAGATGGTGTCCTAAATCCATCCGGTGTGAGATTTGGTTCGGCGGAAATATATCAAGTCGTCGAGACTATACCCGAAATTTTGGACTCCATATGTGTCGGACAGAGACGCTCCTTTGATGGCGATGAGAGAGTACTCCTTTTTGTAAAGATGAAAGTGCCGCATATACTGGACACACGACTTGTTGATTCCATCAAGGCTGCCATTAAAGATAGATACTCTCCTCGCCATGTGCCCGCGTATATCTTCCAGGTTCAAGATATCCCATACACGGTCAACGGGAAGAAGTGCGAGATAAATGTCAAACAAATTGTGAGCGGCATGAACACCAAGGTCAGTGGGACCGTTGCAAACCCGGAGAGCTTGAATTTATACGGGCAATACTTTCATCTGCCAAATGCAGAAACAGCTAAGCTATGAAAAAAAGCTTCGGTGGCGAACAGTAGAACAATTGAAGAGCAAAGCCTTTTCGCCAATTTCAGAGTGAATGAGATCTCAAACAACCTTCGCTGCTCTTCTAATGATCCGATGAATATATCCAGCCTGTATAGATGTTTTGATTTAGGTTGGTTATTTACGAATTTTATGCCCGTAAAAAGGCAATCAACTTATCCTCACTCCGGTACAATCACAGCTTTGATAGGGATTCCCTGCTCAACTAGACTAAGAGCTTCTTCGAGGCAATCCAGCGAAAATCGATGGGTGATAAGATCGGCAAAACGTAATCGACTGCCATGTTCAGATGCAATCTCCACTGTTTTCTTAAAACTTTCCGCATCAATGCCCAAGCTGCCAATGATTTGTAGATTGAGATTATTGATGCGCACGGGGTCAATTGGTGCTGTGGCGCTGCCTGAATACAGCCCCAGAATCAGATACTTGCCATTCATGCCAAGCAGATTAAAGCCCTCGGGAAATGCAGCAGCAGTTCCAGCCGCCTCAATAACAATGCTTGCCCCACGACCTGCGGTGAGACGTTTCACCAATTTCAATCTCTCCTCGGCAGTAGTATCCGCAACTGACATTGTAAAAGTAGCACCCAAAGCCGATGCAGCTTCAAGACGACGGTTCGGATCACCAATCACGATGACAGAGCGGGCACCGGCCAGGCTTGCCAAGAGTGTGCATGCTAGGCCAACAGGACCGGAACCTTGTATGACAACATCCGAACCAGGTTTAATAGCGCCAAGTTGCTTTAAGCCTGTCAAAGCTGTTGGCATCCCGCATCCAAACACAATGATATTTTCAAGCGGAACACTCGGAGGTACCCGAATATACACACATCTTTTGTTGAGAGTCGCGTATTGCCTAAAGCAAGCCCCGTTTGGCTTTCCGACAGGCGGTGGCCAATTAAGATTGCGACAATGTAGGGGATCTGAGGCATCACACTCCGAGCAAGCACCACAAGGTGCCAAGGGCATCCAATATAGCATATCTCCTTCGGACAATGGTGCGCCAGCACGGTCAGTTTTAACTTCCGCACCAATGCTTTCAATCACACCAATGGCTTCATGTCCAAAGCACACTGCCTCAGCATTGACTGGGATGTCACCCTTCAATCTATGCACATCGCTGCCACAGACTCCGGCCATTGACACCCGCACCAATAACTCATCGGGAGCTGGCATTCGAACTTCTTCCTCAACGAACTTTACAGGTTCACCTGGGCGAGTAAATACCGCGACTTTGCCGTGTTTCATGATTGCCTTGAGATATTCTGCAGCTTTTCGAAGTCTTGGTCTAGATTCGGCTGGTTTCGTTCCGCCGTTTTACAGCAGGGGGCCGCTCTGGATTTTATGGAGCTTGATGTCACAAGTAGGCAATATGCAGGTATGGATCAAGAACGGAGAGTTACCCTAGGAAGTTCAGTACTGAATTTATTTAACCTAGAAAGCGAAAGCTCGGCGACGAAGAAAGATTGATTATTCGATTCCTGTGTTTGATAGCCGCTTTTCGGCCCGCGGTGTCTCCTCGGGTCAAGTTGTCACCTTTCCCAATTCGATGCAAAGAAAATTATCGGGAAAGAATGACATGAGAGACAGCGTAGGAATCTGAAACATGAAGCTATCAGGATATTAAGGGAGGAAGAACTACCATCTGCATGCAATCGTTGGAATCCCCCCGGGACTTCACCATGTAACTCTGGCACTGGGTTCGCGAATTCCACAGGGAATTGTCACGGAGCCTGATAATTCAATACCACAAAATTAGTTCAACACCCTCACTGGCCACATTTAAAGATGTGTAGTAGTGGCAATTCAGAAACAAATTAGCTAAACATCGCACCGCTTCGCTAAATACACGTCAATATTTAAGATAGGGCTTCATTAGAGCCTTGGTATAAGTAAGAGAAGGTGGCTCAGTGGGTATCACCCTTTACTTTAATCACCTTCCCCATTCCTGTGTAGCAGTCAAGCTCTCTTGGTGTAGCCAGCACCAGGCTGTCTATCAAAGTTGTAGAAATTCAAAATTTATTAAATATAAAATGATGCCAAAATGACTAGCAGTGCAACAGCGACATTAAATAGCAGGAGCCATAAGAAAATATGAGTATAGATCGATTACCTATGAAAGTCTGAGTACTGGCACTTTGCCTCTACTTATATTATCCCACTCTATCTATCTATCTGTATGGGGATGTCATACATGTGCAGAAGCATAGATCTAGTGATAGGTTCGTCACATCAGCTGTTGCACTCAACCTTCAGCCAATACTATCTTTTTATCCAATTATGTCCATGTGCTTGAGTCTATTAATTTCAGTTGAGGACTTAATTTCGCGTTAAGAATCGAGCAAAAAAAGATCGTAAGTGGTGCCTCGTCTACCTGCATGCACTTCATTCTAGTCAATATGCAGTGGCAGCTAGCCACGTCATTGTGTAACACCAAAACCCAACAAATGCAAGTTAGTGCCAGAGCTTATGCGACACTAACACAGCTATGACAAAGGACAATCGAGGCGTCCGTGGCTTCCTTGAGTAAAGTCATCGAGGAAAATTGCCAAGTAGAACACAATATAAATATGTAAGAGCACTTGGAAAATGCTCTAATTAGGTCCAGATTTCTGGATAGATAGAAGTGTTTCGAGGAATGCACAACCTGTGGACGTTGATACCAAATGGAGTATTGCACAGCAAAGCCCTCGGTGGTCAACAATGGGGCGATTTACACCTGCATTAATCTCTGCTGGATTTCAACAGAATTGGTATTGACTCCACTACCCACTAAGTATTCATACATGTCATGATATTGGATACACTGATGCTAAAGGGCAAGTACAGAAGCAGGTCCATTAAAAATAAAGCCCAGAAACTCGAGCTCGTCAATCTTCACAGGCGTTACAATTAGCGCCGCCGATTCTGGTTGTTGTTCCTCCGGGTTTGCGGTGCATCTACCATCATCGTGTCGCTGTAGAGACCAGAGGATTGTTTCTTATTCACTGGTTTGGCCTTCTCGTCGAAACCATAGCGCCCATCCTGCACATTGGGTTCGGCCCGTCGATTCTGCCGTTCACGATCAGCCTGTACCCGCATGTCACTGTAGTTGTGGTTGTTGGTGTTGGCAGATCCAGTGGACTTGAAGGTCATGGAGAGCAGGCGTCCGTCAGCCTAGGTATATAGTTAGCAGGTAAGTCTAGCTTGTTTTTTTTTTTCTGTCAAACTCATACCCGCTGGTTGTGGTAATTGGCAATAACGTTCTCAGCATTCCATTTGCTCTCGAACGCGAATTCGGCAGTGACGGTCGGGTTGTGCGAAACGATGCGGCAGCTGAGCATGGGACCCGATGTGGGCTCCAGCGCAGACTGGATATCGGCCGCTGTGGTGCCTGGCGCAAAGTTGCTGCCGACCACGACGAAGGGACCGGATGCGCCCTTGATTGACAGGCCACCTTTAGGAGCGCGGATTGTCGCCTGACCAGAGCCAGATTCGAGGGCGTTCAGTAGTCGCTCTGCATTAGGTTGACGGTTGCTCTTGGCTGGTCTCTTTGCGGGCCCGGAGGGAGCGTTTGCCGGAGCTTTGGACTTGTTGCCACGGAGGTTGGCAGTGGAGGCGGAGCGCTAGAATTTGCGAGCCCATGTCAGAGGAGTGCTTGTTTGGATATTTGGCGGGAACTGAGAATAGGGATTGAACAGTCTTACCTTGGGCACACCGATGCGGCTGGCCAGGCTCCCCGGTTTGGCACTTTGCGACTTCTGGATCCCTGCGCTCGGCGCACTGGCGCGACGGGCAGTCCGATTCTTTCCGAGGATTGAGTTCGCAAGCTGTTCCTTCTGCTTCTTCTGGCGATCTAAGTAGGAGTGGTACCGGTCAGATTGCTGGCAGCAGGGACATCAAAGGGGAGTCGCGAAGTGATTACCGGACTGAATGATCTCGTCAAACGAGACAGGCTTCTTATTTTGCTTATTAGCCATAGCGACGATGGAATGGAATAGTGTTATGGAAGATGAATGAGAATCCAGCCAAGGAAACTCAGGTTAGGACGGGTGGCGGAGGAGCTGAATACGAATCACGGAGGAGAAAAGAAGCTCCAGAATTCGGGATCGGCGACGGTGGGTCTCCACTAAACAATAAGCCCGCTCTATGCACATTAATCTACTTCCCATTTCCACATGCTATGTGAATACCGCACTCCAATCGTCCTACATTTGTAATTTATTACAATATGATTTTCCGATGATGCCATCTATACGCCGACATGCGACGAATATTCCCCATGTAAACAGTAAAAGTGGCGTACCTTCCTATTTTGGATTCTCTGTAGTAGGGCTTCGACTTCTTCCAATTGTTGTTTACTGCATTTCCTTCCACCCGTTCAATTTCTAGTACACATCAACGCAATCTCCAAGATTTTCTGTATCCGCCAGTCCCTTTTGCATCAAATTTGCATGTACGACCTCGTTCGAAATGGATACAGACAAGAAGATCCGGTCCGGTCCTGGTTCACCAGCTGAACGCCGTTCGACATTCTCACTTGGATTTGCATTCAAGACTCCATCAAGGAGGCTCAGGTAAGGCTTGAGATGCATTGCAAACAATATATGCTGAAAGACCTTTGCAGTATCGTAGATCCGCCCGATCTTTCACCGACTTGTGCTGAAAGAGGCCATTATCCTGTGTTCAATCCACTAGACCCACGACACAATCCATCGGCATCAGTATCATGGCGCCGTCAGGAGAGTCAAACCTCATCTTCTGACTCTCAAAAACAATCTCACTGGGTCCAGGACTTCCCCCGCCGGTCTCTCCACAAGGCTCGATCTGGCTTGCTGGCTCTCAGGGCAGGCTTTCTTCGACGTCACCGTACAAGTATGACCGTGGAGATAACACCGGTCCGCAACACAGAAGCATCGAGTGCCAGTACACAGGAAGACTTGAATTTTGGGGTCGCTCTTTATCGAACCAATGTGCCATGGTCCCCAGCCGAGGATGAACCCAGCATCGATGTCCTGATGAGAGCCGCCGCATTCCATCCGCTGGCTAACATTGCATCGGCACCAGAGGTGAGAGACATTCCGATTTGGGGATTCCACGACCCGGACGCCGTATTTTCTAATGATGTGACCATGGCTTTTCACCCAACTGCAAGCAAAGCAAGTTACGACGGTATGCTTGATTCCCAGAAGCCCCATAAAGAAGAAGCCAGCAAGGATGGAGAGGAAGCTGTTCACACGAAACGAGAACCGAAGTCGGTTCGTGAAGCTCATCCGGTTGCGTCAGCAGATTGGGAAACAATAGAATCGTCCTCGACGAGTTCCACTGGTGGAGAGGATGAGATGAGAGACTTCGAACATGCTCAAACTGCACATTTACAGGAGCAAATAAGGCCTCTGCAATCCACTCAAAGAGTACTCATTAAGGGGAATCCTTCCATGTCACATGAAGAGATCGAGTCTGATGACGAACATCACGGTTCTCCGTCATTGAGTCGACAAGTTTTGGAGAACAGACGGGGCTCATTTATGCGACGTTCCTCCGGTGTGTTGAGTACGCTCAGCTCAAACACTTCTCACAGGCGGAGAATGAGTTGGATGCAATCCGAAGCATTCGCGACTCAAGAGCGGCTGCTGTTGTTTGACCAAGGGCCACCAAGCCCTGCAGCTGGTACATGCTCTACTAGTAGTCTAGGTAAAAGCTCTGCTGATGTCCCAATTGCCTTCCCTGGTCTGTATCAGGCATTGTTAGAGCAGTGGGCCGTTGACAGAAACAGAAACAGAAGTAGTGAGAACATTGTGGGCAATTTCCCTAGGGTCTTGAGGATACGGTCACTAATGGTAGGCAGGTACCCATGACATGTCCTTCACCCACAGTGAACTTCCTTTTTGATTCACCCCACCGGAGATACGAAGAATCCATGTTATTTGACCCCCTGCACAGCAACCCCCAACTGATGGAGAGCTTTCTTCCAGAGTCGGATCCAGGAAACGATATGGCTCCCGAAGGCGAGGAACCGAACCCAACAGATGCTCTTTCTGGGCCATTCATGACTGGAAATGATGCGCTTGCCTTCGATACCAACATTAACATGCAGCCAGAACTAGTAACCAGCACTCAACCTGAAGAACGTCGTCATTCATTTGGCTTGCACATCTCTACTATCAATGTGAGTATATCGATCAGTTATCACCGCACTAGATGATTAACAGTGATGATAGGAGTCTAGACTCGAGACAAGCCTTGAGGAACAGATACTCCCTCTCGAGAATCAAATGTATCAACAACAATACGGCGAGACCAACTGCTCTTCTGCCCGGGTCTGGGGCTATGATGCCGCAGACAGCATGTTTCAAAGCTCTACCCAGTCATCCATTTACACACGGGGAAGCACCATGTCCCCGGACCTCACGTCCATTACGTCCTTTTCCAACATGTGCTCACCACTGAGCTCACCAATCGACGAGGAAGTTCTTTTCTCGAATCCCTTCAGAAATGAGTTTTGGAATGCTGATGGCAAGACAAGCTCCTTGTACCCTGACCGAGGTGACCAGCCGGTGAAAGCAGGGCTGCTAGTTGCCTGGGACGGAGGAGTCCACAGTGGCCGTGGCTTTGATCGAATCCCATCCAGCAGAGAGCATCAAAGCCATGGTATCAGAATGCCAACCACAGCTCCCCATTCGTCTCAGGGCACTGTGCGTGCGGTGGTGATGAGAGAGGAAAGCGAATCTACTGATGAGTTCTACCCTGGAGCTCACGTTCCGGAAACATATCGTCGTTGAAGTGAAATGAACGGGGTTTGCCCTGCAAATACGCACTGGCATTTTGAGTTCGAGATTCTACCAGCAAAGTATTCGGTCTTTGCATGCATCTGTCGTTGTGGCTTTTGTTGCTAGTCATGTATTCTTATGCACCGTGTACGGCACCAGGGCAAATGATTGTTTGATTCAGCTGTATGGCATTAACAGCACCTTGTCTGTTGAATCCGTAATTGAATCCGTAATTTGCCCTCAAAATGTTATACTTGTAGATTATTTACTTAGCCCAGGCGGAGGGTGAACCCAGCGCCAACCTCTCCTGTATCTCCTCCTGTAGCACCACCAAACACCCCAGCAAAATCAAGTTGAGGTGCTGCCTGGCCATGCTTAGGAGCTTCAGGTGTATGATGGCGCCTCCGCTTCTCCATTCCAGCCTTCGAAGGAAAAGTAGGGAACATCTCCTTCGGTTTGGGACGAGGATCCTCCCTAAAATAAGGATGAGCAAGACACTGCCGGGCCGTCGGACGTGAAGCAGGATTGAGAGCCAACAACTCGGACAGCAGGTTCAATCCCGCATTAGTCAAATATGGGAATCGCGAGCGAGGCAGCAGCGGAGGATTCTTAGATGTCGAACTCGACTGTGGCAAACGCAAAGACTTGGCATTAGGCAGAGACCGGAATCCAGGCCAGATCTGCGAATTTGGCGGGCCTGTTAACTCGAAGATCTTGGAAACTTGATCCACTTCGTTCTTGCCCTGGAGAAGGGGCTCTTTGGTGAGTAATTCGCCGAAGATACACCCAATACTCCACATGTCTACCTCGGTGCCGTATTTGTCTGCGCCGAGGAGCAATTCCGGAGATCGATACCAGAGTGTCACGACAAGCTGGGTCAATTTTGGTGGGGGATCTCCGTAGTAGCGTGCCATGCCGAAATCGGCAATCTTGATCTCGCCGCGGTTGTTCATGAGGAGATTGGATGTCTTTAGGTCGCGGTGCATGATCCATTGGTCGTGCAGGAACTCGAGTCCACCCACTACCTGGAGGAGGAGGGTTTTGATTTCGGATGGGAGGAATGGTTCGCGCATGTCGTCGAGAAGGGTCTTGAGGTCGTGTTCGAGGAAGTCCATAACTAGGTATACACTAATCGGTGTTAGCTTGTGCGTTCCATCTAGTGCAGGCATCAAAACTCACTCGTCCATCTGATTACCCATAACAACCTCTCGTAGGAAGACTACATTCTGATGTCGCGCTTCAAGCAGTGTCTGAATCTCTCGCAGCCCAGTCACAGGGAACCCGTCCGGCGAGCTCTGGATCTTCAATTTCTTCAACGCGACCACCTCCCCCGTGTTTATATCCTTTGCTCTAGACACCCAGCCATAGGAGCCTTCTTCGATGTGATTCAAGCGCTCGAAATTGTCAACATGTCTGCAAGTCCCCCATTCCCGCACCGGGAACCTCAGCAAGCTCGCCTGCTTCTTCTGAGCTTGCTGCTCGCTCTCTGGAACCTCTGCATCGGCGGGTGTTGCATTGGGATCATTCGATAGCCTCCTTCGCTTGGAAGGCGGTCCTGAGACTCCATTGGGCGATTGGGCAGTGCCATCCGTCTGTGTCGCAGTCCGAACCTTACTGGCTTCCTCCAGCTGGCGCTGCTTCTCAGCCTTGGCGCGTCGTTTCTCCTCCTTTTCGCGTTTCTTCTGCGCGATAATCGCTTCAGTTTCGGGGTCTTCGTCAGCCCATCGCGACTTGGAGGCTGACATTGTCTGTGGGTGGGTTGGAGAGATTTTTGGTTAAAGAGCGGAATGACGTTTCTATGGGGAAGGTTGGACGGGCCGAAGTGCAGCTCCGATTTGAAATCCAAATTGTCCCCGCCTAGTGTTCCTGAATTCCGAACCATTTTTTTGCTTCATACTCTCCCTTTTGTTGTTCCAAGACTATACTTCTCACTGCTAGGCCTAGTATCTTGGCTAAGATTTTCCCTACATCCATTGGTCCTTGCTCTTTGTTGGACATTTATCGCACCGGCATCGGATCTACTTCCCCGCCATGATTGAACCCTTCCAGGTCGGTTTGGTCGGATACTGACTATAGAAGAGGTGCTAACAGTCTTCCTACATAATAGACGACCTTCTCGGTCCCAATGACCTGCGAAAGCTGCGTCAAGGACATCTCCACCTCGCTGTACAAACTCGATGGTACGATCCACCCCTCTTGTTGATGCGCCACTTGCAGTCAAGGACAACACAATCTCACGCTCCCGGTATACTCTAGGCATCCAGAAAGTCGATGCGAACCTCAAGGACCAACTTGTCTTCATTGAAGGAACCGCGCCCCCAAGTTCCATCGTTTCCGTGATCGAGAATACAGGCCGCGATGCGATCCTGCGGGGCAGTGGCACAACAGACAGTATGTACTGGATCGGGCTTGCACCGCTTACAATTCCTTGAAAAGAACATATGCTAACCTGTAAATTCGTAGGTTCGGCCGTCTGCATCCTCGAAACACACTCCAACGCCGTCTCCAATAAGATCCGTGGCCTGGCTCGCATGGTTCAGGTTTCTTCAAACGTAACGTTGGTCGACCTGACTATTAACGGTATTGCGCCCGGCAAGTACTGGGCTACCATCCGGGAAGCCGGTGATATCTCTCAGGGAGCTGCATCCACGGGCGGCATCTGGGACTCTTTGAAGGCGAAGGTGCTCGGCTCAGAGCCGAAGGAGCCTAGGGGTATCTTTGGTTCCGTGGAAGTTGATGCGAAGGGCCGTGGAAGTGTTTTCTTGGATCGACCGGTGGCTATTTGGGAATTGATTGGGCGTAGTATGGTTGTTTCCCCGAGCAAGGAAGGGCCATTCCAAAGGGAGGATGCGAACACATTGGTTGGTGTTATTGCGCGCAGTGCAGGTGTTTGGGATAATGATAAGATGGTTTGTTCGTGCTCTGGAAAGAATGTTTGGCAAGAAAGACAGGAGCAGGTTAGCCAGGGTATGGCCTGAGGGACTTGGGGACCTTGAGGGTTTGTATATCCTGGAAGCTGATTGGGCTGTATGTGGTATCGGTGATGATTTACGAGGTCAATAAGATGCATAGATGTTTCAATACCCCAATATAAAAAAAACTTCATACACAAAATGAATGACAGTTCGTTCAATCCAGACTAATGCGAACCTTGTGTGGGGGCGTTACCATGTAGTAGATTGTCGATTCGAAGTACTGGTTGGGAAACAACACTGGCGATTAGCAGACATGCCTGAGTGGCTTATCACCGCCACACTACTATGATATTGGGATATTGGACTAGACATCTGGAATAAAGACTAACTCCTTTTTGCTTTCCTTTTGTCTCATTCGAGTTGCTCATAGTTTGTCCTACCCACTTTGTTCTTGTTATTTACCGATTTATATTCAAGCCACCCTATATATGGCTAGCGCGGTATTTACCCCTGCTCTCGATAAGATCGAAGCAGAGTAGAAAAAAGACCAATGCTATGAATTCCTATTCCTCGGCTAGACAAATAACGGTTATCGCACGAACAGGTGATCGGCACAGGGAGTCGCCCCACCGAGATCTACTGGCACAAGGGACGTCATTATTTTGCATTCTTTGTGCCAGAAGTTATGCCCAACAGTGCTATATGCAAGCCAATCCTATGGATGGTACTTTTGCATATAAATTCCCCCAAATTGAAACAACGCGAAAAGCAACTCCATCGGAATAAATTACTAGAGAAATTCGTGCATAAATAGAAGCATCCAGACCCGAAGGCAAAAAGTGACTAAGTCAATCACGTGCCATGAAAATGAATGCCCCGTTCCCCGCGACATGACTACATAGTTGATACAGGGCCTTCTCCTAGTGTACAACAATGTTAGCCCCGAATTTCCACGTCAACGCCCCGGTCCCGCCGGACCCCGTAGAGAAGGCCCCAACATACTCCCCAGACGAGGTTCCTTCATGTGGTGGTCACGGAACCCTCGAGATTCTGGAGGTGACTCGCTATCTTGAAAACAATGGCATCGAGTGCTGTATTGTTGGTGTTTCGGCATTGATGTTTTACGGTGCTGGTCGTGTACGAGATGTATGGCCATCAATCTTTCCCTATGACTCCAAGCGTCTGAAAGACCTCGGTATCCAGACCAGGCAGCGGATCTAGTTTGGTATGAACGACAAAGAGTAGCTTAGCTGACTAGTTTTGTATTTTAGGAATGGGAGCTATGTGTCCCCGATGACAAGGTCGGCGAGGCGGTCTCTCTTCTCTCCGCTGATTCGATGGCCCACAAAATTCACGCTGTACCTCCAATTGCTATCCCGCAACCTTCGTCTCTAAGCCACACCTATCACCGATTCAAAGGCAGGGGTATTCATTTTTACTTTATTGTTGTTCCTGCATATCACGCCCACATTACGCCTGGGCCCTTCCGCATACGACGCAGCCTAAATGGTGTACCGTATCCAACATTACCGGTCTTGATGCAAAGCTTCTTGGACATGAACGACGACGTATCTCTGTGCGATTGCATTGACGGATCAAATGTGTCAGAAGAGTGGGGGATTCAGAACCTCAACTTAGACGGGTCAAATGATCTAGAATGGACCCGGAGAATGAACATTGGAGCTGCAGAAGCTGCAAGGGGGAAAGGATGGATGTTTGTGCATTACTTCCCCACATCAACAATAAGCAAACGAGAACAGTGGGAGTCGCGGGTGCGAGGTAAGAAGGGGAGGTTAGGCTGGACCACCCCTGATACAATATTTGAGACGCGGTTTCGTCTCAAAGGATCTCCCGATCCATGGACTCAGAAGCTTATATCAAGTTAGTCTGCAAGGCCCGTGGTAAATAATGAAATAATTATAATTATCATTGATAAATAGTAAATTCGTGGCGCATGAAGGGTTGTCAACATCAAAGCCCAAGGAGAAGCCTCATATTGTCCACTTGTTCTGGAAAGGTCGCATATTTGGCGGCATATTGCATCCAGAAATACTGTCGCTGCTCAACACTAAAGCAATCTCGGAATGCTGGTATTTGAATCGCATATTGGGTGAAAAGAAACTCCAGGTCCACGAAGTCTTTGCTATCTTGTTCGCCGCGCCTGGCGAAGGCGTCTAGTTTTGCATAGATTTGGAAGACCAATCCAAGTACTAAAACGGGAGATCCCAATGGTGTTGGTCTATGAGGATTGATCGGTTCGCGGGAGGATTGAAGATCCTCCGGTGTCCCCAAGTTTCCTGCAGGAATCATCATTTGTCAACCGCCTTTTGTCGATTTACTTCGGGGAACAACCCGGAATGAGCAGCAGGAAGCAGGAAGCAGGTCCACACTCACCACTTATGACGATATCCATACTGACCGCCAAGTCCGGTACGTGGGGGAACTCCCCATCCACACTGCGGCCCGTGTCAATGAATATTTGAACGGAAGTTCGGCCATGAATAGCCGGGAAATGAATTCTAGTAGCGGTCAACAACAGTCCCACCCCATCACGAAGAGACGTGAAAGAGAAATAAAGAGTCAAGGTCCGCTAAGTACCGGGGTTCTGCAGTCAAAATTTGTCTTAAATTGTCCATCGAGGTGGCAACTGTAATATCGATATCTTGGGTGCGGCGACGACCACCCCGCAAATAGACCGCCCATCCTCCGATGAAGGCATAAGTAACTCGACTCGACTCGAAAAGCGCCGCCACGAACCTCGCTGCGAGGCCAAGATGCAGGAGGTCGGCGGTATTGGATGGATAATAGAGCTCCGCGAAGCGGTCCGTGTTATAAATCTCAGCCATCTTGGGCGAACAAGTTAGGGGCTTCAAACGTTCGGAACAAGATCTGCTGGTACCCATGCATCCGGGTTGCCATCATTGTCACGAGGGGAGGGGAAGAGAAAATGGCGAGGTGACCACGCTTTTCGGTGAATTGGCCCCCGGCGAAATTCAAACCCCTGTCCGTTTGAGCGCGATGCTAGTGTTAGTGTGAATTAGTGTCGAAGCATTAAAGGAGAGCCGCGAGCACACGTGACATGAATTAATTACCCGATGAGCTTCCCAGTCTATTTACATCTTCAAGATGATTTATCTTCAGGGGCTATCTAAAGTCTAGCCTTTAAGAGGTCCTTGGTTTATAACTCCTTATCATCTGTAGGTAGGAGGTGGATCATATGATGGCATTGATGGGGGTGGCTTAGAGGTGCTTAATCTATATAGAATGACCATGCAGCTAACCAACATCGTAGCCGATGGCAGCCTCCAGGGCTCGGATGCCCTGCCTCTCAGATGACATGGAGAATGAATTACCCAAGTCGAGGTACATATATATCATTAGCCGCGCGGGCAAGCAATCTATCCGGTTGACCCACCGGATAGACTCCCGAGGTCAAACTATCTTATATGCAAACTCCAGGATGTTGCATATCTTATATGCAAAGGTTCTCTCGATTGATCCAGATAATTTCTTGTCATTAAACCGGTGAACAGTCAGCCCTATGGCCACGGTGTAGGTATATTGCCTCGAGAGATGGACCCAAAAGCTGACATGGATAAATATGGGAGGACTAATCAGTGAACTCTTGACCAAACTCTCTATGCGACCGTACACTAAATGATCAATTAATCCAATCATTCGTATCAGTAACAATAAAGTAGACAAGGAATAACAAGCCTGCACATCTCCGGGGAAAAAAGCTCGACCAATCGCACCCAGTGACGTTGTTGACGGGCTCCACTTCTCTACATCTCCAACTTGCACCTTGTGTACACCTTCCACTTTCCCCAACCTCAACACCCTCCCCACCACGCAATGACCGACTTAACACCCACACTCAGCCAGCTGGTATCATCCAAGCATGGCCCAATAATCCCCTCCCAAAAAGCCCTTCGCCCGTCCACCGAAACAGCCGACGAATTCCTCAAGGAGGCATATCGCATCGTCAGCCACCCCTCCATCGCATCCACCCAAATCACCAAAGCTAACCAAGACAATCATAACAGAATTCACACATTCAATCCCTCCTCCAATACCTGCAATCAATTCGCCACGCCTACCTAACCACAACAGCCCCACAACGTCGCAACCAAAACACCAGCACCCGCCAACCACACTCACCACCCCCAACATCCCAGCACCTCACAGAACCAGAGCGCGACGCAGTCGACTCCTCGACCGCTCTCCTCCTCCGCGACCTCGCAGCCTCAATCTCAAATCTCGCATCCGCCGAAACCCTCCGCCAAGACACTGAAGCTACCATCCTCCGCAAACGATACGGCCACAGCGCCGCAGGCGCTCTCCTCTTCCGCTGGGCAGGCGGCGGTGGCCCAGGCGATGATGAAGATGCGCAAGGGAAATCCGCAGAGCAGGTACATGCCGAGGAGAGCGCAAGGGCTCTTCGCACAGTGCGCGAGAGCGTGCTTTGGCTTTTGAGGCGCGGATTGGAGGGCGCAGCGAGTGTGCAGCGGGGGATGGTAGAGAAGAGAATCGAACGTGTGCGCGAGAAGGAGAAGAGTGTTTTATATAAGGCTGCAGGTAAGGCTGCAGCGAAGTCTGGGTCTGGAACCTCTGCGCAAGGTGGTCTGTCAGAGCGACAAAATTATAATGAGAAGTCTCCTGCGTCTCTGCCGACTCCCGATGCGGTGCATCTGAGCGAGGCCGATACAGCGCGGATCGAGGCACAGCTTTCCCCGGAGCAGTTGCAGCTCTTTGCGGAAGAAAATGATACTATGCTGCGCCATTATGAGGATACGTTGAGCAAGGTCCAGTACGTTTCGTCTTATCTTTACTGGGTGTGTTCCATGGCTAATAGTGCTTTAAGAAATGCCGAGAAGTCTCTTATTGAGATCTCATCTCTGCAGAGTACGCTCGTCTCCCATCTTTCTACTCAGGAGGAGTATATCTCGCAATTGGTCAGCGATGCTGATACGACTAACACAAATGTTGGACGCGGAAACAAGGAGCTTAAACGTGCGAACGAGCGCCGGAGTACGGCGCAGGCCGTGTTTTGGGGAACCGTGGGCTTGTGTACTTGGCTTGTTGTGTGGGATTTGGTCTTTTAATGGTACAGTACACCTTCGACATTTTGTCAGGAGTATTTAAGTGTATCGAATGAGATGCTTAAGCTTTTCTATACCATTGAGCCTAATATACCGAGGTATAAATCCGGGCTTGCATAATACCCGTACATTCACTCCATGTCCTACTGTTGAAATATATATCGCATTGGAATAGGCAAATAGTACCCACATAGGTAAGATGCTGGGACCATAGATTTCTAAGAACTCTTATCACCTGAGAACTATCTTAACTCGTTCCAAACCTAGATCTACAACCTTAGAAGTGATAGTCGGACCCACTAGTCCAACTGCATACAAAGAGAGCGAATTATGAGCAGGATAGCCAGCTTAGGGCCGAGATGTCATATAAAGACCATGTCAAGCATGGGTTAAGGGTAATAAGTAAAATTAAAAACGCCAATCCGACTTGGTCTATCCCAAGTGCTAAGATGTTCCGTCATAAAACATCTACAAAGACTCACGCACAACACTATCGACAGCTTCAGCGAAGTAGTCAATATTATTTGTGTTCAGACCAGCCATAGAAATACGACCATTCTTAGTCTGAGAAACAGTTAGCCAAGCTCATATTATCAGGATGGGGGGATCAAAACTCACCATATAAACATGCCACTTAGACCGCAAAGTCTTAACCTGCTCCTCACTTAATCCAGTGAACGAGAACATACCAATCTGAGAGGTAATATGATCCCAGTTACCAGGCGTCCCCTTCTTCTCAAGACGCTCCCGCAGACCGGCACGCATCTCGAGAATACGTCCACTCATAGTCCTCAAATCATCCTCCCACTCCTTGAACAGCACAGGATCATTCAAGATGCGACTCGCAATCCGCGCTCCATAAGCAGGGGGATTCGAGATCTCCGACCGCTGCAGGATAGCAAGCTGACTGGCGACATGCGCATTAGCAGTCGAAGCATCCGCACCCGGCGCCGAAACGAAATGGAACGCGCCCGTGCGCTCGCCGTAAAGACCAAAGTTCTTAGCGAACGACTGCGCAACGCAGAGCTCGAAACCTTGCTCGATGAAGTAGCGGATTGACCATGCGTCCCGGTTGAGATCACCAGATGCGAAGCCCTGGTATGCTGTGTCGAAGAAGGGGAAGTGAGAGCGCTCGCGCATGGCAGCGGCGATTTCGCGCCATTGGTCCTGTGTGGGGTCAACACCAGTGGGGTTGTGAGCACAGGCGTGCAGGAGGATGACGGAGCCGTTGGGGGCGTTCTTGATCGATTGCATCATGCCATCGAAATCGAGGCCCTTAGTCTTGGTGGAGAAGTAGGGGTATGTGGCAAGGTTGAGGCCGACATTGGTGAAGATCTGGTGGTGGTTTGCCCATGTTGGGTTTGAGAGGTAGATTGTTGGCTTTTGGGGGTGGAATTTGGCAAGGAAAAGGCCGCCCAGGTGGACAGCGCCGGTTCCCGAGATAGTTTGGAGGGTGCAAATCTGAATCAAGGGGTGAGATTAGCTTGTGTTTAAGGTGTGTATGTGGTTTGTTCGGGTGGGCATACCCGTTTTTCTTTGATGGCGGGGCTGTCCGCGCCCACGATGAGCTTCTGAGCTGCTGCTGTGAGATCGGGCAGACCGCCGATGGAGAGATATTCGTGGTTGACAGTGGGATCGTTGTGGATGGCGTCATCAGCCTGAACGGGTGGGTTATTAGCAAAATAAACAAGGCACAGGGCGTCCAACAAAGAAAACACCCGATAAGATAGGATTGAAGCTCACCTTCTTGACAACGGGCAAGATCCAGGGCTTCGCATTGTTGTCGCGGTAGGCGCCAATGCCCAGATCAACTTTCTTGTCAGAGGGATCCTCCCGATAGGCCTTCATCAGGCCAAAGAGAGGATCTTCGGGGGCGGCAGCCACCGTGGAGGTGGTGAATACTGAGGGGTTGGAGGGACCCATGATGTGTGAGGAGATTGAAGAGAGACGATCGCGAGCCGTTGAGGAAGGGGAAGCAGAAGAATTTGAATGTAAATTTGCCATATTGTCTGACACAAAATAGATTACGCGACAAACGTTTTCCCCGGAATTGTCACCGAAACCTTGCTGCTTGCGTTCACCGGATGAGGAGGAATGAGGGGGTGGAGTAGAACGGTTAAATCAGGTTGCGGCGATTGTCAGCGTATACAATATACTTGAAAAAAAGCAAGGTATTAAAAGAGGTATTTTGTCGCAGCATGACCTATATATACACGAAGCTATCGCCGAGGGAGTCCACTTGGAACCGAGGAAGTTCCGTATCTTCTTCGCCGTCATGGATAGTGGAGGTCACATGCGAAACATGTGTAAACAGGCATTGCTCTACTATGACTATGACCTCAATAGCTAATGATCAGATCAAATGACCATTGATAGTTGTAGGATGTACCAGGTACTTATTCAAGTACCAAGAGATATATATATGTATTCTGCAACTGATGATCTGTATGAAATTTTGAATACAAAATACTGCATCGAATACAATTACCCGATGGCCTGATCTGTGAGCTCCGACAGGCTCGTCCCGCCGCCGCCGCAAACCGTGTGTCATCCAACGCCGAGCAAAAAAAAAAAAAAGACGCAGTGGATCCTTTCTAGAACCCAATGGCCTGATACATAATTCTGTGTTTTAGCTCGGTTTACAATTATCCGTCTCCAAGGTCGCGTGCGGAGTGATATTTGCCCCTTACATATCAGACCTCAACATCTCCAGCGGTCTGGATCATAATACATAGATAGCCCCTAGCAGCACGCAGCATTTGAGATTGCATTTTGAATCCAAGATATAGTTTATCCCTAGATCCATGCAGATATCTAGAAGTTCCTATCACCCGGGCTCAACTCCTTATCTTCAGGCTCATTCGGGTCGTTAATCGTTTATCCCCTCACCGGATGAGCGATAAGTACCATACATTATCTTCACAGTGTAGTATTAGCCAAGCCCTCAGGCTGCAAGCTATTCCGTACAATCTCCCAGTTCCGAGCAAAAAAAACGGAACAAAATAACACTCCAACAAAAAAAACTCCGTCTCGAGGCCATGAGGAGAAATTAGAAATGAGGACGATCCCGGACTCCGCACAAAGCGGACTTGCTCCGATCTCAGCCGTTCCCCGGAGAACTTGGGGAAAGTCGGGAGAGTTCAGGAAATGATTTCCATGACATCAGGCACATTTGGATCAACTCAACATCATTATCCCACCTAGGTAAATAGTCCCTTATGCATCCAGCGGGACAGGGATCTCTGTCCCAGGGTTCTTGGCTGCACATGATTGCACTCATCTACCCGTGGACTTCGTACGAGATATATGTTTTGCATCGCCCCGGGGCTGAGGGAGCCACCCACGTAGGGCAGAAACGACGGAGATTTCAGGAGGGCTTGGATCCCCATTTTTTTCCGTTTTCTTGCACCTTTTCTTTTCCCCCACACTGACTCCACTGTCCGTTTTGCTGGTTCTTATCCCCCCGCTGCCAAGCCGCGGAGATCCCCTTTGCCGATGGGGTTGGTTGGGGTCGCGGGAATACCTGCCTTATATGTCTCTGTTTAGTATCATGACGTAAAGCGGCTCAGAAGGGTTGAGTATGTATACTTGAATTCCTATTTGCTGTGGGATTTATATCTCCCTATGGCCTAATGTACGGGAAGTATATGCAACAATGATCAAGAGAAATCAACAGAAATGAAAAAGATGAAAACAAGAAAAAAATAAAAAAGCATCACCTTTTCCTCCCATATCTCAAACGCCTGTACCCGAATAATTTGTCCAATCAAAATCCCATCTCTTGTTCCTATACCTCGTAACGCCGTAATCAGCTAACTTTGTGCAAATCAATATGTAAAGCTGAGAAAAAAAAAAGGTTCATCGAATCGTGTAATCAGGGGGGGACATGTGTCAGTTTCATCTGCTGGAGTTGATGGGCAATCCTGCAGTTTCATTGGTTTGTGGCTCGGTTTCGGTCTCGGTCTCGGCAATGTGCGCAGGGGCCGGGACAGTGGGAGTTGTCACTGTCGGCGTAGTTGCGCCACTTTCACCGGGACTGAGACTCTCGACGCCATGGGTGCGTGAGCGAATGCGGAATCGCTCGCGAAGTCGGGTGCTGAGACGCTGGCGGCTGGCGGCAGGAATAGCGTCAGCAGCGTTGCCCTGGTTGGCAGCACGAACATGGCGGAGGGCAGCGAGGCGCTCCTCCACAGTGGCATTGTGCATACGACGGGCATTCAAGTAGTTCGTGAGACGATGGTGAGAATGTCGGTGGGTTGTTGCGTCGGTAGAAGTTCCAGCCTCCTCGGTCGGGGTTTCCTCCGTGTGCTCGGCACCCTCGCCTTGCTCGGCATTTTCTTCCGTCTTGGGCGGGTTCAGGTCGATACGACTGACAGAAAGTTAGTATATGGCTACAAAATATAGATCAAGAGAGAACATACCATAGAGGACAGGTGCCGGACACGTTTACCAACCAGGGGTCAATGCACTCCAGGTGGAACTGGTGTTGACAGGGCAGTACCCGCAGATCCTGGCCCTTAACAAAGTCATCTGTACAGATGGGACAGGAGAAATTGCCAGCATCCGGTGTAGCATCGGTCTTATTTTCGGGTGCAGCAGCGATGGGGTGATCGGATTCCTGTTCAGGAAGGTCATTTTCACGCGGAGTGGTTTCCTCAACATCGGCAATACTCTCAGAACGAGGAGAGTGTTCATGGCCAGGTTCATGGCCAGATTCATGGTTGACCATCTCAAGGTCTCGCTTGGCGGCATCGACACCATCTCCGGGAGACTCATCCCCAAATTTGACAATGGGGATGGTTTCGAGCATGGCCCGGGCGATACCTCTGGCCCTACTCTGCCTGATACGGCCTGCTACACGACGAGGTCCATATCTCTCCGGATGACGATGGGCGCGGACAGCACCTGTGATGATAATGCCCAAGAAGAGGGCAGTAATGATACCGGTAATACTGTACAAGATGATCATCGCTGCAAATCCAAGTCAGTATAGATGTACATGTATATATTAAAAGAATAAATCGAACACGAACCAGTATTAGGACTATCTCCACCAGTGCCAGTACCTGTACCGGTACCGGTATCAACACCGGTCACTGGGGCCGACATACTGCCGATTGCTGCGAGGGTATTGTTTGAACCAAAGGCGGCTTGTAGAAGGGTGGAAGACCGCGAATTGATAACGGTGAAGATATTGCGATAGCTTTCCGCAATATCATCCGTGGTCAGATTGCAGTGCGAAGCTGAACTACTGTACAGGATAATTGCCCCTGGTAAGGTCGATTGGCTGTCAACAGTGTCGATGGTGCGATCCGCTTTGAACGGCCCGGGGTAATCGGAAGAATCACACGGGATACAAGCGATTGAGGAGGAATTCAGGCCAACCGAGTCTTCCGCGACTACTTTTGTGACGTTGCCAGAGATATGAAAGGCCTAAAAATCGAAACTTAGCCACATGCGCCCCGTCGGAAATTGGGGGCTAGGATGGGGGGGGCGGGGGGTACCTCTTTCTCACTATCCGTTAGGCGGACGAGGGACTGGGTCAGCGGGGCGAGGGTCAATCCGTTCAGAGAACCCGAAGCCTGGAGACGAAAGCGAACGGACGAAGACCAGGACAAGTCCTGGGAATTGCTAGAAGGGAGGACAGTCACGGTCGCCAGCACCGAAACAAAGAAATAAGAGAGGAAGAAGGGACGCATAGCCGCTGATGTACGGGACTCAGCGGAAGCGTGGGGTTAACGCAGCATTAGTCAGGGCCACAAAAAGTGGGAGTTGAACAGGAAGTTTGGGGGGAGTGGAGTTGCATATGAACGAACAATAAAACAGGAAATTAAAAAAGAGGGGAGAGCTAGGGCCGATCATAGTATGGATCCCCCGTGGAGAAAGTAGATCCATGATCATGACGATAAGCCCGGATGGTGGAAGTTCGGGGGTTCCATGGTCCTCACTGCATGAGCTTGATATCATACATGATTCATTGGTTCGTATCTACGTAGTCTCACTTGGTCATCTGTTATGGATTATCAATAAGATTTCAATCTCCAGGGCTGTGTTAAATGATTACGGATTACGGAGTCCGTATCCATAAATCCCTGGGGACTGTTATCTGTAGCGTGGGGATCCACACTATTGACTCGTTCTCGCTTCACCACGCACAGAGAAAATCAGATATCATTTAAAAAGATTGATCATATGTGCTTACTCTCTCCGGCTAACCGGACACTTCCTACCCTGAAGACCGAATGATCTACGGAAGAAAATAAAGGGCGGGTCTTTCCTAATAGAGGCAAACCTTCGTAGCTTTCGCTTCTCTTTCCTTTTTCTCTTTCGCTTTTTCCTTTTCCCTTTCCCCGCAGAGAAAGATGACCAAGGATCAACATTGCGCACGGAACAACAAAAGCTGGATTACATGATATGAATCGCCAACTGGACGACTGCCCGAACCTTAAAAAACCCGTTATGATCTGGTATGTTGTCTGGGCCTAGATGGTATTTTGTTTTTTTTTTTTTTGAATCTCATCTCCCCCTCTATAATGCGAATGATCATGTTGTACACGGGACATATTCTCACAAGCCCCCGGATATTCGTTTGTGATTTGCGGAGAAGGTAGAGTGGAGAGAGGCCGAGGCTCTCATGGACCGACGTACGAGCGCAAAAGACGAGAGAAAAGAGGAAAAAGGAAAAAAGATAAAAACAGAAAAAAAACTACGAATATAAATAAGCAAAGCAAATGACGAAAGGTCATATTAATAGTCCAATTCCCTGTAAATTTTGCATTTTTAGCTTTTTCCCTGAGAAGAGCGGCTGCACCCGCTCCTCCGCGTTGTTCTGCAATCCCTTCCTTTTCCCCTTCCCCTCTCCTTCGATCGGCAGATCCACTGATGACAACTTGATCATTATCACTTTCAATCCGGGAGGGTGTGATGCGTCGCACCATGCCTGCCCAGGACGATGATCCATCGGCTTGGGAATTTCGCTTCGACCGAAAACCCGTTTCCTCGTACGTTCAAGGATGAAAAAAAAAAAAAAAAACCACCCCCTCACACTCTTCACAGAAACTCCGTGATCGCAAACCTCGATATTGAATACAGTGAATTGGCTCAGTCATGGAAGGCCTTTATTCGCCATGTACCGGCCGAGAATCGTGTGGTATGGGAGGAACGGCCTCAGACAGCTACCGACGTTCAGGCCTTGGTGCGCGACCTACATACCCTTTGGATGTCCCGGCCCCGCCAGCGGGTTGCCGGCCTCTGTGACCGATTCATCCCTACCGTCGAGTCTCATTCTCAAATCCTCGCCGTCCTACCCGATGGTAATTTGTATTATACCCCGCTACTCTATGGGGTGCTGCAGTCAGTGATCAAGGTGAGTTGCACCCAGGCCGAGGCCATCCCCAACCCCTAACTACGGTCCACTAACCCCCTCTTGTTTTCATCCTAGGCATCGTCAAATTACCATCGGATCCTCGAAGGACTTCTCACCGCGTTAAATAATATTACTAGTGCCATCAACCCCCCTGCGGATCTCAATGCGTCCCACCGGGAGGCCGTGGCCGAAATCTACACCCTGATCTTTTTGTTCCTGAATGAATTCATGGATTGGTATGTGCGACGATCCACGTGCCACCTATTGAGGAGCCACAGTCAGGATGTCTATTCCCACTTTCACCCCCTGGTTCTATGCATTCAACGTCAGGCCCGGCTTCTCTCCGGGTCCTCGGATGCGATGGATGTCGATGATGGCTGGGACTCCGCATATAGCCCTCGCGCCCTATGGGAAGAGTCGCAGCTCAGCCAGGTGGGACGGGAAGGAAAGCGCCGCCGACACGCAGCACAAAATACCATGACCCGACGCCTGATTTGGGATATCCAACAAGATGCAGAGAAACGTGATCAGTTGAGGGAGACACGAGACCAGCTGTTAAGGCAGATGCTACAGAATACGACGGAGCAACTTATTCCTGCGAAAGAGCAGAGCAAGCGTATTGTGTGTTTGACTACTGCCGCACCGGACCTTGGTAGGAGACACTCCCTTCGGCTGCCTAAGCATGTTGACTAACTTTTATGTCAGTTACACCTCTTGTCGAATGGTCACGGGGATCCAAGCGTCGTCTAGCTCGTCTTGAGCTTCAAAGTGAATCCAAGCACCTCCAGCCCTTCTTTGATTGCGAGGATCAGATTCCGCATTTTGATCCGGACGCCAAGGTTGTGACGGAAGCCAATGTGATCACGTCTCTCAGGAAATGGGTCACTAGTCCCCGCTCCCAGGCCCTGGCCGTCGCCGGATCCCAATCTGGCGAATCGCTGAGTCCTGTGTCCCTCATCGCCGCATCATACGCCTTTTTCGCTCGCGACGCCGACCTTCCGACCCTCTGTCACTTCTGCACGCTTCCTTCTAAAGAGGTTTCGGGACAGACTCCTCATCAACAGGGGCTGATTGCTCTGACCTATAGTCTGATCCGACAGATGATTGATAATTTACCGACGGTTGTTGACAGTGACTCATTACTTGATCTCACTGCAGAGCGGTTTCGTCCCATTGACGGCACTTTGGGCAGTTGGACAGCGGCCTTATCGCTGGTGGACACTCTTCTTCATTTTGCACCACCGTTATTGGTCCTCATTATTGATGGCATCGATACTATCCACGATGATTCGACGGATGATGCTTTGCGAGAATTGATTCGCGTGCTACTCACGCACACCCGTCATCAGCCGCCTAGCGGAGACAGTCCTGGCCCTACGTTCTTGTTCAAGGTTCTCTTTACCGTCGCTGGTCGTCCAAGTGCATTGGTCGAGACCATGTCCGAAAACGAACTAGTTGTGAGCGAACCTACCCTGGCTGACGAGCCGTCGGCATCAGAAACTGTTCTGACCTCTGACCTTGGTGCAGTCATGATGAATGCATAATTCGGCGTCGCACAACTCCCACCTTTCACGAATCTCCTTTACTCAGTTTGATTTTGCTCAGTCTCCCACGGAGACATAAAGACCCTTCGCTTCATAGATCTGCACATTGGGGTTGATTTGGGTCCCAGGTTCATAACGATTGCATGAGGCACGAAGCGACGGTGACGACTTCGGCAAATTCTTGGTTTTCTTGCTATTTATATGGGAATATCCCTTTTGGTTTTGGTGATACCTTTTGATCTTCGTTCTCCATTCAACCCCAGTTACTTGGCGCCTGGAATAATTTGGCCTTGGATATAGGGACCCCCATTTGGTCCCTCTGCACTTGCTTCACCCATGGTAGACTCTGTACTTTACTACTTGGTTGTGATACCCATGTCTAGAACTACATTACTTGTTATGATCGGAAACCATAATTCGAAGCCCAAAGACTTTCCAAGTGGACCAGCCCAAGCATTTGACGTCAAGATGCGGGTCTAAGTGGATGAAATGCGGGGGATCACATGGAATATGTATTCCGGCATTTCATTTCTTGAATGCACCGCAAACACACAGGATTGAGCACACACATACAAGATGAATGGACACACATCGATTCCATCCCGGCAATTCCAGCCCGCTTCTCTCCAGTTGAATGATTTGAAGCAGATATGTTCGCGCACAGTCGATACCTCCACCTACCCGTTGGCCTGTGCGGTGGAGCGTAATATACCAATCTACGATCTTGGAGCTCTAGAAACTGGCGCGATTATTTCGCAGCTGCAGGATGAATGGCATCACGTCCTGCATACTGGCCCAGGTGTCTTCGTCCTACGAGACATGTACAACCCCGCCCGGTACAGCCATGTCCTCTCCGCCACGAATGGGGCTTTCGACCGAATTATCGCCAGGGAACGCGAATCCAACACATCCACAAGGTGACCGATTCGCTACTGGTGGCAGCAACGACCGAATTTAGAATTCCTTCAACAAACATGGCGCCGAAGACCCCGCGTCATTCGTCGACTACTACGCCAATCTCTGGTTAGCCGCCGTCTGCACTGCATGGCTCGGCCCGGGCTATAAAGTCACGGCGCAGGTCAACGCAGTCCACCCTGGCGGCGCCGCCCAGGGGGCCCATCGTGACTTCCACCTGGGATTCCAGGAGGCGGATGCGTGCGCACGTTTCCCAGCGCCGACGCAGCTGGCGACGCAATTCCTCACGCTGCAGGGAGCCGTTGCACATACGGACATGCCCGTCGAGAACGGTCCGACGCGCCAGGGTATCTAGCCTGGCGTCGCCCAGAATTTCGCGCCTTCTTCCAGGAGAACTATGTCGCGTTGCCATTGACTCTTAGAGACGGTGTCTTCTTTAACCCTGCGCTCTTCCATGCGGCTGGGGCAAATGTTATGGATCCGAATAATGGTGGGTTCCGTCGCGTCGCGAACCTGTTGCAAGTGAGTAGTCCGTTTGGGAAACCGATGGAGACTGTTGACTCGCTACCACTGGTGGAGAATACTTGGGAGTTGCTGGTCCAGCGGTATCAGACTGCTGGGAAACATATTGCTGATCCAGACCTTGATCCCCAGCGGTCGTCCCTGGAAGCTCGCGAGATCAGGGCGTTCATCCAGGCTGTCGCGGAGGGATACCCCTTTCCTACCAATCTCGATCGTCGACCACCTGCCCCTAGTGGCATGGCACCGGAGAGTGAGCAGGCTATTGTGCTGCGTGGATTGGAAGCAGGATGGAGTCGCAAAGAAGTGGTTGCTGCACTGGAGAAGCTTCGACACGACGAGCGAGCATGACTGTAGGCTCTTAGAGAATTTTTTTCTGACAGATAGAAAGCTTGCAAATACCACGTACCTGATGCCCCCACTCCACCTGAAACGTCATATTAGGTTCAGCCAGACGTAAAACATACACATCCAAATGTATATTTATACCCATCACATGCCCTAATCTTGCGTCAGGGTTGCTGGACCCTCGGATCGGGCTTGAGATCCACGATTAACATTGGTCAAAAGCAGATAAGGCGAAGTGGGGCCGAGTGGGACCTGCGTCCATGGCTTGTTAGAGAACGGATTGTGTGGTGGCAATTGAGGGGAACAGGGGTACGTGTACTCACCCACTATGATCGCTAGGCTTTTATGTACAACATTCAAGCGATTGAATCGTGTGTGAAGCATTGCATTAATCTATCTGATCGGACATATATTTAGACTGGAAAATCCAATGCCATCTGGAATGCGGCTTATTGCCACTGTGGATCATTTTATCTGCGAGGAATGGCTGTCTCACATTTTTGTGGCTTTCAGCCAACAACACTGTGAAACAGGAACGGGGTCGCGTTTTTCTTTCAACCACAACTTTATTGTAATTGTAATTTGTTCACTTTCACGTCAATTCCCTGTCGTTTTGTGCTCGAACCAGTCATTCCTTGAATCAATCAGGCTCAAGCTTGATCCAACTCCCCCGGCTGTGCCGATCTCAGCTCCACAGACAAACCTGGACCAGCAACAAAGGTGTCCTTGACAGGCAGATCAGCCCTGGAAATCCCCGTTCATTGATCGGAAGCGAAGCCCCAAGCCAAGCAAAGTCGTCCCAAGCCGCGCAAGAGGTCTAACCTCCAATTTTACTGGGTCCTGCAGCCCGTGAGGGGGGAGAAAAAAACAGCCTATGGATTTTTTTTCCCACTAAAATCTCCACTGAAATCCGCAATTGAACCAACCAGGTTGAGAAATCGATCGTCGCCCCAGAGGACTTTAACTCCATTTTAAAGAACCGTTCCCTTCCTTTCTTTTCTCCTTTCTCGCGATGAGGAGCAAGCTGGGAATCTCTCCCAAGCATTCTGGTTTACATCGGTTTGAACAGATCCCCGATCAGCCTTACGACGGGATGCACAACCCCAACGACGTCACTATTGATATTCCCCTCACGGAAGCCCCTAGCCAGAATGGTACTGGGCATTGGGGCTCCGGGTCTGGCTCGACAAAGGGACTTGTCACGGAGCCTTTAGAGGGTGAGAAGCAGGGGATTATCGCGCCTGGTCGTCGCCGTCGCATTGATTCTGATATGCATGATCTGCGTGGTAAAGCGTCCGAGACCTCCGATGATGGTACCATTAATGTCGTTGGCCGGATCTACCTGGCTATCTACAATTTCTCGATTGTCACTCGTTACATGATCTATGTCATTCCTATTGGTCTTTTGATTGCTATTCCGATCATTGTCGGAGCTACTGCGGCTCCTAATGCGAAAATCGCAGGCGTTCATATGTATTGGTTCTTTACCTGGATTGAGGTGGTTTGGGTCAGTCTGTGGGGGTGCAAGGTCATGGCAAAATTCATTCCATGGGTTTTCCAGTTGTTGTGTGGTATCGTCAGCTCGGGTACTCGCAAGTATGCACTTATCTTGAGGGCCCTTGAAACTCCCCTTACGCTTGTATTGTGGTGTGTAGTCTCGCTGTGCACTTTCCTTCCGGTATGTGTTCTACACCCTAAGCCCGCATAATGATACTAATTTGACTTGTAGATTATGACTGAAAACCCCAGCAAGAAAAGTTCTGGGGATACTGACGAGAAGTCCTGGGAAAAGAGCGTCAAGAACGTCCTGCTCGGCTTTTTAGTCTGCAGCCTTATTTACTTAGGTCAGAAGGCCATTGTTCAGCTCATTTCGATCAGCTATCACCGCAAGCAATTCGACACCAAGATCAAGGAGGCTAAGCGCAATGTTTACCTTGTCAGTCTACTGTTCGAAGCCTCCCGCAACATGTTTCCCATGTACTGTGCGGAATTCAACGAGGATGACTCGACCATTATGGACCCCATCTTGAGTCAGGCTGTTAAGAAGACTAAGCGGTCCTCGATCATGCCCCTGCGTATGGTCCAGGACGTCGGTCGCACCGTTGGTCAGCAGGCTGGCCGTCTCGGTGACAAAGTGCAGGCTGCGGTGGGCAATGTCGCGTCTGAATTGACTGGAAAGCAAATGTTCAACAACAACACCACTCACGCGGTGGTGGTCTCCGCACTGGAGCGTAAGCGCTGTGCTGCGGCCTTGGCCCGCCGTGTTTGGATGTCCTTTGTTGTCGAAGGCCGTGATTCTTTGTACATTGATGACATTGTTGAGGTTCTGGGACCTGGTCACGAAGCCGAAGCTGACGAGTGCTTCGCCATGTTGGACAAGGATGGCAATGGAGATATCTCTCTCGATGAGATGATTCTTACTGTTACGGAGCTGGGACGCACGCGTAAGGCCCTGAACCACAGTATGCACGATGTCGACCAGGCTATCGGTGTACTGGATGGATTGTTGTTCACTGTCGCTGCCGTGGTCGGCGTTCTGGTATTCATCTCTTTCGTCACCACTGGCTTTGGTACCGTCATTGCGGCTGGAGCTACCTCTCTACTCTCTCTGAGTTTCGTATTCTCGACCACCTGTCAGGAAGTCTTGGGTTCTTGTATTTTCTTATTCGTCAAGCACCCCTTCGATATCGGTGACCGTGTCGATGTCAGCGACAAAGACTACATCGTGGAACGCATTTCTCTCTTATTCACCGTCTTCCGTTCTATCAACGACCACCGCTTGACTCAGGTCCCCAACAATATCCTGAACAGTTTGTGGGTTGACAACCTTACCCGTGCCAATGCCATGCATGAAAGACTTACTGTCCCTGTCGCTTTCGACACCACCTTTGCCGAGGTTGATGCCCTGCGTGCGGAGATGGAGCTTTTCGTCCGTGATAAAGAAAACTCTCGTGACTTCCAGCCTGAATTCCTCGTTGAGGTGATTGGCGTCGGCGACCTCGACAAGCTTCAGTTGCAAGTTGACATCCGCCACAAGTCCAACTGGGCAATCGAATCCGTTCGTTCTGCGCGCCGCTCCAAGTTCATGTGTGCCCTCGTTTTGGCCATGCGCAAGCTCAAAATTCGTGCCCCTGGTGTCGATCGTCCTGAGGAAGAGTCCAAGGACGGCAATGACGGTGATGACAAGGGAGAAACCGCCGATGACGCCCTCAAGACGACACTGATCCAACCTGCCGCTGCCGCCGCAGTCGCAGACGACGCCTCCCTGGCCGCCGACACCGCGCAAGCCACAGGTGTCGACCGGAAGCGCTCATCTGGCACACTCACCCAACGCGGCTCCACCAACCCAGCCAATGAAGCCGCCATCGCCGCAGCCCTTAACACTCGCTCGTCCCACCACGACCTGGACCCAGAGGACAACAACGCCCTCCACCGCACAGTCACCAACGCCTCAACGCAAGGCGCCCGCCAATTAAGTGTAAACAATGGCGCAACCGGATCAATCGGCCGTGAGCCCTCCACCGGCCACCGCAAGGCTGGCCTCCGCGCCTCCTATAACGAGCAGATCCCAATGCCGCCCCCACTCTCCCCAGTGCCTGCCGGTCTTACCCCGTCAGCGAGCACTGTCCCTATCCTCCAAACTCCTGCTCCCCCAGGCTCCCGCGGCAGTGCTCGCTACGAGCCTCCCTCTCATATGTCGCACTCAGACCAAACTCGACCCACAATCCTTCCCATCATCGGGTCCCCTGAGTCTGGAACCTACAACACATCCTACTACAACTCCCGTTCAGATAACAACAACCAGTACGAGTCTGTCGAGCTGGGCGGCTTTAATGGTGAACAAAACAGACCGCACGAGTATCCCTCTGCTGATGGCCAGAGCCGCTATGACGAACGGTATGACCCCGTCTCTCCGCCTTCTATCTACTCACCTCCGCAGCAGAATGCTGATGCGGAGAGCAGTGGGCGTCGGCCTTCTTTCATGTCGCGTATGAAGCATGAGAAGTCGAACCAGTATGACGGGCATGATGCTTAGTCTTCTGTTTCATTCAAACTTGCATATCTCATTTCATTTCTCTCTTTCTTTTTCTTTTTCTTTTTTCTTTTTCTTTTTCTTTTTCTTTTTTTTATTACTTTTTCTTTGGGAAAAAAAGGTGTTCATATAGAATGTTTTCGATCACGAAAACATTTCTTCATTTTTTTTCTAGTGTATGATACTGGAGCCAGTTCAAATTTCTCAGATTAGATGCATCAATGATTGCGAATGGATGTCCTACGGGACTCTCGGATTTACCACCTTTTTACTAGTATCTACAGTATCTTTCTCACTGGATGTCAATAGACCACTGTACAGCACGTAAACAGACATTTGCAGTGACATATTTGAACTGCAAGATCTTTGGGCATTTAGCGGTCATGAGTAGAGGCAGATATATTCGAGCTCTATCTGCTAGAGTACAATCACAATATAATACAAAGGTATGCTTCCAAAATCCAGGATCAGCACGCGGTCTAGCGAAACAACAGCCCGGTAAACGGATCCAGTGAAGCCCTACTGAACTTCAACTGCAGATTTATTTACTCTCCTTCCACGGATACCCGACAGGATCATCCTTCCGAATCCAGATCTTCGACTTCTTCTTACTAATAACATGTTCCACAAACACCTCCCTCGTATACTGGGCCTTATACTTCCGAATCCACCTAGGATCCCAAAGTTCGCTCGCAATACCGAGATCCTTGCAGCAGCGCACTAGCGCGTTAGACCGACATCCCTCTGTCGCGGTAGGGATTCCATCGGGCGAGAAGTAATCTTGTTCGCCACGGGCAACGGAGACGAGTCTACATAGAAAAAAAAGTATATTAGCCACTATTCCCAGAACCTAGGCACCCATAACAGAAGAAGGGGGAACCAACCGTCCATGACAAACAAGCGCATACTCCCTTGTGACAGTCTTAGGCGTAACAATACTCTCACTCCGGGGAACAAGACCCCAAGCTCCAGGGCCGAACGCCTGATTTAGTACACGTCTGTACTTAATCTCGGGTAGGTAGACAATTCCATCAGGCTTGATCTCAATTTCTTTAGGATCGATCTCCGCAAGCAAGATCTTAGCCGCCTTCTCTGGGAATGGCTCGGCAGAGAGACCGTGGAACGAGCGCGTCCAGTCAATTTTCTCCTCCGCGGCGCTGATTACGTCAAGCGGCTTGTCAGATAGCCCGCTTTTGGAGATGTTATCTGTTGTTTGGCGGTTCGGGGTGGAAGTGGGTTTGGACTGGGCGGAAGGTGTGTAGGGTGTGCTTGTTCGTGTGGGTTGGGCAGCTGGTTTGGGTGCTGGGGATGGTGTGGACGAGCTGTTTGCGCGAGTGTAGCTCGTGCTGATGGCACGCTTGCTTAGGGTGACGTAGGTCGCTCTGGCGCGCGGAGCTTGGGCCAGGCTGGAGAATTGCTGAGCAGATTCCAATGCCCGCCAGGGACGGACACGTAGGTTTGACATTGTGGTTGGAGTTGATGGTGGTGTGAGGAGCTACAGGTGGTTTCCTGGAGCTGAAGCTGAAGCTGTCTGCGGACTGTATCACGTGATATGATAAATCATGCGATTCTACTAACACGACCGAATATCAAGGATATTGGGAGTAAAATAATTGTAATCAAAGGGCAGAGGAGCCAATTGTGTCAAGAGTAATAGTACATGTTTGTGTTGCATTATGCGTCCTGGCTCTCAGTACGTTGGTCGTTGCCCTGGCGCTTCCAGCATTCACGGAAAGCTTCCATCTAGGTTAATTGTCAGAAATTAGTACTCCAGACTATAAAGTAGCTCTTGAAACACACGAAAATGTCATAAATGTGATATAACGTCACAAGTAGACACACGGAATGGCTATAGGGTCTTAACAACAATCAGCTGATACTGGACTTACCTCGTCCTTGCAAGCTCGCCAGTCCTTCTTAACGAAATAGCAGTCATTCATCTTATCCTGCTCGGCTGTGAACTGTTAGATTTTGATTCATCGAAAGTAAACTCTAATGGACTACTCACCATGACAGCCAGTGCTGAAAATGCGCTTGTCCCTGTTAAAAGAATCAAAAGAATCAGCCTCAGTCCTCCGAATGAAGATGTTCCTAAAGCTCAATTACCACTCATCGGGCTCGTCATCATCCTCAGGAACGACCTTAGGCTGTTCAGCGTTATTCGACATGATTGAAGTATGCAGGAGAAATGATCGGGGATCGACGGCTGGCGTCGGGAAATAGTTCTTCTATCTTATCGCCGATATGAATCATCCCTCCCCAACCCACTCAACAAGCCAAACAATGGCGACACCAACAGGCAATGATGCCAATCTCACAGCCAAAAGGCTCAATGTCCTAGTCTACTCTGGTTCGCTCAATCACTCCGCTTGGAAATTGAGCCGCTTTCTGACCGACAAACTCGACACAGGAACCGGAACCACCGTCGACTCCGTCCGCCATTGCGTCTACACCTTGCGCCGTCTCCTCGCCCAAAACTATGCCGTCACCCCGGTCACAGGCGAGATGCTCCTCAAAGAGCCTTGGACTGCGTCTTGTGCGCTGTTGGTGATCCCCGGCGGCGCGGACCTGGGATATGGCCGTACACTGAATGGCGCAGGGAACAGGCGCATTACGCAGTTCGTGCGTCGGGGTGGTAAATACTTGGGCCTTTGCGCGGGTGGGTACTATGGGAGCAAGCGATGCGAATTCGAGGTCGGTGATAAAACAATGGAGGTTGTGGGTGAGCGCGAATTGGCCTTCTTCCCGGGGACTTGTCGCGGCGGGGCGTTTCCGGGGTTTGTTTACCATAGCGAGGATGGTGCGCGTGCTGTTGGACTGGATGTTTCGAAAGAAGCCTTGAATGAGGGTGTTATGCCTACGACATTCCGTTCGTACTATAATGGCGGTGGTGTGTTCGTGGATGCTGCGCTGTACAAGGATAAGGGCATTGAAGTGCTGGCAAACTATAACGAGAAAGTTAATGTGGATCCTGGTGAGGGTGGTGCAGCTGCTGTCGTTTACTGCAAAGTTGGTGAGGGTGCGGCTGTATTGACTGGACCTCATCCAGAGTATGTTGGCCGTGCGCCTTGTGCATATAGGATTACTGACTTCTTCGTAGGTTTGCCGCTGCCAATCTTGACCCCAAGGGTGGTGGTCCTGAGTATGCGGATCTCGTTGCTGCGCTTGCCGCCGATGACAAGGAGCGTACAGACTTCTTGAAGGCCTGTTTGTCGAAACTTGGGCTGCAAGTCGCGAAGGACACTTCAACTGTCCCTTCGTTGTCATCTCTGCATGTTTCTGGCCAGGACCCTGAGCAGTCATTAGAAATCCTGTCGCTCCTTGCACCAGACCTGCAAAAAGAGAATCAGAATGAATATCTGAAAGATGAGAGCGACACATTCAGAATTGAGCGTCCAGGCACTTGGAATTTGAGCGACCTGGAGGAGGCACTCCCTGACGGGGAGTCGAAACCCACCGAAGGAATCGTCGATTATCAGACAATAACCAAGCGACTCGTCTTCCATGATGACCTCCCATCGTCAAAACTCACACCTTACTTCAACCACCATGCATTCTATGCCAATCTCAAACAATATCAGTCCGAGTCCCGAGAGGGTGCTTCGGAATTTGGGTCGATCCTTATGTACGGTGAGGTGGTGACTAGTACCAACACGATTCTAGAGAAGTGAGCACTCCTAATGATAATGGCTCGGCCTATACTAATTTTCGCAGAAACACACAACTTTTGCGCCGTCTTCCAACTGGATTTACTGCTACAGCCACTGTGCAGGTTGCTGGACGCGGCCGAGGCTCTAATGTGTGGATTTCCCCAGCCGGCTCTCTCATTTTCTCGACCGTGGTGCGGCATCCAATGGAGAAGATGCAATCAGCACCCGTTATATTCCTCCAGTATCTATCTGCTATGGCCGTTGTGAGGGGTATCAAATCCTACGCGAAAGGCTACGAGAATATCCCGGTCAAGCTAAAATGGCCGAACGATATCTATGCCCTGGACCCAGAAGATCCCGAGCAAAAGCGCTATACCAAGATCTGCGGTATTCTCATCAACTCCCACTTCATGTCTAACGAGTACATTTCCGTCGTTGGCATTGGTGTCAATGCCACGAATGCCTCTCCCACTACTGCACTAACAGCCCTTGCCGCACGCTACGCTTCCAATGGCGCTGCCACCACCTCTCCGGTTTCGCTGGAGAAACTTCTCGCCCGTATCCTGACTACTTTCGAGGATCTATACATTCGCTTCCTGCGTACAGGCTTTGATCGCGGCTTTGAGGCGATGTACTACCAGGACTGGCTTCATATGCATCAGATCGTGACCCTGGAAGAGGAGGGCGGTGCCCGTGCCCGGATCCAGGGCATCACTCGTGATTACGGACTGTTGATTGCAGAAGAGCTCGGATGGGGTGATCGACCTACTGGTCGGTTGTACCAGTTGCAAAGTGACAGCAACAGCTTTGATTTCTTTAAGGGATTGGTTAAGCGGAAAATTTGAGCGAGTGTTTCCGATACTATACTACATCATCTCCATGAAACACTTAGTTCTGCTCATTTGTTCTCGGCTACCCCTAAAAAAACACCTGTATAATCTTTACGAATGCTCCTAGGAAGTACTGTAGTTCGCTTGAGCGAGTTTTGGTCCAATTCCTGGAAACCAAGTGTCGACCAAGTGTCGACCGCAATCAAAGTTATAACTATTGTTTACCACATAACAGTCCTAGGAGCCCAATATGTGTCATCATGCTAATAGGCATGCCTTAACTACTGCTCAATTCGACCATCAATAATAAACCCTCCTATATACGAGAGCCAAAGTAAAAAAGAACCTTGAAAGAGAGCAAGAACACCCTACGACTAAGACCTACTATTTTGTGAGTGACGTTTTCTTATAGCGCCGTTATCTATTCGTTAAAGAAGCTATAATACTGTACCGACTATATATTGATCACTCGATTGAGGAGTCGTTGAATAGTTGCTATTTTGGAAATGTGTCCATTTGTCTATGGCTACTTTCTCACCGAGCTAATTGATTAATTCATGTGCGAGACCTGTAATCAATAAGTCTCCTAGCGCTTACGTTTTATCGTAGCCGAAGGTTACTATGCCTTTTATAGAGAGTGAGCTAAATACTATAAGTATGCCTAGATCTAAACGAAAGAAGGACCACTAAATCCTAGATTTAAAATAATATTAGGTACAACAGTCGGTTTCCAAATTTCTGCCCATTATCGAAGACGCTTTGAAAGACACGAAGTATAATGCCGAAAGCGCTTATTTTCTCAGCAGCCATGACAATCTTATTACAAACAATTAGTCTGCCGTTGGGGAATTATCAAGCAATAAAACCTACGACGAATTGAGATTAAACCTTGACGTGCTAGAAGCGTCGCCACGCGACCGTAGTGATGGACCAACCCTACGAGGAAAACGCATGTAGACCCTCCAACCTTTTGGACTATTAGAATAGGCTACGCCACAACTTAATTTTTCTTGCGCTGGAATCCGCATTATATGAATCCTACAGACTTCCAAGGTTCGTTATCCTATAGGACAAAGCGGGGGGGGGGGGGGGGGAATGGTTCGTTACAATAGAATGCTAAAGGACCATGCCGATAGCTTGTCGTTGGAAGAAACTTATCACATTCCAAAGAAGGAATTGCTCCCAAGAATCAGGTACTTTTGACTTAAGATGACAAGCTATATATAGCTTCCCTGTTAGGTCGAAGCCGGTCTCGACCTTTCCCTCTCAAGACGAAAAGGGCCGATCCTCGGTGGGAGAGAGCTTTCGTGCCGAGCGCAAGACTAACGGCGCAAGGTGGGCCCTTCAGGGGAGGTCCTTCAGGGGAATATATGATAACAGTCTGGGCAGAACCAAAGTGTTGGGCCGCGGCAGAACCCGACGTTCCGTTTCCATTTTTCATTTTTTTACTGTACCTACAACTCGTTGCAGGTGTCGAGTGGGTTATTCCTGGATTAATCAGATTAATTAAAGTGGAAAATATCTCTACCTGCGTAGAATATCAGAAGTCTCGTGAGAATCGCAAGCGTAAAACATAAACAGTCGGTGTCATGTCAGTTGTTGGTATGCCATGATCTCCATAAAGTGGGGGGTTTTCCGGTAGTATCACAAGTCGGCAAATGTCAATTCATTCTCCTTTGGCAGGGAGATGGTGGTCTTTGATTGGATGTCTTTTCCTTCAAGGAATTGGTTCGGCAAGGAATTGGTTCGGCAAACCTCATGCGAATTGACTGGAAGAGAAGCCCCACAGTACCCACAATGTCAAACCAGGGATTTTCATCGTGCCGTGTTGACATTTCGCCTACAGTAACATTTCTGCAGCCCTGCTTGTTTTCGCTTATAAATTCACGAATTGCCTGATTCCTAATTAACGAAAGTCCAAAAATCTCGGTAAACGGGCCAGCTTACCCACAAGAGATCCGTGCCTGGTGGATTTTGCAGCACCGTTCAAACCGCGCTAGGCTGGACCGCTGACATTTAGATTGATGCTTAAAGCATCCAGACCTCGTAGGCAAAATTTCCCGACGCTACTTTGTTGCAGATCGGCCTGGAAGTTTCCGGTACTCCGAAATCAAGACAATAGGGCTTCCCGTTAGACTGAATACAATGGCGATCTTTTGTGCGGCTCGCCCTTTTATTTACGGGTCCTAGCTCTGCCCATCTTTGCCGTTTGCTGGTGGCGAGCGTTTTTTGTCGCCGCTAGCGCACAGCGATTACCCCTGGCGTGCCGACTGTTCTCCTTCTCCACTTTAGCCACGTTCCAATATTTTTCGGATTTAAAAGGTGCCTAATCCTTCTGCTACTTTTCATCCCAACCATTGAGATGAGTAGCGATGAGGATCACCAGAACACGGCGATTATAGTGGTAGCGGCCCTTTTCGTGTCGATAGCATGTGTAGCCGTTATCCTCCGATGCTATGTCCGCGGCTGGGTGGTGAAGGCCTTTGGCTGGGATGACGGCGCCATGGTAGTGGCTATGGTAGCGTCCCCCTTCTGGCCGCTTGTACTTGTGTTGTGCTAACTTTGCGATAGGCCTGGTATGTGATGTTCTCCGGGTCTATGATAGGAGCGGGGCTTCATGGCAATGGGCGACACTGGTATCATCTTGAGCCAGAGGAGCGTGTCATCGCCATGAAGGTATGCATAACTCTTCCGAACCCCCTCAGAACCATAAACTGATTGATTTTTAAATAGTACTGGTGGCTTTGCGAAATTGGTTTCTGCTTTGCATCTATTTTCTGCAAGATTTCAATTTGCATTTTCCTGATGCGAATTTGTGTCAAGAAGCTCCACCTATGGACTCTCTATAGCGTCATGGCTGCGACCGTCTTTGCTGGCCTGGTCTTTCTGTTTCTCATGCTATTCCAGTGCAAGCCATTGTCCTTCTTCTGGACACGCTTAGCCCATCACCCTGTTGTGAACATCGAGGGCGAAGGGTCTTGTATCAACATGGAAATCATTGTCATCATGACATATATCTATAGTGCTTTTGCCGCATTTTGCGACTTCACTGTGGGTATCTTACCAATCTTCGTTGTGCGTAAATTACACATGAAGCGACAGACAAAAATGGCAGTAATCGGAATCTTGAGCATGGCTTGCATGTAAGTGACTGTCCATGTGCATTCCATCGAGCCTGGGAATATACAGCTAACAGATTTTGCAGTGCATCCTCCGCCGTTATCGTACGTATTCCTTTTGTTAAAACTTTTAATGATTTGGACGACTTTTTATGTATGTTCTCTCCTGACTACTTTCAACTGCATTCATCTGCCTCGAAAATACTGATCTCCCAAAGATGCGACTGTTCAAATTGCCTATTGGTCGAATCTTGAGTGCGGACTTGGTATTACTGCTGGCTGTCTCGCAACCCTTCGTCCCCTTCTCCGCCAATTGTTCGGTTCACGCATAGATTCATCAAATACTGGTGGATTGCCCAAATCTTACGGGCGGTACAATCCTGCTAGTGGGCAACGACCGGTGCCTTTGGGATCAATGAACGGAACTAATCGGAGCGGGTTGAGACCAGATAAACTGGCTGTCATGGTGACAAACATCGAAAGCCAGAGAGACTTAGAAAGGTCATGGCCCGGGTCATATAGCCCGAGCAGTAGTGAGGAACGTTTGACTACACAGCACCCTCCACTTCCAGGGGAAATGAAAGTCGGTGTTCACCGGACGTTCGAGGTTACGCGAACGGCGGTGAATGACGATGATTCAAGTGGCTCTCAGTGGAACGCGACAGAGCATGTATAAACCAGTCATCAAAAATAGCAATGAACAATCTTGTACAAGTGCTTTCTCTACTCTGCGTAGGTAAACTACGGAATGTTTGCGCGGAATTTTTCTGAACCATAACATAAGCCCGATTCTTCGGAAATCTAATCGCCGGAGGATCATTTGAACCTCTAGTGGGGATAACAAGGTGATTTTGTCCTTGCAGTGGCATTCTAGAAAACAACCGGCGTGGCTATCGAGGGTCGTCAAGTAATGCATCCACAGTAAACTCTGAGACAGGTAGTTGCATTTGCTATTTATCAAGCTTATTGTTCCAGAGACAAGTCGCAATAGACTGGATAGTGTGTCCCACACTGTCCAAGAAACTCGTGGCTTCGAAGTCCGGAGTTGAGGTCATAGAAGGTCAAGATGCCGAGGCAATCCGTATTAAGTGTATTAATGATTCGTCAAAGTTTCGGACCGCTTCCGTTATGTGCCCACCATTGCCCAGATTTGTATCAAGAGAGCCGGATATTCGGCTCATTCTAGACCGTGTCTTAGCTTAATTAGGCTATTTAGCCACAGTGTTTAGATGCAACTAGACCAAATATACTATGAAATCAGTGGATAAATTGTCAGGAATAATCAGGGGCAAACTATATTAACTTTCAGCGCAGAGCAGAGTTTGATAAACCCCCGCATACATATCAGGCCTACGTACCGGATTTCCTTTGACGATTCTTGACTTTCTTTCCAGGTTAGTGCTCACCCTACCGTACACGGAAGTAGATGTAGGTGAGGTGGTTACCACTGCCGAACTGCCACTCTCAGCGGCCCCAACGCAGACATAATTATCCACCCAGAGAGAAGCGCAAGTGCTGCCGACAGCTGGATTGCACAAGTAGAAGTCAGCCAGGGTGATGTTATAGTCGGTGATAGAGATTTCACCATCATCACCACCAACGACCAGATAAAATTAAACACAGTCACTCACCATGCCGGTCTGGATGGGAAGGGGGGTTGTTGTTGAGCCGATGGATGTGGCGGTCGAAGAAGAAAGACCGGTGCGAGAGGCGGTTGAGGATAGAACAGAGGTTGTACTCAACTCGGTAGTAGAGGCCGTACTCAACTCGGTAGCAGAGGTTGGATTCAACTCGGCAGTAGAAGTTGCAGTCGTAGACGGGATCCAAGTGTAGACTCCAGCTGGCACGGAGGCAAAAGAGGCAGTAAGGTAACTTGAGGGCAAGTAAGTGCCAGCGACAAAGTTCACCTCCACGCAGTAATACAAATCAGGAAGCATTTGACAGCCTGAGCCAGTCTCCGTCACGATCGGATTCTAGGTAGGTAATGATTAGTGACTATATAAATTATGGAGAGCGTCGGCTGAGTACCCATTCCTCGAACTCTGTGGCGGTAATTTCATATAGCACCTCGACCGCCTCACAATCCGATCCCTCCACATATCGATACCAAAGACTGCAATCCTCATTACTTCCTGGGGCAGCAGTGCCGGCCGGGCTAACCAGATAGCCTGCAGCCTGCCCTAGAGAAAGACTGAGCGCAGAGAGAGCCCAGTAGAAGGATTTCATGGTGTATGTGAACAAGGGCTTGGGAGCGTGGAATTTGGGACAGATAGAAATCAAATTACAGTCAGTAATCCCGGGATCGAATACTCAGTTAAGCAAGAAGGTCCGCAACTATGTCGGGGATAATGCTCACACTTTCTTACCGAAATTCCCCAGGTTGGCCGGAAATACAAAGATTTCTAGATATATTAATTTAACTAGTATCGAGGAACTGGAAAACCTCTAACGGAATTGGGCCACTGGGAAATGAGACCAGACCGAAATAGCTAATTAATGCCATTTTCGACTCATGATGTGGACTGATCCACAAGATGAACGTGAGTTTAAGCGAGGTCTAAAAGGGCTGTTTTGACCGAAGATACAAGAGTCAAAGCTCACTAGTCAGGGGTATTGCCAAACCAACTGCAAAACTGGACAGAAGCTTGTCAGCCATGGGCACTTAGTGGTAAGGGTTTTACTAGCGTGGGTATTAGCGTGAATTGAAATTGCACTGTGGGATCAATCTTGCCGGAAGTCGAATAGGCCCGAGGTGAACCGTGGCCCCTATCGCGGAAGGCAGAACAGAATCTAACCGCGGATTGATGCAAGATTCCCCCCCCTCCTTCCCCCCCTTTTTTATATGCTCTAGTATAAGACGAAAAGATAGGAGATTAAGCAACTTATAAAGTATAGATAGTGCGGTAATTTAAAACCATCAAATCATTAATGGGATCAGTAATTATGTGGGGAATTTATGCTTCTTCGGGAACAGACTAGCAGTAGACTGGATGGTCAATAATTGCCTCATAGTAATACGTAAATAGTAAGCAGCTCATCATAATCACTAATCGTCACTGGTCTATCAGGTCACTATGGTGAGCTGACCCTGAGCCCAGACTGAAATTTACTTAGTGAGCCTGAGTTAAGCGCCCTCATAAAAGCGGCGGCATCCCGAATAGGGAATCCCCACTCGTCGAAGAAAATCACCTACGTATAGCTACATATATGTTGTACAGTGTCGGTGTCAAAACACCCCAACCTTGGAATGCCTACATATAGTTTTCATATATGGATTCTGTATACGTAGGAATGCAGTCTTAGAGAGTAGGTGTTCAGGAGTTATCGGCGCAAGAGAAACTGCCACTGCCTGAGGTATTGTCATGGATTGATTTTCCGGAGGTATACAGGCCGAGACCACACTAGACAAGAAGTCAGCAAATTTTCAGTTCCAGAGCACAGCAGGAAAGTAAACATACCAGAACAAGGCCAACGGAAATAGAGAAACAATTCAGGAAGGTCAAAAACATCTTCCTAGGCGATGCAAACCACAGCCCCTGGTTCATATGCAATCCAAAGATGCCAGTGAAGATAAAGGTAAACCAGCTTCCGAATAGAGCAGTCTGTTCATCAATTAGCATCAAAATAAAATGGGCTGATAATACAAATGAAGACATACGATCAAAGTTAGCAGATCACTGAAGACCGGGATAGCCATTGCGATAATCCACGCAACAACCCAGAGCACAAACGCAATGCCAACCCACGAGCCAACGGCAATCCAATCCCGCTTGTGCATGCGGTCTGTACCGGCGAAAACACGAATATATATGGACTTCGCGGCAACGTGGCTATTGATCACTCCTGCAATGACGATCTATCAAAGAAAGGTCAGCCTTTGATTTCTTTATGACGCAGATTAGTATCAAGGTTGTGGCTCACCGTAGGAAGAGCCACCCCGTATGCTATCCTGGAGATCAGAGGACCAGCGGATCCCAAAGCAGGCGAGGTGACAGCAGAGCCGACGTAGCGGTAGATCACAACCGATGCGATAATATAGAGGGTCATGTCGACGGTTTGAAGGAGAGCAAGGGCTTTGGGAAAGTCATTCGGGTCTTTGAGCTCGGCGATGAATGTGAAGAAGGTGTTATGGCTCACTGGGAGATGTTAACAAATTTTCAATATTGACAGATAGAAGATGAGACACGAACCGTATGAGAAAGCAATGTTCGCGGCAGACATGAACCCAGTCACCAGGTTCGTCTCAATAGTAGCGTGGACGACAGTCCCGGGATTCTGAATACCAACCGCGATCATAGTGATCAAGACCGCAGACAAGATACTGATGAATGCTATCAATATTGTTAGCATGTTCCTCCCTACACAAGGATCCATATACTCACAAACAAGCGAAAGCCATGAAACCTTCGCCAATGTCCTAGGAAGTGACAGGAAACAGGAAATAATCATGCCGACAATACCAAAAACCATTGTACAAGTACCATGCTTGGTAATAACATTGAAAGCAACAGTAAATGTCAAAATATGACTGGCCATGATAAAAATGAGAAACAGCAACTGGGCCGTACCCAGCAACTCTCGACCAAATCGCCCCATCAAAACTTCACCAGCATCGGCCATACTCGAGATGTGCGGGTGCCTTTGCTTGAATTGTCCAATGAGCATACCCGTATATGAAGCGAGTGCACCCAAGCCGATGATAACAATGAGTGATGGCACAAGACCCAGCCCTGCAACTGCTGCCGGGAGAGATAGGATACCAAGTGAGATAGTCTCTGCTACCATGAGTAGGCCTCCTTGCCTGCACCACGACTTGTAAGCCTGCCAGCCCTGAACCACACATCAGGGAAGAGACACGTACCACCATTTTAACACCTTGTATTTCACTTCAGCATGTTCCTCATCACCAAATGCATCCTGACGCAGTGGCGCCGGATCAGCCTTCTCTAGTTCCAAATCCTTTTCAACGGGACAACCCCGGTCTAGTGCCGGAACATCGGGCTGGATGTCCACGATTTGGGAGTGAGACGTTGTTGTCATTCTCATCATGTACGTAAGACGAAAGGGGGATAAATTGGAGGTGTTGGATGATGTTGATAACGAGAAGGGAAAGTAATAGAATGGCTCTAATTAAGACATAACATAACCGAGTAGGTGATCCGGGGAATGGAAAACGTGGGTCTGCCCTGAACTCATCATCGCGGGGAATCATTGTCTCTCATACACCCGCCTTCCCTTTCCAGAGGGTCCAGTTATTTAGCGGTTTCGGCTCGATACTCGGGGCAGTGTGGATCTATTAACAAGGTCTTGCCCAGTGAGATACCCGTAGATGGGTGCTAGTAGACACCGAAGCGCCGAATTGATAACCGCAACATTGGGATGCAGAGGAAAGGCATGCCTATTGGGTTGGAGATAAGGCTAAGATAACGTCTATGTATTTTAGTCAAGGTGTTCAATAGGGCTTATTGTGTAATCTGAGACGCTCATTAAGCATCACAGGACAAGATATAACCTTTTCTAAGTTCTGTGATAATTGGGAAAAGCTGAAATTCTTTATTTTCGATTTTATTCAAAATAGGTACGCGTGATACCCCAGACATTTCCCCAGATTGCTTTTTTGGAATTGCATGCCATTGCGTAAAATCTGGGGCATTGGATCAATGGGTCTTGTTGGGGATGTCCGGAATCGCTTGCCTGTTACGTTACGGGAGGCAAAAGGTGGGGCAAAATAGGACTAGATCGGCTTGAATTGGCATGCGGACTGTGGCCGCATCAGCATGTTATGATTTTAAGCTTGGGTCCCACTTTGTCAATTCCGGAGTCTCTAACCAAAGATATGCGGTACCACATCCCCCACCTGAATTAATATACGTGCATCTTCGTTCCACCCACAACTTTCCACCGCCACAACGTCATATAACTCCGATAGGAATTGATCAGTCCTCACCCTTCATGAGGCTTTAGGCCGCAGACAGGCCGTATGATGTTCTCTGAAACTCTGGTGTGGATTGATGCCAAGGTCCTTTGTCCGACAGATAATGGAGGCCGGCCCGAGCTTGTGGTACCGGCTAGTGAATAGGTCGAGTTTACACTAATTGAATGAGATTCGTGTTCAAGACACATAGCGGTATAAACAAATATCGTATTATAAACAATTCATGGCAATTGGGCGTCTATTCCTGTACGGGATGCCCCAAGAGCGGCTCCGATTCGCTTCCTCTTTGCATGCTGGCTTTTCTGAAAGACGAGCGATGCAAAGCCCACAGCAGAAGCACCATTTGGCTGAAGTCGAAGACAAAGTCGTCAACGATGATCCATCCGATAGCACTGTACCAGACAGAAAAGATATTCCAATTAATATGGCCGTCCAACTTTTCGTACGAAAAAGGAAGACTCCATATCCATGTCACCGAGACTAAGGTGAAGACAATAGATTGTACAGCCAGACCCCGTAAGCTCAACGCATTCGGCAAAGGTGTAGCCACAATCTCACGAGCTTGACAGTAAATGCCCAAAACACCTAAAACGGTTAGGATCGGGTGAACGAGTGTGGTGTGCAGGGCGTAGAAAACCGCCGACCAGAATCTTCGACCTTCATCGTCGATCGGTAAGGTGGCTAGGATGAAAAGAGTGATGATCGAGACGACGAGGAAACTGGTGAAGCTGGCGACTAGAGAGGCTCTACGGCTGCTGTAGGAAAGAACCTGCGCGAATCTAAAAAGGACATTAGGGTCTGCACTACTTCTGGGAACTATGGCAGCATGGTCTCACAGTGTCAGGAAAAGAACTGTGACGACAGCACAGTGGCACAGACTAAATCGGTCTCCTGCGCTTGGGGGAGAGTGTAAGAAGACGTTGCCTTCAGACTCGCATTCAAAAAACAGTGCGTATATATAGACAGTGAGCTGCTCAGTGGCGCAAATCAGATTCCACAAGACACAAAGTGATGAGACTCCAGTACTTGTTTGTTTCGTCTGAATACGTGATATCTGGGGAAGAAATGAACCGATAGTGGGGATCAATAAGATGCTGTATAAGTCAGCCAGGATTTTGTTGAGGGAAATATTCGGAATGCCCGTACATGCGGCACCATAGAGGTTGCTCTGCAAGTGACATTTTGCGTGTCGTGAGGGGGAGCTTGAAAATTCTAGATTGTAGTGGTCGAAGGACGACAACTGCCCGTATCAGCTGACGGGAGTGCGAGCTCAGTACACCGTATAATAGGAAATTCGGCTGTTACTGGAGGTCAGCGACATCAGGCTGTTCGAAGTGAAGGAAGGAAAAAGAAGAGCAATTTCAGCTATCAGGCTGGTATAGTCGTAAGTCAGAGACCACAAACAACTATTTGTCCCCTTCGCATCTTAGCAGCTTGGTGCCCAGAGAATTTTGTGAGGCTTAGCCTTTCTTGGTAAATACACTCGGCTAACTTCAGATTAGCAGTTAACGAGTCTACTAGAATCTTAGCTGACAATGCCAGACGATGTAACATCATCTCTCTAGGGTCAACTCTAAACATTTTAGCCTCAATGAATCAATTTTCAGTCAATGTCGAACATGTCTCGACTGGACAAGGTAAATGTGCAATTGAAATCATGTAGCCTTTTGGGACCTTCTATATACAAAGTTCAAAATTTACAGTCTGTTTCCCATATTGACATGGACAGCCTTGATCTGGCTGTAGGCTTCCAATCCAGCCTCTCCAAGCTCGCGGCCAATACCGCTCTGCTTGACACCGCCGAAAGGAACGCGAGGATCACAGTCCTGGCTACTGTTAATCCAAACCATACCCGACTCGAGCTCGGAAGCCACACGATGCGCACGCTCCAAGTCAGTGGTGAAGACAGCAGCACCGAGACCGTAAGAGGTGTCGTTGGCGCGCTGAATAGCCTCCTCTTCGGTATCGAAGGGCAGGATCACAACCACGGGCCCGAAAACCTCCTCACGAACAATTCGCATGTCGTCTGTGACATCGGTGTAAACGGTGGGCTGGACGAAGTATCCGTTCTTGTTCTCGGCCTTAGCAGGGACGTGAGCAGCACCTCCAGTAACAAGCGTAGCACCCTCGCTCTTAGCAATATCAAAGAACGAGAGGACACGCTCGTACTGCGCGCGAGTAACCTGGGGGCCCTGGAAGGTATTCTCATCCCACTGGTCACCGATCGTGACACCCTCAACAGCCTTCTTGAACTCAGCCAAGAAGGTAGGAAGGATCTCGCGATGCACGAAGATACGCGAAGTAGCAGTGCAAATCTGGCCCTGGTTAGACATGATACCAGAGTGCGACCACTTAACCGCCTGGTCCATATCTGCATCAGGGAAAACGAGCAGTGGCGACTTGCCACCAGTCTCGAGGGTAATATTCTTCAACGAGCCAGCAGCCATCTTCATGATCTGGCTGCCAGTGGCGGTGGATCCAGTGAAGGCAATCTTATCGACCAAGGGGTGGTTAGTGAGTGCGGCACCGGCATCACGACCGTATCCGTTCACGATATTAATAACACCAGGAGGGAAACCAGCCTCAACGACCAAGTTCGCAAAGACCAGGATACTGAGAGGAGTCTGCTCAGCGGGCTTAAGCACAACAGTGTTACCACATGCAAGAGCAGGACCCAGCTTCCAGGCTGCCATGGCCAGAGGATAGTTCCATGGGATAATCTGACCGATAACACCGAGGGGTTGACGGAGTGTATAAGCGAATTTCTGAGGAGTGGTGTTGATAGTCTGACCAAAAGTCTTATCGGCCCAGCCGCTGTAGTAGCGAATGGTAGTGGTTGCCTCGACAAGGTCCTCTTCCATGGCGACGTGGTACGGCTTTCCTGTTTAGAGTTAGCGGGGCCGTAGGGCTACGGAGAAAAAATGGATCGGGATCGGCATGCCGCATGCCGCAGTGTAACGCACCATTGTCCCACGCGTCAATCGTGGCGAGAAGCTCCCGGTTCTCCCACATTAAATCGGCCAGACGAGCCATCAGCTGGCCTCGGTCGGTGGCGGGCAGGAGCTTCCATGATGGGTGCACGAGCGCGGCCTTGGCGGCCTTCACGGCGCGGTCGACATCAGCGGGGCTGGCAGCCTCGACAGTGGCGATTGGCTTATCGGTGCTGGGGGGCTCGTTAGTAACGAGTCCAGTTGTGGGCAACACATGGGCAGGTGAGAATGGACTTACGCAGGGTCAATTGAAGTAATGGTTTGTCCAGATGTGGCGGGGACGAATTCATTATTGATGAACAGGCCGGTGGGCTGCTTATAGCTGCGCCCGTTGGGGGTAACGATATCTATTGAGAGACTCATGTTTGAAGTGTGAATGGAGAGGTGAACTTTATTGCAGTCAACCCCGCGTTGATATATGTTATCGCTGATATATATGGAGGGGTGAAATGAGAAGTTCTCTGTGGGTCTAATCCGTTACAGGCAGGTATTTCCGGGGATTCGAGTGGGGAAAAAATAACTTTGAACTGCGTCAACACAACCTGAATGTAGATAGGCGTCTATCATACGCCGATAATCGCATGTGCTTTCCCATTACGGGGCAATATCTGCGGAGAGAGATGACTCCATACTAGGTGGTTGCGACAAAAGCAGCCACCCTCGTCAGTCAACTGGTCGGATCGCGCGAAAATGCAGAAAATAATGCACCGAGACAAATACTGGAAATATCAAATAAAAGCTGAAAATTCGTTCTTATATGCTCAGTGACCTCAAAGGGCTATAAGGTTATTCATAAAGTCATAAACATCGTCACGGAAGTAAACAAGAGCATTCCTCCCAGTCTAAATATCTTCATTCTCAGTCCACTGACGGCACCATCGCACAATCGAATCCTGTTCAATAGGCTCCATCTTAGACATAGTAGGACTGACTGCCAGAGATTTTTGGATATCGAAGCGAGCAAACCCCTCATCCACAATAGTCCGAAAGAATGGCAAAACACGAGCTCTCTGCTCCTCCGCCTCCCTCGACAGTCTGTTCGGAGGAAGACCAGACAGATGCTCGACCCATTCGGAATAAGTGACTAACCGCGGAGAGGAAATACACTTTTGCAGTGCCTCCGAGAACTTGGATGTTGGAATCGGTCGTGGATGCACGATGTTATACAGTTGCACGTTAGGAGTACCTGTTGCGTGATCATCGTGCTTCTCCCGGAGCGCAATTTCTTGTATCACGTTCGCCATCTGATCAACTGGAACCCAGTTGATAAGAGCCGGGTTGATGGGTACCAGGCCACTAGCCTTGGAGAGGATAGCTAACGAGTGTATCCAGTCATGACTCTCCCACTTGCCTCCTTCCTCAATTTTTGTAGGACCGGCGATCTGCCCGATGCGTAAAATTGAGATTGGAATCTGGAGCTTGGTTCCTGCTGCGGCAAGGAATCTTTCCGCTACCTGCTTTGATTGTCCGTAGCCTGTTGCCATTGCTGCTGCTGTGCTATTTATCACTTCCTCTGGCACGGGTACAATAGGAGAAATTGCTTTCGCCCACCTGTGCACGCTGCCGATGCTTGATGTGAAGACCACCCGGGGGCGGGACTTAGCGCGATTCGCAATGTCGATGGTGGCGTACACGCTCTTTAGAATTTCTGGTGTGAACGACGCTAACGACAAAGCGTAGTTGACTGTCCAGATGCTGTGGATAATAACATCGGCATGCGTGCAAATTTCCTCCACGTGGTCTTCTGGTATGCCCAAGTCTGGCTGAGAGAGATCGATGGGGACAAATTGTAAGCGCGAATCCTTGGCATCGATATTGAGACCTAGCTCGTCCACGCGCATCTGAAATGTGTCTCGTACATCGGGCCCGCGGTCCAGGCATTTGATTCCGGCTACTCGGTCATCATCGAGTAAGCTTTTCACAAGATATGGACCAAGGCGCCCTTGACATCCTAGTAGCACCACTTTGATGTCGTCTGTGGCGAATGGTGGGGGTGGAGTGGTTGCTATAGCTTCAGGGAGCTGGGCTACCAGATCTCCCACGAGTCCATCAACGCTAAGCCTTTGTTGAGATTGACTGCCTTTACCCTTTCCGAAGGCTGCGTCAAGTGTGGCGGTTGCAAGTCCGTCGATTGTTGGATTCTCGAAGATCGTTCGCATCCAGAAGTCAATTGTATTCTTTTCCTTATCCATGCGACCGGAAAGACCGAGTTTGAGCTTTTGGCCTAGCTCTAATACTGACAAAGAGTCCATGGCTCCCAAGACGAAGAAATCGTCCGTTTCTCTGATCTTGCTGTCGGGGCGAATGTCATGAACAACGGATCCAATGAACCTCTTGGCTTCGTCCCTCCAGTGATTTTCTAAAATCCCAATTTCACCTTGCTCATCTGTGGTGCCGTCAACAAATGCTGCAGTGATATATTCAGAGTACAATGATTCTGTGGGTTTGCGTGCGATTGTTCCCCTGGGCGCCCGGATGAATCCCAGATTTGGCTGGCTGAGTGCGATTCGGGACCTCCGAATTTTGCCATGGGCGGGCGCAATGCCGTTCGCTTGCGCGATCATTGGCCAGATAGCGTCAATGAACTCCTTCTTGCTCATGCGGTCTATCTCGGGCGAAGACCTTGGTTCAACAAGTAGAAGGACTTCGGGACGGCCATTTCCAACCACAACAGCTCCAGTGATAAGAGGGTCTCCAGAGATGATGGCTTCCATTGGGATAGGCCAAACTCTTTGGTTATTTGCAAGCACAATGATGTCATCTATGCGAGAGTAGAAGCTCCAGAGACCAGGTTTTGTCGGGTGAGGAACGAAAAGATCCCCAGACCGCCATGTTTGCACGTCTGGGAATGTGTGAGAGAGGGTTCGACGCCCTAGGAACTTCTCATCATTGTGGAACACCAATTCGTAGACACCTTCATCCACTTCTTGCATGTCGCATTCCTCGGCTGGATTGAATTCCACATATTGCCAGTCTCCTTGTTGAGGGACCAGCATCTGAACTTGACCCGCCTCGAGACAACCATAGATTTGGCACACGTCGGTCGCTTTGTTGAGCTTGTCACCGGCTGCCTTGGACATAATTCCTCCACCGTACGCCAGAAAGTCGAGACTTTCTGCTTGCTTCATAGCTGCCGGGTTCGAAATCCATTGCTCAATGACTTGTGGGGGCAACCAAAGGGCTCGGACCTTTTGTTCTCGTATAATCTTATCTACCAATGAACCGCTTGGTGCAATATGCGGAGGGCCGATCACCAAAGTAGAAGTTGGGTAGAATGATGGGATGAGGATGTATGCTTGGATACCAGCAATCTGGTCATTCATAAGCGAAGAGCGATGCAGGGATACATGCATGACTTACGTGGAAGATTGGAAAAGATGAGTAGTAACGACCAGGCGAGTCAAACATGAACTGGGCGCTATTTTGAGCGCGTCTTCCCGGCGGTACTGGTATCTTTGAGTCGTTATCTGTACATGAGAATGCAGCATGAGAGTAGTTGACCAGCTTTGGTTGGCCTATTTTTCAGATCAGGTTATGCTGAAGATTCCAAAGGAAGGGTAAGTTACATACCCGTCGATCCAGAGGAATGTAAGATCAGACAATTCTCATCTTTGATCTCTGACCAAGAGACATCAAATGGGTATGCAGGCGACTCGAACTTCAATATCTCGTTCATGGAAGGCACTTGCTTGCAAGATATGGAAGGGTCGAACTTTTGCAAAGACCTGGCGGGTGCTTTTAAGGTTTCTGCATATAGAAGCGCAGATACATCGGACTGCTGCAAAAGACCGAGATTTAATGTGATGGGATTTCGCGGGCTGATGAAAAAGGTCTAATGCGTGTCAGAGCCGAGCTCTAATTGGTTTCCTGATCCATGTCCACTTACCCTCCACCGACATTTTATCGCGGCCAAAAAGATGACCGTATAACGCAAGTCGCTCGGACCAATGTACGCTAGAGTCCGTCGCTTGTTGCGCGTCTTTAGGTTTTTGGTCAGCCACCAGGCCATGTAGTTGACGGCCGTGGCCATTGTCTCCGCTGTGATATCTTCAAAGCCATTTTCCTGATCTCCGGACTTAAAGATCGATGCAAATACCCGATCTGGTTGGTGATGCGCATAATAGTCAATGACATGGGGGAGCAAACGTTGCCCCCTATTTTTTTCCGCCCCCTCTGCCCAGGGTTCCTTGTCGTCGGTGACGGCCATGGTGTCAATGGGACTAGGTTAATGTGTTGAGGGGCAGACAAAGGAAAAAAGATTCGATCCACCGTAGATGCTTTACCGACGCGCTTGCAGGGATGAATCAAGTAAAAATTCAACTGCAGCTATCACCCGCCAAGTGGGCTGACACTAAAAGATGTAACCTTTTGCGAACACGCTAATGCGGGTGTGCCGCTTCATGCCCGAGGCCATCAATCCCGATGGTTTGAGGATGCAAATCAATGATAACTTCGGCTCTTCGTATTCAGAGGTCCACAGCCGCATATACTTCGTCTGTAAATCATCTCAAGGTATGCAGATTCCTCCTTCTTTTGACTGAACGATCAACAGCTGCCCCTCGTTGTGGAGACCTTTGGAGGGGGCGAGTGCCTCAAGCGGGACCTGGACTCGGGGCTAAAATGAGAAGAGAAATTCAAGGAGTCACTCATTGGACGGATAAAGCACAAACAATCCGACTAGTGATTGCCGACCCCGCAGGCTCCCTTTTTAGGCATTGGTGCACCCTTTGGTATTTTCTTCATGTCCGCCCTTGCTTCGATCGGCAGAACCGCACCATTGGACCCAGCCACGTGAGGCACGTGAGTTTGAGACGATCTAGCGATCGGGCAAGCCAATAGACCAACACTGGTGTGTGGTTGGACTCACTTTCATTATGCCCTGGCAGCTGGAGTGGGATCCTTCGTGGGGAGAACCAAAAATTGCTGGATAAACCATTAACCCGCCCTGGTCCCTCAGTCGAGGCGTAAATAAACCACAAAAATGCGTCTAAATGTGTGCGCCAGCTGCAGGTTTCCGCCTCCAGGGGCGATCATTGCCTCAATAGAGACCCACTAAATTTGAATTTCAGCTTGGGGCTTGCGTACAATCCGTGTGCACAGAAATGAAGAAGATAAGAATGATCAAAGTGATGGGATTGAGGGCAAGAGAGAGAAGAAATAACTCACAGCAGCCGAGGTACATCAGGCCATATGGCTCCCCAAAACAACCAACTTTCAGGTTACAGTCACCGAAAATCAATATTTGTTGCCAAGTATTGGCATTTGGCCATATCCGGCGAATTTTCGGGCCAAGCGACTAGCGTGGTAGTCATATAGGGCATCTACCGATTCATTGACTCGAAGGGATACTAGATTTCCTTAGATACAACCAATGGTATGTTTACTTAGTAATTTAGTAATTCGATTAACCTAAGTCAACTATGTTTCGTAAGTAAGCAACAGTCAACAAACCATATATTATGTCATCTTCGGTCATAAAGAACAATACAAGGTTAGCCAAATTGGCGTTGGCTACTATGCCTTATTTCGACTATGTGGGAGTCATGTTCGGTAGCGGCTGGTAGCCCTTGGGATAAATAGGCATTTTAGATTTCCGATGCAGATTTGTTCTCAGATTTTTCACCTTTACCCCGATATCAAATCTTGAATCTACATAAGAACCGCTTAATCACCCCTCAAAATGTCCGGACTATTCTTTGGAGGCCAAGATTCGAAGACAGTACACTACTACCATGACCGCCCTCCACAGTACGACGCATGCCAGCCAAATCAAGACATACACACCTGTGTGATTAAAAAGGGGCTTACCCTCCGGATGTTGGTTCAAAGGCTATATGATCTAAAGAAAAAAGCGGAAGACCTCGAAAATAATTTGCCAAAGTCCGCCAGACCCAAGTATCTTTTATCTTCGGAGTTATGTCTAGAGTGAAGTGGGTTTTTTGCAGAGGGATCTCAGATATCTACAGAGTTAGCAAACATTCTAAAGGAACGCACTGTTGAAACCGCCGAGCTCTACACCGCTATGTCAAGACTCACTGTTAGTGAGTTCAACCGGACCTATGCTTCTTTCAAGCGGGATCCAAAGCGGCAGATACAACAAAAACTAGCTCAAGCTACAGGAAGAGCCCGAGATGCTCCAGCAAAGCTACCTAGGCGCCTTTGGAAGAGGATTTTCAAGAACCTAGCTCGGCCTTAATGGTAGAGTGGAAAGTGGAAATCAACGTCCCAAGAATGATCAGAATATGAGGCTGCTGAATACTGGCGTTTACTTTGCTTCATGCCAGATTAAAGGATTGCTATGGATTTTGTATTTTCTTGCATGTGGGTTGTTCCTACATGTATGGTCGTTTGAGTGCCTAATATTATTATTTTTTAACATTTGGAGTACCTAGAACACAAGCTTTACTTCCACCTCAGAGCACTTTGCGTTCGAGCAAACCTTTCCTGTGGACGAGAAATCACAGACTTCTGCAACCATACTCTGCGCCTCTGGAAGATGCTGGACCATATCGTCATCCACCACGACCTTCAAACCTTTATTGTTAACCCAAAAAATACGGGAGATAAGATTCAGGTCGAGTTGCAGTTTCTCTGCAAGCTTGGCTTTCAGATTTTGAGAAGTACGAGCCGTTAGGTATATTGCGTAATGTGTGTCCTGGGGCATCTCCCCGTTTTGCGCGAATTGGACGTAAAAACATGCGACTGCGACAAAGTCAGGATACGAAGCACGATATTTGCTTTATTGTAGTACGTACTAGGCTCGGGGGAGTGCTTTGCAGGTGAAAAGCAAAGTCGGGAAGGCTTGACTGAGGTTTTCGGCATTTTGGGCGGACGTTCTTGATAGTCAAGGGCATGAAGGTCGGATTGTAGGTTGGCCTTTTCTGACAATTGAGCCGCTAAATCTAAGGTCGAGTTTGAACCATATATGTCTTGACTGTCCAAGACTCCAGCTGCCGAAAATGTGCTTGATGGACAGACAGGATATAGATCCGGATCGTCTCTCTCATTACCACGAAGACGGAAACCACTCACTGGACGTGTTGATGAAAGGACGTCAGTCATCGCAGCCAACTGGTTGTGAAGGTCTCTGTCTGACATGGGGCTTTTGTGCGAACTCATCGATCGTTTTCGCTTCTTCTGATGCCGGATATCGAATTGTCCACCGTTCGTCAGGCAGTCGTCGCGATTTGATGTATCAAAGTGCGAACTTGGTCCTCTGTCGATGATTTGTTTCTTGAGCTTCTCAATTCTTTTCGTAACATATGTTTTGTCATTCAATGATTTGCGTTCGGCACCGTGGTCCCGAAAGAGCTTCACCACACAGTAGGACATTTCTGGCTCATCCACAAATGTCTTTATGTCGTTGACGGACCGTGATAATTCCGTTTTTGCACATAGCCTGACCGGTACCCCTTTGACTCCCTTTGAGCGGCTGAAATCGGTTGATAAAAAGTTGAATTTGAGCGAAATCGCTGCCTCATGGACATTCGCGCTTGAATCAGCCGTCCAGGTGACGCAAAATCCGTCAACAAAAGCTTCTTCAAGCCGTATCTGGTGGTAACCCTGATTTCCTACGTCACCCTCGGAAGAATCGACATACTCGACAGCTAGAACCTTGCCATTACGCTCACGGGCTTCTTTCAAGCCTCGGCCTTCTTTCCATAGCTGCCAAGACTCGACCGGATTCGATCTCTGATCTTCTCCTTCGAAAGCCACATGCACGAATGTTCTATATTCGAGAATTCCGACCTTGTTTGTGGGCGGAGTAGAATCTGCCACTGTAAGGGTGTATGTTTGACCTTTATTAAGGTACGTCACAGGATTTTCATTGGTATCCCAGAGAATTGCCGTTGGGGCTTGCAGCGTCACATGGTAACGGAATCTGTCAAAAGGATTAGGGAGAAAGTATATAGCATTTGTATGGAGTAGGCATACTTTTCTTTGTCACTATACAGCCACTGTTCGTTCACGTGTGCCTCGGATCTGGCCAAGTCGAACTTTGAGTCTGATAGTTCACTGAGACCATCAGCTAGGGTACCCTGATCGGCTCCATCTAAAGTGGCGTATCCAGTATCGTGGTGCATAGGAGTCCTCGACATATCATCCTCCTGTCCAAAACACGGATGGTCCCATAGCCAACGTTGAGACTCAGCTAGCGGAGTGAAGCAGTCGGGCCCATTCCAAGAAATCTGTGGAACGCTTTGGACTGATTCATCGAAAAGGGGTGAAATATTTGAGTTCCACCGTACCATTGGAGAGTGAAGGTCTCCGGCCTTGTTGTGAAAGACCGCGCCCGACCCTAGTAAATTGAAATCATCGAATGTCTCGTGCTTGATGGTACTAACCATCGGAGAGAACCAATCAGATGCATTAAGATTGTGGGGGTCTATAGAACCGCTCTCTAGTTTCAATGCTCGAGCATCATTCGCCTCGTTTATCCATATACCATGAGTAAGCTCATCTCCTTTGGGATAGCTCACAGGTAAAGTTGGATCTCTCGCGTCAACATGAGCAATTTTCATCCTTCTTTCACCCTGGAAGCTCAAGAGAAGGTCCCCAAACCTCTCCCTAAACTGATTGATGAACTCCTCATCTGGTTTATGCATGGTTTATAATAGATGTGCTGGACTAATGGGGGGGGGGGGGGGAATGTGAGGTAAAGCGCAGAGTAAGTAGATGTAAGGGAATCCAACCGGATCAATGGAGAAAATTTCCGGGTGTGGAAGACCAATTTAAGGAAGGTACTTATTAGCATCACGTGATGGCATCGTAGTGTAGATCAGCGCTTCTTCCCGTTGATTCCTTTCTCTTCTCTCTCATCCACCAGGACAGCATGTTGTTCTGTCTGTGTTGTTCTTGTGGTTCTTGTAACTTTTTTCCCAAATAACTTAGTATCACGTATCAGCTGTGCTTTTTATTTTCTGGTGTGCTTTTTTTTCAGCGTATGACGCTGGTAGTCTTGTTGATGTCAGTATTCTTGGCAACAATGCTCCCGAAGACGGAACTACGTTCCTTCCAATAGCCTTCTTGTAGCGGCCGCGGTATGTGGGTCATACCCCACCCTCGGAGCCCAGCCCGTTCTCCTCGGGATCACATCATATTACTGCTGCTTCCTTTCAAGCACAGGAAAATCTCGGCTATATCTATTAGAAAAGCGTTCTAACGTGAAAAAAATCCATTGAACCCTCAAATAATATCGAAGATTGTTTTAACATCTTTTCAATTACGTATTTTCTCCGTGGCAGATGTCATTTCAAGTAACATGTTTCACAAGCGAGCGGGTCTCTCGGCTAGCCGGGTCACCCCAAAACATATAGTTAATGCGATAAATTACAGCTCTATATTCCAACTATCATAGATTTTCGTAGATTTCCCTTATTAACATATTTCTGTCTTATTATAATTCTGAATCTACTCCTTGGCTTTAATTACGTTCTACAGGGAGCTCTGGAGTTGGGTCAGAGATATATATTCAATGCTTCAGTGGCCAGATCATGGAGTATTTGATAGTCCCGGTATGAAAATTTCCAGTATATAAATTCAAGATTCAAACTATGCTACCCTGAATAAATAGTATCGAAAAATTGATTCGGTTTACATAGGTTGTCGTTGAGATATTAAATTGCATTTACTCTGTACTTTGGGGTGATCCGGCCGACCGCCCCGCTCGCCTGTAAAAAACATTTACTTCAGGCAAAACAGACCTTTCACTCGACTCTTTTTGTAATCTCCTCGAGGGCTCCGGAATAGGGCTATAAATAGCTTCCAAGGTCTCTTGAAAAGTCTCTCGGATTAACGGCGGTGCCTTTGGGAAAAGTGCTCCTTAGTTCTGGAAGCCTTACGGTCCTTCTCGAAATCGCCTTGACCGACACTCACTGAAAAACTCTTTCCTGCCCCACCACCAAGACGTTAGTGTAGATCATCTCTGAGCTGGCTCATTTAACGGACCTGTATTTCAGGAATGACCTTTTGGATATTTTCCAGATTTCTATTCGGTCTTTTTGCCACTGAATTAGCTATTTAATTGTAAAGCGACCCTTAATGGCCCGCTATGATATCTAGTAGGCTAAATAATTTTTCACCATTGTGGCCTGCTCGTGAATACACGCATTAGCCTAGTAAGAAGCCGACATATTGCAGACAGCTAGAGGTTCTGCACAAACTCAGCAACCTTCCCTGCGACGCCCCAAGCGCTCTCCTCAAACCCAAGAAGATGGCCAATCAAATAGGTATCGTGTACCGCGTCTTTTTCGTGATGTAGTTCCACTAAGTTGCCCTCAATTCCGCGCATCTCCACAGCCCAGCGTGTGATGCGCTCGAAAAATAGCTCCGAGGTCCCCGCATTCACGAACAAGGGGACAGGCGTCGGAAACGGATGGCCTAGGTGCGTGATGTAAGGATTGGCCCAAGGGTCAGGACAGCTGTCCGCATAGGCGTAGGCTCCCCAGGCTGTGTGGTCATATTAGCTTTGTGGTACGAAGGCGATAGTATAGGGAGATCGCTCTGCTTACCACCATACGTAATTGGAACAAAGTCGGTGCTGCGCTGCGGGTTACCCGCTGGATTCAAATAGAACGGGTCGACCCACGGCGAAAGCAACACGGCACATTTGGGTGTCGGTATATTGATGGTAGATCCAAACTCATAGAGATATCGCAACAAGGCCGCCGCGAGGTTGGCGCCGGCGCTATCGCCTGCGAAGATTATCTGGTGGGGCGGAATGTTACATTGCTGTAATAGGAACAGGTGGCTCGACAGCACGTCTTGCAGTGCAGCTGGGAACGGATCTATGCCCCCGTGGCCTGAAAGGCGATATTGCAAGCAGAAGACGGCATCAGCGGTCCCTTTGTCGAGAAAGTAGTTCGCAACGAGTCCACATTGCTCCGTCCGCCCGTCGCCTTGGACGAAGGCTCCTCCGTGTAAATAAAGCACGACAGTCTTTGATATCACCTGCGATCCAGGAGCATCCGGATACCAGGTTCCTCCAATCGTGGCGGGTTTGACAGTCTTGGATGCCAGTGGCCCTTTGTAAACATCCGAAGTGGACACTGTGATCGTTTGGAACCTCTTACCCTCCTTTCCTGGGTTCAAAGTGAGCGTCTCTGTGATTCCTACTCGAGACACAGCATCCAGCAACGAATAAGTGATATGGGTCATGAAGTTCTGCTTCGCGGTCCATTTTCTATTTGCTCTAAGAAATGGAATCAAAGATATAGTGGCGTAGTATGGGAGGCGCAAGATGACCACGACGAAGTATGAAAGCTGGAAAAGGAGCCTTAGCGGTTGGTAGGACAACAGAGGATGTCCGTTTCGGGCTGTCATCCTAACGATTACGATACTGCAGAGAAATTTTACTGCAAATCGAGATATTAGTTTGGTCTTTCCACGATATATTAAAGTGGTGGATAGAAAGACATAAGAATATTGACTAGACGGGAGGGTGAGAGTGTAGAATAGCTCTTTGCTCAACATACTATACTGTGTGTCGTAAGCTTCCCGCGTTTTCTCTCGAGGCTATCGAATGCTCCTCAACAAAAAATGATGGTCGGTTGTAATTGGTACGCTAGTCAGTTTATCTGGAGTGGCGGCCGGCAATGATGAGGAAGAAACAGAGCGGAAGGGGAGTAGGCGTTCCCTAGCCCATAAAAAAGTATCCCAAAGCCCAGGTACACCCTGCAACGTGCGATTTATAGGAAGTTCTTGCCTACTCTTACCATGCAGGGGATGTCGGGAATGCACAGATTCTCCGCTTCTCTGTCCCTTTAAATACAGACATGACAGATGCCTCAATACCATCGTTTTCATCATCTTCACATCTGTCCACCTTGTAAATTTACTAGTGCATACATATATTCTTCATTCCCACAAAATCAATCTGGAGAAACCGAGCACTTTACGGGCGGACGGACTAAATAATACTGTACAGACTAGTACCAAAGAGGGAATATATTGGGGTAACGACCAGTAATCTTGCATATCGCTGCCAAATCAAGCCGCCCCCGTCAGATGAAAACTTAAGCCACGAACTATCTCGTATCCTCTTTAGGAATAGATCTGAATCAGCCAATTGTTTCTCAGTTCCAACTCCGGTCTCACCACCAGACCATATATACAGGAGCTTCCCGCTAGCATAAGCTACCTCGGTCGGACCTGCTTGGAAACCTGTTCTCTCTATTCAACCCTAAATGAGAATTATGTCTCAGGTTCAAGCTTTGATTGAGAATGCCATTGAAGCTACTAGACGGGATATCCTAGATGGCTTTCGTGATATTTCTTCAGTGGGTATTATTAGAGAGACCGAAATAATTAGAGAGGCTGAGAAAGACATGTTCACCGCGAACAACATCATCAAATATCCAAGTGACTCAAGAGTTCGAAGTGCTGTATATCATAAATGTGGCTCACATCTCTTCGCCAACCTCGCTATTCACAAGAAGCAAAACGGGCTTCAGATAGACAGGCACTGGAAAATTATCTCGGCGAAATGGAAAATTATCTCGTTTCGCCGCGAAATTTGGAGAACACCTGACGGATGGAATGTTTCCCAGACCTGGCAGTGAACTGAAACCTTTGGGCAATTGTCTTTCCCGCAAAATTTACGTTTTCGAGATGGTGTCAACATAGTAATCGATGGTATTCGCGCACTGTATAAGGAGAAAAACAGAGAGCATTTTTGAACCATAAATCGGGAATGAGGCTATATCGAAATTGGATGTTTCCCCACTCTCCTTAGGTGCAACTTTCTCCACAATTTCTCAAAAGAAAACTGACTTCGAAGGGTATCACATAAATGGACCTTCAATCAGCTTCTTCTTCACAAAGCGAAAAGTTGGATGTGATTAGATTACTTCTCCTGATAGACACCGGCTTATACCCGTTAATTTCGAGTATGGCTCTCCGTTTACCTCAAACTCCGCCCATTCGGGGCCACTTATTGTTAGCGCACGATTCATACTTGAGATTCCAGTTCATTTTTTTTCTCAGTGGGGAATTAAAGACTTTGTGTCCATCCTAACAGAAATGCTGGTTGGTCCCTAGCTACACCTGACTCAATAGAAATAGGTTTTCAGAAATATACTCGCTTGATTTGTCATTCTATTGCGCAAAGAAATCAATTACATAAAATCCTCATTATCTCGACATGAATTTGTTGAGAGCAGAAGTGTTGAAGCTTCAGCCGAAACAAGTCCCCACATCTCTCTTTCCAAAATCCGTTCAGAGTAGTTCTCCATCTAGGGAAGGTTGGCGGGAGTGTAGCTCTGGTCGGGCTTAACAACCTTGCCAGTGTCAAGCTGAACATCGGTGTAGGCAGGGTAGATGATCTGGCGGCTGGCGTTGTCGACAACAGCCAAGGTGGTGAAGCCGTTACCGGCACCGAACTGTCCACTCCAGCCAGAAGTGACGGTGAAGTCGCCGCAGGTAGCGGGGCCACCGTTAAGCTCTGAGGCGGTGGTGCCCGCCACGACGAACTTGCAGGAGGTAGCGGTGCCGGAACCAGTGTCAATGCCAAAGGTCCAGGTGCAGGAGGTGTCGGCAGCATTGCAGACACGCTTCATGTTGTCGATAGTCCAAGTAGAGCTGGCGGCCATCATGGATGTGCCGGCAACGGGGGCAGCCAGAACGGCTGGGACAGCGGCGAGGGAGGCCAAAAGGAGCTGAGAGAACTGCATAGTTGCGATATGGTGGATTGTTGAAGAAAAATAGAGGCGTTTGGATTGTAGATGTTCGTCTTGTAGATTGTTCTGATCTGTGAATGAGAATGAGAATAGAATGAAGAGAATTCTGGGGGTATTTAAGTATTTTCTCGAGTTCACTCAAAATTTGACCTTGGCACTATCAAGCAAAGCCCGAGTATGGATCGTGAAGTGTTTGTTGCCTCACCGCAATATTGCACTCGAAATAGATCTTGGTAGAATGGTTGAATGTAACAGTACAAATTGAGTACCTCGATGACAGTGTGCTCCATGCTGGCGGCCTATGTCTCACTTATGTATAGGTGAGACACAAAGGTTGGCCTGAAGGCCTGAACCAGTCTCCATGGGACCATACCATGTCTACATAGCCTCAGTTTAGTGGATGAAATGTAAGACAAATTTAAGACCCACCCAATGAATGTACCACTTTCTGCAGGGCCACCCGCTTCCACGAGCCATATGTCGCTTATGCATCATACATTTACCCCGGATGTGGTATAGCTTCACCTGCCCCACATTTTAGTTCCCAAGAAATAAGCTGTCAGGTGCAGTCACACCATGATCGTTAGTCAAGCTCCGGAACCCCAGAGCGGTCATGAACAAGTAAAGTGGGCAAGTGTGCGGCCTGTAGAGCCTGATTAGTTTGCCGAAAGGACAGTGGGTGAGACACGGCCAACCACAGCCCCCGCTAACAGGGGCTAGTCTTACTTCCGATCAAGCAAGATCACTAGATATACCAAACAGGTTAGGCACTCGGAATTATCAGCCTTAGTGGCTTACGATCTGCAAGACTTTATTGCGATGTAACTATGTCTTAGACTTTACCCCAGAATTGGGCGTGGCACGGCTCTCAGGGTCCGTCGGTACGAGCGATATTTCCATCGTGCTCCACCCTTGGCATACATCATCGCGGTCGCCTTACCCAGGCTAGTTGGCTGTACGAGATATAATTATGCACAATCGGGTTCGTAACCGGTTATTGATCGGTCTAAGGCTTCCAGGTATGCTGCCCCGCCCCTCTCCGCCCACATCCGATTTGAAGGGAACGGGGAGGCTACCCTGGATAGAGGGCGAGAAACTAAAAATATTTTGACATAAATCGTCGGCTTAGGCAAATGGACTCAGGTGCGAAGCGTTAAGGATGTAGGTAGCCCAAGCTTCAGTAGAGAATAGAGCCCCATCCGGGTCGCCGCCAGCTCACGGATGGGGCGTCCAGCTGACCATGGTTCATGGGACAGTCGCATCGATGAACCAAACACGTGCACAACTGTTCTAAAATTAAATCTCGAAGAATGTTCATGGCCTAAGTGGCGGAGGAATATCAAGTTGGTTTAGCTACGTGAAGCGAAAGTATTTCAAAATTCCAAGTTCCCTCATGTCACTGAATATATTTTCTGTCAATCCCGATGTTTCGTGCACAGGCCTCCCACCTGGCATCCTGTTGAAAAGTTGTCGAGCCATACAGTCCACGGGTACCAACGGAGTGATCCATACTGCTGCATAAATATCCAATTGAATGTCGAGCAGCGATCACTCGGAGCTTCCAACTTCTTTTCTATTTGATCTCGAACGCTATTACGAACATCATTGACTAACACGTGTAGGCATTGTGGCAGATTTCGCGAATCACACAATTCAGCTCTTTTTAGATTATGAAATGCCGGCTTTCTTGTGGTCGAATAGATCACCAGGTAGAATCATGACTGTGGCCTCTCTTGCATGACATGACAATCCATCACAGATCCAACCAGTACCTCTTCATCAACAACCGGCTCACAGCTCCCAGGTTGGATCTTAAAAGCTAAAAGTATCATAAAGTGCATCTTACCGTTGAAAGTAAGTACAGTTATAGTAGTGTGTTAATAGTTCATTACTAATTTGAAAGTCTCTCTTGAAAAGATACCAATCAAATCGCCCTCGATATTTATCATTTTGGTGCCTGAATATTTAGGCATATGAAAAAGAATCTCGTAGAATCGCTGCCAATTCTCTCAGACTCTAAGGCTTAGAAACGAGGGGTTACCCCTCCAACAGTGAATGACATGCATGATGTGGGGATGTTGGATCAGATAAAATCCTAAGGCTGAAGCCGTATTCGGTGTGGCGGTTCCGTAACAGGCGTTGGAATCATTCCGATCAACCACATTACGTTCCCGCAAAGCAAATTATGACTCAATTGAACTGTAAGAATACCTTCTATGTCATTCCCCTGAATTCTTTGGATATACTGACAAGTGAGTTCCAGTGACGAGGCTGCCCCTCCTGTAGAAACGACCCCACTCAGGATTAGGAAGGCTTCTCCGAACGCTTAGATAGATCCACACCCAAACAGAAAGTGTTTCCGCATAGAGCAAGTGTATACATCTGAACGCCATGTACTTAAAAGACAGAATACCAAACTCCATCAGACTCAATATTTCACAGACTACTCTTCACCTCATATCTACAATCACCACACACTCACATCATCACAATGGCTGACCTCCACGGAATCATGGTGGCCCTGATCACCCCCTTCACCGATGACCAGACCAAGATCGACGAAGCCCGCCTTCAAGCCCACATCGAGCACCTCATCAAGGCCGGTGTGCATGGTCTCGTGCCGGGCGGCAGCACTGGCGAGTTCACAGTCATGACAACCGCCGAGCGCAAGCAGCTCACGGAGCTCTGCGTTAAGTTCGCCGCCGGCCGCGTCCCCGTCGTCACAGGTACAGGCAGCACATCCTCCGCCGAAGCCATTGAACTATCCAAGCACGCCGGTGAAGTTGGTGCTGCCGCCGTCATGGTCGTACCCCCTTCTACGACCCGCTCAATCTCGAAGAGCTGCACGAGCTCTTCCAGGAGATCCACAACGAATCCAAGCTACCCATCATGTTCTATAATATCCCCGGGGCTTCAGGCCTGAAGCTTACCCCCACCGAGATCGCCGGTCTGTCCAAGGTCGGCGTCAAGTATATGAAGGATACATCCGGTGATGCGCCTGCGCTTACCGAGCTGCTTGTTGGTCACTCTGATAAGATTACTGCTTTCAATGGATGGGATAGTCTTACTTTCTTCGGATTGGCTTCTGGTGCCCCCGGTGGTGTCTGGGGCGCTGCGAATTTTATCCCTGAGTTGGCTGTTGAGCTTTATGAGGCTATCTCTATTAAGGGCGACTTGAAGCGTGGTCGTGAGCTTTGGGCCAAGGCTTGGCCTATTTGCAAGTTCTTGGAGTCGTACAACTATGCTGCTTCTGTTAAGACTGGCGTTGAGCTCATTGGTCAGCCTACTGGAGGTTTGCGGAAGCCGTTTGCTTTGCTCAAGCCTGAGCTGCGGGCTGAGCTTAAGCAGTTGATTGAGAATGCTGGTGTTAAGACTGTTTAAGGATGTATTATACGGATGATCTGTACTAGGTATATTGGTGACTATACCTATCATGTTTCCTCTGCCGGTTGGATTTCCATCCCAGATGCCACCGCTTTAATGAGGGCGCGCGCTTAGAGTCAAGGCTCACTGGTAATTCAGGAAACGATCAGGGGCATCTATTGGAAACTCAGTCTACACTCAGTCTATACCCAAAAGGGCACCCAGCCCCAAAATACTGTTTACATAAGTACGAATTCTTTTCAAAGGCCTAATTAGTTTGAGTTCACAAGGTGTTCTGTAGTCTTGACCCTGAGATTCGTAAGTAAGCGGCGAAGGCCATATTCTGACCGACGACGACGCGAATATCAGCTGGCAAGATGTAGAATGCGGCGGATACTGGCATTGTTTTCCTGAATCTGGTGATTGAGCAGCGATGATCCCTGTCACGGGAGTCCACGAAACAGATTTGATAGGACGCCCGTCTTCATGGCTACCGCCACGCGGACACTGTAGAGGCTGTGTTGAAGATCGAGGAGGAGCGTATATCAGGTTCATGAAAAACAAGACGAAGTACAATATGGACTCAGAAAGCACCCGAGGGTGCGCGTTTGTGATCTTGATTTTCCGCCTCGTGCCTATAGGAACGGTGGTAAAATCTAACACTAAAGTAAATTCATCACTGTCCAAAAAAAATCTGTACACTCTGAGCGCAAGGAACAGGATCATGGGGAGAAGAAGGTAAAGAAGTCATTCGGTCAGAGTGAAATAGTAAGAGTCACGTCACTCACGTGAACCTCCCGTTTAGGTCTAGATCCTGCACACTTAGGAGTATGGTTTTCATCTTTGGTCGTCCACCCACGATTCGTGGATTCGTCTTCTTTTATCTCTTTTTCACTGTGAGAGAAGTGGCTTTGGTTCATTCTAATAAGGTCGCAAGTTTCTTATTGATCAATAGGGTATATATCATTGCGTCGTAACTCATCTCATCATACATGCTATACAGGGTGAATAACAGAGAAATGATCTCGTAAACAAGCTCAAAAGAACAAAGGCCATGTCTGCTCTTCTTTCACAATTTCAATCCATGACAATATCCGGTCTCCCCGATTGGCCATCAGGTGCTCATCCTGCTTGCGCCAAACTTTCATCATGACATCTCGCGCCGTAGAAAATGAAGTACATCCGCATTTGGAACTGGCATTATCCAACCATTTCAAGACAGCCTCCCTTCTGTTGGTAGTAAGAGCCTCACTCCCCGCAATAAAAATTGGCCATGCAGTTCCGGGACCCGATTGGGCATCTTGTGACAATGTGTCATTGCACTCTTCTAGCGCGTTGATCACATTGTCAACATGTCCTTGTAACACAGCCGGATGAACCTCTCGAATCCGGCGATAGAAGAAGATCATAAGTGCCTCGTTCAAGGCTTCAAGCATGCATACATGCGGCTTGGAAAGGGTCTGCAGGTCGGTGGACTGTCCTCGAGTACGGCCCAGATTTAATGAGCAGATCATGTTCTCTAAGCGCATACTTCGTCGCTGCAGCTTTTCCCATGCTTCCATGCTCACACTTCGACCTGAACTCCTTGCAGTTCGGAAGGCTTCCATGACGTTTGCGAGTCTAGTTGTTTGAGATACTAGACTAAGCCATGTCTCTGGGATGCCGTAGATTTGCTTGTAGAGGTGCTCGGAGAAACTGCGGGAATCATGCAAATGAATATCATTGTATCCAGATGCGTGGTCCTTGGGTTCGTCGATATTGAGGTCATTATCAGAATTCTGGTTGCCAAGGCGGAGAAAGTCATCTAGACGGGGATTGGGCTCGTTTTGTACAGGATTGCTATTCCCTATGGCGCTCGGGGTGTGGATTCGACCCGAGGAACCGAGATTGTCGAGACACGAATAGGATAGGCCGTAGTCGTGCAGAACAAAGGTGCTCTCTCCGAGAATTCTCAGCCAGGTATAGACATGGTGCAAGAGACGGGCCTTCTTAGAGATTCGGCTTTTGGATAATCCACGCAGACGTAACAGTCGCTCTGCATCAATCAAGAAGCAACGTGCGTGTTGCTGTTGACCAGACAAAATCTGAAAAAGGTTAGTGAGGCCTTACTCAAGGTTGAGGATCAGGATTGTGTACGGCGTATTGTGTCAGAATATTCGCTGACATCAGCTGGTCTTTGTACTTGGCTTTCCTCGGCCCCTGAGTCTCATGTTGTAATGAGATCTGCATGTGGTCTTTCGCATTATGGTATAACTGGTTTGCGGTGTGGTGCCAATGGTCACTAGATTCCAACATTCCATCTTGTGGTCTCAACGCCAAATCGAGAGCGGAGCAGGCAATAATCCCGTAGAGATTGGCAAGCCGAGCATGACTGACACCGTCCGTGCCAAGGAAAGTGGAATCACCAAACGAGACTACTGCAGCAGGTAAATTCAGAATTTTCCATGGTGATTTCAGTCCGAACGGGATTGCCATAATGTGAGGAATCACGACATCCTGAAAATGCTTGAGAAGGAATTGGGCGTTCTGAAGAAGGTCGGTTGCGGTTGATACAAACTCCATTGGTGTCTGCTGGGGAGTGATAGCCTGTATGGAATTGTGATTCGTTGTGGAAGTGAAGGACAGTAATCCCACGTCGTTGTTTAGATCCAAGGACATATCCGGCTGCAGGCTCAGATTGGGATATGTTGCGAATCCCGATGGATCAAGATTGATTCCTAACAGGTCTGACCAGTGCAGGAAATCATCCATCTGGGATAGAGAATCCATGATCGACAATGGGCTAGTATCCTGGATCTCTTCCGGGATGATAGCATCCGCGGAGCCATTGGGATCAGGGTCCGCTGGGATAGGCTCAACTTCCTGCGCTAAAGCCGGCAAAACTAGCTGCTGAGCTGGCGATTGAATAACATCTTGAGCTTGTGGCTCTGTGCTTGATGGAGTAAATTTCAACACTCCAAATGGCCCAATGACTACATCATCATCGGTCGCACGATCAGTATCTCGAGATCTTAATTCGATTTCAGCCAATGAAGCGTCAATCGAGCCGGATAGCAGATTGGTAGTCAAGGAATCGCTCATAGAAAGACGGTCCTTTTCTATCACATAGTTAGTTCAAAGTGGCAAGGGACATAATTCAAATCTAGCACACCTGTGTAGAGGTGCCGTCGAGTTGCGCGGCGACCGTCTTCGGCCAACTCTTCACTATCATCACCACGTACCCAAAGGATCTGATCAGAGAAACCCTCACACGGCACCCCGATACTCCGACATGTGCGACATGTAGGCCGTTTTTGATCGCATTTCACGTGGCGACGCCTGCAGGTGCCACATCCGCCCAATAGATGGGATCGACGCGTTCGCGCTCGCGTAGATCTCGCCATTACCTTATGGAATCACTTCCAAGGAGTCTAGTGCTTGTATCCGGTATCTTCTATCACGAATCGACTGATTAATTAAACCCAGGAAGATCCAAGGAGGTAAGTAGACCCTGGACGGTTGTGACGTCGGAATGTCCTTCCTATTTTAATCGCGCCACTAACTTATCTAATCTACCCCGCCACTTTTTCGGTTCTAGTTTACAACTTCCCCAGTCGGGTCGCCTCGGCCTTCACAGTCGCCGGAATCTCTTGCTCAAGCGAGTGAGCTTTCTGACTCCACTCCAGGAACTTGGTTGCTCTCTGGGAGTGTTGCCGAGCGTTGGTACCCCAGAAAACACTGCCCTTGCCGGTCAACTCATCCGCCTCGCTAGCACTAACGCTCTTGACGGAAGCTGAGTCAGTCAGACCCAGGCCGTGAGCTGCGTCAGCCACAAGTTGAGAAATCTTGCCAAATGACTGTTGGAAGTTAGCATTCCGCCAAAATAAAGGTAAACGAGTAGTTGCAAGTTACCAGCATATCAGCGTTGCCGACAAAGTAGAGACCATCCTGATTCCACATGGCGCCTTCGGCACCTTCAACGGCCTTCTCAACCAATGCGACAAATACATTAGCCAAGTCGGAGATGTGAATGTTGCTCCAGGTGCTCTCTCCCTTGCCCACTTGGACGGTCTGGCGTGTCTGAATGGCAACTCGAGAAAGCTCTGGAATCTGAATACTGCGCTGATTGACAGGGCCATTTCCTTTCCCATAGATGATTGGAGGGAAGATGAGTGCAGTTCTGGGACCACTGAGATTAACAAGGTAATTGTCTGCCACTCTGGTATCTGCGTTTTGTTTGATGATATCGCGGATCTCAGAAGCATCATTCACATCGTCATAAAATTTACCAGCAGCTTCTCCGAAGCGGTTGTTCACGATGTCTGGGATTGAGAGAATGCTTGCACCAGATATCTGGATCCAATATCCTGAACGTAAGGCGTTAAATATGCTTTTCTTGGCATATAACGTGTTCACTCACCAGGTGTGGGTCGGCTGGCCAGGCCGCGAGCAATGGCTTCAATGCTGGGCTGGTGCTTGTAAGTAGCGGCATCTGGGCTTTTGTTAGAATTTGAACTTCACGATTTTATAGTTCCCTTACTGATAACCACATCGGCTTGACGTGCCTCCTCTTCAATCAGCGATGTGGAGTCGAGATCACCGAGAACAACATGAACACGAGGATAGGCCTTTGAGACGGTAGCAGCTTTCTCGCTGTCGCGCAATAGAGCAAAACATTCATACTCAGGGTGTGTTGACTGGAGGGTGTGGAGAACTTGTCCACCAATAAAGCCGGAGCCGCCAGTCCTACAAGGGAAGTCAATACATTTCTCAACAACCTGACCACGCATACCACGCCACGTACAGAAAGATGCGAGTCATGGTCACTTGATGGTCAATGGATTTGCACTAGTGTGAAGAACGTTGAATGTCTGGCCGAACGGCCTGTGTAAGGACATTTTAATAAAGCGCAATATGCGGGGCATCATTGAATGAGGAAGGCCATTCCGGTGTGGGTCGTTCTGCGATAGGAAGTCGACATGAACTATACATGGGGAAGGTTATTGGACATATTATCTAGATTGGGATAGAGAGCGTATAATCTCCGCATCTCTTAAACTTGTACCAAGTACTTATTTTGCTCCTGTCCCTGACTGCATATCTAAAAACACCTACTCTTATACACTACACTTAGAACATGTCACACCGTGGTGAGACCCTTCACAAGGATGTGTGCTGCATCGCAGACCTTAAGGAGGCCGGAGGCAAGAACCTCAACAAAATGTATCGAGGTGAGTGTGATGAACACAATGCGCTGGTACTCCGAGACTGACCCAAACAGACTACTATGATGGAGGTGCAATGGACTTGATCACGTACGAACCTTACTTTCCATACACTGTCCCCAAAGCTAATGAAATTCAAGTCTCAACGACAACGAGAAAGCCTACGATCGCTACAAAATCCGTCCACGAATCTTGGTCAACGTCGAGAAAGTCGATACGAGCACAGAGTTCCTTGGCAGCAAGGTATCCCTGCCCTTCAGTTTCGGTCCAGCTGCCTCCCACAAACTCGCACATCCCGATGGAGAGCTCGCGACTTCTCGGGCCGCGGCTAAATATAACATGGGTATGGGTCTGTCATCGTATGCGACCTGCTCCTTGGAGGATGTCAAGGCGCAAGGCCTTGAAAATCCCTACTTCATGCAGATGTGCGTGTTGAAGGACCGGGGAGTTACAATTCAATTGTTGGATCGCGCCGAAAGTGAGTGTCTTTTCCTACAAGAGAGAGATTGTTGAACTTGATTTAATTTTGTTTTCAGAGTCGGGATACAAGGCCCTGTTCTTGTCCGTCGATGTGCCCGTCCTGGGAAAACGGTTGAACGAATATCGCAATGAGTTCCGCATTCCAGAGGACATGACCTACCCGAATATTCTCAGCAGTGGAGCTGATACATCCGACCGCACAGATTACGGTATGTTCACCGTGCTGTTCGACAGAGAGAAGATAGCTGATTGTGGTAGATCCTACCCTTGACTGGGAGACAGCGATCTCGTGGCTCAGGTCACACACCCGCCTTCCCATCTGGATCAAAGGAGGTAAGAGAGTCTGTACTGAACATGTATGCTGCACTAAATTATTGACAATACTGGTAGTGTGTTCGCCTGAAGACGTCGAACTTGCAATCCAGTACGGTGTGGATGGAATTGTGATCTCCAACCACGGTGGCCGACAATTGGACGGCGTCCCATCCACCCTTGACGCGCTCAGAATATGCGCCCCTGTCGCTCAGGGACGCATCCCAATCACAATCGACGGTGGTATCCGCCGTGGATCGGACATTTTCAAGGCGATCGCTTTAGGCGCTAGCCATTGCTTCCTGGGTCGAATCCCCATCTGGGGTCTAGCAGTACGCCACACTCAAGCCACTGCGTTTCAAGAATATTTTCAGCTGATAGCCTGCAGTACAACGGTCAAGAAGGCGTCGAACTGGCAATTAAAATCCTTCGCCAAGAGTTGAAGATTACTATGGCGCTGGCTGGGTAAGTTTTCCCTTTTTGTCTTATGCAGGGTATAATTTTTCGTATAACTGATCCACTTGCAGATGCAACACAATCAGCGATATCCAAAAATGTTATCTTTCCGTCCTGCAACCTGACGGCATCCTTGCCAAGCTGTGAAACTCATCAGCCGACCCGAATATCCAATAAAATTGCCTGCCAAGGGTCTTGGCACTCCGCCGCTCTTTAGGGCTGAGCGGCACACGCACATTTTTTCGTCATTGTTTGTTGACAAGACAGCGCCTCGTGAAGAGATGAGTAACATGGATATATTGTGAAGCATAAGTGTACAATGTGATAGTCAAGACCCATATTTGAGCTGTTTATAGAAGCAAGATTACGCATATAAATGAGGCTGTTCAAACTTCAACCAGATTCGTGGCGGTGTATGGGCGCAGTCAGGCAGCACTATTCCGATTAGTCCGAGACACTATACTTAGCACTGACCCTCATGCAGCCTTACCCTGGCAGCTAGGCAGGTGTTCATTGGTATGCGACCCTCATACAACGATGCGCCCCCTTCGCGGTCGGATTGGTTGGGGGACACTAGCCGAGTCAGTATTTAATTGAAGCCGATCCTCCACATTGAAACTGTATTTACCGCAAATTTTTCTTAAATTTGGTTTCATTAGTTTTGCCGATCCTTCCAATTTACTTAAATTGTCCACATCTCACCTTTCACTCTTCCGTATCTCATCCGTCCACCAACGTCAATATGTTCAACTTCAACTTCTTCAAGTCTTCCCCCGCCGCTGAGGCCGAGTGCGCTCAGGAGAACACCTGGAACGGCAACACTGTCGCTATGCAGCAGCCTTCCAGCCCTGCCGCTCCCTCTACCGAGAATGTGGTGTCCGAGCAGCCCGTACGTCAACTCCCTGGAGAGGGGCCAAAACGAGATGATATGAAACTAACAGGTGTTCTTTAGGCGAACCAGGAGCAGATGTCGATGCAGCTGCGCGGTGGTGGTGGCGGTGGTCTTTGCTGCGGAATGTAAGTTCGCTATATAAATGGTACTGAGATTCAGGGGCTAACATGCTCTCAGCTGCGCCGGTCTTGCTTGCTTCGAGTGCTGCGAGATTTGCTGCTAAATTACCACCACAAGTCCATACACGGTGACTGGAGGGTGCTTTGAATGAATAGAGTATGTTTACTCGGGCATCGAACTGCCGTCCTTATGTGGGGCCCGCGATTTTCTTTATGTGGCATGCCGGATGTCTATGCGCTATACCCAACAACAATGCAACGATTATTTGATCTCATTGAATTGAACGTAATCATTTATCACGTAGTCATCGTTATCATTATCTTCTGCTTGAGGGTAGGAAAATGGGTTGTCTCGCGTTTAACTGAGTGATCGTCGGTGGATCGCCGTCCGCAGAGCCGCGTCCACATCCCACGATCGAAACCCAGGCGCTCGGCCTAGAATCCTCAAATTGGCCAGTAATACTATATATGTTAGCGCCCAGCTCAGAGCTAGCTTCAGATCAAGTAAGACTCACAGTCAAAGAAACACTCAACATCCAGGACATAAGTCGATTGGCTTAGATAGCGCCAACCACTCATCTCACTAGGCGAATCCTCGCTCGCCGAGCCATATAAGTAAGACGCAGATGTATCCGACGAAGCACCGTAGAGATCTCCAACTGTCGCAGCAGGTACCTCCAATGACAGCGACGACCCGTCAAGCACGACGCCCCGATGCTCTAGATACCCCTGAACATCATAACAATCAAACCAATCTCCATCGAGATCCAACGAGCGCAGCCGCTCCTCTTTACTCATAAATCTCTCCGCAACGGATTCCGGACGATCATCCGGCTCCGCATCCCCACTCCAATCCTCATCCCAATCCCGAATACCACCCCGCCGCAAGATCCGCGCCAACCTGCGCAATATTTTCCCGGGTCTCCGTACGTTATCAAGGGATTCTGCACGAGGGTAATGCGTCCCTGCACCTCCGAGCGTGTAGAAAGGGAGCTTGAAGCTCTCAAGCGAACTCCCTATCTCTGATTGGAGGACGCGTCTGAAATTGCGACATACGCCGGGAATGTCGTGGATGCATGGGAGGAGGCCGAAGGCGCGGGTCATGGAGACAGGGTCGGAATGTGGGTCTGTCAGCCAGCGGTATGTGTGTTCTAGACAGAAGCGGTGGAGGCGCCGGGATAGGTTTGACTCTTGGTGGCTGTAGGTGTAGATTGTTGTTGTGGGGAATAGACGATTTAGGAGTGGGGAAGGAGATCTGGCGACGAACCTGGATCTCCTCTGAGGACTTGATTCGGATGCTTGGTGTTCTGAGTGGGAGACGTGGTATCCGAATATGTCGCGCAGGGTTTCGGAGCTCTGGGTTATATATTGACTGCGATCGAGCGAGAAGGTTTCGTCTGAGGATGACCGGGTTTTGTTAATTTCAGCTAGGATCAGTTGTTTGGTGCGGCCTTGGTCATGTGCAGCTGGTCCCGTGCCCGGGGTGCTATTATCTGTTGCACTGATTATGTTGGCCACATTCTGTAGTGTCTGTTCTAGCACTTCTACACGCGTTCTGAGAGTCTGGATTGTTGTCTCCTTTTTTTTGACGGTAGGTACGTTGAGCGCGACGAATTTGCAAGCGCCGTTCCTGGAAAGATCAGCAGGCGATCTTGGGGCGTACATCTATGCAATTCACCTCAATCGCAATAGCATCCTTAGCTGTTTCCAGTCTAGGTCGGCCTCGTTTACGCACGGGTCGATCTGGCCCCGGTTCGGTCTTCTCCGACATTGCTGGTAATGTCTGCCTGAGTTGTACACGCGGGTCGGACTTGCCGTCGCGTTGTAGAGGAGTTCCAGGAGCGGATTCCCAGCTATGAGGAGTTTCGGAGCTTTGAGATGTTTCGGCCCTCGGGGCCAGTTCACTTAGCTCGAGGTAGGATCTGGCCGACAAGGCGCCCGAAAGCATGTCGGATTGTGGGTCGTGTCCTGGCATTAGGCTCGGGAGAAGAATGAATAGGATTAAGATTAGATGTTAGATTAGAAACGTCCCTAGCGATATGAGGATCGATTACGTTGATCAATAATCATGCCTCGGCCCACGCTTAGTCACGTATGCACTCCGCGAGACTAGCAGGGATCAACAGGATTTAAACATCATCGTGCATGCTACCGTTCGTAAGTCATTTCTAAATCCGACACTAATGCCGCATAATCGGCAGGAAAATAGTTTCTTTTTCTAGAATGTGGTTTTACGAAACTGTTCCCGAGAACCCTTTTTCCGAACTCCGTGTTTCAGAGTTGTGGCTGTTCTTCAGGAGTGTGGGGACGCCATCCCTTATGCGGCGCAAGTCCGAATGGATCAAAGCTTCCAGTCGGTCTTCTCCGAATGAACATATGTAAATTGATGGATCCGGGCCCATAAATCCATCCCGAATAACTGGCCCGTGATCACAGACCGGAGTTGGAATTGGAAAAAGCTCGAAATCCGATGGAGGCGATCTAGCCTGACCTCTATTTCCACTCTCATTGGTCCTAACGCAAGGATCAACGTAGGCTACAGCAGGTCAATGCACCATTACCCACCTTATGACGGCTACGAACCGAGGTTGCAATGTTGAAAACCATAAATATGATTCAATGCCCCGTGTCCACCTCGATCTCGTGGCGCTCTTGAATTATCAACGACCTTTCACCATGACGCCTAACTTTATTCTAGGCTTTCTCGGTGCTGCGGTGGTCCTACAGATCATCCGCCTGGCAGTCAACTCATGGCAACATGCTCGCAAAGCTCGAAGCTTGGGCTGTGGCCCTCTGCCTCGTTTACCCTGTAAAGACCCGATCGGAATTGCAACTCTCAAGGAATCCATGGCTGCGGACAAGACGAAGACCATTCCCCTGCTGTCGGAACGTCGCTGCAAATTGATGAGCGAGCAGGAGGGTCGCTTTGTCTCGACTTTCATCATGCGCAATCTTGGTAAGGACGTCACATTCACCATCGACCCAAAGAACGTCCAAGCAGTGCTAGCAACTCAGTTCAAGGACTTTGAGCTTGGAGCTCCGCGTCGCCGCAATATGCACCCCCTCCTGGGAACTGGAATCGTGAGTGATATCATGCGATATTGATCTCTCCTTGCAGAATACTGACTTCCTATAGTTCACCGCCGATGGCCAGGAATGGAACCATTCTCGCGGACTTCTCCGTCCGCAATTCACCCGCGAACAGATCAGCCAGCTGGAATTGGAAGAGACTCACGTTCAGAAAGCGATGCAGGCCCTGCCGGTCGCCGCCAACAAGTGGACTGCGGCTACCGACATCCAGTCCATTTTCTTCCGCCTGACCATGGACTCTGCGACCGAATTTCTGTTTGGAGAGAGTGTTGAGAGCCAGCTTCAGGCCCTCAATGGGCTGGAGCGTCCCGAGGACAACTTCGCTACGTACTTCGACAAGTCCCAGTGGGTTTGCACCCAGCGCGCCCGGTTCGAGAGACTCGCATTCCTCGCTGAGACCAAAGAGGCTCGTCACTCCGACCAGCAAGTCCACGCATTTGTCGACAAGATCGTCGAAGCGGCATTGAAGAATACTGAAAACGAGAAGAAGGTGCCCGATGAGGAGAAGACTCAGTATGTCTTCCTCGACGCCCTCGCTGCTACTACCCGAGACCCAATCGAGCTCCGCTCGCAGTTGCTCAACATTCTGCTCGCTGGCCGTGACACCACTGCCTCTCTTCTTAGCTGGACCGTTCTATCCCTTGCACGCAACCCTGAGATCTTCCGTAAGCTCCGCGAGACTATCGTCGAGACCTTCGGAACCTACTCGAACCCCCAAAACATGACTTTTGCTGCCCTCAAGTCTTGCCAGTACCTTCAGTACTGCATGAACGAGGCTCTTCGTTTGTACCCCGTTGTTCCTTTCAACCGTCGCTCCGCTACCCGTGACACCACCATCCCTCGCGGCGGTGGTCCAGACGGTGAGTCCCCCGTTTACATCCGCAAGGGCGACTCGGTCGCATACAGCACTTTCGTCATGCAGCGCCGCAAGGATATCTGGGGACCCGATGCGGATGAATACAAGCCTGAGCGTTTTGCCAGCCGCAAGGCTGGGTGGGAGTACCTTCCTTTCAACGGTGGTCCACGTATCTGCATCGGCCAGCAGTTTGCTCTGACCGAGGCTGGGTACGTGCTTGTTCGTCTGCTGCAGCGTTTCGATCAGATTGAGGATGTCAACCCCGATCAGCCGATCCGTTACGGTGTGACTTTGACTATGTGCCCGGCTGATCTGTTGACTGTCCGCATGCACGAGGCTGATGATGCCTAAATCTCTGCTTCTGGGATATGAGTGTAATCACCGCTCTTCTTTTTTAATATGGCTTGGGGAAAATTTGACTGGTGACTTTCATTGTTATTTTTCATGGGACCGGTTGCATATATTTACCTAGTTGGACAAATTTGTCTAATACGACGATTACGAATGACTTTAATTTCAACTTTCTTATATCCCTTCATCTTAGTATGCACTACACTCATCCATGCTCGCGCTCCCTCGACATCAGGCCGAACTGTTTTACTTAGTGGAGACAGGTATGATTGGTCCTCGGGTGGTCTGGAGAAATCATGCATGGATCCACACGTCAACATCAGGACCTGATCTATCGCCCCAATTTATCCCGGTTGTGGCGCCGCCATGTCTTGGCTTGGGGAAGACCCTGAACAAACAGGTATTAATAGAGTAACGCTAAAGTAGTTCACTCTGAAAGAACAAGTATGCGGAGCTTTGTAAACTTGTGAAAGATACACCAGTCGGAACCGACAACATGAACTTCCGAGCTATGCAAAAGGTAAAGAATTTGCACACAATTCTCGACGACTGTCCATTTCAACATATCCAGACCCACCGTTCCCTTACTCCTTAACGAGGGGCATATCTCAAACTCGGAAGGGAAATCTTCTCATACGCCTTCTTAATGATCATTTCAGAAGCAATACCCGCATGCTTCATCGCCATCTTGTTCCAGCACCCGTTGGTAGCCCAGAAATAGACGGTACAACCCTTCTTCTCAGCCGCATGTATTGTGTACATGAGACACCACCACAGATCCTCATCCTCGACAGGAACATCCGTGTACCGGTAGCACCACCCGTCCCTGATCCATCCTCTCATCAAAGACGTAATCCCATCGACAACAGAGACATCGCTAGTTGCAATAATTAGGCGTTGGAATCCTTCGGCGGCCCAGTTTCGGCATTGGATAGCAGCAATTGCAGCACGGATCGACGCGCACCGAGCAGTTCTGGTGTTCTTTTTGCCCTTGGGGTTATTTTCTTCAAGCGGGAAGCGGTACCAGCCTCCAGTCTCGTTCACCATGAAAGCGCAGCCGGCGTTGGGTTTGCTTGGCTGTTCATCGTTGTGGAATGAAGTGCCTTCCGTGCAGATGAGGAGCTCGCGAGGGTTTTGGGCGCGGATGAAGCGCTTGAGTGGGAAGGGTGAGCGTGCGCTGATTGTGGGGTGGTAGATTGACTCTGGAACAAAGTGACCATAGGGTGGAAGAAATTCCCTCGGAAGTTTTAGGCTCGGGGGGTCCGAGGCCATGTATGGGATATCCATATTTTGGCAGGAGAAGTGAGGAAAGATGCTTCGCGAGGTGGGTCTTGTTGTCTTCGTGACGATGATATGAGGTTGCGTGAGGATGTGAGTCTGTTCATTACGAAGGATTGAATTCATGTATTTGTTGTTGAGGCCTTAGGCCCGCATTTATATGGCGTTTATTTACACAGTCTCATTCACACGAAATGCACAGATTAAATCGTCAGTCAAAGGCGTTGTTGTTATGACAATGACGGCTGGTTCCAATGCCCAATCGTACCTACACAATGCTCGCATCAATTCAATCAACGTCAATGAAAGCCCGCTTGAGACTGGCTGTCCAGGTGTGCAAACAAAGCGTCATGACCTAAAGTCCATGTCTGACATCCAACCGAAATTCGATTAGTGTTATTAGAGCTAGGCCTCATGGTGTATCCGCTAAAGGCCTTCATCCTGCCAGATAGCGGGCTTTCCCCCTCTTTTCTCTTCTTATCTTTTCTGTATCCTACAGCATCGTACTCTTCTAGTTACTCCCCTTAATCACCATACAAATAGCTGTCTACCCTTCTCTCTGGCTGTGCTCGGCACTCGGGTGCTGAAACTCTTCAAAACTAGGTACAATTGGCAGGGGACCCCTACAAGTTGATATATAGTTGAAAATTGTTATCGATTTTATTGCAAGCCAAAATAGAAGGGACGCACTATCTATGCATAATGATTCGCCACCTTCAAACCCTTGAACTCAAAGGACGTGTTCTCCCGACGATCAATCACGGATTTGTAGTGAACATCACGAACTCTGGCACGGACATATTCCGTCCCTGTAGCGACGAGCTTACTTGTGTCTTTATCCTCCTCAGTAAGCAGACCGAGACGATCAAGTAAAGGAGAGGGCACCGTCTTCATGATGGTATGGTCTCCAGGTCTGCAGAAGTATAGCAATCCAAGACGAGGTATGGCGAGTTGATCACTTGGCGGGGTGACAACCCTGTGAATCGTGGATTTCAGGAAACCTAGTTTCCCGAATCAGTGGAATACTTCCTTGCATGATCAATGACTCACTATTTGTAAGGAAAGATAAAGTGTCGGCAATATTGCACGTAATCCCACCATCAACATGCTTCACATATTTCCAGTCTCCTTCTGGCGTCCGAATCTGCAAGCCAGCAACATGTTGCGAAAACAGTAGTGTCAGGCTACCAAAGTCTGTATGGCCGCCCTGTGTGTATCCCTGTGCCTTGTCCCACTCCTCTTGAGTTCGCGTGTTATAGATCATGTATCGCAGGTGATCATCAGAGCGCCTCTCGTAAGCATGTGCCTGAACCAGGTAGTCCTCGGGTAGCTCAAGGGTGATGGCTATTAGTATGAGTAGCTTCCTAATAACGTTCTCGAATACGTCACGATGAAAGCTCGCGATCTCGTCCCAGTTTTGGCGTACGATCCTATGTTTTGGGACATCCTCCCATGTGGAGATCGGTTTTTGAATATTGAGCTTGATAGGTTAGCTCACCCCTCATTTGAATGTTGAGGTTCTTGTTCATACCATTTCTATATTATCTTTGACACCAGTCTCTCCGACCCACCTGTTGTTCTCCCGATAGCCGAAATACTCACCCTCGGCAAAGTTGCAGGCGAAAGTTCGCTTTTCCTCGAGCGGCTCTTTAAAGAACGCATTACCGATACTGAATTGGCGAATAATGCGTTCCTCTTCAAGGCCATGTCCAACTACCACCCAAAAGCCAACTCGGGTTACGGCATCGTATAACTGTTTGGCAAGTTCCTCTTTTCCGCCAGGTTCGTCAAAACGCGATAGATCAATTTCGACTAGAGGAGCCCAGTCGAGACTTTCTCTAGTGGGTGCAGGACGAGTCCATGATTTGATTGGGATATCTCCGGTTGGAAGCTCTCGTTCTATAGCAACCGGAGCCATGGTTTTGTCTTGTATTAAGAAACAGGGAGATACCGACAGGTGGACTAGGACTTTGGAAACTCATGTCCGGATGCGAACTGAACTTATATATTTACTACCTTTGAACATCCATGGATGATTAATTCCTCTGGATTTCGTATTTGGTGGCTTGTTGCTTCGTTTCGCCTATGCAGTGAATGCGGGGGTTATAATGATACCATACTTGCCCCGGATTGCGTTGCATGTTAAAACCCCATTGGTGAGGCGGGGGTAGCTATCGGACAAAACCGACTAGATTTTTTTTCAAGTTATGTATATGTTCCGTAGGCCGGATATTTATTGTGTCATGATGGAAATGAGCATTTGCCTCTCAAATTCCTGGTTCAGATTGAATTCACTACGGGACATGGACCATGAATTCATATGAGCGATTGTAGCAAGGGAACAAGACTCAATATTGTAGTAGTTTTCGTGTATTTTCAAAACTTTATTGAATTTCAAGTTGACCTCGGAGGATTGATTAGGTATCAGGTCGGAGGATATGAGCATAGGCATTTTATTTCGTGATTGAGACAATCATGGTACAAGCTGAACTACCCGTGTAGGGACTGTGAGCTCACCACTAGATAAAAAGATGTCAACCAGATTCGTAAGTCTACAATCTACAGAAATAAATGAAGGTATTTATATTGAGATTTAGTCCGGTCCACTGCTTTTAGAGGGAGAATTTCAAGGTTTGAGTTAGAAATATGGTATACGACAAGGATGATGACCAAATCACCACGACCAAGTTTCCATTGCCAGCCAATGACGTGGACTGCGAGTCAACGGATGCTCATACCCATCTGGGTGCCGAGATAGAAACAAGGCTCATGAGAAAGATTGACTTCTGGCTTGTTGGCTTCTACTCGCTAGTATATATTTTCCGGGTGATTGACTCTAACAATTATGCGAACGCTGCAATCATCAACTTGGAAGCCGGCACCGGTATCAAGAAAGAACTTCACCTTGACGCCCACCAGTGGTCATGGACACAGTCCATCTTCTCATACAGCTACCTCATCTTCGAGCCTTCCAACACCATCCTTCTCAAATATTTTACGCCCTCAAAATGGATGTTCGTTTTGATATTATTTTGGGGAATATGTGCCTGTTCTGCTGGCGCTGCTCAGAGCTTCTCGGGAATGATGTGTGTGCGGTTTGCGATCGGAATGGCTGAAGCAGGCTTTTATCCAGCTGTGCTGTTTCATATGGCTTTCTGGTATAAGCCAAGCGAAATGCCCTGGAGGATTGCGCTGTTTTATTCACTGGGTCAAGTCTCTGGTGCACTGAGTGGACTACTAGCATATGCTATCAGCTTTATGAACGGTATTGGTGGGCTGTCAGGCTGGAGGTGGCTGTTTATCATCGAAGGTCTCCCAGCTATTGCGCTATCTGTTGTGGCATTGTTCGGTCTTCCAGATTACCCCGACACAGCCCGCATGCTGACAGAGGAGGAGCGAGATTTCCTAAGAAATCGTCTTTCTTCCTCGGCACCTTCTGGCAAAGGGAGGAGCTGGGATTGGAGAAATGTCAAGCTGCTCCTCTTGAGTCCCACTCTGTACACCTTTGCACTATACTGGATCGGTCATGGTATTGGCGGATTTGGAGTGACTTACGCTTTACCGACTGTGATATATGACCTCGGCTTTACTTCCACGGCTTCGGCGCAGTTGATGAATATTGTAAGTCGCCCTAGTGGCACTACCTAGCAGAACGGCGCTAACAACCCTCGACTGCCAGCCTCCCTATGTTGCATGTTTCTTCTTTCTGAACACTCTTGGGTACTTACTTCACCAAAATTGGATCCGACCATGGACAACTGCAGTCGCAGGTACGTATCGACCAATCTCAAAGATACACCTTTCACGTCCATACTAATAACGGAAATAGTCGAAAGCACGACAATCATTTGCTATATCATCTTGATTACTGTTCCAAATTCTGTTGTCAAATACATCGCCTTGGTAGTAGCCACCGCTTGTGCAGGATCGGCATACCCAGTCATCTGGCCAGAACGCATTCGCGCACTTGAAGGAACCGCAGCGTCAGGTATTGGAATCGGGCTGACGAATGCCATGGCTCAGTTTAGTGGCATAGCTGGGCCTTTCATCTACAGTACTGTATTTGGGCCGACATATCGCGTGTCGTACATCATCTGTCTTTGCTTCCTTTGTGTGGCTATCTCGGGGATTATGGCATCTGCGTGGCTCGTGTGGAGGAAGGATATGCAAAAGGAGGATCGAAAAAATTCTGGACGCGAAAGTGCATGAGAATGCATGGCGCCCTTTGTCGTTCTCATATAAGCCAAGGTTGGTGTAGCTCATCAAATGTATAGATGAAGATTGGCATACACGGCTATGTAAAGGCGGTGAATAAGGCGGCCAAAATTCATGCACAATGGCATTAAAGCCAGGCTAATCATTCTAACTGTTTGGGTTCTCCTACCCTGGGGCCGTGAGGGGCCACCGTATTACCGTATCACCAGCCTCCAGAGACATTATCACCCTTCAGAGCCGCTTTACACGTAAGCAGTAGCCCATGGTCAGCGATACATGCACACAATCGCTGGCTGGCAGAAATTAAATTCCATCATAATCGCGTGATTCGCGTTGAGCCTGCCCCGCAATGCTAGTCAGAAGATCAACTTTTTGAAGCTCAAGAAAGTTATGTCCACAACAATCGCCAAGCGCAAGCGTGCGAGAAAAGCATGCATCCCTTGCCATCAGCGCAAGCGAAAATGCGACACTTTGTATCCTTGTGGGATGTGCACCACCTATGGATACGACTGCAGGTACTCCGACGCCGACACCAATGGTACTATGAACAGAGGCGTACCTGTTCCGCCGCCAGCCAAATGCATCAGTCTCGATGGTGAAGATCGTCTGACGAGTCGGTCTGCCATAGACCGCAGTCCGAGCCTTCGGTTTCATATGGAGCGAGACCGTCACGACGGCGATGCCTCATCAACCAATACTCCCACTGTCGAGCCTGGCGCATCTCCGGGCATCTTCGACGCGCAGAAGTTCAGATACTCCGGGGCATCGGCGGCGATGGCATTCCCGCACATACTGGGCGTGGCTCTCGGTTCCGACAGCCCTCCAAAGATGCGATCGTTCGCTTTCAACTTTGGTATTCGCCCCGAGGAGGCGTCCAATGCTCACTGCTTTCTGGGAAACCTCATCTCGGAGGAAGAGCTTAGCTTTTTCTCGAGTACATTCTTCTCAGTACTGGGCCCCATTGGTGATATGGTAGACTCAAGAATATACACCCAGCGGTGTCGGGATTATTACCGTAGTTCAGGCAACAATGCGGTCGCCTTTGCGGCTGTGGCAGCTGGCATCGCTGCTCTCGGCTCATTCTTGTCTGCTAACAGACACCCCCGGGAGTCCGACCTGGTCCAGTACGCCAAGGCCATCCTCGATGATCCAGCCTCTATGCGTTTGCATGGTATTGACCACATCGTAGCATGGGGCATGCGAGTATTTTACCTGCGGGCAACTACCCGGCCCAGCAATGCTTGGATCGCTTCGTGCACACAAATGCACCTCTGTGAAGCGATAGGCCTGCATGAGGAAGATACTATCAAGAATATAGCGTCCATCGCTGGCGCTGTTGTCGTTGGAAATGATGCAGATCGCCTGAGGAGAATTTTCTGGATCTCATGGGCCGGGCACAACATGTTGTCCTATGAGTACGACCGCTCACCCGTAGGATTTCGGGCTGTGACTTGTCTGCCTATCATCTCAATACCAGGATCCGTTGCCGAACTGTTTGTGCAATTGATCCAGATCATTCCATCGTCCAATTCTCCGTTCCAGCTCCAATTGCAGTCTTTAACCCCGAGTGAGGAACTGTTCAAGCGTCTTAAAGCTCTAGAAGAGCTTCAAATTACCCATCCATTCCTGGTGGTGACTAAAGCAGACATCGCATTTTGCTTCTATCGACGCCTTTACCAGCTCAAGGTGCGCTTGCCAGACGATGTTATTAATCTTATCGTTGACAGCGGCAACGCGGCAGTGGAGGCGGCCGAGCAGCAAGCTGCCCAGGGTCGTTTGTTTTGGAACGTTATTGGTAGTGTTTTTCAATATTCCTGTATCCTGCTGGCCATGGACACACCGATAGCCTCCGTCCACATCGGCGGCGCATTCAAGGGCTTGGAAAGCCTTGTCAGGGCTGCTGATACAGGGCTGACACGTGAGGCGTTGTCGATGGCGCGACATCTACTCAGCCTCAATATGGCAAAGAAGCGAAAAGAACTTGCTCAATTGGAAGCTGTTGAGGCGAGCTATGATCACTTACAGCCGCTGCCGGTGACCGAGGCCAATGCCACGATTCCAGAGATGGATTGGGCGGTCGACTGGGATCAGTTTTTCATCGAGCCATATTTATCGATGCTCGGAACTGAAATCCAATTATAGGGACGCGATGTCGTTGGGAATTGATTTGCTCTAGTCAACAATGACTTGATGTGTCAGTTATCTATGAGATATATGTGACGATCCACCTTATGAAACTCAACTTTATACCTGTGAAAATGAAATGCACATACGGAAAACCTTAAAAGGTTAACCCTACTGCAATTGACAGATTCTCGGTATGAGGTCCTTGGAAGCCCTGTGGGATATTGAACGAAAGTCGGAAATAGAGAGTACAGAACTTTGACGCCACGCTGCGGGGCGCAATAAAGCAATCGGTCCGTAACTTTGTCATCAATGCCAAGTGGGCTTGTGCGGCTTTACGTGCGGCTATTGCGGACTTGATTCACTACCGCCGCGCAGACTGTGAGCGGACCCGTGCGGCTACTGCGGCGGAGAGAGCGGGCTTATCAGCCTCTCACCCTCACCATCCTCAACTTGGCTGGCTTCGCCCACTGTAGCTTCTTCGCTCCCGGTACTGTTATCTCCGAGCGAATCAATCTTGACGTTCTGACCTGATTAATACGGATTTGCTCTAGAACGTGGAGAGTTTTGGCCCGGGATTCTCGAATAGCAAGGCGGGAATGGAGAGAGCCTCGGAGAACTACAGTACTCGAGGCAGGGTCTGAAATACATATAAAGATCGGCATTTCCTGATCCAGAGAGAAACAATCAGACACTTGTTACTCTCTCGGAAGCTCGAACAGTCCGAACTCCTCGTTCAATCATAATCACAACGATTTATATAATCAGCAAACAACCCAACCATGATGCCCAAGTACGCCAAAAACCAGTCTGTCGACTTCAAAAATAGTGTTGAAAGAGTCGCCATTATCGGCGTAAGCAGACCCCTTAACAACCGTGGACACAGCGTTTCTCACCTGACTAACAAAATTACTTAGGCCGGAGGTACCATTGGATCGCATATTGCCAAAGCCCTTCTAAAGACCGGAAGACACACAGTCACGGCCCTTTCCCGCAAAGGCAGCGGCAACACATTCCCTGAGGGTGTCCTGGTTGCGTCAATCGACTATGATGATGAGGCCACCATTGTTGCCGCTCTCAAGGGCCAGCAATTCCTGATCATAACCATGGCCCCCACCGCGCCCAGAGACACCCATAGCAAGCTTGTCCAGGCGACTTCAAAGGCCGGAGTTCCCTACGTCATGCCCAACGGGTACGCCGGCGACATCGACAACATCAAACTTGGCGAGGACACTTTGTTGGGGCCCATAGCCAAGGCCAACAGGGACGAGATCGAGAGGCTCGGCATGCAGTGGATCACAGTGTGTTGTGGGTTCTGGTACGACTATAGTTTAGCGGGAGGGGATGCGCGCTTTGGATTCGACTTTGACAAGCGTTCCCTGACAATCTACGACGACGGCAACACCAAGAGCTCGACGTCAACGCTAGTGCAGGTTGGGCGTGCCGTGGCCAAGGTGCTGAGCCTCAAGGAACTCCCCGAAGACGAAAACGACAGGAGCCTTACTCTTTCGACATTCCTGAACAAGGCTGTGTATCTGAAGAGCTTTGTGGTGAGCCAAAACGAAATGTTTGAGAGCGTCAAGCGTGTCACAGGCACCACCGACGCTGACTGGACGATTACCCACGAAAACACCAAGAAGAGATACGAGGATGGCCTGGCGCAGGTGAAAGTGGGTAACATGGCCGGTTTTAGCAAGATGCTGTACGCAAGGGCGTTCTACCCAGATGATTCCAATAATCTCTCAGCCAAGACGCAGAATGAGCTGCTTGAATTGCCGGATGAGAGCTTGGATGAGTCCACCAAGGCTGGGATCGATTTGGTCAAGGAGTTGAAGCTTCGTGTTGAGCGTATGGCGGCCTAAAAAAAGTGTTGTGGAACCTTGGAACCTTGATATTGTTCCACGGTTTGCATAATGAGTTTAATTTCAACCTTATATATTCGCAATCCTAAATAGCTGCCTTCGTTCATCTCGAGGTCTCATATACAGTCTACATACCTCATTTATATTTCCAATCTAGGTACATCATTCTAATTCTCCGTCCACCTACCATGGGAAGGCCATCATTGAGTCTTCAAATTCTAATCATTAATCCAGTCGAAGAGACCCGTGAGCCTCAGCCTTGTCTAGCGCATCAGCAATGCGCGATCCCTCGCCCTCAAACAGGATGCCGTCGTAGGTCATCGCGCCAATAACACAGCCTAGAATAGGAGCGAAAAGAGGGACAACGAAATAGTAGTTATCCGTAGTAAACACCTCGGAGCCGTACAAAATAGCGGAGAAAACTCTCGGGCCAAAGTCTCTCGCAGGGTTCAGGGCCTAATGCATATTAGTATAAGTTCATGACTTGATCAATGAGTATGCCTACATAGCCGGTCTGCCATCCCAATGCCGCTCCGATCATAAGCAGGAGCAGGAAAAGAGAGAGATGCGGAGAGGGGAATCGGTGAGCATTTGCCGGATCAGAGATGCTGAGACAGCCAAACATCAGCACAGCCGAGCCCAGCACCTCAGAAAACACAGCCTCCCAGTTCGACGAGAAGAAGGCAGCCGGGTAAGTCGAGAAAATGCCTGCTGAATGGTGGCCGGTCGGGCTCAGGATCGATCCACCGGGAATGGTATACTCAGGATCCCAAGCGTTGATAGCCGAGCGGTAGTTGATATACACAAGGGCAGCTCCCACAAATCCGCCCAGGAACTGCGCAAGCAGCTTGCCAGGGATGGTCTTCCATTGTCCTGCAGTTGGACGCACAAGAGCCGTACAGATGGTGACGGCCGGATTGATGGTCGGACTAGGATCGGCCAGGAAGCTGGAGAGGCAGACGGCAGATGCCCAGGCGATGTTGATGGACAACCAAGTGCCGTACTGGTAGTCGGACAGCAGGCATTGGGCGACGACACCATCTCCGATGACAATGAGCAGGGCCGTGCCGAGGAACTCAGCCAGATACGGCTTCAGTGCCCGCCGAGGGATCATTTTCAAGAATGATAATGATCTTACAATCCTATCTCGCTGAAAATGCCAGCGTGTTTGTTTTAAATGAATTCTATGACATCATTCCCGCCGGAACTGCCTACCTCGGTAACGCGGGATGCCGATACCTTCTGTAAGTAGATCTCGGGCCGCGCAAACACCCGGACCCCGCCCTCGTAGTGGACGAACTACGGCCCTCATCGCTCCCGGTCGCGCAACGCCTGTGGCATTTCCCTGTTATCCCTCCCTGTTTATGAAATTGCACATGATATTCATGTTTCTTTTCCGCCCAAGACTGTTTTGGCTCTCTATTCTCTCCACCATCTTTGACTTGCTATATGCCTCAAAGCCTTGGCCAGGCAAATCAACATATTCCTTCAGGACTGCTCGACTTCCAAGTAAGCCAGATTGTCTATCCTCGACTGTGCACAGCATCCCATAAAAAGGAGAAATAACCTTGGACTATTTTGACAGTGCAGGGCGAAATTTTGCAGGTGACGCATACTAAAGTGTGTCATTAATCGTCCTTGCTTCGAATAGACGTAATAATTTGATTCACCTACGTCGGGGCTCGCAAAGTAAAGACCTTCTTCAATTTAAGTCCTTTAATCCCATTCCACCAGCCAATAAGACAAAGACAGCTAGACTCCTCCAGAACATTTCTAACCTTTGTAATGCACTGGGGAACCCGCTACCCGGTACCCAAAACCACATCGTAAATACATTTTTATATCTTCATATCTCAGCAACAACATGCATACACTTTATCAAACTTGTGTAATCTATTTTTGTGAAATTCATCGTTTGATCTAGAGGTTTGGGTGATTTGATGCCGGTCTTCATAACGTTATTGACGAATACGCTATCTATCAATTGATACTCCAGATATAGTTACTGTATGTCTTTGACTAAGCCGTCCATAGAAAGAAATTTAATACCAGTAATATGCTAGGAGTAGTATTATAAATACTTGCCTACGGTATCATTTTCGTTCGTTTCAGGTTAGGATCATGACAGGGGCCACGATCAATTCAAAGATTTATTCTCAGTGCCATGGACAAACTTCAGAGACCGTACGGCTTGAGGCCAACCAAATCAAGGCAGAGCCAAGTCAGGACTTCTTGTTCTAGAATTGCTTCATCATGGTTTGGATCCCGCCATCTCACAAATCCCGAACAAATTCGCTGGAAACAAGGAAAAGAAGGGAGAAACGGTAGCATCCGACTCTTCCAGCAATCCATTTCCAAATGCTGAGTGATAAAGATAGTTGAAAGAATAGACGAAGTCGGCTCCCAACCAATTCCACGAAGGCGCAAGGGTCAAGAAAGGTACATAACTAAAAGAATCTCTAAACGAACAAATAGGCCCATAATATCCGCTTGAGACTGGAATACCACACAGTTCCTAGTATGTTCACATAGTGTGAGAAGCACATCCATCGCCCCATCCATCATCGTGGTGGCAGCCAGAATAAGCACGGAACTATTTAGGCTTGAAATCGAAAACGCAGACCTCCGCGGGATTGTCGTAGTAATAGCAAACAGGGTTGAAGCTTCCTTTGTGGCCATTGCAGGCATCACTCTTCCAGAAGGTGATATAAGCATCAGTGATGTGGTGGACAACAGCATAATGCCATGGGGCTTTGTTCCCAGTGTGGCAGACAGTGTGCTCGGCCTCTATAACGTAGGTATCGCCCTCCCCGGCGGTGTTCCGCAGCACCATGCCGATAACACCGGTTGCGGATCGCTTGGTGCTTTGAATAAGTTTCTCCTGTTGACCTAAATACTTAGCAGAGGCGTTGTTCTTGCCTGCCAGAATAGGTTTGAATTCGTCGAAGCTTTCGTGGGGAAGATAGACTGCTCCCGAGCCATTATGACCAAGTCCGTAGACCTTGGGCAATCGGCTACCAAGGTATCCAAATTCATTCAGATCATAGGATGAATTGATGTTGAGTTTTTCAGTGGCAAAGTTTCGAGAGAAGGTGATATTGACGTGGGAGGCAGTAGTGGTGATAGCGCCAACAAGGGCAGCCATCAGGAGCTTGACTGCCAGCATAGCGATGCAAGAAGTTTCAGACAATGCAGTAGACAGAAAATAAAATGCTGGTGAGAGAACGAGGTACAGAGGGTTTTATCCGACTTTAAATATCTTCTGATTTGTGATCTCGCGTAGTAGCCTCGGAGTACCAGCGCCTGGGGCCGTTCCGAGTCTGAAAGTGCACTAAATTGAAAAAAGCAGGCTTATCAGAATTTCTTTTTAGCTTCATCTGTCTAGAGCACCCATGCTTAGAAGATATTTTGTAAACGAAGCTAGTGGAACATGTGACATACGGTAAGATGCATATAAACGCCACTAGTCCGAGGGACCAACATGGTCTCGACATAGTCTATAGAAGCTTACGACGGCGTTCGCGAGGAAGTTGGTCATTGAAAGATATAGAATATACTACCAACAACATGCGGACTTAGATAGCATGTATTATAAGATAAATCGTAAATAGGTCTGATAGGGAGCCTTTCATCGAGAATGCGACTTACCTCGTAGCCTCAATAAATGAACATAGTCTTCGTTACAAAGAGAATTAGTTTTTATGAAAAAGCACTCGAAAGGCTATAATTCTAGGTATATGGTGTCTACTCCAAAGGCTTTGTAAAATACCTGGTCACATATCTTGGATAGTCAAAGTTTCCATTTAGCAAAGATAGAGCCTTGATAGCCTTATTTCACTCCTTCTTAGGCTCCAAAGCCCCTGAAGTAGGGTCATGGTTGGTATCTTCAACTGAGTACAGGGTCGCCCTTCAACTCGTACTGCAGTACTTCAACTGGGATTTGGTCGTATGTTCCCCCATTGTCAAATATCTCGTCTAATTTGTCGGTGACAGCCTGCGGAACTCCTTCACAATTGATTGAGAATTGATGGCCATCAATAGAAATGAGATTGGGCAAAACATGCGGCATTGGTGGTGCTTCTTTGCCTATCAAACTCTTCGCCAACTCTTGCATTTTGTCTGAAGACGGACCGAGGGGCTTGGTTCCATTCTCTGGGTTTTTAGAAGACATCGATGGTGATAGTTTTCGTGACCCTATACGTAGCAAGGTCAGAATATACAAAACTGCAGAGATCAAAATGTTTGCAAGCATACGGTACAAGTATTGAGTTTGGGAGAGTTAAGGCTGGGAGACAGGAGGTAGAGGGGAAGTCGAAGTGTGTCAAAGTGACAGGTTACTCAGTAAAGAATTTACGTGGCACCGGCGTCTACTCTCGACAATCAAGGTGCGGTCCTGATCTGGTCTAAGGCGATTTTTGTCGAGCACCAAAACAATTAGTGGTGCAACCCTGGTACTACGTGATTGCTTGCCTAAATATTTCCGATATGGAGCCAACTATGTCAGCTGATATCCGCATTTTGGGAAAAAGTTGAAGAGCTAGAGGGCAAAGGTAGCAAGAGAAGCATAGCGTGGTACGTAAGTATGGTACTTGGTGGAGCGGCAAGGAAGGAAATAGAATATTAACGACAGGTGAAGCCTCAGAATGGAAGGCACTTGTCCTAATGTAGGAGTTCACACAAACTTGGATTTAAATTCCGAGGATCAATAGTTCAACGTACTGAGTACAAATCAATGTCACGACGCTACTACCCTATTCCAGCTTAGCGCAGGGCCTAGCGCAGTGATCGAAATGCGACATAAATTTTATAATACCATTTTTTTTCTATCAGGGAACAAAAATAATACTCATATGATCTCATTAAACGGTTTTATGTTCAAGAAAATACTCCTTATAGATGTTACAATCGGTTTAAGTATGTTTTTAGTAAACAGCGATAGCTTCAAAAGCTGCAATAGTCCCGTTTATGATTCCAGAGCAAATATTCACTGCCTAACTCGCTGCCTTGCGGCTTTGAATAGTTCGTTGGCGAAGTGCCCGAGATTTTATAATACAATGCCCCTAGATAGTTGGATTGAATGTGTGCGTGCCCATATGTTAGAGTGATTATCTCATTTTCAGGCCCCTCGCATTCACAAGACACAACCAAAGGTCCATTGACCTAGAGACGAGGTTCAATGGAAGCATACTCGTCCGTGTTGAATTAGTCAAGCAAGGGTACATAATATACAAGGTATATACTGTAGAGTATATTTTAAAGCGTGTTCTCAAATACATACCCGATGAACCAGTCATTATTCTATGCAAATTACAATTTCAGGGCTAGTCTTCATACGGTTTAGTGGATCCATCTGGATGTCGAATCAATTCCCGCACCAGATGGACGCGTAATCTACCCGGTATATCGGAATCAAGCAATTGCTCCCGATGACTTTGATCCACCTCTACCACATCTAGGCCCTCAAAGCTAAGACGTCTGGAAGGTGGATCTACTTGCCTTGCTTTCACTTTCCACTTTCGCTCTCTGCGGTCAAATGTATAAAGTCACATAAAATGGTACGCCAGTCACTTCCCCGGGTCCAAAAATGTACCGCCTGCAATATCTTCTCCTCAATAGACAGAACAGCATACATGTGCATTTAACTATTTATATGAGGACCGTGAAATTCCCGAGGGCTAAAGTGAGTACGCATAAGTTGCAGATATGATGGGGTCCAAATATGTCAGCCTAGGCAGGCATACGTACACAAATAGTGGAGCTCATGGCGGGCGAAATTTGCTGGCTGAGGAGGATCTAAGGCATTAATTACATACCCACATTTTGCAATAATAAATCCAATCTGGAGTACTATAGTACACCATATTTTGGCCCTCCGCTCTTGGTCCGTTAGCTAGTTCATCGAAGTTGCAAGGTCTATAGTCCACGAAAATCTACATGGGCAGGTTGTTGGCCATTACGATTCCCGGGCGAGCTAACTTGCCTTCCAGACTTTCCGATAGCATCGGTACCAGCTTATAAAGCCTCTTTTAGGGTCGTACTATAAATTCATGAATTTGATGGATTCAAATGGAGCCAAGAGCATTCCAGAACAGGAGACCTTCATATGGACGGCGGAAAGTAGTTCACAGAGTATGTGATGTCAAACATTTGTTCAACATAATTTAGCTAAATGGAGTGGTTATCAGGATTTAGATACACTACATGCACCAAAAATTATATCGCATATTGAAAATCGCCATCGTTCATTTTTCTGTCCGTTCTTTATCGAGATTTCAACAAAGTCTATTGCGCGCTCATTCCTCTCGGCCCTAGTCGCCCGACCGTAAAGCAATACTACCCAATGCTCACTGGCGACATTGACCTTTATCCATCATTTTGACCACACGTAAGCTGCCCCTGGTTCCTAAATAGAACGGTGCGCGAACATATGTGAATTATAACTGTGACATATTTTTCAATTACTTTTATTAATGAAATGTGATGGACATAAAATGCGGGATTGGGAGTCCGGCTGTAATAAGCCGCGTAGGTGCGAAATTTCATGGCTGCATCTCATTTATAGAACTCCACCTGGGCAAATGAAGGACGAGCTAGGTCATCGCTCATAGTATCTGAGATATTTCTCTCACGATGGCTTGTACGCTTATCCGGCAAACCTTCTGCTAAAATGTGGGATATGATGGTAGAGAAGATATTTGATAATCAACGCTTGGAATAAATATCCCACAGACCCGAGCTTCCAAGCCAGTCCAAAAACACTTCATTCAAGCCTTGGCGCAACAACTCATCACCCATGTAGAACTTCCGTGATTTATTCCATACATGGGAACCAAATGTACTTTCAAGGGGACCTTTCATGCGGATTGTCTCAATGGACTTTTGAAGATCCATCCAGTACACACTCTCTGGCATCCAACCGCGCTCTTGATCTGTGGCAGATGCGAGACTCTCGAATTCAGGCAAGCTCTGAACAGTATCCCAAATCCTAAAGACATCATAGTATGCTGCTTTGCCGTATCTTTTCAAGACCTGCTGCTGGTACTCGGGAGAGACCATCTGGCGAGAAGTCCGGTGCAGGTACTCGATCTGTTGGGTGATGATACTCTGCAGCTCCTCTCTTTGGAAATAAGAGCTCGATTCATCCCCAGTCTTGTCAAGATAATGAGTGATTTCATCTCGCAGCTTCCGCAGGCGATACCGAGTCCATTCGGGGTAGAGCGATCTGAGATCCGCATAAGGCCGGATATTGGTGATGTAGCTCGAGTCGTAAACGTTCGGGACTTTTGAGCGGTACGAAGTGATTGTAGAAATCCGTTCTTTTACTCCCTTGGCACGAGCGGCGAGATGTTGGACTTCTCCTCCTTGCAGCATTACTGCGTGTCCGATTTGTGGACCTTCGACCTGTGTGATGTTTAATGTGACTTCTGACCCGAGTTTGACCTAGGTGCACTTACCTTTTGGGCTTCACCATTCCCCTTTTTGATGTATGTTTCCCCGCCGATCATGCCATCAGTCTCACTTAGCATAACCACGCAAACATAAGGATAAGAGTCATAGCTTTGATGAAATCAGTCCAACCGCTGTCAACTACCAATCAAGGCGGTAGGATACTCACTGCCAAGGTATGATGGAGGTTTCATCTTTCAACGGGTCATACGCCCGTTCTTCAGGACTCAGTTCCAGTTTCTCTACAGACGGCTCAACCTTTAGGTTACTAGCCATCTCTGCAATCGTGGCTCCTTCGGCTTGGATGTTCGTATGTCCAATCTCCGTGGGCATGACCACCTCTAAAGGCACCCCAGAAGCGTCAGATACTATTCTCATTGTTTCAGGGTGGGTCCAGAAGTCTCGAATAAACCGAGAGTGCTTGACTGCATCACGAAGAACCAGGGTGCCGGGAAACGGGGAGCTTGCGCATTTCTCAATCACATTTTGCTGAAACAAGGCCTTTCGATACGCTCGCACGCCTTGCGGAGAAAGCAATGGGAATGGCACAGTCCCTGCAATAGGAGTTGCGGTCGCACTTTGATTCAAAAGCAAATCTTGCATCGTTATCTTCTTTTCGGGAGGTACATAATTGAGATGGACCTATTCAGTAATATCTTGAGCGTGGACATTCTTGCTAGACCGAGAACAGGATTGTAACTGAATGTACATACTGTGGGATTGAACAGCTCTTCCTTGACGGAATCACGCGTAGAATCTTCGCTCTGTGGGCCGGTTTCTCTCAAGGGATCCATCACGCGCTGAATGTCTCCTAGGTAACAAAGTATTTCCCTTCAGAGTGTTTTTTCTCGGTTCTCAAAGCAGCAGATTAAATCAAAAATGCCTTTGAAGAGTCACTGGGGGAGTATAGGCAGCAAGAACAGAATCTGAAAAGAATCCGTACTTCTAAGGGCTATAGTGACTATTACACCCCACGTTTAGACTCACACGCTATTCCCATCCGGGTAAATGGGTCCCGGGGCACATATCACAAGGGATCGTATCTCCGCTTCTAGTTATCTACGCAACGAATAAGGTCCTTTGATTAACTCGCGTATTTATGAGGTAGCGTCTACCCGTACTTTCTTTCCCAATGTTCTTCGCTGTTCTACCGCTCGCATTAAGATGCCTCTACCGATCGTCGTATCTACCGACATTCGCGAAATCTCCGATCTCTTATCTCCCCCTCTATTCGATAAGTAGAGACACTAGCATTCGTCAGTCAATGTAACCCCGCAGGCCATTTCAGGGGTCCTGGAACAAGCAGAGATATGGCTCGAACGGCGTTAAATATAATCTACCTATGTCAATAGTGAAAGATTGTCGATCCAATAAACATTACATCTTCTTGATTTGATTGTCAAGCTTTATGTCTCAGTATGGCGGCTATTTCTTCACCAGCGGCGAAACGTCTCGAAGAACGACCTGCAGTAGTGGAGCAATTCGACTTGAGTGAGGACACAGAAAAGTCAATACTTGATCAACACAAAGAGGAAGATCTCGCAACTAAGTGGGAAATCTGGGCATATTACGCGTGCGTTACTGTTTTCCTTACTCATTAAATGGCCCTTGCTGATCTTGACAATAGTTATTATATCGGAAACAACGGTCTCTCATTGTTCAGTAAGTATTTGATTTCCACCTTCAATCAATCGTTGAAGAAGATATGCCTTCTGTATTTGGGCCAAGACAACGAGCAAAGGTCGAGTGCCCTGAGATACATTGAATTTTCGGTCTTGTAAGACGAACAAATGACTACAGAGACCAGAGAATATTAAGAAGACCCGACGAAAGCACCACCAGCTTAAATGGACCGTAATTAATGATGGAAACATATAGATTTTGCACCCACAGCATTCCAAAATCTTCTGTATGAAGCCGCCGGAGATTCCGACATTCTTCGCTTCGCGGGAAAGCTCCGTTCAGTCGAAAGCATTGTCTTGCTATGCAACGGGATATCTTTCGCTATCCAGATTGTGGTATTCCTGGTGATTGGAAGTTTCGCTGATATTGGAAACTGGCGCCCAAATATCCTGATTGTTCTCTCTATATTTGCATATGCTATAGGTTTTGCCTGGTTGGGCGTTCACACCAAAGAGAAATGGGAGATCGGCGTTGGACTGTACATTGTTGGGCTTATTGCCTACCAGACGACACTGACCTTTTGGACAGCCGCATTTCCTTCACTTGCGCGTAATAGTGCAGAGATGAGAGAAAGGGCCAGTGATTTTGCGCATGGCGATATTTCTCGCGAAGAGTACGACTATGCCGACACGATGAAGAGAAGCCAGCTTGCGAACGTGGCCTTCTATATTCAGTCCGTTGCCGAGATTGTCATTCTTGCTATCATTGTTGGCATCATGTTTGGCATTGATGTTAATGCGAGTGAAGCAAGGAATAATTGGGGCTTGAGTGTCCTTATTGGCTTTGCGAGTGGTGTATGGCTACTGGTTTCATTGCCGTGGTTCTTTTTGGAAAAGCGGCGACCGGGGCAAGATCCAGGATCTAGAAATATCATCATGGCAGGTCTGTCACAACTCTACTTTGCAATGAGTCAGGTCTGGAAGCTGAAACAGAGCTTGCTCTATCTCATTGGTATGCGCTGTCCCTATCTCTCAATTTGACTGGCAAGAGATTTTATTAATGTTGTTTACCCAAGGATACTTCTTGTTGGGCGATTCATTGAACACGACGGTCACTGTGATTTCGACTTTGCAGAATAGTTTGGTCGCATACAACACACTACAACTTACATACCTGCTAATTGTGGGTATTGCAGCACAGGTGCGTTACCATAGACCTGGTGATGGATGGATTAATGTTCTAACTTATGTCGTCAGGCAGTTGGTATATATCTCTTCTGGGCTATTCAACAGCGATATCGCCTTGGAACGAAGACTATGTTCAACATTATCGCTTTCGGTATTGTTCTCCTTGATGGCTGGGGAATGATAGGAAATTGGACTACCAAATTTGGGTTTCATAATGTATGGGAAGTTTGGGTAAGTTTCACTCACGGGTGCCCCTAAATGGTTCTTATAATTCTTTACTTATGGCCAGTCCTAGGTATACCAAGCCTTCTATGGCCTCTTAATCTGCCCTTGGTACAGTTACTCGCAAATTATGATCTCAGAGGTGACACCCCGAGGGTACGAGTTCCTTTTCTTCAGTCTTTTCAGTATTGTCGGAAAGACATCGTCCTTCATAGGCCCTCTTGTATCTAGTGCTATTATTGATGCTACGCCTTCTGGCAATGTGTCTGCGCCGTTCTATTTCCTATTTGGATTAAGCTTGCTGAGCTTTGGCATCTTGGTTATAGGAGTGGATTTGAAAAAGAGCCGCACGGAACAAGACCACTTTTTGAAGAAGAAGAAAGAGCGCAAGTGAAAGGGAAATCCTTGGTATTTCAAGTGGAGATCTTTACATGATTGAAGGCAATATATGAAAGCTTCATTTGCTGAATATGAGTCCCAATATCATTATTTGCAAAGCAAAATCGCGGAAATCTTGAAAGGCCATATCGCCTACTGGCGGATATGGCAGAACCAGTTCAAGCCTCTAATCGATGGCGTAAAGAAATATTCACCACCGCGCTGATCCACCCAAGGGCTAGTACCAAGCTCAAGCTTGTAAGTCTTTTCCTTATCAACTCCATCGTAGAGACTGATGTGACCTTCGGGATGATCTTTACGCTGTCTCTGGTTTATAAACGGATCCATTCCAGGGCCATCCTTGAAAGCTCTCTTCTTGGACGTGGGGAAAACGCTATTGCTTGCCCAGCCTTGGAGGATTGTCAGCAATGTTCAAGCATGGTGATAGGATGTGGGACTTACGAGTCATGAGAAGGTTGAACCCATCTCGAATATCACTCTGGTAGCAGGTGAAGTAAATGCCACGGCTCTTGGTAGTCTTTTCCTTCTCATCCTCTCCAAGCTCAGGACCAAATGTGATACCTCGTCGCAGGATCACGCTAGCATCTTCTTTGTCGGGCTCTTGGTCGGGCTCCTCGTCACTGTCAGCTTCAAGATCCGGAGGATTGCTGGTATCGTGCTTTTGTGGGTCAGTGAATTCCCCTTTCACGAAGTCATCGTCATCGCCAAGGTCGCGCTTATGGTCAGCTCTTGGGCGCATTTTGCGGGCGTGTGCGGCAAACGGGCATCCCAAAATGCTCTGCTTGGGTCGAAAGTCGAAGTCATTTCTGAATGCAAGACTTGGGTCGTCATGATCTGGAGTTAAAGCCACGGGCGCACCTAGGGAGTGTTAGTGTGCTGTGTATGATGAATTTATTAAGGCCACAATACCACTCTTCCAACGTCCCATCATGTGAGCTGCCAGTTTCTCAGCACCATTTTCTCCCTGGTAGTTTGGAATTTTGCTGGCGGCGTCCGCAATGAATCTTGATGTTGATTAGCGGCAATTCCTCTTTTAAGTAAAAATGCAACTTACTTGTTGAACTCAGGCACCTTCTCGTCTAACTGACGGAATACGAGGAAACTACCTTCATAGGACCAAGGGGGCATTTGGTTTTTTCTTGGGTCACCGTCATGACCAACGAAGATGTATCTGACTTAAGTTAGCTTATACTCTTGGTGATACTGGGAGTTGCCTTACCCCGGAAGACAAGAAAGCGGCTCACGAGGCTGTGGCTTGGGGTCCAATCCCTGAATTTGAGGCTGCGAGATGTGGTCCTCAAATCCAAAGCTGAGAATGATGTCAGTACATTGAATTCATGTTGATCACTGAAGGCCAACTTACTGCTCTCTGCCGCGAAAGTCTCCTGGCCGACGCTGTCCATGCTTTGCGACCACCAAGCCTAGACTAGCCTTGTTCAAGTCCCGCAGATGGAAATTGGTCTCAATCTTCGCGATTCCTTCGTTCAGATTTTTCTCGTCCGAAGCAGCTACGATAAAAACCAAATCACAACGCCAACTGTCATCTTCGGAATTATGTCCAGGTGGAGGCTTGAACTCCGGAAGCAATCTCTCAGGAATATCAGCACCCTCGAAGATAAGATCGCTGTACATTCCCTTCTCGTATAGTCCGTCGTCGATTTCGGCTCTGCCGAGCTATTTGATCACCCCTCGTGTCAGCGGGTCCCTTTTTGGCAGCTTAGATAATCAATGCTTTTAAAAACAACGAGCATACCTTCTGCAGTCCCTTCTGAGTAAATGACACATTGATACTCGCCATGGGAATTTTGATGGGCATGCCAGCTTCTTCTGCCTGCTTAATCTTCGACAGAAGCAGTTCACATTCTAGGCCGGTGGTGATGTTCCCGATAAAGTCTTTGAGGTCAAGGCGGAATCTGTCCACATTGGTGATTTTGTAAAAGAGGTAGGACTCGAACTCTTTGGGCATGCGCGGCCAGATGCCGCCTTGGATATTGCTCTTATTCACTGGATTGTCCACCATGATTTCAAGTACTTCTTTCGGAACGAAGTGTAAAACGGAGTTGAGAAAGAGATCGTTGTGAGGAGAGTTCGGACTTTTTATGTCTTATCCTCCTATCTTCGTGAAGGTCCCGAGGACTCTGTATTGTGGTTGCGAAATACAATATGTCCAATGATACGATCCCGATTTCAATGACGGATCACAACTTAGGCAATCAGATCCATCAGTTCTCGCTTCACCTTCCTTTCTACAATCAGCTATCCGCAGGCTGATCATCAGCACTGCCAATATAGGATTCATGCCGATGGTGGACGGGTCTCGCCCCGCCCCAAAAGGACTAGTCCTGGTTTATCAGTGGGGGTACTATCTTTTTAACAAATGGTCTTTGCGCCAAGGCGAGCCCATATCGACTACGAAGTACGGAGTGGTGGTGAATGAACTCCTCATCTGTGGAAAAAGAGGGACCGTGGCGTACTGTATCTCACTTCGATTAGTGATCAGCAAATCAGAAGGTTGCTAATCATAACAAATCTTTGGTGGATCTATCATCACGCTACCATTTACTGCTCAATTCTTCAAGCTGAACTGTGGAGTTGGATTGTCGACATGATCTTCGTGATATTTCCCTACTTGAGCTTAGGCAGAACTTTGCAACGTACTTTTGACAGATGATGTCAGGGTCATGCCGGAACGCCATCGTCTACTGTACGGAGCAAATCGGCCTGAAATCCCCCGCTTGTGACGTGCAGAATGGCATGTACAGGTTTAGACGATCAAATCGTCCATGTCAACTTGTTGGGAAGGAAAGTTAAAATCGAGCCGAGAAGGTTCCGGACCGCTGGCACGGGCCTGTCCTTGTGGGTCCGTATCAAATCACGTATCCCTGGGCGCCACGATCTTCGCCTTCTCACACACTTCGATCGCCGCGGTAACTAACGACTAGCGTGCACTGCGATCGGCAAATTATAGCAAATGAAAAATACTGACTACGAAGCAAGCATCTCTGATTCGTTTCGTTATGATGAACTGGTGTTCACAAGCGCGAATGGGTGGCGACACTGTACGTATCTAAGACATTCATTGAACTAGGAAGGGTTGCGATAGTAACTGCCGATCCAACACCGGATTGCACTAGCACACTCTCTCTGGGCCCTCTGTGGATCGACAATATGTTCCAAAATCAAGAATCACGATGCAGATGTCCCTGGTAATGGTTATGTCCACCCTATGTTTCATTTGCACGTGTCGCAATATTTCTTAGCTGGGCTTTGTTATCATATTGGGTTGACAGAATTGTATTGCCCATGCAGTTCGGAGAGATATATCAAACTGTACTTCATGCCAATGTACCACACTGAATTCTGCATGGAATTACACTTTTCTCCAGGTACGTAATGACGATTTTGGAGTGAAATGAAGAGGGAGCCGGAGACATTTTCCGTTGAAATCGGACATGTCTTGTTGCGTCTCCCTGTGCACTGCGTCCAGTACAGTAGCTGAAGCTGAAGATCAACAAAAATGAACCTATTTTGGGCGCTCGAAATGTCGAACCCTTGCCGATCGCTGAAATCTCCTCAATCGGTGAGTGTGCAGGATCTGTTCCAGCAGGGATGAACGAGATCTCCATGCAGGTTTCCCAATAGCAGGGAGAGTGGGGCCGCCCGGCGCGTACCAAAAGGAGCTTTCACATTCGCATTATGCTGATCCTTGGAAATAACTCGGAATCAACTCGCGTCAGCCATGGAAGTGAGGTCACAGCTGGAGTGAGTAGAATGATCGCATTAATCCAGAAATCCACATCGCCCTCACTGTGGATCTGTGGCGGTCGCTAGTTGTTTGAGTCAGCTCCACCACCGCGTGAGAGCTCTCGCTACAGCTTCCTATCTCATATTGAGTTTGGAATTGGAATCCGTGCATCCTTTATAAGTTCCCAGGTGAAGAACTCGACAACGATGTATACGATCATTTGTTCATCCCTTTAAGATGAGAGTCCTATACGCAGCCAGCCTCCTCCTTGGAGCTGTCTCGGTCGGCGCCCACAAACCTGCCGAGTACTCCTACGAATCCACTTATGATAACCGTCCTGACATCGGTGGTCGGGTTTCGGGTGCAATTCAATGGCAGTCGCCGCCCGTCAACTCGACTCTGCTAGACGTCAGTAAGTTCCGTGTGACTTGCACTGGCAACAAGTGGCGTCACAACTGCGAATATGCCACCGACGGAAAGGCCGATACCTACTGGGAGAGTGACAACCTTGGTAACGGAAAACCATGGATTTCCATCGATCTAAAATCCGTGCACAACGTTAGCGGCTTGACGATGTTGCCGCGCTTAGATGAGAGTGTCACTGAGGGTCAGATTTCCAAACACCATGTTTATGTGAGTAAAGATGAGCGAACATGGCATGAGGTTGCCTATGGAACATGGGGTACAAACAAGGGTATGAAGCTTGCTGCTTTCAATCCCATACCGGCCCGCTATGTGAAGCTTGTCGGCAATACTCCTGAAAACCCAGAGTACCCTGGGTGGCATGAGCCTGCCTCAATTGTCAACCTCGGTATCTACGCTACCAGCTATACTCTCCCTATTGAGCCTGGCAAGGGCATGTGGAATGCGACCATCGACTTGCCTGTCATCCCAGTTGGCGCGGCTCAGGAGAAGAATGGTCAGATCATCCTCTGGTCTGCCTGGGCAGATGACCAGTTCTTTGCTTCTCCCGGTGGTAAAACACTCACCACAACTTGGAACCCCAAGACTAAGACCATTGAGCAGACTGTGGTTGCCAACACTCATCATGACATGTTCTGCCCGGGCATGTCTATGGACTTTGATGGAAACATCGTTGTGAGCGGCGGTGGCGACGCTGGTCGAACCAGTATTTTCAACGGATCGGCCTGGGAGTATGGTCCTGACATGCGCATGCCTCGTGGATACCACGCAACGACTACCCTATCCGATGGTCGTATTTTCGCCATCGGTGGCTCCTGGAGTGGTGGTAACAAAGCCGAGAAGAACGGCGAAGTGTATAACCCTATCAAGGGAAAATGGTACACTCGCTCCGGCGCAAAGGTTGACGAAATGCTGACCGGCGACCGACTTGGCCGCTGGCGTGCCGACAATCACGCTTGGCTTTTTGGCTGGAAGGATGGAAGCATCTTCCAGGCTGGACCAAGTATCAGAATGAACTGGTTCACAGTCGAGGGCAAGGGTACCACCCAGCCTGCCGGAAGACGAGGTGATGACCGTGACTCCATGTCTGGCAATGCCGTCATGTTTGACGCTGTTCGTGGCAAGATTCTCACCTTTGGAGGCCAACCTTCCTACGATGGCTCTTACGGATCTAAGAACGCCCACATCATTACGTTGGGTAGTGCGCTCCAGGATCCTAGCGTGCAGGTTGCCGGTCGAGGCTCTGGTGGAGGTATGAACTACCCCCGAGTCTACCATACTTCCGTGGTCCTTCCCGATGGCAAGGTGTTCACTGCAGGTGGTCAGGCCTGGGGCAAGCCATTCAACGAGTTCACTGTTCAGTTCTACCCGGAGCTTTACAACCCGGAGACTGATACTTTCGAGGTCCTGAACGGCCACAACGTTGCCCGTGTCTACCACAGTATCTCGATGCTGCTACCAGATGCGACCATCTTGAATGGTGGAGGTGGTCTCTGTGGAAATTGCTCTGCGAACCACTATGACGCGCAAGTTTTCACTCCCCCCTACCTGCTCACTCCCACTGGACAACTGCGGGCGCGTCCCACCATCTTGAGCGCCGATGACAGAGTTAGCGTGGGCCAGGTTTTGACTTTCAAGACCGACTCCCACATTGGATCCGCTTCTCTGATTCGGCAGGGAACCACTACCCACACTGTGAACACTGACCAACGTCGTGTGCCACTTAGCTTGGTGGCCCATGACAACCACAAGTTCACTGCCCAGCTGCCCTCAGACTCTGGTATTTTGCTTCCTGGCTGGTACATGCTGTTTGTGCTTGATGGCAATGGCACCCCCAGTGAAGCTTCCATGGTCAAGGTGGAGCTGCCTCAATATGCAACCGCAGAGCTTGAAGAGATGGAGGAAAATGATATTGATGTGGAGCTTGAAAGCCATGATGTCTACAGTGAGGAGGATTGCGAGCACGAGGAGATGCCGGGAACCCTTGCTACCATCCTTTCTTCGCCCGGCCGAGTCTGGCAAGCGTGGAAGCCCCTCCTTGTTTTGCAAGGCTACTAGGATATCCAGTCACGCTTACATGTATGGAGTCGGAACAGGTATCACCTTTGCGATAGACAAATAGTAAACCAGATGTTTAATTGATGATGATGTCCTTGTAGATGATGTGAGCAAATTAATTGAAGTTATCCAATTCCTCCTAAACTCACGGTCCAGGGCTGCCGCACAGATGCAGCAGTATAGTAGCATAAATGTTCAACTTCCAAAATGTAACACAAGGTTGTACGGCATCTAACCCGTAGCACCTGTACCATTAGTGGCAGGTGGACCCTCCCGACCCAAATCCTAAACTTCGCCTCAAATGTGGGGATAGAATGCTAAAGATAATGGGTAAACCGTGCGAGTAAGCCTAAGAACAGGCTACCATAAAAGTCATCTTATCATGTAAAGATGAAAAGAGCACACGAATCGTTTCCTTTTCGCAACGGATATGGACACAAGGGCCAATATTTGTTATTATTGGCCCTGCGGGACTGCGCAAATGCGGCGGGCACGGTGGTCGAAATCGCTAACGCCGTACCTGACTGAAATGATCGTAACATTGTTTCAAGGTTCACAGTGAAAAACAGCGTACTTCAAAGGAACCTAGAATTGTGAAACTTGGTTTCCTAGGGGCATAAGTATTTGCACAAGTATTAAGCTGCTAGACTCGTGGCTACACCGCGATTGGGCCGTGCACGCTAGCCCCCAAACGTTCTGATAGCTAATATATATTGTGACTCCGCTGGCATTAAGTGTCCAACAGCTCCCAACTAGTCCAAAGTAAAGGTTAATTAACAAAAGTGCCCGTGGTAATGTTGCTTGTTGTAATTAAAAAGATAAAATTATTATATATTAATCAGTACTCATTGCAGTAATTGTAGCGTCAGATCTCCACGGATTTTTGCCTTCAGCTCGATCTCAATATCAAGGTTCAAATCCAACCTTAGCCTCAACTGATCGTTGCTTTTCTTATCTGTCACTTCTTCGGTGGTCTCTACCACGTCGCCAGTCGTTGAATCTAATCCGTTTCGAGAAGACTCTCCCTGTTGTCCTGCACGGTGGGGATCTGGCGCGCGAACCATCTCTTTATCCTTAACTTCGGGGTTAAGCATCCGCCGGACGCGTGTCTCTTGTCTGTTTGCTTGCGGACTGTTTCCTTCTGGACTGTTTGCTCTTTGTTCACGTTCGATGACTTCAACTCGGTCTGGTTCGCCGGACGGAGCTGACTCGCGTCGGACAGTTCGTTGATGATGTATCTGCGGGCTTTCGGAAGCTTGATCTGCGCTCGAAGCATCCAGATTGTCCTCGTTTTGCTCTTCGGCAATGCCATCTGGATGTTCCGACAGAGAACTTGATTGCGATCTCTGTGAGCCCCCGGTTTGTCGTTGCTGGCTTCCTTGACTTTGTCTATCCAAGGGACGCGTCTGCTTTGAAAGCTTAGGAGGTCGGAGTTTTGGCGGTGGCCGTTTTTGTGAAGATGCTACTCCATTTGTGCTGCTGTTACCGACTCCGCCCCGCGTAGTTTCTTCCGGCGCTTTCATTGGGAGGGATTGATGATATGGGTATTTATTAAGACTGTGAAAGTAGTGCTCAGTTTTAAGAGCTGCGTAGCTTACAGCAAGTCATATTGTGCTGACTTAGACCAATTTCCAGCAGCTATGAGCGTGTGAGTGTAATTCGCCTCTTGACGTCATTTACATAGATTGGTTGTAGGTAGATATGGTATCCGAGAAATGAGTCTATTACGGCCGAGTGCTCTATACTTGGAAATTGAACGCGTCATTGGACATTGGAGACCTGTGTCCAAAGGGGAAAGTGTAAAGCGGTGGGATCAAGACTTGGGCAACTATGGTGGTCTCCTTAAGAAGGATTCGGGGAATCTTCAAATTCCAAGAACCATGCTAATTAATATGTGGGCCCATCATGGCGTGCGGAAGTCGCCGCTCATATTTGTCAAAGAAAGTAGCTGGAGATTTGGGCCAGGAAAATGTTAATTTGGAACTTTCCAACCTCTCCATTACGATATATATATATTTTGGTGTCAATCACTTGTACTTTTTTTCACCGTTTCACACATTCCTTACTAACGGCACACTTGGGAAGAATGACTTCAGGTCGCAATTTGGCTGATAGAAGCATCCCTTCTAAAGGCCCAAGGCGGGATGGTTACAACGATCAGCGGCAAAAAGTTTCCTCGATTTCTGAGATCACATCGCAGGACGAAGACAACTATAGTGTGATCTCTGGTCAGTATGATCAAGACACCAGCAGTGAAGACGTCCCCCGCAGAGAACTTCACTATGATACCACTGTCGAACGCGCTCCGCAAACCGGGGGAATCAAATTCGATCGGCTTAATCCGACTTCTTCATTGACGCGGACAGTTTCTCCAGGGCAAGGCCTTCGTGGCGAAGTCCAAAGACCCGGGATTGATCCAATCCCACCGGTTCAAAGTTCAAAAAAGCCGGCCAATTCGGCATTAAGTCTGAGATTAGATCTAAATCTTGACATCGAGGTCGATTTGAAGGCTAGCATACGTGGTGATTTAACCCTTACGCTCTTGTGAGTTGATCATGTATGAGACCTGGCTATCTTGCGTTGAAGCTTACACTGTAAAGGACTTGATGAGAGAAACAATGGAAAAGTGACGGGCATCCATGTCAGCCTGGTAATATAGCTTGTTTGATATATTTCGCTTTCTTATAATACATCATATTCGTTATTATACGTATCATCTAGTTCAAAGGCCACTTGAGGTTCCTCCCTAACTTTGAACGGCTAGTTTCTACAGTCGGACGTGACAGCTCTAGGATAAGAACCGCATTAGCCACAGTTAAGCCACCTACGCCAAACAGTCGAGAAACGTGTTTTGACCAATTTTGAACCATGCAGTAGTTACAGAATAAGTGGCATCTCGATATGCAAGAGACACGGGTGCCGTGCCATCCGAATTGCCAAGACATTCCAGCCACTCTCCGGCATGCCGATCCGTGGTAGCTTGATGGCGGGAATGACGACAAGACTGTAGAGCTCTTAGCCACATCTCGAAATATTTGCCGAGCAAGTTTTCAATCGCTTTATCGGAGCTATGATTGGATTGAATTCCTGCCATCATGGCATCGGTGCTTGTCTAATTGTTTTCGGCGTATGTGGTGTGATACGTCTGTGGCTGTGATCTGTGGCGTGTGTCGTGTGGCCTGTGCTTGAGAGTACGAACCTGTATAAAGACAGCAGGTGCAACGGCCAACTCCTAAAATTTTAATTATTTTATATTTCTTTGAGCACTTTGCGTTGATCCCAGAACAAAGCAAAAGGAAAATAAAACCACAGCAACCTTAATGGCAACACCGGAGGCTAAACCCACTATGCTGGGTAAAAAAGCCCTGGGGGCACCTAGTAGCCTCGTCAAGAAGGGAGAAAAGAAGGGAGAATCTCCTAAAGATGCTGCACAGGGTCGGAAAAAGTCGGACTTGGTCAACAATCCTAACCCTCTGCGAAAGGTGACCAAGAGCATGCCTACGAAGCTGTCCAAACCTCCAAATTTGAAGAAATCAATTTCAGCACAAGACACGACGTCTGCCAAGAAGGCTGAAAAGGGCAACGAATCCCCAAGCCTATCAAAGCCAGCAGAAAAGCTCCGAGTTCCACAGGAATCCGAGCCGGACGGAGGAGTTGAAGTTGATAACGCGGACATACCAACCCAGTCTATCGAGAATGATGAAGGCCCTCTCAATTTGGTCGACAATACAGCAATTCCAGAGGGAGACGAAGCGGACGCAAAGGAGGACGAAGGAGACGAAGCAGACGAAGGAGACGAAGCAGACGAAGTAGACGAAGCAGACGAAGGAGACGAAGCAGACGAAGCAGACGAAACAGAGGAAGCAGACGAAGCAGACGAGGAACAGCGTGAAAATGCCGTAAAAGGACCACCACAGGCTTCAGGATCGGCAAGAAAATCATACTTTCAACGGGGTAAAGACGCTGCATCTGGTCTAGCAAGCTTTGCGAACAAGGCCAGCAAGTTTCACTCTCAACTTCCTGATTCGGTTAAAAAAGAGGCTGCAAATCAAATGCAGACGGGCATGCAGCGCGTCACAACCATGACTAAGCCTGCGGTCGATGGAACAGGAGGCAAAGTTGAGGAGATAACGCAGGAAACTTCGTCGATTCCGACTAATCTCTCTTCTTTGTCTGGACTTCCAGTTGGTGAAGATGGGTTGATCCTAGATGGCGACGGCAATCAAATCGGTCGACTGGCTGAGGGTGACGCAGAAGATCTTGCTGGTCGCACCGTTGGCGAAGATGGAGAGATACTCGATGAGGATGGTGATTTGATTGGGCGCGTGGAGCTTCTCAGTGGTGATCTAGCAGAAGAAGCACTTCCCGCCCAAGATGCCCTGGGCTTGAAAGACCTTGCAAACCTACCTCTTGGGGAAGATGGGAAAGTCAAAGATCAGTCTGGTCGTGTATTGGGAAAGCTCGTCGAAGGTAATCTTGAAGATTTGGTCGGTTGGACGGTGGATGAAAATGGGGAGATACTCGATGAGGATGGTGATATGGTTGGCCGCATTGAGCTGCTTCCTTCTGATGAAGTTGGTGGAACTCTTGACCAGCTAGGCGATTCGCTGCCAGACCCTTCCATTTTGAAGGACAAAGTCATCAATGAAGAAGGAAAGATCCTGGATGAAGACGGTAATGTACTTGGCCAAATCAAAGAGGATCAAGATCTGGAAGCATTGTCTGGTAAAGTACCGAACGAACAAGGACAAATCTTGGATGATGATGGAGAGGTCATAGGAGAAGTTGAGGTGGTCGCTGGCGAGGTTGCTGATAAGGCAATGGAAGCGCAACAAGAAGCGGTACGGAAGGCCGAAGAGGATATTTCTATTCTTGATGGTCTCCAAGTCAACGAAGAAGGACTGATCACTGACCCCAGTGGCTCCGTAATCGGTGAGCTGGACAGTGGCGATCTATCGGAGGCCGCCCACATGACCGTGAATGAAAAAGGCCTGGTGTTGGATGACGATGGCAACATCGTAGGCAAAGCACGGTTAGCTGCCAAAGAAGTTGTCGAAGAGACCGAAAAGTCCGCCGAAGAGACCGCCCAGGGACTGCCACCCCTTTCTACACTGGAAGGTTTGAAGTGCAACAAACTCGGAAAGATTGTTAATGAAGATGGGATCCCAATTGGTGAACTTGTCGAAGGCGATCCCAAAAAGCTCAGTCGAGACGGTGTCGAGCTTGACGGTGAGGGTCAATTCTGGGACAACAGGGGCAACATCATTGGGAAAGCCCAGACTCTTCCCTTGGAGGATGAAGAAGAGAGGGGGCCATTTGCGGACCTAGATGAGCCTTTTGTTGCCGAAGAAGGTTGGGTCCACGATGCCAATGGCAACAAAGTTGGACAGATTGTTGAGGGTGATATTGGCAAACTTCTTGGACGAGCCGTCGATGATGATGGCGATATCCTAGACAAGCGCGGTAATCTCCTGGGACGAGCAGAGCCGTGGGAAGAACCCGAGCCCGAGCCCGAGCCTGAGCCCGAGCCTGAGGAAGAAGTCGATCTCACAGAATTAGAGGGCCTCACTCCGAATAAAATGGGAAACGTGATGGGCCCAGACGGAGTCCCTATCGCTCAAGTCAGCGAAGGAAACCCCAAACTACTGGCTGGCAAAAAGATCGACCCTCAAGGCTGTATATGGGGTGATGGTGGCGAGGTCATCGGAAAAGTCACTATGATCCCTAAAGAAGAACGGGAAGCCATCACACTCTTTGGAGATATGGGAGATTTAGTGGTTCGGGAGACTGGGTTCGTGGAGGATGAAACTGGTGATATTGTCGGCAAGATCATCGAAGGCGACCCTCAAAAATTGAAAGGCCTCCTTGTGGATGAAGACGGAGACATTCTTGACAAGCGAGGAAACGTGAAGGGAAGGGCTGAGCCGTATACTCCACCGGATGAGGAAGAGGAGGAAGAAGAGGAGGAAGATCTATCCGCTCTGGAAGGAATGAAGGTCAACAAGCTAGGAAACGTCGTGGATGAAAATGGGGCTGTGTGGGGTCGCCTTATCTCTGGGAACCCCAAGAAGCTAGCCGGCAAGCAAATCGATGCAAAAGGTCAAATCTGGAGCGACGACGGAAATGTTCTCGGCACCGTGGAATTGATCCCTTCATCTGAGCGCGAGAAGGGGGAGGGCATTTTCTATGGGCTCGAAGGCCTAGTGGTCACCAAAGACGGAACCATCACAGACCTCAACGGCCAAATCGTCGGAAGGCTTGTTGAAGGAGATCCGCCCCGACTGAATGGTCGTGCCGTGGATGAGGACGGAGAAATCATCGACAAAGTAGGAAACGTCATTGGCCGTGCAGAGCGTTGGACCCCAGAGGAAAAGCCTCGCAATGTCAACCCAATGAGTGGTCGAAAAGTCAACCGTGAGGGCGAAGTGCGTGATGAAGATGGGAATCTCATCGGTAAACTCACCGAGGGCAATCTCAAGTCTCTAGCCGGCAAAACAATTGACGACAACGGCTACATCGTTGATAACGATGGCAATAAGATCGGCGAGTGCACATTGCTAGAGCATTTTCCTGACACCGAGCCTGAGCCTGAGCCTGTGGAAGAGGAGCCCGAGCTCTCACCTGAGGAGCTTAAGCAGAAGGAAAAGGAGGAACACGACCGGGAACTGGCGAAGAAGATGTGTTCAATTATACAGCAGACGATTGACTCTGTTGAACCTCTTTGCAAACAGATTACCGAGGCAAGTCTTTTCATATCATTCTATATCTATGTTACTAACAATATCGCCAGCATATTGAGAGAGCCGATCGCACACCCCGAGACGAGCTCGATGAAGAACAGTTAGTAAAGAACGTGAAGCCTATCATCGAAGAAGCTGGCAACATACTGCAAGAGTGTAAAGGGTCCCTTCGTGCCTTGGACCCCGATGGCCAAATTGCAGCGTCTGCCAAAGCCAGAAGTTTAGCGCACGAAGCAACACCGGAAGAATATCAGCTAGCCGATCTTCTAAAGCAACTTTCGCAAACAATCTCGACGACAATTGAGAACGGCCGTCGGCGAATATCAGATATGCCTCATGCGAAGAAGAAGATTAATCCACTGTGGTCGTTGCTTTCTGAGCCCCTTTTCCAGATTATTGCAGCCGTTGGTTTACTCCTGAGTGGAGTTTTGGGGCTGCTCGGTAATCTCCTGAATGGCCTTGGTCTTGGAGGCATCGTGAAGGGCCTTCTTGGTGGCCTGGGAATTGATAAATTGGTCGGTGGCCTTGGTCTGGGCAATATCGGCGAGAAGCTGGGTGGATCAGGTTGAGAAATGCACTACGCAAAATCGGCGCCAAGGCCATTATCCCAGAGGCCCGGACAAACGTATCGAAACATCTGCATGAATATTATTATTTCTTGAAGCAAAGTACTGGAACAATGTGAGTTTTTTCTTTTTCTAAGAAACAAAAATAAAGAAAAAAAAAAGGGAAGGAAAGAAAAGAAAAATATAACAGTCCGCGTTCGCGTGTGGTGATAGGGGATGACTCTCACCTACCCTCAAAATACCGGGCCACATCATTGCTGTCAATATTTTCAGAGATGAAGTAAGCGGGAAAATCAAGATTCAATTACTTTTCGGCCAGACACTGCCTATCAACTATCCTCACCTCGTAGCAATTGCTCCTTATAAACTTTCCAGCATTCAATACAGATGTAGCATCCTCTATGGGTCATGAGGATGTTCTTTGGAAGTCTATTTGGGTATTAATAATGACAATTTATATAGACTACTGGACTTCAGCACCCACTCCTCTCTCGCCCTTGGGTATTGAAAAGAAGTTACACCGCATTGACGAGATTTACATTCTTCTAGCCCGCAAATAAGAAGTAAGCTGTATCTATATATCTCTTCAGCTAAGTAGGACTCTCAAGTACAGTATTAAAAACTTTATCTATATATTCTCGCCTATTGTAGGCATCTGTAGATAAATGTGCGATGGCAATGTATATCCTACAATTTTCATATAGGGGACTCTGCTATACCGGGTATATTTGGAATCACATCTACGATCCCAAAGTCAATAGCTAAAGGCAAAAGAAACCTATCAATATATATCGGTACTCTCATGACACTGAGGATTGTCCCAGGGCTGATATTTCGCAAAGGCAGGTTATCGGAATACAAGTACAACTGTGGGTCATGGGATTTCAAAGAAAGGCACAAGAAAGGGTCCTTGAGATTGTCTATTCCTATGACAACCTTCAAGCTATACAAGTGCTTTGGTAATGTTGTGAGTATTTTCTAGTAGAATATAGATGCTTTCATTACAATACAGCACAGAAGTAGGTTCCTTGGCGAATTTATGTATACATATATTCGGCTCATCGAAGCAGATATCCACTATCATTCATATATGCCGAAGGGAGATTACATAAGTAGCGAACAGCTTTCAATGTTTTTAGAGAAAAAAGCACCTGAATATTAAGAGTGGAGTGGCTTTCTCCCATAGACAGCGACTCTGCGCGTAGTTAGTACGAGTACTCGGGCCATTCGCGGGGGTGGGGTTGACTGTACGTTTCAACATAGGCATGTAACTTCTTATCCCGCAGCTCCTGCTTGACCAAAGCATTGTGAATCTTGGCCACATCGGGGCTCCATCCTAGCACCTGCGTGTACAAGCGCAGTGAATAGGAATCGATGGCTTGCTGCAACTGAACTGCCTGGTACTTCCCCAGGGCCTTCAAATTGGGATCGCGCGGCCAGGGCGAGAACGGCAGCACGTAGACCGACAAAGTGACATCCTCAAAGCCGGCTGCAATCATCCATTCCTTCAACTTATGGTATATGTTCAGCTCCCGCCCGCTCTTGTCGCCAGCGATATTGATGGCCTGTTGCCATTGCATGAGCGCAGAATCTTGTTTGAGGGAGCCATCATCACTCCTGGCCCAAACGGCACTTTCGTGGGATTCAAAATAGCCGCCAGGCTTGACATGGTCGTAGATCCGGCGGAGAAACCCGGGCCAGTCGGCCACACATCTACTCAGTGTATCAGATTGACACACTCAAAGTAGGGGGACGGGTGGTAGGGACCTACCCTGCCAAGCATCGTGCATGAATAAAGTCAAAGTGGTTTTGTTCATATTGCCAATCGCTTTCAAAGTCCTCCACTATGAACTCAATATTTGGGGCCACCCAACTAGGCTGGATGGGGCTGATGTCATTCCCAATAACGTGGGCGCTAGGAAATTTCCTACCATCTGAAGTCAGTTTTGCTGGCGTGGAAAGATCGGGTTGTGAGACTTTGACGTACTCTGCAATGTCCAAAGCCCAAATGCCTGTTCCGGTTCCCAAGTCAAGAATGTTCTCTGGTGATGATTTAATAGGGGCATTGTAGAGCTCTCCGCCCAGTAGCATCAACCATCTGCACAACTCTAGTTAGCCACAATCATTTATCAATAATGTATTGCTTCACATACATGTGATGTGTCTGGAAAGGGAGTCAGTGTTGAAACACGTATTACTAGAGAATCCTAGAGATAGTTTCGTACCAAATCCATTCGATCCTGTTCCTCTTCATCATTCGGCATCCTGCCTTTGTCAGTCTTCGCAGTCAGGGGCCTCTAGGCGAAAGTGTGAAGATACATATAATTTCCCTACTTGTAGGTCAGTAGGTGAATCAAACCCAGTATCAAGGGCAAAATCCTGAGCAAGACTACTTACTAAGCTGGTGCTACAATATCGCCGACCATTTTCATACTCGAACTCGAGCACGCTCGACGACAGAGAGGTGAGATCGGAAAGTTCATCATCGAAATGGCTACTAGTGTCCTAAAAGATGACGTCAGTCTGAACCCCGGATCGCAATGAACCAAGCACTTGAGTCCACATACGTCGCTAAAACTATCGATCGCGATTGGATAGGGCGCGTTGAAAGGGATCTCAGAATTGACGTCCGGCGCTTCTTCGGATCGCATTTCTTCAGATCGCGCTTGTTCGGTCGGTGCCAAGGCCGCTTCGTGGGGAGTGGAAGCCATTGTAAATGAATGATTAAAACAACTGAAAATAAATCAGAAGAACGTGGGGAATGGATCTCTACCCCTCTTGGAGATTTGAAATTCGCTTAAAGACATGTCAATCCTCAACACGGGGTGGAGGAATTTGGGTTTGTACCCAGACTGTCGGGTCCAAATGAGAATACAAGTTTTGATTGATCGCGGCATTACGCTCGTTTCTGGATTTCGTAAACGCCAATGGACATCACTGAAACGGGCTGGAACTTGATTCTGCTCTACATGTTCTCCAAGATGTTCCCTGGCCCCGACGTACTTTTTTGTGGCCCAATTGCAGAGCTAGTTGTATCGAAGCCTCAACAACTCTACTAATAAATGAAATGGCATGCGACCCGGAGATATTCAAGGTCAGAGGGAGCAGGCGCTGATCTGATCCCAGTGAGGCTTTCTTAGCGCCAATCTCTCACCTGCTGGGTGCCCAAGTTTACATACATCATATCCCTCATAAATTAAGCAAGTTTGTCAAAATACCTTGCTGTTTTTTTCGAGATTAAATGCCGATGATGGCCAGAATGTTCGTCACCCTATTGGTCGGTATATCAATATTAACTCCGCCTGCCATGATTGGTCAGTCCTTTTGAGTCCAGCTTGTAGAAGATCACGTCAGCGCTTTCCTGAACAGGCTGAAGATTACATAAAAGCGGCAAGGGTTCCACACCACACAAAAAAAAAAACATACAACAGTCAGGATTCGCATGTGGTCACCCACCATACTACTAACTAACCGGCGTGTGGCTTAAGTACGGCTGAGCGGACGGGAAGCCCTGTTCTCCACACCCTATGGTCGTATGTACAAGATTCTATATAGAAATAATTTATATTGATGCAATATGCAATCAAATGATTTTGCTTTTTAGCTGAACAACCTTGTAACATTGGATCGCATATTTTGATGGAATTCTGGCCGAAGTCTATCGTGTGTTCACGATCCATGGAACTTGACAAAAGCAAAATTGAGCACTGTGACTGCCTAGCGACTCAGGTCCAAGCAGGTTATGGGCTTAGATGTACTCCGATGTGTTAAAATATGTATATATTTATCATCAACACATACGCCCTCTCTCTTACATGACAACCATGAAGTCCAACCACCCACTCCTTCGACAGACCAGGAACAGGGCTCAGTAAGAGACAACCTTGGAACCTTGGAACCTTGCAGCCCATAAGTATCCTAGATAAACTTTTCATCAATCAAAAGTCATCATCGCTATTCGTGTCCTCATCCTCTGGCAGGTCTGTCACTTCACCGAGCTCTTCTGAATTCATCAAAGTCTCATACAAACCATCGTCACAACAGTCATGGTCAAAGATCCGGAAATCCTTCCCCTCGGAATCAATATCGCGAAACTTCGCCTTCTCTACTGGCCCCGGCCTAAAAGCATGGGACTGAGGCAATATAGCCGCCAGCCTGCGATATTTGAAATACAATCCCCCGAGGAAGACCACCTTGCTTTCTCCAGGCTCCGTAGCCTCACTTGAAACCCATCCAGCCTCCTCATGGGACGTATACCATGTAGACGAAGGAGCAATTTCACCGATTCCGACGACACCCCCACGAAATCCGACCGATATCTCCTTCCCCTGTTGTGCCCAGGCATTCACCTTTGCCAATCTGGTCCTATACGTGGAAGTGACAATGACAAGACCATGCTCTCGGACATCCGGCCATTTTCGCAAGATGACCTCCGAGTTTTCCTTGCACCAGAGCCGGAAGGCCGTCGAGCCGTAGATCAGGTTTTTGATCACGGGACTCTCCGTCATGAGGATCGCCCCAAAGCCATCATTGTTGCTGTATCTGTACAAGGCCCCGATGTCCACAGGAATTCCGGCTGGGATGAGTGCCGAAGCGCCAGCTTCTAGGTCAATCTTTCTTTGGATGACTTGGCCGCTCAATTTTGGGCCCCAAGATCGTTCGTCGGATGGCGCTGGGTGGAAATGATCAAAATGCGTTAAGCCATTTTGAGTGAGAGCTGATGAGTCGCCTAGGTTTATTATCTTCTGGTCTATTCCAAGCAGCGGTGTCCATTGCCCTCTCTCTGTGAAATAGCCGCAAAAACCGGGCTGCAGTACTTTTGACGATTCTGGCTCGTATAGCGCATAGCCATATGGGTGCTTCAGCATTGACTGCTGATATACTTCCCCCAGTGTGGGCATTGCGGTCGTCAGCTTTCGGGGTAAGTACAGCAGATACGAAAATAGAAGGAGACAGCAGGGTATCAATCAAGGAAGAATAACCGGAAACGTGAGACGTGTCGTGTGTTAGTTTGGCGGGGCTGGTCCCCAGCGTCTCTGCCTAGAAATACGAACATTGGCACCTGGGCATCTTTGCCCCTCCGCTTATGTTACCCCGCGCCAGAGATCTGCTGAGCCAGCTCCCGAGTAGAATGACTCTTTGAATCTGTTGTGTCCTCTCCCCCACCGCTGCTTTTGCCAACGAAGTTAGTCATGGCAGATGAACCCATCAAGAAAGAGATCCACCCCTCTCAAATCGCCGCAACCAAGGCGTCCTTTGACCGAGATCGGCCAACAACGGAAGATCTTCGACCAGGCGACTTTTTCGATGATCCAGACTACCTGGAGACGTTGCCCCATGAGGCGAAAGCTCTGATTTGCGCTGTACAACAGGCAGGAGATCATCCCGACCGACCTGGATTGTGCCATATCCAATCAGAGCTTGCACTTATACGGTATCAGCAGAGTCACAGCGAGGAAGATCTCTCTATGGCTCTTGCCCTCGAAGCCCTATCCCTCCGCTACGTACCGGCCAAACATCCTGGTCGAGGGAAGTCCAACCACCATATGGGCGACCTGCATGTACGAAAATGGAAGTCAGAAAAGAACCATGTTAATATGGATGAGGCTATCAGACATTACACCTTAGCGATTGAAACTGCTCAGGAGAAGGATGAGGTACTTTGTGAATGGGCTTGCGATCTTGCGGTGGTGCAACTGGAACGCTATAAGAAGACGAAGCATGAAAGCGATAAAAAGAAAGCACATCAGTATTTTGATCGGGCTATTAAGCTTTCCGGACAGCTGCCAGTACAGGCACGACATATTTCTAACAAAGGCTACTTCCTATACCTGGTCATATCCGGTAGTGACGCGGAGAAAGAAGTGCAATTGACAGAGTCGATCGCAGTCCAGCAAGAGGCAATCGAATTTTGCGATAGTCATCCGGATCTTTCGTCCCCACCCCAACTTCCATATGGCATGATCTATCGCAATGCTGGCCTGGCCTACATAGCACGGTTCTCCATGAACAAAAAGATTGATGACGGCAAAATGGGATCGTCATTACTCGAAATGGCATTGACTTACGAAAAGCCAGGCGACGAGCACTGGGAGGATTTTACAAACGAGCTTGCCAATATTCAAAAGCTAAACGCACAAGCGTCGGGAGATTCAGACGCGGAAGAAAAAGCTTGCGGTGTATGGCGAAAAGCTATTGAAATCAATCCGCATGCAATCACCCCCAGAATCAATCTAGCAAGGTTCCTTCAAGGAAGGGCGGGGAACTCAGTTGATCGAAGCATTGCGGAAGAGCTTCTGCAGCAGGCTATCGGCCTCGCCGAGGACGCCGTCAAAGTAATGCCACAGGGGCACCGAAATAAGGGGCTGGCGTTTAGTTGTTGCGCTTCGGTGCATTATTCCTTATATGATGTGCGAGGTGAGCTGACTGATATCGACGCAGCCATAGAATGTGCTCAGAAAGCTACATGTGACGAGATCGATGTGAATCTATGGGATCACTATCGCCTGCTTGCTCAGGCTCTGATTCTGAGGTACGAACGCCTCAACCGTGGGGATGATCTGCGAGATGCCAGCGCCGCTGTCATGATGGGTCTTTCCAAATGCCCAGCAGAAGATATGCATAGCAAAATCCAGTGCATGTGGGTTGCTGCTAAGATAAGTCGGGCAAATTATGACCAAACTCGACACTTGGATGTACTCAAGAAAACTTGCTTTGCATTTTCGGGGATAAGCCTGCTTATGCCGAAGGATTCACCATCAAGAGCATTGCTCTTGAACGACCTGGGAAATGCTTACACCGAACTGTTCTGTCATGAGACATTGCCTTCCCAACTCGAGAATGCAATTAATGCGTACGAGGAAGCGTTGTCAGGCCTAAAAAAGCTCCATGGGAATGAACAACACCCTGATATTTTCATGCTTAATGCTGCTCTTGGAAATGTCATGACGCAACGATTTCTCCACTGGAAAGCCGAAGCGGACATTGAATCTGCGATCAAGTACTATCGCAGGAGCCTCTTGCAGATTAACAAATACCACCCAAGGTATTCTATACGTGTGGGGAACCTATGTTATGCGCTACAGCTTCGCTTTGACGCCAAGAAAGATCTAAAAGATCTTAAAGATGCGCAGAACATCCTCCATCTGGCACTAGAGGAGCCAGGGAAGCTAAGTGTTGAAACAAAGACGGGACTAGCCATGCACTTGGGCAACATCTATCAATTCACATTCAAAGCCACCGGCGAGCGGGCTGACTTGGAGAACGCTATTGATCAGTACAACATGTCTTTAATGGTTGAAGGCGCTTCTTCCTCCTCCTCGACATATGGAATAACATTTCTCAACAAAGCTGTTGCCCTCCAACAATTTGCTATGATGACTGGTGACCCTTCCGACTTTGAAGCCAGTGGGAAAGCGTTTCTAGAAGTGCAGAAACTATTGAGTGAAGGTAATCCAAATTATTGGAAGGCTGTGTTAAATCACGCCAATCTAATAAAAGCCAGACATGAGCGAAAGCTGGGATCTGATGTCAAAGAGGATGCGTATCAAGCGCTACAAAAATACGAGTATCTTGCACGCAAGGCCACAGTTCCGGCATCGGTACGCATCAGTGTAGCATCGATAGCAGCGAATCTTGCTATCGATGAGCTAAATGATCCAGCGCGAGCCCGGGATAACATTCTTATAAGTCTCAGGCTACTACCGGAAGCTATCCTGATGCATGAGAGTCGATTGAAGCAGTTGGAATTTATCAGAGAATATCAGCTCATCCCAGGGTCTGTCGCTTCTTTGTCACTAAGTGCCGGAGACTCTCCAAATGTCGTGATCCACCGCCTTGAGGCTGGCCGTGCATTCATTTGGGACCGCATCCAAGGCCGACCAACTCGACTTGATGATCTGGAAGTTGAGAATCCGGAACTAGCTGGACGCTTCCGCAAATTACAGCAGCGAGTATTTCATCAGAATCGCCACGTTGACCGATCCAATAACATTGATCTGACATCGATCGCTCTGGACGATGTCAACAGGATGCACCGACATCATGATACAGATGCTTTTCGCGAGGTACTCGAGGAGATCAGAGCACTTCCTGGATTTAGCTCTTTTTTGAAGACCCCGGACACTCCTGCTGATATTCAATCCTACGCTCATGATGCGCCAATTGTCTTTATCAACGTCACTGCTTACCGGAGCGATGCTGTTGTGATCACAAGGGATGGCGTTCACCATTTGCCTCTCCCCTCTATTCATATAGAGCAAGTCAAGGCGTATGTATTGCGATTTGCGGTAGCACTGCATCATCTCGGAAATGAAAATGACCAAGCCGAAGCACTATCGGAGTACCAGGCAGTGATGGGGTGGCTCTGGGAAGTAGCAGCAAAGCCAGTCTTAAGCTTCATAGATTGGGACAAATACATTCGAGGACCTAATGGCAAGCCTCGGATCATATGGGTCTCCGTAGGGTGGCTAAGCGTCCTGCCGATCCATGCTGCAGGGGACTTCGAAACTCCACCATCATCCAATAGTAAGAAACCAACATGCGTCCACGATATGGTTGTGTCTTCATACACAAACTCTTTGAAGGCTCTGGAATTTATCAGACACATCGCCGAGCAACGAAAAAACAGGCCGCAGTCAAGCACAAGTCCACAGGCCATCGTTGCAGCCATGGCGGCAACCCCTGGATTCGGCCCAGAAGCCGACCTAAATGTCGAGCCCGAGATCAATGCAATCAAAAACATTCTTTCGCCATCAGTTGGTGTCGAAGTACTCATGCAACCCAGTTCCTCCACAGTCAAGGCAAACATCACACCAGAAACAGCTATCCTACATTTTGCCTGCCACGCTCGGGCTGATGACAAAGATCCATCAAGAAGCGCCATCATGTTGCAGGATAACCAGACCAAGCCTCCTCCACTATCGGTGAGAACCCTTCTCAACCTCGACTTGAAAAGTTGTGAGCTTGTCTATTTATCTGCTTGCGAGTCAGGAGTAAGTAAAGTGCTGTCACTACGGGACGAGGGTATTCATATTGCAGGTGCATTCCACATCGCTGGAGTATCACATGTCATCTCTACGTTGTGGAAGGTATCTGACACTGTTTCTGCCGGGCTTGCTGAATTTTTCTATGCTAATTTGATGGAGACTGGACGAGATCGTTTAAATTTGGATATGGCACCGTATGCTCTTCATGAGGCCATTGGGCAGATGAGACGAAGGGGTGTACATCCTATCTTTTGGGCAGCCTTCATTCATTCTGGGCCTTGATGCCAGTTATTTTTTTTTTGTTTTTTAGCTCGTATAATTCGAGTCTGAAAATTTTATCCTGCATTACAGAGCCAGAATATTTGTTTCCGAATCGAAACCGTGGTTCGATAACATACTCGATAATTCACACCATGCTGGAGGTCTCCGTATTATGAGTTGCCATAATGCCAACCTTTTTCGAAGTGATCTCCCCAAAGCACAACCCAGTATTACATAGCCTGCGCAAAAGTATATGTACATCGGTAGCTCCAATGGAAGATTCTCAGCGTATCGAGTTTTTGCCTCGTGGCCATCAAGGGATAAAACAGGCTCAGGCAATACAGTCTCCACAAAGAGGAGAACATTTTGAGTTCCTAAAACTTGACGGGTATATACTCAGCATGAGAGGAAGGGTAAAACGAATATAACGTTGATGTATTTGTATTGCTATCTCAGAGTGATGAGAATAAAACCATGGAAGGGGAAAGGCAAGAAGGAATGAGAAGGCAAAATGAAGATCACATCACTCAATCACAACCCCACACGAACTTTTGTTCAGATTCTGCTCCTTTTTCAACGCGCCAAAGATCAGAGCTTGCTTGGACATGCGAGAATCAACTCGAATATATGAGTTCAATATGCCCATAATGAGAGTTCTACAGCGTGGTCTTCTTCCGCGACCAATTCAGCCCGCTCGCTTGTGCCTTCGCCCATGTCTCCACGATTCGCGCATGCCTTGCACTTCTAGGCAATAAGTGGCAGACAAACCGCCTAGGAATTGTGAGGAAGCCGTTTTCTGTGCGTGTTTCAAGTTCGATGATATTTCCATGGGAATCTTTGCCTTTCGTAATGTTGAAGGCCCAAACAGTTCGCGCGAGGTTGATGAACAAAGAATTCTGTGCGACATGACCCCCTGAGCAGGACCGTCGACCGGCGCCATATTTGAAGTGATCTCGCGCATCTGGATCAGCTGTGTTCATTGATTCAGCTGTTGTCATAGTCGTGTAAGGCTCCTTCATGTACCGCATTGGCTCGAAGTCCTCGGGAGAATCCCAGCGGGCGGGATCAAAATGAATCGTCCTGTAAATTCAAGAAATATGTAAGTTTCTTTATCTTTGGGACGTAGCCCCAAGATCGAAAAAAGATACATACCACCAACTGAGAACAATCGTCGAGCCCTTGGGTATGAAAAACTCATTGTACCAATCGTCTTCGGTGGTTGCGTGGGGTGCGCCTAATTTTGAAACCGGTCTCCAACGTAAGGCTTCCCGCGCCATTGCCGCAATATATGGAAGGTTCAACTCATCTTCAAACGTTGGCAAGCGATCTCCACCAACAACGCGATCAACCTCCTCTTGTGCAGCCTGAAGAACGTGCGGAAACAGCAGGCAGGCCGGAAGCCAGTTATTGATTGTGCTACTGGTTGACTCGCTTCCAGCTTCTACCATTGTTCCTGCTGTGTATGCCGCTGTCTCCTCATCAACGCCGCTTTTGTCGGCGACGTTCAAGTAAAAGTCACGAACAAAACAATCGGGGGCAGTTCCAGCTTTGACCTGCCGAATGAGGTCTCTGTACAAGTCAATGTAGACTTTGGAATCGTATGCATGCCATTCCCGACCGATGTTCCACCAGTTTTGAACTATCTTGGATAGAAGCTTGGCAAGGAAAGGAAAAGTGTCAACGAGCCATCTGCCGGGCTCAGCCATGGCATTGAAATGCTCTAGCAGTGTGTATATGTTTCTATACAAGGGACCATGCCAGTCCGCAATCCGATGTCCATAGGTAATCGTCATGATAACGCTGGAAGAATTTCGACGGTTGATGTAATAAAATTCGCAGTCATCTTTCGCATGAAGAAATTCGTACAAAACTTGTTTCGATTCGAAGTCTTGCACAGGAATACATGAAATGGCTGTTGAAAGGTTGAGCGCAGCATGACTGACTTTACGCAAAGATCGCCAGAGAGAGCCGTATGGCATGAGGAACTGCCGGTGCCCGTTTGAAACCGCGTCGAATGCCATCGGCAAATGTGGTCGGTCGGAATAAATAGAGCCACGCTTGTCCATTAATTCTCGCACTGCAGCAGCAGAATTGAGCCATATATAATGGCTAGGCCCAATTTAAGTGTAAACAATTTCGCCATATTCCTGAGCCCATTCTAATGCGACTTTGGGAATCTTATCGGCGTCTCTCAGGTCTAGCATGTTTCCCAGTATAGGCCATCCACGAGGTCCAGGTGGTAACTTATCAAGGCGTTCATCTCTAGTCCAATAATTGAGAATCAGAATGGTAAACTTGCATGAAAATCAGACCGAGGACTGAAGAAGGAGCTCAGAAGAAGCTCAGTCACAATATGATGATAGATAGGGTGTATAATTGAGCTACTCACCACTAGTGAAACCAGGAGAGCCACATAAGATGCAGCAGAGAGCTTGCTGAAATGATCCAAGGCCTCAGAGGCCTTGGTGAGACTCTCCGAGATCATAATTGTAGTATCCCAGAAAGAAACCTATCTCAAAACCCAATCTCCATTCTCGTTATAGAAAATTTCTGTTATATATCTGATACAATCTCAACGGGGGTGAAAATTGCTGATCGAGATATCCTCATTCCGGTCAGTTCGTATAATAGCTTTCAGGCGATGTTTTTGAGCGACCAATAGTGATAACGGCCTGTCCCCCCCAACTGAATGGGGAAACCCATTTTTTGCGTTGTCCCGAGTGCCGACTAAACAAAATGCCCCAAAAAGGATATATCCCCAAAGGGCCTGATCTAGATCTATCTACTTTATAAACTCTTGAGTTCCGTTTCGTGGAAGCTTTTGCGCCTACCTCGTATTTCGGACAGCAGTATCGCTGAAGACCAGAAGCCAAATTACAAAAAGTCAACAATATTGGTGAATAGAAAAAGTAGGTATTTACTCAGGAAATAAATAACGAACAAGAGCGCATCTTGTATCTAGTAGAGTATGTTCACAAATTATTGGGTCGAGCCAATCAGACTTTTCATGAAGAATACCATAAAAAAAGCATTACCGAACCGAGGAGGAGATCAATCAGCATTTCAACAAAGCTGACGGTCCTGTAGGTTAAATTCCAGTTTTGGGCACATACTTGATTCTGAATTTATTTAGCTTTTCATGGCCGAAGCTGAGATTCTGGTGATAAAGCCAAGAGGAAATAAAAAAAGCGTTCAATAATTCAGATGTTTCGTTGAAAGCAAGAGCAACAAAGGATAGTCTTCAATGACTTTGACAAGAATAATCTCAGTCAGTCGTTCTTTCTTTAGCCAGAACGGACCATATAGGCCCATAAGCCCGATCCAAAGCTTCTTGTGGAATAACCGTTCCAACAAGAGGCGTTTCACTGCTAGATCCTGGAGGGCTTATATTCCAAGTACCAATCGTTCGCTCGCCCGCAGTTGAAATTTCATATACGGTACCTCCCTGGTAGCTTCCATTTTCAATCAAGTTCAACTCAGCTTCGGCAACGCTTTTTGCGGATATAGCGATACTGTCTTGATACCCGAATCGGGCTGAGCGCTCAGGATCTGCTAGCCACAGAGGGGTTTTCACTATGCTGAACAAGTGTCAGAAAATGAAACTTCTTGACAAAAACCGTGGTAGGCAATAGGGATTCTTTATTTCACTCACCCAGGGCAGATCGCAACTACCTTGACACCCTCATGCCTATCTAAATCGACCATCGAACGCACGAATCCCACCAAAGCATGCTTTGTGGCGCTGTAGAGTGGAGCTGAAAAATGTCCCGTGTATCCAGTCATTGATGCCATGATGAGAACGACACCCTTTTTGTTGCGACCTAATAATGCCCTGGTTGCAATTCTGGTCAGTTTAAGAGGATGGTTAACATTGATTTGAACGGCCTTGTAGTCATCCGATTCCGTGTCATCCCAAAAATTAGACCACGTCTATTAAATCGTTACGAATAGCCTATTAGCTTATGGCTCCATTTGGGTCGGACTCAATCTTACCGGCTCAAAAACGCCAGCCCCTGCAACATAAACATCAGGGCAATCCCCAAATACGGACTCGGAAGTGGTAATAATCTTCTCCAGCTCTGATCGTTTCGCAACATCACACGGCAGAAATACCAAGTTTGCCGAATCTCGCTCAACCTCCACCGTGGCTTCTTCTGTTAGCTTTAGGTCCGCGATAATGACTTTGGCGCCCTTTGATCGAGCGATTTTCGCAAGCTCCAGATGAATTCCTAATGTTTGAAGTAAGTCCATGAAAGGCAACGACGGATAAATCTGACGTACCAGACCCTCCTCCTGTAATTGCGAGTATCTTCCCGTCCAAGTTCACATCCCCGACGAAAGCCATGTTTTCGTTCGATGCCACTTCTCTTTTCGCAGGGGAAACCCAGTTGGATAAATGATCGAGTTTTAAATATTGGTATGGCGGATAAGGAATAAGCCATAGCATGGCCAGTAAGAGGCCTGTCAATTTTGGCTTGGCGTCAGCTTGAGGCCTAGGCCTCCAACATCCGTCTCGATCGGGTCTACTAAGTCTACCTCCACCGGAACCCCTTGATATTTCACTCCCCCTTTCCCAGATTTATTGCTTACAAACATTAGATTAATCAGCCTGAGGTTGAAACCCTGTTCATAAAAGATGCGGGGATAATTCCAAAAGCAAAAGTCTCCCAGCTGAGGGTATATGTCAAACATTCGAAGGAAAATGGGTAAGAGATTTACATGTTTGGTCTCTTCCTTTACCTTGTGGAGAAAAAGCACCTGGCCCGTTTGATGCACTTCAAAATGTCATGTCTTACTTGCATGCTGTAAGCGCTAAGCTCTAGCTGCACGCCTAGTGGCATGCATGGTCTTGCAGATTCTGAGTACAATGATTGCCAAAACTGCGTAGAAGAAGACCAGATTGCTGGGATGTTTCAAATGTATTTTTGCAATTCTGTAATCTTGGTATCAAATGGGGGATATAGGATACGAAGCCATCTTCTTTTAAGAAAGTGGATACACTTTGAATATTATGAATGTATAACTAATCAACTTTAAGGATTTGACATATTTCTCCAGTGAGATGTTGTTTCGGGAACCGGGTCTTAGCGCTTACTTTACCCCGTACGAAAATGGTGCGGGGTCGTCAGCTTCCAAGCTTCACGGCACATGCGAAAGGGGGTATACTATACCTGAGGATGATATTCGCAACATAACCCACCACGATATTCCCGCATATACCGTACATGCCTAGGCGTGCCAAAATCTAGTCCATCAATAGGCTACATCAAGAACAATGAATCACAATACAAAAAGATGGTCGACATCAAGTGTCCAAATGCATGCAATCTTTGTCGCGTGACAAAGATCAAAAGGAGCGGCGATCATCCAAGCGAAAATTGCAAAGTTAGTGATTGGGAGTCAGACAGATATTACGAGTAATTCCAACGTGTTGAAGAAGCCGCCACGCTTCAACTGAAGATGTGGAGGGCATCATATCCTAAATGATAAAGCTCATTTGGTCGTTGTTTACCATTTTTAGAGGATACTTTTCTGAGCATCTTGCAAAAACTTACCGACTGCCACTTGTGCTAGTTTTTTGAATGGGTTTCCCGAGGTCATTATCTAAGTTTTCGGATATTCCAAACAAGTATCCGAAAGTGTCCGGAGCTCAGTCCCTGTCCGAATGAAATTTAAATTGAATCATCAAGACCGGTATATATTCCCGAGTCGGCTTCTTTAACATCGCTGTCACTCAGCAATCACTAGTATCTTTCAGGCAAATTGATATCTCCAAAAATCTAAACTTTGGTTCACTTCCCCTGCAGCCATGGTTGACTTTGATAACGTGGGAGCGACCATCCATCACGTCACCGGCTAAGCTTGCTCACGTTGTGTTACGCACAAAGCCAGACAAGGAGCTACTGGTGAGGCCTGATGTAGGTCCTAGGGGATTGGATAATGTGCCTATCATGCAGGCTTGAGATCATCAATTGTGGAAATAGGAGAGAGGCTGTTACTGATTGGACAGGATTAAGTTGTACTTCTCCCAATGTCATGCTTTCTTCTCTTCAAATCCAGATCTGATGTTGATATAGCCACGAGGCTTCGTAGGAACATTCCTGAGCAGCCCAATCAGCTCGATCGGTTTGCTGATATATTGAGGATAACGAGTGGATCATTCGCTGGCATATGAAACACTTGAGACATGCTCCTCTAGATTCATGAAACAATTTCCGGGAATCTCTATCTGGAAATGACCATCCCAAGATAGGAGGATCCCGTTGGCCTTTCGACCAATGGTCCGGTCTTCGATTGCGGTGAAGTGCAATTTGTTTGCTGGATTCAGTGGTAGCTTGGATCATGCCCATGGGAGCCTTAGCCTTATGACAGTGCATATAGAACCCCTCAAGCGAATTTATTGGACTATGCAGTCGCCGTCAGACACCCAAGTGAACGGAACAATAGGGCAGCTCAGCGATTCAGCACTTGCAAATATAAGATTCAATACATCATCTACAGTACCATCCAGCCATCTGAGGGTGGCGCTCACTTTTGAATTGTATTTCTGTAGTTTGAGAAAACACAATTGTCAAAGCAACAACAACTCGCCTTTGAGTATTCTCTCAGTGACATTCATATTGTACTGTGAATCTCTTAGATAGGTTTCTACAGGTATTGAAAGAAAGAGATAAAACCGTACGTGGTTTGCGAGATGGTTCCACGCGGTATTCCGGACTCCGAACCTCGCCTGCCGAATACGGTACTAGCTTAGCAAGCCTCGCGACGAACTGCTCCGATTCCACCAACCAACCTACAGGGTGCTCCACATATCGAAGCGAAGTAGATTGAAGTGGGGATCCAAGGACTGCCACGCGATCCACTTACACCAGTAGTGGGGTCTAGATCCCTAGATCTCTGGATCTGTGAATCGGTGTTCCAATGAAACACGGGAAAGTCTATAAACTAGCCGAAGCCTTTCGGCTGTTAGTGCTAAGTCGTGGCACTAAGTGGCTTGAGCGCAGAAAACAGTTCGTGTCTCAGGATATTCCCAGACCCACAAAGCCTTTGGTGGGGTTACTGGCCAATCAAGATGCGATGATTCTGATAAGCCACGCTAACCACAGCGAAGCGAAGCGAAGCAAGGAGTACCCTTTGAACCTTGAAATATTCCGTATGTATCCGCTCGTTTAAAACTCCCCTATGACCCCTATGATAGATGCCCCCACACCTCCCTTGCCAGATGACCGCATTTTGGCGTTTCTGCAATAACGACCTTGTTTCAAAAAAGAAAAAGTATGAATGTCATGAAGTGGACTGATTGGTCACGCAGAACATACCGGTAGGGAGATTCTCATTGACACCTTGTCACTTGGTCCTATTTCATAGAGCTCCACGGCATGGATATTGATTCATATTTTCTCACAAACAGCTTGTCTAAAGTTACACAAATATCTCCAATTAATCCAGCGGGTTGTCTTGATCCGATGAAAGTCATATATATACATTCCGTTCAAAGCCATTTGCCCAGATATTCGAGACGGACCATTCCGCAGTAATCTTGCCATACGGATGGGCCCTGCAATGCCTTGCTACAGATCGCGAAGCCTTTCTACTCTAATAGGTATCTAATGCCGGCACATGCCGATTTATTTTTCTTGCCAAGACAAGATGGTGGTCAAGTCCAGATTTTCAAAGCGGTATTCTAGTTGAAAATGGCCAAGGCAACCAACAAAGGTCTTCTAAGTCCTCTTACTTGAGCCGCGGATCTAAAGAAGCAATTTCAGGGACGATCGTTGGGTTGCCAGTGCTTCCAGCGGGGCTCGGTAGCTCCGCAATGGCCCACCGAAGCCCGTCCTGTTTCGTGCCTGCAGTAGTTAGTATTTAGCGACACTAGACTAGGTATGTACCTGGTACCGCGAGTCAACACTACGAGCGCTACGGTCAATGAGAAAGTCCAGCTCGCTTTTGGATTTGACGGTTGTTTCTACTCTATGTCTAGTCACGTAGTCCCGTGGGTCCCCGTCGTCGGCACAATTGACTGGGTTCCTTTCGTGTTGTGGGTCTTGGCCATACGCCACCTCGTGATGCCGCTAGACTTAGCGGACCAGATCGTGGACTAGTGAGCGATTTTAGATACGTAAATTAGGAACTTCTGATTCCGCTGACATTGTGATGGATATAATAGATCTGCACAAGGCATGCGTGACTATGCGAAGAGAATTTTCTTTCGACTCCGTGGTTCCTCACGACCCTTAGTTCTTTCTGTCTTTCCTTCTGTGTTTCTGGCGTATCCAATCTTGGAGTCTAGTAAGCTCTCAGTGTTCTTGTCAAGGTAGATGATTACTCACCTTCAACTAGGAGAAGTCTTGGATGCCATGATCAAGTCGCAACCTCCTGGAATCAGCAATTGTCAAGCTCTGCTTCCAACACTGCATCATTCAAAACCCATACAATAGAGATACATAGAGATACACTGCTACCTACAGCTTGTGCATCTTCCCCCATCTCTTCGCAACACATTCGTTTTTCTTTCTGCGGACCAGACCTAGGATCAGCTTCAAGGCTCTCGCTGTCGGACCGACCGTCATATTCGAATTGATCTTTTAGATACTACTATTTTCATTCGGACCTGCGATGGGATCCATCGGAGTCCCGTTTTCCAATGGGCAGACGCCAGCGACAGAAACCAGGGAATTTCTGGAGAACCGTATACATCTACCGCAAGTCTCACCATATCAACCACTCAGACCTCTTCCATTGAGGCACTTGAATTATGAGATCCAGCGGCCTCTTCCGGGTTCAGCTCCGCTGAGGAACCCCGTCGACCATCATCCCAGATACCTGATGCCGCGCTGTCCTCTAACAATCGGAACTGAGCTTCTAAACAACAGCTCTTCACCAACGGTCGAGTCACAAAACAGCGGCAGTGGCTCGGATACCATTTTATCTCTACCAACACCACCGGTCGGATCATTCCCTTTCTCCCAGGTCCAGCCACCTCGTCCTTCTACAGATCACGGATATTGTGCGAGTCCCACCAGCACGATTGACCAAACGCCCCGCACATCAGTCGCGACCGAGTATCTATTCAGGCAGTCTACCGCCTCATCGTCCATCATCCGCCTCTCCGATATCTCACCATTCCCGCCGCCATGGTACCCGCCGCCATCTCAAGATCCCCCACTTCCCCAGGATGATCCGCGCCTTCGAGCCGCAGGTCTTGTATCACCCCTCAAAACTTCCCACAGTCCCGAACACAGTGAACAACGAATCTCCGTTGTCCCACGAAATCCCTTCAATCCTCGCTGGACTCGGGTTTCCCTTGCCTCAAGCCAAGCTATCCCGTCAAACTGGGGCTATGACTTCCAACAGCATAACGAGTTGTTCAAAGACACCAACGTCGAGAAGGGAGACAAGCCAATGATATTTGCCATATCTAAGCCCCATCCTGCCTCGATGGCCTCGACTTTGGACAGTCCGACACTGCCCCTTGAAAACCTGATGTTCAAACGGAACGCGACCGCTTCCCCAGCAATCCCCTACCTGCAAGACGCCCCCAGGGCAGACATTATTTCCCACACGTTGAGCGAATTCGACCAGGAAGCGAGAATCAAGAAGCTTTCCGTCCTCCAGCAGCACACTACCCAGCAGGACGATGAGACTGTGATTGCTGAGTCTTTGGTCGAGGAGACCGAGGCCCTGCCCAAGCGTATGCCGACTATGCGTGAGATGAGACTTAGTGTCCACAAGCCTGCCCAGTTTGATGCGGTAGCCGTGTATGATACGGATGCCCGTAGCACCACTCCCTTGAGCCTGATCGGTCTGATCCGAAGTGCCACTGACATGGCTTCAATCTTGGACCATGGCAATGTTGCCAGTCAGACTGATTTTAGTGACAAGAGCAGTAAGGCCGATTTCCGCGCCGCAAGTGAGCTTCCATCATCTTTTTGCGAATGGAAACAAAATCTTACATTTGGCTCTAGGCAAATACCGTCGTGACTCTAGCTCCTTTTCCGATTTACTGGCTGAATTTCCGCCGCCTGGCTTGGCAGCCTCCAAGGTCCGTGATTTCTTGCCTGTTTCTCTTTGGCGCTCCAAACTACGCAATGTGAACTCGAATGGACCAAACGAGCATCAAGGCTCGGGTGCTACTCCCCCCAAGCGAGGTCTCAGAGGGATGTCTCGGAAGCAGCTCATAATGATCTGCATATTGGCTTTGAGTACTGTTCTCCTTGCAGTCCTACTGCCTGTTCTTCTGGTCCTCCGCTCTAAGGACACCAGCGCTACATCCTGCGGGAAAACTACGCCCTGCCAGAACGGAGGAGCTAGCGTGTCTAGTACTACTGGATGTTCATGTGTGTGTGTCAATGGCTATACTGGCTATCAGTGCACCACCATTGGTGACAGTAGCTGTGTGACGTCCGATGTCACATTGTCGAAGCATGCGACGATGGGTAGCTCGCTCCCCAATGTCTTTAGCCATTCGCAGGTGAGGTTCGGCATACACCTCGATCAGGTTGCCATCATGGCTCTGTTCAGCACGAACAATGTCTCATGCAAAACCGAGAATAAGCTTGTTTCTCTCGCTGGGGTAGAGATTAGCAGCGACACCAAGAACGCTCGCCGATCCATTGGGCTACCTATCGACGAAGACAAAGTAGAGATTAACACTGCTTCTAATCCAGCGACCGGGTCTCCTACGGTCGCGCCTCGGTCCTGGGCCACCAAAAATGGCATCTTATACGACAATTCGACTACCAACACGACCGCAGCCGAAGCCTCCACGGACGCCGGGTCCAAGAACATCACCACTGTCCCATCTCAAGTCGTGGAGTTCTCTCGAGTAGCTGTACTCTTCATCCTAGAGCAGACTGGGTCTTTTGAATCCGCCGTCAATACGAAGGAAAACATCCAGTTATACCTGGTGGAATACTACAACAGCTCGATCCACCCTTCGCTGCAGGTCCTGGATAGCTATGACTTGGACTATCAGCAGAATACAATCACACTACCCAACGGTACGAGAATCGGAGGCTAATTACATGTCATTTAATATGTACCGCACAAGACACAAAAGGAGAAGAAATAGAAAAGGAAGGGGAGTGGAAAGCAATTTGGTAGAAATAAACTGTACCTAGCCGAGCGACATAATCAGGTAGACCTGCCACAGAGCTATGGCGCAACTTACTGGCTCCCCCGAATGGCAATGGTAAGAGCAACCTTTGCAAAATAATACATTTTCTCCTGTCTCCTCCGATACTTCCGACCAGTATTCCGGGTTGGTAACCGCCATATAGTCTCAGGTCATGCGTCATCATGACTACTCCACCGATATGTTAAAAGGGATAAAGTTCACTTAGACAGTAGTCGCAAGTCCAACCATCCGCAAGTAATACTGTCGGTCCATATGAAGTTCGAAACATTAAATCGTGCCCCAGACCCAGATGATACCGAATGTGACTTTTTGGAACTGGAGACGAAGCTCAGCCCCAAATTGAGCGACCTTTTTGTTCACTTTATATCGGCATGGCAGCCATTCTACAAAGTCCAAGAGCTTCGTGCTTTTGGCGTGGACGCCATCGCGCTTCCTGATATTTGTTCCTTATCTTCAAAAGGGTGTCACTTCAAACCTCTTGATTCTCTTGGCTCCGTCACTGCAACCTACCCCCCGATTGGTACCCATCGGAATCTCCATTCAAATTATGCGATAGGCTCGAGGCCCATCATCCGTAGTCTGGAACCTATCCAATATGGGGGACGGACTCGGCTTTTCCCTATAAAAGCCATTGAGGATAATGGATATTGGTATGAAATTTAGTACGGCTCATAAAGATACTGTGGCCAAACTTCTGAGAGATACTAATAATGTTGATTTCAGTCCAATGGATGGCCATACATTCTTCGGGGTATTTACCGGTATGATAAGGAATTTGCAGTTCGAGATTACTTCTCATTTTGAGTGGTTGGGGCCAACACCTGGAGACGGGAATCTCAGACAGCCTCATATGAAGATCTATATGGTGACCGGATGTAACGGAGCAGATACCATTATCACCCAAAGCGAGATGGGTGCTATTATGAACGTATTCTATAACCGAGTCTACGAGCCAGGTTTTGAAAACCATTCGATTTTTCCAGTGAGTGTTTTCAGAAGGTCCCAGAGGGCATATAGATGACTAAAGCATGACTGCATAGATTCTGGTTATTTCAGAGTACTTTTGGCGCCGTGTCCGCATCATTGAAGCAGTATTTGATCGATCTCTTGAGAAGTTCACAGTGAAGTTCACCCCAATTTGTCATTTCGGGAGAAGTGATGATTTGCTTTGGGATTTGTTCTTGCGTTATGAAGGGAGTGAGCCACAAAACTCACAGTAATACTGAATAGATAGCTCAACTGAAATCTACTATATTTGCTATTCGCTAGGCTGCGGAATATAATCCGCCCATTTCGTAAGATAATGATTTATTCTGACAAAGGTGATCATCCAAGTCATACATGGGTGCCTTAGTACTTATGATTCTCATGAAAATGTGTAAAATATGTGTTCTCCTTGAATATCAGACCTTACTTAACGCCTTAGGGCCCAGGTGTCCTCCATACTTTGCCGTTGCATGTACATATTTTGGTACCTACTGGTAAGCGTCATATTTATAGCCGCACTAATTTAAAGCAAAATCTTCCGTTGTATATCCAGAGAAACAACCGCGTGAGAGTAGAGCATGGAATCAATGGTAACGCCCTGTTCATTCAAGATTTCCGAGTGGCATCCATCTGTGACCGTGAAAGTCGGGTGGACGGTTGTACAGACCATAGCTGCGATGACAAAGGAAATTTATGGCAGCGAGACGTATGACCTATTCCTCACAAATGAGCTCACTGTAGCCCATATTGAAACCAACCCAGGGGCGATGCTATTTACGATAGTTGTTCTGAATGAGTGATTGGTGGAGTAGTTGATGACGGTGGGTCTTAGCGGGGTACCGAGATGCCGCCGTACGTTGCAATTTGGGAAGGTTGCAGTGCCGCGGGGCAGGGTACAGCCCCGCTAGGTTCGAGAGAACTTCGCGGCGGAGATCGTGGAGAAAAGGACATATAGCTCAACTAGTGACCTTATATAAGTTTTGGGGTTTTTGTAGGGCCCGAATTGCCTGTAATCACCCATAAAGATGATGAAAGCTCTAGATGCCTTATAAATAGGGCAACCACAGCATGTTTCTTCAACGGGCTTCAAGAAACCTTCATCCTATCAGCATGCAAGGACATAGAAACATACGAAAGTAAGATTAGAGACAAACATCGAGACAACTAATACAGAGCTCAGCTGAATGAGTCTGTGACTGTGACATCTTCCCCTCCCAACCAATCTGGCTCCATACCAAATTCTCCAGAATATATCTCTGGGTGATTGATCTGGTCAAGAACAGACAGAAACTCGTAAGATGAAATGCCAATACTTTCCAAGAAATCAACATTAGCGGTAGCAGACGGGTGTGCCGGACCCGACTGATTATCTCTTGGGGATGGCTGAAATACAATGCCAGTATTTGCCCCTGGAGCTCCGCCGAGCTGTATCCCCTGCGGTATAATTAAAGGTGTGATGTCTGACACTGTCGGGTCAGATAGAGTCAAGACTCGAAGACCCGCTTGTTCAACTCTTCTGGCAAACTCCTGAAGCAAGCCTTCAATGCGACTCAGTTCTTGCTTTCGGGCGTGGGCCACCCGATTCCCGCAATTAATCAATTCGTCTAAAATGTCGTGTGCTTGCTTACTGTATGACCGGCCATGCATGCTGGAGGGGAAGAGCGCATTCGCCATTGTCAAGTGAAGAGCAGCAGCGTATGTCATTTCATGGTCAAATGGCAAAAATGTTTCTGGATGTACGTTAGTCAGTCAGTGCGTGTTGCCTTTGCTAGAATACAGAAGGCGCAAGCACACCTAGTAAGCCATTCTCATTGCCTATTATCTGAAGAGTTTTCCCTGCGGATTTAATGCCAATCGAGATCAAGGATCTTGGAAGAACCAGAAACTTCTGCCAATCCTCTTCTGCTCGACCTAGCTTCTCTAGCCTTTCTTTGAGTACAGAAAGTAGTAGCGGTCTGGTGGCGACAATAATGCACTATTCCCATCATGTTAGTAGTTGATTAGATGAAGAGGTACCAAATGATGAACAGAAGTCACTTACTTGGTGATATAGAAGAATCGTGTGGCATGTCTCTTCAGGCAAATTGTCTCCAGAACCATGGAAGTTAGTATTGATCATGTTCTCGATCTCTTCTGCGTATTTGGCCATAGTCTCCAATATACTGCGAGTAATATCCAGAAAGGCTACCAGCTGGGTTTTCTCCGTTTTGTATATGGCTTTATTATTTTTAGTATCTGACGTGGACTCTAAAGAAAGGAGAAAGTAGCAGGACCTACTGCCGATGATAAATGAAAGCATCCTCGTGATCCTCACTTGGAGACTGAATGTAAGATTTTGCCGGCTCGTCAATGGCGAGTTAATCAGTGTAGTGATATCGCTGTCTTGGAGTGCCATTGGAAGGCCCAGAGACGGAGAGATATGGCGGTCCATGATATATAGTGACCACCAGAGGTTTCGACATCGGGTCACAGTTGCGTCCCCTAGCACATCTTCGGGAAGTTGAGTGTGCATCCCTTCTAGTTGGGCTATTCTTATAGCATGGCCAACCTGTGTTCAATAACTTAGCAAGTATACTTGAACTAGTAGAATCATAAAACTGCTCACATGCACATGAGCCGCCTCCCTGTGGTCGATCGCATACAAGTATAGTCCGACCAATGCCAGAGCCTCGATTGCAAACAAACTGTTTTTCCCTGTCGATATATTCGTTGGCATAGCTGACATTGCCCGCAAAAAGTATTTTGACCCAGGAGGATCCGTCTTGTTACGAGGCCGTGCGATGAACGCATTACCAAGTGCAAGAACCAAGAGGAACTGAACAAACAAAAAGCGAGGCTCCGTCGCTTTTGCATCTGGGCGAGTCTCGTAGAATCTATGAAGGTATTTGATGAACGAGTCTTCCTCAAAAAATCTATATGCCTGGCCAAGGCGAAACTGTACAATCTGATATAGATAGAGAGCATAATCAAGGGAAGGTAGATCACTCGTGTCTATAGGGCCGGAGACCGAGGCATGATCCCATGCGAAGGGATATATATCTCCGTCCAGGTACAGCTGAGGAGGGTCCTTGGCCGAGCTTTGATCGAATATCTCGGTCATCATGACAATCAGTCGGGCTGTGAGAGACCATGGCGATGCTGGAGCTAACCAAACTGTGGCAATTGTGAGATCAAAAGGGCAAAAGATATGGAACGCCGACTACTAACTCCATTTTCGCTGTTCCTGGTGAGCATCTTTGAAAACTGTTGTAGGTAGTGTGAAGGGGCTTGTCCAGATATTGCAAGAGAGGTCGATGTCAGCTGATTCTGAGGATCTTCCGGGCCGGGGGCCCAAAAGCTGCTCGGCAGCGCCGAAATCATCCACCGGATGGTCCGTATCAAGATCGCCATCGGAACGAAAACTATCATCTCGTGAGCGCTTCACGCCGGTAGCACGCTGCCAATTATAGGCTTGCTTCTGCAAACCCCGGAGGTACCTTTCGCCAGGTCAGTAAGCATCGGCTACTCAATGGAGGTGCACAGAACTCACCGTTCGGAGACTAAGATCTTGTTATCTCCTTCGGAAAACCGACAATTGAGAGATTTCCGTCGGCAATTAGTACAAGGTTCATCTCCTGAGCATTTTATTTTACTCTGGCGACACGCCGTACATCTACCACGTCTGATTGTCAACTCATATCATTTATAACTAGTCGAGATATTCTTACGCGATAGCAGCTCTTCTTTGCTTCCGATTTCTACCAAGAGTCTCTGGTCGCTGCGCAGCCTGCATTGTGGGCAAATAAATAAGGCCGTTGGGTTGTGCATAAGAGATGGCAGTCACAAGGGGCGTCTCTTCACCGACTGCGGAACCCCGCACCAGCCAAGCCTAATACCTCTCGTTCGGACCATCTCCACCCGCATCGTCGAGCGCTTCCAGAAGCCACAAGCAGTCGATGTCTTTCAGTTGCCTTTCTCTGAGAGCCATAGAAAGACTCATAGGAAAGACTGTACTATGACTTTATGCGAATTTATGATATCAAGCACCACAAAATCCTAATGATAATATAGGTGGTTGCTCAATGACCTAATACCGTGGAGCGATTACAGTATTTAAGCTCTCTGCATCAAATGCTTCATCCAAGCAGCTTTGTTTGTAGATGTGTGATTAACTCCACTTGCTCGAATACCCGAAGTTCCTCCTATATTTCGGGAGCGCCGGACTTACCCCCTCCCCTCGGCGCACTGCTCGGCATCTGGACCGAAACATAGTAGTGATTTCCCGAGGGAAACTGAGTGATATTGCCCGACACTAATAAATATATTGACCATGATTATGAATCAGTTTGTAGTTGAATATTTATGTATTGTCTATAGGTCACTATTTACCGATTTTTAATATTACAAAGTCGGGTTGCTGAGTCATGGACTGCTTTTTCGGAGTCCATTTGATCTGCACGATGTCTGTTATGGTAAACAGGAGCCCGTCAAAACTCCCATGTCGTAGCAGGCCAATTGTAGCCGCTTAAGCTGGGAGGTCCTCCATAGCAGTCTCCAAGCTAGCCTTTGAATCAAGTGGATCTCCGATCGAACTGCTTCAGTGCTAGTGCACACAACGATCACGGTATCCGATACCAAGCGCTTCTGCTGGGGACATGGGAATAATCTCGCAATATGTACTTTCCTCTCATCCCTGCTTTGACGTTCTCCATTTGAATACACGCAGTAGCATTTTATCCTCTGAAGAATATCTTTCTTTCCCTAAGTACTCAAGTGCCCGTCACGAAAATTATACTTCATACTACCAGATAGTCAGACAAGACTTGAAACTATCTCCTTGAGCACTTTCCACTTCGTTTCATTGTCCATTGCCATGATATTCTCAACATTTATAAAAGACCTCTGCAAAAGAACAAAAAGGCCTTCTGGCAGCTAACAAGAAGCATTCTGGCCCGGTTCTTGGCTCAACTGTCGCTATGTCTCATCTAGACTTGGTTTCTTCGACCTCATGCGAAGTGTCCGAATAACATCCGCCCAGAAACCCAAAGGCTTATCCAAAAAAGAGGCCTCATAAGAATCAATCTGTGGACTGTCCCACACCAAATCAATATCATCGAGTTCCACAACTTTTGTTCTATGGGCAATCTTCCATCCAATATACAAGACAGGTGCCACGAGCTGCATAGTATAGTTCTGAAAGAAGCCTTGGACGCTCCATGGAGCAAAATTCGTGTATCCGTAGAAGAGTAAAACAATAATCATTGCTGCTCCTCCAATCCATGCACAGTATGGCTGAAAATGGCCGAAATATGGGAAAGTGCGGCGGTTAACACCTTGACGCTTGCAAGCTGCGTGGAACCTGATGTAAGTTACACATATAACTAAATAGTTAATGAGAGCGCCAGCTGTCACTAACGAGACAAGCCAGGTGAGGACTTGCGACGTGTTATTTGATAACTGCAGGAAAGACAGAAATGGAAAACATATCACGACGATTAAGGCGTAAATTGGGTTTCCTTTCATAGTCTTGGCCAGGATTCTTGGGGCGCGTCCATCGAGAGCCAGACCGTAAAGCGAACGAGAAGCACAATATGTCAGTGTATTTCCCGCGGAGAAGACGGATGTCACCAGAAGTGCATTGACGATATGTGGCAGAACGTCTACATGTAGATTCGTCATAGCCAAGATATACGGAGAACCTCCGGCTCCTTTCTTGTTGCTTTCGCCATTCAAGATTGCTTGGAGCGTCGGGTCATTCCATGGGATGACAATCCCAACACAAAGGGCGCTGCAGACAAAAAATAGTCCGAAGCGCCAATAGACTGTCTGAAATGCGGCTTTGACATAGACGCGAGGGCGTTTGGTTTCTGCTGCTGCTATAGATATGTATTCAGGTCCCACTATGCAGAAGGCAGCAGACCAGAGAGCAGCAAGGAAGCCTTCAAATCGACCAATGTCGCCAGCAGTATGGTGCGGGGCAAAAGGCCCGGGGTCTTTCCAGTATCGGAACCCATACGCGTCGTGCTGAGGATTTCCACCAACCATGGTAATGAATGTGAATAGGAAGAGTATAAAGAGCAAAATGACTTTTCCAGATGAAAGCAAGAATTCAACTTCACCGAAGGTAGAAACGGCAAGAGCATTGATGAGGCTGTCTCCTTCGTCAGTGAGCGGTCTTAATGTCTACTGCCGATTGGAGTAGGATGATCAACCGGTACAACATTTGGCGAAGCCGAAGTAGTCAAAGAAAACGAAATAATCATGGATCCAAATTACGACAGAAAGGAAGAAGCTTACCCGTAGAGAAAGGTGCATGTTGCACAGACAGCAGCAACAGGAATGTCATCTCTCCAGTAACTCAGAATCAGACTGATGGCTGTAATCTCGAAAGGTATCATCAAAGCCTCGTAGATGAAGAAATTCCACCCCACCATGAACCCCATTGCATCATCGACCCACTTGCCAGCGAGACGGATGAAGCCGCCAGGAACTGGATGTAGCGTGTTCATCTCAGCGATGCAGTTATTGACGCACGCCAGCACTAGGCAGTATGCGGAATACGCCAAAACCAAACTCGCAGGTCCGCCTGCAGCAAGGCCGTTCCCTATAGTGACGAACAATGCTGTTCCTATAGAGCCACCGATGGCGATAAGTTGAATTTGTTTATTTTCGAGACGTCGATGGAGACCTTGGCATGCTTCGATCTGGCCCTCGACGATTTGGGCATCAGGGATTTCCGGGCTTTTTTTCATATCTTCGATTGTGGATACCATTCTGAATTTCGTGGCTTGTCTGCGGGCAAAGATGCGTTATGATGCCTAACAATCTTGCGTACGGGGTTTGGGGTCTCTAGTGCTGCTTTTGGACAGCCGGAGTAGGTCGCTTGAATCTGTACAAGATTGCCAAGGTGTGAGTGGAGGAACAAATCATATAGAGTTATGGAGATTAATGTGAAAGATTAAAATGTGCACGGACAAGGCGTGCGGGAGACGGTGAGCAAGTGCTGTCTTTATATGTTTAGTCCAGGATTATACTACGGTGCTCTTTGTACCAAATGACAAGACTTTCGCGGAAGCATATCTCTCAATTTTGTGTCCGTGGAGCCGATCCTTTCTAAATGGAGCCAGCAGCAGTCATCTGCTAGACGTCCTACCGCTGGAGCTAGTTTGTCATAGTGGAGGCACGACTTCGCCCTCCAAACTACTCGGGATCTCTTCCGAGGAGTCCATACACACCCTTATCTCTACACCAAGCAGATGGGTTAGAACAGGAAAAATTTGCCGACTTGGACACCCGCCAGTACCAAGCAGTACTATGTAGGTAGTGCAGTAATGTCGAGAGGTTGTTAGACAAGATAAGGAGTATATTTTTTGATATTTTATCTGTGTCTATTTTACTTGAAGTGATGACTCCCAAGTCGCTCAAGGATTTTGACATTGTAGAAAGCCAGTAACAACAACAGTTCTCATTAGGGAAGATGAAGCCTTCAGTGGAAAACTCCTAAATCAACACATCCCGCAGATTTCTTTCAATCTTTCATGTTACCCGGTTCTCTACCCCGGTTGTAGCTTCCCTAGTACGCTACCCAGGGCTGAGTATCGCCCGATATATGCTGCTCTAAAACACTTTTGTAGACTTGTTGCTTGGCCATACTGTTCGTGTTACCTTTTGTACGAGCTGAATAGCAAGGAGCAACATGAAGCACAAGGATACGATGTATTATTGTGGAAGTGCGGCAAGGAAGGAAGAAGAGGATCTACGAGAAGTGAAGCTTAAGTAGTACAGGAAGGAAGGTACTCGTCCTAATCAGGACATCAACACCCATACATTCTGTATGTTGCGATTGTGAATGTATGCAATATTGTTCATGAAATTCCAGATCAGTAATAGCTCGCTATAGCTTCTCCCATCACGTCCAGGCGGGGTTTAATACCCAAGCCAGGCAATCTGGGCGCAGTGACTCGGCCTTCAACAACATCATATGGGCCATCGGCGGTCTTGACAGTTACCATATCGCGTGGTTCTAGGATGCATCGCAAGTTCTTCTCGGGGACTGTTTGTCCCATGTGAACAATAGCAGCGAATGAGATGTCCGATCCAACTGTGTCTTGAACGCTGAAAGTGTACCCCGCCGCAATGCAAATATCGCGCTGGCGACGACACCTTGTGAGTCCGCCGCTCTTTGAGATTTTCATTCCAATGCCATCAGCAGCATCATCAGCAATGAGTTGAATAATTGAAGCCTCAGTCATTGCGAGCTCGTCGAAATGTATGGGGATATTTGTCCTGCGCCGAAGAGAGACACATTCTCTCCAAGTCGCACAAGGTGCTTCCAAAACAAAGTCCATCCCAAGCCCTTCAGGAAGCTGCCTCAACATACGCAGAGCTGTCTCAACAGTGAGTCCACAGTTGGCATCGACGAGATAGAATTCGCCAGGTTGCTTGTCCGCAAGTGAGGCAGCTATCCGTGCCGCATCAGCTACGGGCTCTCCCGCAATCTTTATCGAATGCCCGACATAACCCCTCTTCCGATGCTCAGCAACGCGTGCACGCATATCTTCCGGTTCCCCGACATAGATAGAAGAGATAATTGGCAGCTTCACTGCCGTTCGACCGCCCAAGAGGTCACAGACCGGCATTCCTACTGACTTGCCAAAAACATCCCAGCAGGCAATGTCAATAGCAGATTTGGCATGCTCATGTCCAACGAGTGCCATGTCCATCGCCTCATTTACGCGATCGACTCTTCGTGGATCAAGGCCGATGAGTTTTGGAGCGATCTCAGCGATACCAGCGCGGACACCTCGTGCATGGGCAGCAACGAAAGAGGATCCGAAAGGTGTACTTTCACCCCAACCCTCGAGACCATTCTGTGTAGTTATGCGAACAAAGGTTGCATCAAAACTGCGATATTCTCGTCCTCCGGACAGACGGTACACTCCACCGGAATATGGTAAATCTTTCTGAAAGACATCGATTTGTTTGATGAAGAGGTCCGACATGCCTGCGGACGAGCTTTGGGTGGCACGGGGTGAATTATTGGGTCAATTGTCTCAGTAGTGGTTTCAAAATCTACTTTTCCTCTTTCCCCAGCTCGTGCAGGTAAGATCCTTTATTCGCCCTGCAGCATCAGAAACTAAATCTCTAGTTACAGCCTGTTCGGGATAGGTAAAATATCCCGCAATATGCTATAATCGACTCGGTTACGCAGCCGATTCAGCCAACTAACCCCCAATGAGTATCTTCCTTGATGGGAGAATGTAGAACTGGAGCGTTGCGGCACGGATTTCTAGAAACTATGTCATAGTACATGGCTCAATGACTCTGTTGGGTAGATCTGAAAAGATAACCCCTCAATTGGTGTTATCAGACTTACGGCTAAGCCGATACCCATCATAGCAGCGGAAGCAATCGTGAGGTGGGGCGTCCGTCGGTATCAATCCCGATCGGGTGTCCCCGCACCACTTCGTGTCGTCGGCACAACCGAGGATTAGCAATCACAGCATCACCGAAGACTTGCCCATGACGAATTATCGGATATAAGTTGTGACGCCCAATGTAAACTATCTAAATATTCTGTGTTATCATAAGCTCCTCGAAAATACGACCAAATGCCGAGCCCAGAGGTGACCCAACGCCGTGCCTTTCGGCGGACTGATGACTATACACCCGGCACGCCCAAATTGAACCTCGTGCAAGAAGCCCTTCCTCCCCTGGGACCGACGGAAGTCCTGATAAAGGTTCATGCTATAGCTCTCAACTACCGTGATGCCAATATCGCAAACGGGGGAAACCCTTGGCCAGTCATACCAAATGGAATTTTGTGCAACGACGCAGCAGGCGAGATCATCGCCACCGGCGACAAAGTAGAGACTTTGACAATTGGTGATAGGGTTGGGCCAATCACTGACACTGAAAATATTTCTGGGCGTGAAGAAAAGCGTTCATGGCTAGCAGCGGATGAAGACGGAGTCATGGCAGATCATATCATTTTTCAAGAAAAGGTTCTCTGCAAACTGCCAGATTATCTTGATTGGATCGAGGCTGCTACAATCCCTTGTGCCGGAGTTACTGCCTGGTCAGCTTTGAAGGGTATGAGTATAGGACAGACAGTGTTAATCCAAGGTGCGTGCATGTTCTATATCAATGAGAGCTACGTGCTAGACCAATCACTTACAAAGAGCTAGGCACTGGGGGCGTGAGCGTCTTTGCACTCAAGCTTGCGAGAGCTAGCGGCCTTCGCATCATTTTGACATCCTCGAGTGACACAAAACTTCAGCAAATGAAGGACAAATACCCTGACATCCTGACTATCAACTATTCCAAGATACAAGACTGGGATCAGGAGGCCATGAAGCTTACCGGCGGCAAGGGTGTTGATATTGTTGTGGAAAATGGCGGAACGAGTTCTTTAGTCAAGAGTCTCAAGTGCACCCGACGCGGCGGCATAGTCAGTCAAGTTGGATATCTTTCGAAGCAAGAGCCTAACGACTTGCGAGAGTTAGTCCCGACCATTATCGATCGGAGGATTAACCTTAGGGGCATCAACGCTGGTTCAAAGCATGATATGGAAGATTTCTGTGCTGCGCTGTCAGCAACCCAAGTCTCTCTTCATGATCTCATCGACAAGGTCTTCCCATTTGAGGAAGCCGAAGAAGCTGTTGAGTATGTCTGGCAGGGTAGACAGATCGGCAAAATTGTACTCGAACTTTAAATTGCGTCGCTTTGGTTAGTAAATGAATTAATTCACTAAGTCCCACGTTTTATTTCGTAGTCAGCTATTGCCCCATATACTATAATGGATAGGTGAAGTTAATCCTCTGTAATCTTTAGGACTGTAGATTGGACGCAGGTTCCGTCGCCGGTTTCACAATTCAGTGCATTGTAGCCGTAAAGTGTGGACCTGCGAGAGGGTGGCCGCTCTGCGCGTTTTTCAAGATCCCCTGTCGGGGCGGGCTCAGATATCTAGAGATGCATGTGATAACATGATTTTCACTCGGTGGTCTGTCGTTGTTTCAATAGCCCCTCTCTTAGTTGTCTGTCTGTAGGGGTCACAACTCCTCTGTGCAGGGCATTTCTGCTTGTTAGGAGAGGGTCCTGGGAGGATAGAGGGCGGAGAGGCGTATGGAAGTAGCGTGTGCATGATCATTCCATGGACAATATCCCAGGGTGTTTGAGGATAAGGCTTGGCAATAAAAGTAATTCTGATTCTGAATACTTATGTACTGCAGCATAACCTCCAAACTTCATTTGGTTTCCGTAAGGACACATGGCTGTTGCATGCCAAATGGCATGGGGTTCTTCATATCCATTTGTCGGCCTGGACGTGGGAGCTCGGTCACGTAATCCAGTCATGGCTTCTACGATCGGAGCGGCGGGGCCGACGATTCTTCACGGAAGAATCCAAGAGTACATTATCTTGCTTTCCCGTGAGATTCTGCAGCCTTGGTATAATGCCTTGAATGATTTTGTGGATTTTAGATGGCTAAAGTCAAACATTTTGGTAGACAGTTCGTTTCACTTTTCGTAAATATTATCTTGGAAAAATCATCTTCGCATGAATCCAGTACAGTGTGCGAGGGCATATGCAGACCCGTAACGCTATTTAAAGTCTTGTTAGATTTTTTAGTGCGACTCAATATAACAATTTCAGAATGATCAGATGTCTGCTATTCTCACTATGAACAATTGCACCGAAAGTTTATACATATTGAGTGTCCTGGACACTGTGAATAGTATAAAAGCTGTAGGATTTATCAACGGCATAATATGAGTCAATTAGCCCCGGACGCATGGGATCTCAAGTTTACTCTCATATCCTCCCCCAAAATAGAGCACCTGTCGTCCCTTATTTCCAGTGACAAAACCGCCCCTTAGGGGCTCAAATTCCGCCAGTGTCATATGGTGACCAGCAACCTTCAGTATCAGTTGCTCACCAGGTTCGAATTGAATGGCTGCTGGCCACAGGCTAATCTCCAACTTGACGATTTCACCGGGTGGGACCAAATCAAGTTTGCTGTGGTCGTGCGCCGGCCAGTGTGGTTTGCTCAATATTGGGTCAAAGGCTCTATGGCTAGCCCTCAGGATTCCAGTGGGTCCAAGGTATTTGAGTGTATTCACAGTCTGGACTTCCGCTTCTGAGTCTACACCGAGCTCCTGCAACGGTATGTTTACGTTGCGGAGAATCTTGCCAGACCGGTCAGCTTTCCGAATTTGAACAAACACATCAAAGTCATTGTGATCCTGGCAAGAGAGCCACAGGGTAGCTTTGGATGTCCCGATTAGTCTGGTTGTTTCTTGAAATGTGTGGCGGAACAAGATTTTCTCAGGGTCGTCATCCATTTGCTGGCCAACTATATCTCCCTGGTAAGATGCAGTTCCCGGTACAGCCGCCGATTGGCTTTCTGCTAAGAGGTTATTTGCAGACAGGTAAAGACTCTGGTACTCTGCCTCCTTGATAGGCCACTGGGAATAGGGTATATTCTTGAACGGGGGCTAGAAGAGCGCCGAGTCAGCTAGGGCTTAGTAGAGAATGTGCTGCGAATTCTTGTAGAAAGTCACTCACTTGGTTAAATCGCAGAACGGAGATACGGGCGCGCGGTGTCTTCTCCCAGCCATTTGAAATGCCTTTGGTGTAGAAGTCCAGAAATCTTTTCATATCTGCGATACTATCTTCTTGGTAGAGATCGTGCCACTCCTGTGTGGGGTGCATTCGCAGCCTATAAAGTGTTAAAGAGATTCGGAATAAGCGTGAAATCTAGCAGAATTCATCACAAAGGTTTTTCGTACCACTTCTCTTCATGGGGAATATCTTCGAATGACCGAAGTGACCCAATGGTGTGCAGTGCACTCGACATACTTGCAAGGACATAAGCAGGAGCTTTGATGAGGTGAGACTTTGCTCTTTTGTCTTCCCAGTACTCATTCATCAAAGGATAACGATCAATCATGGCTATAACATCTTCTTGATTGTTGTTTCCTGTGCGAGCAATGATTAGTCAAGCGATCGCGTGGAGGAGTAAAGATGAATTACCAGACAGACTCCCCATCAAAAATGTCCAAAATGGCTTATACGGCACGCCACCTCGGCATAGAGACTCTCTGTAAACGTCACTGAGGCCCTCAAGTGGCAACATGCAAGATAAGTGTGGAGGTTGTTCGGCCGCAATAAACCATTGAGATGAACCGAGCCATGAATTCCCCATCAGTGCGATGCGTCCATTCGTCCATGGAAGTGATGCAATAAACTCTATAGCATCGTAGCCGTCTTGACCTTCCGATGTTCCATGCCATCTGGAATCTGTGAGAACTACGGTCGGTAAGGCAAAGGGGAAAAAGGAGAATCACGCACCTATGGTCACCGTCAGAGCCCAGGATTCCTCTGGCATTTACATTCACTATCGCATATCCATAAGGCACCCATTCTGCAGGGTCGGGAGCCTCAAAGCTTTCAAATCCAGAGAGGCGCTCTTTTGGAATTCCCACTCGGCCCTCGGTCACATCAAGAGAAAGGATTCCTAGGGGTAATACCTCGTCAGTTAGAATAATACCAATTGTTGCTGGAAAACCATACCTGTGCCCGTCTTGCCATATGGAGACCAAACAAGGATAGCGGGAACATCCTCTGCGTCCACTGGGCGGAAGATATCAGCCAGGAGGAAAGATCCATCTCGCAGTGGGACCTTTATATCGCTCTCCCAAATGGTAGGTGCCTGGATAGAGCGACAATCTTCTTCCCTTCGAAAACCTGGTTGCAACACTGTTGTTTTTGGCGAGCTCTGCCCAGATGGATGTTTCGCGGCGGGGTCATCACTGCTCCCGATCTTTCGCTGAAGAACTTCGATTTCACCTACCGTGTAAGTCATCTCGCCCAGACAACTATTAGCTCCTGGAAGAATTGGTTTCGACAATGTGCGTTTGGTTTTCTTTCGATTATTGAGGCAGTGATGAGGTATGGGTTGCAAAATCCTATAGCATGCACCCAAAACATTTATACACGCGTCTGCTACAAGTGAACAGGTCAGTATGGCAAATGTGGGGAAGTGTGGGGTAGGGTGGGGAACGAATGACGAACCGACGGGGACCCGAGACTAATGATCAGCATTGGCGTGCCGCGCGTGGGACGGCTTTTCGGACAGGAAATAGGACTCTCTCGTTCCCTTGAAGTAAAATGCGCCCCGCGCCCCGCTTAGAAGATAGCTTCGGAACCTGATGAAATTCGACTTGAAGCCATATGGCCCTTATAAATACTCCTATCGCTCTCGCGACATCGATCAATCCGCTCAATATTGCATCAGACAGTTTCTTTGGTTGCCTTGACTTCGCATCGGGTATAGTGAGGATAGTCTGCCACCACCTGCGGTACAAGGGATGTCTTTTAGTCTCTCGGAATCTTGATTGACAGGGGGGTAATCGCAGATATACATTGTGTTATCACGCCTGTCGGCAAACACATAAGCATTTTAAAAATCAAAAGTGTTGTCTTTGAGCTTCAGGTTCGTGGAAGGTGAAGACCGTATGGAAAATGATTCTTGTGGTGCCATGTCATGTGTTCAGAGCATACGGATTCGTTCTCTACTTCAGTTTATGTCCAGGAGCAAGAAACGAAAGACTTGGAACCTTGGATGATACACGTTTTTTTCTTTTTCATATGGTAAATTTGCGACACTGGCACCAAGTATGACCCCTCGGATTCAAATGAAACTTGTGCAAACGCTATCATGTTCACTGGCGCCGGTGCGTCTATGATAATAGTGAAGGTCTTAACAAAAGCCGACGTGCCGAATTTCCTCGAGGGGTGTCATTTGCTTTCCAGTTATCTGAACAGAGTACATATGCCAGAAGATTGATTCTGGGAGGAGCTTCTAAAGGCACCTGGAGAATAGTGACTTACGGAACGGCTTCGTAGTAGCAGTTGTGTAATTGGAAAGCTCAACCAGACTTTTTTACAGTGGTGAGATGAAGAAGCTGTAAATCTTGTCTTATTGTTTGAAGAGGGTTCTCTAAGTACCATCCTGGCCCGCTGGATTGGCAGGCTAATTGAGCCATACGGGGTAAATTCCAAGCCAGTTTTAAGCGATACCAAAGGTTTCTTGTGTCATCAGTTTGAGCTCAAGACCACCGGGGCTGCTGTTCCTGCACCACTAATCTGTAGATTCAATAGCCCTGTTTTGAAAGGGCACCGGTGAGCAACTGCATAATAAAGCATGTAATTGTGGTTGAAAGGACTGAAGTGAACGGTTCGAGCTGAGTTGCGAGTGGGGCAAGGCAACAAAGTTGAAAAAGGTAGAGTTGAAATATGTCGGAGAATATTTCCACACGACAATCCCATTGGTTATTGAAAGCCGCCAAATTCACTTGTCGTCTGAATCACAATCTACAACCTTCACCCTCCCACACATGAACTGAATTTCAAGTCTTTCAATCAGTTTCTAAGGCTGCGCGCCCTTGTAAAAGAAATAGGAATGCCCCAAGGCAACCAGAAATAGAATTCACTGGGCTTCGACTATATTAATTGCCCGTTGAAGGACCATGCGGTCGTTGGGAAAACTGAGCTTCTCTAATGCCTCTTGAAGAGGCAAAAATGCTGGCGCGAACTGCTCCTCCCCCCCTCCAGAAGGAAGAACATCCTTGTCCAACACCGCAATATACCACCAAATGGTTTTTACATCGTTTCCGCCCTCATCACTTAGTTGCCGCATTGTGACCATGAATGGCTCGGTAAGGTTTTCATAAGAGCTAAATTCATCTGGCATGTGTTCTTGCTCGTCTGTGGGAAGGGCACGCGTGCGCATCATGACAGGGTGAAGGTTTAGCCAGTGTCTTCAAATACCTCACGTAATGCGGCTTCTTGTCGGTCCTTTCGCGAGGAGCCATTCCTCGTTGGCGTGATAATGTATCAGGCACACTTTTTTGTTTTGACTGGCGGTCAGGTCGAACAGAATCGCCCCGCAGCTCTCAACAAACTGCTCATAGGTGTATTGGGTGGCGTTTTTCAGTGAAGCCACCATGATGAATTGCTATAATAATCAGTCTTCAAATACGTGGCCGAGTTGCGGATTTGGTGTACTCACTGCATTCTATTTTGTACACTCTGGAAAGAAGACCAGCTGGATGATTTTCAAAGCTAAGCTTGAAAAAGGTTCCCAGTATTGGTCCACATTCCAAATTGAACACGATTCACAAGCGAACTCGTCTTAAGCCGGCAGAAGATCGGGACGATATCCACTCGATTCTACCACGTCATACAGGAATAGGGAAATTCGATGGTGATTAGGCGATTCAATCTTCGGCTTCGGTCACGAACGCCTCTTTTCAGAGCAATGAGCACTCGCGTGCTTCTTCGGGCAATGAATGGGTGAGGATGCCGGCAAAGGTGGAAACAGAGGACACAGAGTTGAGAGCCGCGCCCTTATCTCATATTTGGGACATGCAGGCGATGACCCACTTATCTTTCTGGCAGATCTAACACGGAATTCGATTTAGTGTCGCTGCATGGGCTTTTTATAGTAACGTTGACTGGCTTCCGTACCCTTAGTCGCCGAAGGTTCTCCGATTGCCCACGCAGATCTTGGAATCAAGATGAAGAGCAAGATGGCTGAAAGATCAACACTAAATATTGATAATATTGATGCCACAACACGTGTTTTCTATGCGGAAAACTATGTTGAATGCGCCTCCGTCAGGAAGAGAAAGCTCACCTCCAGAACCGTGCGTGTGCGTCACAATGCAGCGTTCTATCTCAGTAGATATATTTTCGCCCAAGAGCTTATTCTTCCAAGCCGAGAAACATCCCCATGTTTTTCTACGCAATGGGGTCACAGCCCATGCGGCTTTCTATAAAATTTGACAATTCGAAGATGGGTGTCATCATGGATATATTGATCCAAGGGTCAATAAACATAAAACTAAAAGGGGCGAAATCTAGGTTGCGGGGTTTTAGCGAACGGCAGATGGATTTGTGGCCCCACTTTGATCTAGGGACCTTAAGCTTGTCCCAGTTGCCTTTCAATTTGAAGCCCACGTTTATCCCTTTTTCTTTTGAAGTTCCCTTATTTTACTTATATTGAGAGCTCGATAGTCCGGTGGTCAGGATAATTGCGAAGATCTATTCAAACTTGCAGCTTTCCTCAACTAAGTACTGTCTCAGGATGAAGAATGGAACTTTCATAGCAGGGGGCTAAAAGGGTCCTTTGGACCCTTGGTCGCACCACGTCGATGCGCCAAGGCCCCTGTGTAGCTAAGCCACGCGCTGACGCGCCAATGCACCAAATCCTAGTCAGCTTGGCGGAATAGGAAATCACTCTTATCAATGGGCGGGAGCAGTTCTTTTTTCCACTTCTAAATCTGTTCCACCTACGGCAACCGCCCCGAGTTTTGGCTCTCGCCACTAGTGACAAGCCGCTCACGTCATGTCCGATCCCCAAAAGAGGAAGAATTATTCTAATGGCTCTTCAAAAACCTGTCGAAATTGTGCCAAAGCTAAGATAAGATGCGTCCGACACAGGACGACTGGTGATTGCGACCGGTGAGTTACCCCCATCGTGGGCACCTAGCGTACTTATACTGGAGATAGATGCGACCGCCTGGGAAAGATTTGCCAGTATGGTGGAGATCAAAGCACTCTCATCGGAACAATTCGCGAGGAGAGTAAAGATAGGTATGATTGATTTCAAATGACTACTTCGTTTTCTCATGTTGACAGTGCCAAAGAAGGATAGAAGCACTGGAAGCTAAAGTTGACCAGTTACTGTTACGGTCGGCGACTCAAAGCCTTGTAAGCGATTGATTTGAATCATGTGTTAATGGAACATTGTCTGACAGGTCAGAAGAGAGCCGAAAGCGTGACCGATGAATCTTCAGCCAGTTTTGCTGCCAGTGGCCCTGCAGCTTGCACAGATGTCATCGATCAAGGGCTTCTAACGATCGATGCAGCCAATGTTCTTCTTAAAGGGTATCGAACTACGCTTGCGCCTTACTGCCCGTTCGTCATTATCCAACCGCAGGTAAATGCCGAGCAGTTGCGCCGAGAAAAGCCCTTCCTTTTCCTTGTCACTATCACGGCCGCATTGTACAGTAATATGCCCCTGCAGCGAAAGTTGGAGATGGAAGTAAAGAAGAAAATCTCCGATTGCATGATTGGAGGTGGGAAAATTTCATTTGAGGTTTTGCAAGCTCTTTTGGTCCACATTGCATGGTATGCGACGATTTGCTTCTCCACCCTCTTGACTTCTCTTGACAAAAGCATTAGGTGCCAGTATCACTCCAGGCCACGTCGTTACGCTCAGTATTTACACCTCGCGCTTAGTATCATCACTGATCTACAACTGGATCGATCCCCCGAACATCGATTTTGGACGACTCGAGTCAGCTTCGATGGTGATGACGACAAAGAGATAGTTTCTTGGGGGCGAGAAGAAAAGCGCGCCATTATTGGATGTTTCTATTTTTCATCCGCGTAAGTTTACAGATGGACGCATCAGTCCTCCATGCAGCAACTAATATGTCTAAGAATCTCTCAAATCCTTCAAAAGCAGTTTCATTTCCCATATTTACCATATCTCGAGAACATTGGCATGGAGTTGGCAACAGATCCGGAATATGCGTCCGATAAATACCTTCTTCATATTGTGCGACTTCAACGTATTTCAGCGAAGATCGCTCTTTATTCGGCCCCAAATTTTCCCATGCCTCATGAGGCCAACTCAGGCATCGAGCATTCATATGACAAGTTGAAAGCAGAACTTTCTTTGTACCAGTCCAATCTGCCATTCCCTTTGACTGAAAACCGTTAGTTGAAGTGCGTCGCACATTATGAATTGATTCTGACTTTCCAGCACAGATATCCTTTTCACGAACTTCCATGCAATCGAGCTATGTTTATGCCAAATAGCTGTCTTTGACTACAACCGAAATGCGCAGAGCATTCGCCATTACTCATCCTATCAAATCGATGCTTTGCACATGGGCCTCGCTGTGTCCAAGACTCTGCTTGAATTCTACGTATCCCTTCCCTTATGCCACGACGTTGCATTCAATAACGCGATATGGGTTCAGCTTGGTTTCGCGGCTACACTTTCCTGCAAGCTGTCTGTAGCGGCTATGGGTCCGTCAGCCCATTCCCACACGGTTGAGTTGTGTCGTGCGCTTGACATTTCCAATATTTTGAGCCGCTGCATTCTCCGTGTCCAAGCTCTCGTCACGTCAGATATGGATGCATCTGGCGATAGAGATGTGTTTTACCACTATGAGAGGCGCTTAAAACGCGTTAAATGGTGGTTTGAGAATAGGACACTGTCTGGTTCCAATAATGATCCTTCTAAACATGGTGCTCAACTACCATCTGGCGTAGACTCATCTACCATGGCTGCAAGTCAGCACCTTGGTGTATCGCACCCTTCAATGGATGACTTTGATTTCTATTTACAGTGGCCGGGGCTTTTCTCCGATGCCTCAGTCGAAGGACCTTTTGTCGACTGGGTAGGACAGCCGATACCATGCTTTGATCAACAGCACTTGACGTGAAATACCTGCATTGAAGGGCTGCCATTACCAATACAAACCCTCAGCAGTTTTCTCCAGGGGACAACTTCCTAAGATACATAGACTCAAGCATGTATTTATCGGTTGGTTTACTAGAACGTCCAGATCGGCCGTCAGACGAAATTCAATTTTACCTAAACGATGCAATTTGTAGACGTTGGATCACGGAGCCTCCTGGGACTCATACGGATACCAAAAGTGGTGGTAGCCATCACAGAGAGCGATATTGCTGCTCCAAGCCACCCGAAGGGGTTCTCAAACACAAATCGTGAGATATAAAACTCGTCACCAAACGGTATCTGAGGTTCATAGATCTTGAAGATGGAGCTTTGAATCCCAAGATACAACTCGGATGGCAAAATTGTAATATCCAGGCCCTCCTTTGTGAAGCGAAGCCAATTTGCAAGGACACGGCTATCGAGAACGGAACCCGTATTGAAAAAGGCCGTCACGGATCTGGACATGAATGGCCTGTGCCCATGGATATCATAAATACTGAGCGCGAGCTTGATCACAAATGGATGCTTGGGCTTGCTTGCAATCAATTGCTGGCTGACCCCGTGTGGCCAGCTTTCAGGCAAAATGGCTTCAGTGCCATTAAGTAGTGGCTCCATGGGTAGTTGGCACCCAACCTCTGGATCTAAGTAAATGCCTCCATAATACCAGAGTAGGAAGTATCGCAATGCACCTATTCGTTGCAGTGGTACTTGGAACTCCATAGATGTTGAAAGAAACCATGTGAAATGCGATTCGATGAACTGGTGTGCTGTCTCATCTGTCCAAACATATTGTACATAGGTCACTTTACATACTGGATTTTCTTTGACGGGTGGGGATTTCCTATTCAGGTTGCCGCCGCTTTTATGAGGGCGCTCAGACTCAGGCTCTTTGAGTAATTTTCAGTCTGGGCTCACGCTCACTGGCAGTCTATCCCCGAAGAAGCATAAGTTCCCCACACTAATTACTGACCCATCGACATTTTGACGGCCCTTAATTACCGCACTATAGGTGCTCCATGAGGTGCTTAATCTCTTATCTCTTCTTTCAAAATTAGAGCTTAATAACGTAAATCTAAAGCATGCCTTAGCGCTTAATACCAGCGAAAGAGAAAATATTTAGTCGTCTGAAATACACATTAGAATATTAATTCAACCTCTAGTCTCGCAATTCAGCTCTAGTTACCTAGTTTCCCTATTTCTTATCTTATTCTTCATCTTACTTATCAAATGTTGAGATTTGATACTCGCTGCGATAGTTATGGGTAAGAAACCCTTTTTTACTGAGATCTATAAGTGCTAAAATCATGTCTTGGCCATTTACCGTTCATGAGAGCTCAGAATTGTCAGAGCACAATTTACCAGTTATGCCAATTTTGAAGGTCTACTCAATTTCAGCTGCTACCATTGATCCCAACTAACTAGGGACAGGAAAATTTGAATAATCAATCCTTGGGTCGCACGAATGCTTGCATGGTGCTTGATTCAAATGTGAGCCGAGAAGCCCCATACAAGAGGAAAGGTGCAAATCTTCTTGTAAAGTTCTTTGTCGCGTTAACTGTGTCCTCTGTTCTAATTCACTGTTTGTAGTAGAGGCTTGCTAATAGGAACCATCGTGAGCACCTTTATTCGTCAGACGCCGAAGGGGTTTTGGAGCTGAGTTCCCTGAGTGCTTGAACTGACTCTAGCTAGCTACCATCCGAGGAGTAGACATGTTTTCCCCACCAGAATAATGGATGCCACCGAATTGTGTTTTCGAAGTGGATGATGTGCTTCGAGACTGGACATGGAGAGAGCCGATTGATTTCATCCACATGCGCTTGATGTATAAGGCGCTCCCTCCAGAGGGGTAGAACTAGCTGTGTAAATAGGCATACGAGTGAGTTTTGAACTTATCTTTCGGTCCCACGGAGTAGTGGTGAGTCGCGTGCTTATGGCTTCTTAATAGTGTCCTTGAACCAGATGGCTGAATTGAGCAAATGGAATTGGACTTCCGTGTCTATAGTGACGATAGTACTTTAAGAAAAAGACCATAAGTTATGGGGTTGGGTGATGTGTTCATTCGATGCTCCGAGCGAGCTAGGCAATTTCTTAGAACCTATGAAATAATGCGCTCCGCAATTGGAAGCGTAGGTCGTGGACTTGTATGAGGTAGAATACAAATTTACCATAGGACCTTAGCCTAAAGACAAGCTACTGAAAGAGGCCGGGTACCTCTAGTATGCCCATTGGAATGCTGCTTTAGTGGCTGGGCAGTATGGCTACTCACCCACTCTGATGAGCTAGAGTCATGGACGAAGGATGAAGTGCAGGTCTTTCTGGCTCAAGTGCGCGCAGAACTCAAGTATACTCAAATACATGCTTATAAACCTGCGTAAGTTATCGCTCAAACATTGTTGGTGGACAAACTCCACTAAGTGAATATTGTGAAGGAACCGTGTGTGGGCAATAAAGGCTACCAATGAGGAATTACAAGAGAGGGCAAAGTTCAAAATACTTGACTGGCTGGGTATTCTTTTGTCTATTTTATTGCTATCTGTCCTTGGGGATCAGGGCGGGACAAAGGATTGCCTTTTGGTCCGGAATAGCATAGTCAACACAAATGATTTTATTGACATACTTAAAATAGGCCCGTGCAAAGCCAAATATCATATAGTCGTAAATACGATGCATCTTGGTTCAGGGCAATCTGCCGACGCGTAGGACGCAGGCTTTGTCCCTGATTTAGAAATTGGCCGCGAGCCACAATTTCATGGCTTTTACTGGATTTCTCCGAACATTTATCCGGAGTTTTCGCATATACAGATAGCTCGGAATTATGAACGGAGACTTCAGTGTGTATATTGTCAAACCAAAGACCATTCCAGAATAAAACTTGTATTTTTAAAGAAGTTGCGCTAGGGTATACTAAGCACCTTTGCGATCGCTGTTATTCTAATACGCGTCGCCGTTCCCGGCATCGTCTTCAAAAGCTATCTGTCATCATTCGAGCTAATGACGGTCTTCAAATGTTTTTCTGAACCTAAATGTGCTTCTCCACTGACTATATGGAGAGATGATGCTTTTATTTGCTCATTGACTTGGAGGTATGTTATATAGTACACTGGAAGCCTACGTAGCCCCAAGGCGTAGGCTGAGGATTCACAATGCTCCTGTGGCCCTTGAGCATCAGATGGTGTCGTAACTTAACGGACCTGAACTTCCCACCGTATCCTTCTTTTCTTGATATACGCAAATCTTCATTTCCGAGAGGGCTTCGAAGAGCCTTGATTGATGCATCGGTATCACGCCCTTATTGCTGATTGGCAGCTTTCTGGCAGTATTGGGGTTCCTCTGGACTTTCCCTAGGAGAATTGAACCCGTGTTAAGGCCATACAGTCAACTGGCAACCGTAGAGACCTGCAGACGAGGACCGCAGGACGTAGACAAGATCTCACGAGCGATACCCACTGTTACCAGTTTGCGTCGTCTAACAAGAGTATAGATAACCCAACTATATATAGAAAAAGAATTCTTATAACCCAACAAGAACATGGGAACGAATTGAACACTGCCCACCAACTTCAAACCCCGGGTTGGCGAGTAGACTAACTCAAGCTTCCTTGGCGACTGCATTCCATTCATCGACAAAGCCATCTTCGAAGTCTTTTCTGCTTTTTGTTGGTCTCCAGCCAAGCTCATGGGCTCGATCAGCTGACGATCGAGCACGCGATGCATATGCAGCCTCCAGATTTTCCGCAGGCAAGCCAGCTCCAAACTTTTCAGATGCCTGCTGAAGGGTGATCTGACGCACGGTATAACTCTTGAGATAGCCTAAGGCGTGTCCTACCTCGGCAATTCGTTCGGCAACTTCCCGCCACGACTGATGACCTGACTGACAGAAGTAGATTCCGTTCAAGTTGGCCTCTAAATCATCTCCAGCGAGTATGCGTGCGACCATCAGCTCATAGAAATTGGCCAGATCAACGACGTGGACATGGTCCCATTCCGCCTCGCCCGCGCCAACGCGAGAAGCGTAGCCATCCTTCAGGGCAGCGCGCATCATGGTATTGATCTGAATAGAACGACGGTTGAAAAAGCCAGTCCCCTCGCCATAGATGGTAGGGGGCATAATAACGTAGGTCTTTATACCAGCTGCCTCTCCTTGTTCGCAGACCAATAGATCAGAGGTACGCTGGGGGTATACCTCTATGCTTTGCCGATAGCGTTCATAGGCATAAATGTCATTTTTGTCGGATAGGACGGCCGATTCAACATAACCGCCACTGAATGGCTTGTCTGCAATATTGGATGTACCAGAAGTCTTATAATATCAGTGAGTAATCTCAAAAAAGAAGGCCGTGATAACTGACTTGGATAAGGTGCCCTAATTTGCCGGTCTTCTTCTGGCGGTCATCGAGCCCACGAAGAAGGGCCTCAGCAGAGGCAGTGTGGTAGGTTATCGCAACATTGATGACAATATCGTGCTCACTAGCAGCCTTCCTCAAAGCCTGGAGGTCGTCGAGCCCATCAAACAAGATTGCGTTGACACCTTTCTCCGAGAGGAGGTCTGCTTGGGACTGTTTACGGACAATTGCAGAAAGCTTGCTAGCTTTGACCATTTCATTGGTGGAGCTAAGCAACGTAGACAGGACAGTGCCACCGCTGTTTGGGATTAATAACTCTTCGAAAAGCGTGAATTGGGGTCACGAACATGTAACCGGTAGCGCCAGTGAGGAGGATCTTGGTTTGAGGCATGGTATATTCAATTTTTAGCTTCTGCGAGCAGGATGAAAATAGCGAGAGTATTTGGCTTTTTTAAGCTATTTATATGAAGGTATTTTAAAATTCCGATCGACGCCATTACGTTATTCCGTGTCGCCGGCTTAGTCAAACATAAGGTGATGCATCTTTACAGCTTACAAATGCATCCCGCAGCTGTGCGGTTAAATTTCGGTTAAACCCCAGGAATTAATTCAAAACGGCGACTTGAGCTCCTGGGACTGATGCGCCTTAATTGTAATTTTTAATCCATTCGATTTATGGTTCCTGGGACCTTCTATAGACACCAAGCATACTTTAGCGAACTACTTCCTAGGAGCACTCGAAGTTATGTAGGAAATCCTTGAAGGGTAACGAGAATAAATGAGTAAAGCCGAGTGTTGTTGGGAGCGAAACGCTAGATAGAAGTTTATAGTCCAAAAATCTTAAATTTCCCTTTCCCCCCCCCCCCAAAATTACTACTGCCAGATTATGACATTACGTAGTCATATGGAATAAGCCACTCATTTTGAGATGGAATAATGGACGCCGGTTTGAGCAAGTGGAACTTTCGCGTAGAAGTAGTGGACTGCATTATATTGAGGTAGCTCACGCGTGCCATTGGCTTCTGTGGGTTGCGCTCAGTGAGCGAATCACATCACTCAGGGCAGGCTCACTGAGCATGAGCGTGAGCTTACGTAATGCGCAGTGATTCGATCACTGCCGCCTGAGGCCTTACTCAGATCTACTCAGTGAGTAAAAGCGGCGAGGGGGTGAGCACTAATCCGGAAAAAGAAGCCAAGAACCGTCAAAGAAAACCCGGTACGTAGGAGGGGTTTTGCTCTTGACAGGACTTGCTGGCATCTACCCATTCGGCTGGTGTATTGGTGTCCAAATTTCTCCAAATGCGATGTATGATCCTTGGAATGTCCCGCATTGTATCTGCGGGTGTAGTAATTATGTCATTCGACGGGGGAGGCGCTCTCAAAGTCGGACCAGAAGTCGACCACAGAGTCCCGCCTTCATTCGAACTCATATTTGCTGACAGAGTGTCGATATTGAATAGGTTGGCATTTATTGCAGATGCAAACTGTATCGAGGAGTGAATTGAAGAGACACAGAGGAAAGAGAGATAGACAACAAAGATAGTGATCGAGGGCGCTCTCCAGACATTTCGGTGGATCCAAGGCGATGAGGAGACGACCGGAATCGAAACCTTCCATCTGGCCACCAAGTCAGGATATGAGAACTGGCATTTTTCTTCATCCCATCATTGCGCATGTTGTTGATGGAGATCTCAACTGTACTGGATGAAGAAGAAAAGGTATTGCTGTCGTAGTTGGCTTCGAGACCAGCCAGAGGAGATGAAACAAGGCTTCCGAGGGGCGGAAAAGTGAGCAGTTCTGCACAACGGTATCTGATAAGTCTTCAATATAGTTAGCGCAGGATGAATACATTTTTTTAGCTCGAGGTGATTAGGCGCTCTTAGCACTATCCGTATTGTGACCAATTCCCTGCCCACCCACTCTTTAGCAAGTTCTTGGCAGCAAAAGCATACAGCGGACATTGGATATGCACAATGGTAGCCTGAAATAATATCAGCTGCTGCGCCATGCTAAGCATGTATATGTAAGGTTCTCTAGTGGATTCTCCGTGTCCGTAGTCATTTTCCGCGTGTCCGCGTCCGTGTCCGTAGGACAATACTTATTTATACCCGATCCACGCGGCTAATCTCTTAGTAAAGGTCTAGGCTATGGCTCCAGAAAACGACTCAAGCCTAGGCTTCTATAGGACCTAGGTCTAGGTCTAAGTATTAGACCTAGCCCTAGGCCTAGCCCGGGTCTAGGTTAAGGTAAGGTAACCTAGACCCTACCTAGGACCTAGACTAGGTATCTATTAGGGCCCTAGGAAAACCTAACTTTATATATAATTAAGGTCTTAGCGTTTATAAACCTACTAACTAATTAATATATAATCTTAGTATTTTTTGCTATTTTAGTAAGAACTAATATAAATAGACTTCTTAGATCGTAATATTACTTAGTTTAGATAAAATAATAGCTAGTTTAATTAATAATATATTCTTCTATATTAATAACGTTTAAATAATAATAGTTTCTATAGTTTTAGTAGTATTCTTTTAGTTATATAAACTAATATACTTTAAGTTATAGAGATATATTCTAAATCTAGTATTAAGTAAGTATAACTTACTTATCTACTCTTAGGTTTTATACTACTAATTTACCTTAGTCTAATAAATATAAACTATAGAATATAAAGATAGAATATATAGAATTAATTATTTAAATAATTTTAGAATTTTATTTAATATTACTTAAGAGCTAGTTTATTAAGGGGTGGCCCCTTAATAAAAGCTAAGTATTAGATTAAAATTTTTTAAGATTATTTTTATAAAATTAATATAGGAATTAGATTATTTCTAGGTTTTCCTAGGTTTTTCTAGATTATTATTAGATTATAGCTAGGTTTTATTAGGTTTTTCTAGATTATTATTAGATTTTACTAGGTTTTATTAGATCTAGCTAGGTCCTATTAGGTCTTATTAGATTATATCTACTTCTACCTATTATACTTACTAATTATATTAAAGTAGTATATTTACTTTTTAAGGAGTTAATTTATTTACTTAGCTCTCTATTAGCTATTAAGCTACTATATCTTCTAATTTTTATAGATATTATCTTCCTCTCCTATCCTTTACTTCTTATTAGAATAGATTATTCTTTTATTCTTTTACTATATCTTAGAGTTAGTAATCTAATCTTATATTATCTATCTATAATAGAGATATAGGTAATCTTAGTTATCTTATCTCTTTAAACTACTTAAGTACTCTTAATCTATCTATTAGCTAGTAAATATTTAATCTTAACTCTATTAATCCTAAATTCCTTTATCTAGTTATTCCCTTAGTACCCCCTATTTCTCTTATATATATTAGACCTAATTAGAGAAAGGTATATATTCTTTATAATAAAATAACTTATACTAAATAGATAGATTAGTAGCTATAGACTAATTTTAGAATAAAGAAAAAGATCTACTAAGATTTAAGCTACTAGGCTAAGATCTAGAGTAAATTTAACTAGATTATATATACTATAGATAAAGCGCTAAAGATTATATATAAGAATTATAGATAGATTCTTAAGTATCCCTATATTCTTTATACTTATATAGCTAATTAGAAAGTATAGTATTATAGTATATTTTTTATATTAAAGTATATTAAGAGTATAGCTTATTAAAAGGCTAAGCGTAGATCTATTATAGAGATAATAAAGTTTCTTAAGAAAGTAGTAAGTTCTTTATAATTTTTAGACTTATATATACTAATTTTCCTTAAGAATAATAATATAACTATAGCTTCTTTCTTATAAGAAGCCTAAGAAGAAGAGATTTTATTATTCTTATCTCTTAATTAATTTTTATTTTATCTTATTAAATACTCTAAGTTCTAGAGCTTAATATAGATAGCTTATACTTCCTTAACTACTCTATTTATCCCCTCTATAGATACTATTTATTACTAGCTATAAACTTTAGTTATTAGTTAATAAAAGTATATACTTAAGCTACTTCTAGCTAGCTTAAAAATCTCTATTACCCTTAATTACTAGATATCTCTATTTTTATAGGTATTTATAGCTATTATAGGCTACTTTATTAATTATAACTAGATATATTAAGAGATACTCTTAGATTTTAAACCTATCTATAGGATATATTCTAGTATAAACCTAAGTAATACCCTAATAGAAATCCTTCTAGAATATAGAATTAAAGACTAGGTATTTAGCTTAATTATAAATAATATATTAAATAATAAGACTCTTATTAAGAGCCTTTAGTAGGTTCTAGTAAAGGGTATTATTATTATTTAAATCCCTTATCTAGCCTATATTATTTAGCTTAGCCTTAACTAGCTTCTTAGATATATTAAGGTAGTTCTAAAAAATAATACTATAGAAATAAAATAGACTAATTAATAATCTAGAATAGTATAAGAGAATATATAATAATAGTAGTAAAGGATCTCTTTTATACTTAATAAGATATACTATCTTATAATTTATATTAATACTAATCTCTAGCGCTAAGAGATATTCTATAGCCTATAGATCTAGGATATAAAGCTTATCCTAATCTAAGATATTAAGATCTAATAAAACTCTATATTTCTTATACTCTATTATATAAAGAGACTATAGTCTATCTTTAGCCCTTTTTATAAAGAGTATACTTATCTTAATCTATTACTAGATACTAAAGAGTAGTGCTAAATTAACTATCTTCTTTATATTATAGAGCTATTCTTTAATTATATTTTATAACTTTTAAAGACCTAGGATATTACTATATATTATACTTTTAAGATCTATAATAAGCTCTTTAAGTATCTTAAGTAATCTATAAAGTAGCTTAGATAAAAGTATATTTTATAGAAAACTAAGATACTAAATATACTTATAGTAAGTTAATTAAAACTTAATAAGTATTACTTATAGACTAATAATATTTAAGGGTATATCTTTATAATCTATATAATACTTATATCTATTAATAAGTTTTAATTCTTTTTTATTAATAATTAGGAATAAGAGTAGTATAATTAATATTAAAAGTCTTTCTAAAAGACTCTTATACTATACTAAGCTTAGCTTTCTAATAATTAAGAGTTACTATCTTTAATAGATCTACTTAGATTAAGCTTAAAGCTTAATAAGATATTAAATAGTAGTAAATAATAGCTAATTAGAGTTAAAGATAAGTTAATATAATATCTTAATAGTAATTAATAAAGCTTATTATATTATCTTTTTTCTCTCCTAACTAGTTAATAAATATAGTTAATATCTATTCTCTTATCTTTTAGAGGAATAATTAATACTACTTCTTAATAATTATAGCTCTTATAAGAGATATTCTCTTAGTATTAGTAATAGATACTAATATAAAGAGACTCTTTAATATAGTCTAAGATATCTACTACTACTATAGAGGAAGAATAAAGTCTAAAATAATTTAAGAGCTTATAATATTCCTTTATACTTTAAGATTTAATCTTAAAGAGTAGGATATAAAGCGCCTTAAAGAATTCTTTACTTAAGATAAAATTAAAGTAATAAAAGAGGAGAAAGATAAGAAATATAATAAGATTAAGATAGAGCTAATAAGTAATACTAAAGAGGCTAATAAATTAGAAAGTGAGATTATAGTAATAGATAATATTAAGAATAAGGCTTCTAAGCCTTAACTACTAAAGAATAGTATATAGCTATAAGTATTAGGATAAAAGCGTAAATAGCGAGAGGATAATACTTTTAAATATTACTAGATAGTTAATTTAACGCCTTTACTCCTTAATTAATACTTAGCTTAAATAAGCACTTTATATCTAGAGTTCTACTTAGATTATAGAGAATTATAGAGAAGATATAATAAGAATATCTAAAATTATAAGAAGAATTTATATAATTTATATAGTTAAGATCTCTAGTATATTTATCTTATTTATTATCTAATTAGGTACCTATTAGGTACCTAGTACTAGGTCTAGGTAGAAGGAGGTAACCTAGAACCTAGTGCTAGGTTAAGATTTTGGCCCTAGACCTAGACCTAGCTAGGTCTAGGTCTAGGCTAGGTCTAGGTTCTACTAGGTTATGCGGAAGCCTACTCGAGCCCTACCTAGGGGCGGTTTTACTATGCTACCCTATTATCCTAGATATGCCTCTATAAGATATTAGGCGAATATAAAATATGTACTCCGTAGACCTTGACTTATGGTTTAGTTCGATCTCCTAAATACCTGACGGACACGGGCTACCTGAATAGATTATGTTGACAGTGGTGAGCGACAACGATAATGATTTATTTTAGGCACATGGAGGTTGCCAGAGGCGAGCCACTCACTCATAAGGAATCAGAATCGTTGTTGAAAAGGCCTTCACGCACCTCTAGAACAGGCCACAAAAAATACAAGAAATACAAACCATTTAACATCGACATGGGAAATTCAACAGACACTGATTCTTGCACTTTAAACACTTGTCCCATCACCGAAGCCTATGTCTACTATATTCCATCACTGGCAGGAAATGCCTTTTACCTGGCACTTTTTGCTATCTTCTTGGTAGCCCAACTGGGATTGGGAATTAGATACAAGACCTGGGGCTTCTTAGCCGGCTTATTCGGCGGCCTGGTGCTCGAAATCATCGGATATTTGGGAAGAGTACAATTGCACAACAACCCATTCGTCTTCAGCTCATATCTAGAGTTAGTCATCATATCCTGCCTTCTCTGATACTCACTAGAAAGTTACTCACGGAAACTGCAAATACCTAGATATCTGATCTGCCTCACCATTGGGCCGGCCTTCTTCAGCGCATCAATTTACATTTGCCTTGGACGAATCGTGATAGTCTATGGCGAGCAGATATCGCTCCTTCGACCTCGCACATACACCATGCTCTTCGTCTTTTGCGACCTAGTTTCGCTAATCTGTCAAGCCGCGGGTGGTGCTATCACATCAATCGCTGACGCTGATCAGCAAGATCTAGCGCAAACTGGCGTTAATATCATGATCGCTGGTTTAGCAATCCAGGTGGTTTCCCTCGTGCTCTTTATGGCTCTTTGTCTCCAATATGCATGGAGTGTGCACAAAAACCCCGACGCTCTTAATAACGCATCAAATATGCGTGAACTTCGAAACCGCTTTAGATGGAAAGCCTTCCTTGCTGGTAGATCCGTCTTCCTTCTTTTCACTGACTAAGTGCTAATTGAGTGTCCAGGCCTGACCTTGGCGACTATTACAATTTTTGTAAGGTCTGTATTCCGAGTCGCTGAGTTGAATGGCGGATTCCACAGCTCGCTGGCGAATAACCAAGTTCTCTTCATGATCTTGGAGGGAGCCATGATCGTAATCGCCATTCTATGCTTGACAGTTCTACATCCGGGCGTCTGCTTTAGTGGTCAGTGGAATCAAACTAAGTGGAGTTATTTGGCAGGCGACGATCGTAAGGAGAATACTTATGCCTTACAAAGCTGGCAACGGAACACATTGACCACTTCTTTGGACAATATTAAATGATACTTTTTTGTCTTGGGGGTTTTCCTTCCAAAAAGAGTCACCGTTTATTAGTCGGGTTAATTAGGCCGTCTGCCGCTACGCAAGCGGACTTGTTGGGACAAGGCTTGGAGGCTTTTCTTGGATTTGTGTCCGCTGCCTGAAGTCTCAATTAGAGCTGCAGATTACCAAATCGTCATTTAGAGAGACTCGCCCATTGGGCAATTATATGCCTAATCTTTAAAGGTAAGAAATGCATAATTTTAACAGAATTTCAAGAAAGGTTTGAACTTGATCGAGGGTAGAAAGAGCCTTCAATGTTGGAACCTTGGAAATGTAAAGAGGACCAAAGAGTTGAAATCCCGGACATTGGTGAAATACATATTGATCCAGATGAGCCGGTATTTATAACTAGTACAATATCTCTTTGAACACGTAATCGGGGTCGAAAAACTTGTACCTTGATTCCCTGTCTCGCCGGCCGCCCGGGCCACCCCAGAGTATATGATACCGATTTCATATCTTGACAACAACGCATCTAAACTGTACCGATCGTTAACAATGCTTCCTCTGCATGGCTTCGGTCTAACTTACAAAATTAGTGCAATTGATTGGGAGAGTCCTATAGTGTTACCATCAAACATGCAGTGAACTGGCCAGTTGAGCTCAATTAAGGATACAATCGAAATCCGGGGTACACCATCATAAAATTCTACGTTTAGGGAGAATGATGTAAAAGTTATGGTTATCGAAATAACAAGTAGTAATTTATTGCCTTTACTATGGGTTTTGGGGTGACCGAGCAGACCGGGTGGCCGCCGGGACAGGGAGCTACGTTACCGATAGTATGAGTCACGTAACGTATTCCACAAGCGAGTCGGCCATACAAGCGGCCCGACCACTCCAAACCAAATAGTAAATCCAATTTATTATTACAACATCTCAGCGACCACGAATATAAATTATATTAAATTCTCAATATTATCTCTTCTCGAGGTCGAGTTAACGAAGCTTGGATGTAACAGCTCGGTGTAATTTAATATAGGAATTCATATGGTTCCCAAAAGAACACCTTACGGTTTGGCAATTTCAGCTCTAGGTATATATATATTTGACTCAGCCATCTTTAGAAATCGATCAAACTCCGGTGGCATACTGCGGATACTATAAAAAATACCAATCTATCAAGAGAGCGTACGACAAGCTATTGTTGTTGAATTATTAAGTGGTAGTTTATCGCATTTAGTATGTGTTTTGGGGTGGTCGGGCCGCTTGTATGGCCGACTCGCTTGTGGAATACGTTAACGAAGCTTCAGTAGTCACAGAGAAATCCCAAAATAGACTGCGCGAGAAGAAAAGCCTGAGATTACATACATGCAGCATATTTGACCTCTCTTCAAACCCATTTACGGCACGATGTGCAGTTGGTTCGGACTATATGGATGTTGGCAGTCAAGTGCCAGAAATAAAAAAAACCCGAAACTTTGGTAGGATTCCGCGTTCGTGGCTCTTTCCCGCACTGTCCCACGGATAAGATACTTGAACCTCGGAACTAAGCAGTGTTATTTGAGGGGTGAAAAGATACAAACAAGTAACCAAAATTTGTATTAGGGATTGGCGGGCGACTCCAGAAAAAAGGGGGGGAACAGTCGTGCCGGGCGGCAGTTCAATGTGTTGGCCACTCATTGATCTCTAACCTCTCATGGCATATGAGCTGACATTTTCGGTGGTACAATTTGATAGGTAGATGGTCCGATAAGTGCCACTATCAATTTGGTATGGAATTGTTTCCGATCCCGATTATCATGGCGCTTTATCTTGCGTAGAGTTTGCGGATTTCTGCCGGTTTTCCATGCAACCAAAGTAGATCGCCAAATTTATTTCCGCTGTTGTGTCGGCCTGTTGAGGATCTACGGGAGCTGGATAAATACCTTCATTCAAGACTTATAATAACCCCCGACAGCGAATCGCAGAAAATTGACAATCCTCCTTACCGTCCATAATTTGAAAATGTACTCATCTTCAGATCCAACCAACTCGGTTGCATATTACAATGGCCGAGTTTACACGGTCAATCCAACCCAGCCATGGGCCGAAGCCTTCATTGTTTCGGCAATGGGAATTATTGAGATGATCGGTCCTGAACATGAAATCCTCGCAATCGCTACAACTAGAAACTTAATCCGATATGACCTCGGGAAACATTTTGTGATGCCGGGGATTCACGATGCCCATACGCACTTATTAATTGCCAGCATGCAGGCATTAAACGAATCATCAATTGGGTTTGATTGCGGTCCGAACGATATTGGCGACCGACTTAAACAGGGAGCCTGTGCTTGTACCTATCATAACGTTGCCGGTGACTGGGTTGTGGGCAATTTTTACCAGGGTAGCTTTTTCCCCGACGGGATCCCGGATCGCAAATATCTCGATTTCAAGTATCCTAACACCCCCGTGTTGATTCGTGAGGTATCTTGCCATCGAATCTTACTCAATACAACCGGCTTGGACAGGGCCGGTATTGATCCATTTCATGCGATTGATCCCCCGGGTGGCTTTTACGTCCGCCGAGCTGATGGAACACTGACGGGGGAAGTGGCGGAGAACGCCATGAGCCAGGTCTTTTCCAAATTGCCAATTCCACCACTATCACATGCGAAGAGAGCATTGCAATTCGGGGTGGGGATGTGTCACCGTTATGGAATTACGTCTTGCCAGGAAGCGTCGGCCAATTCATTGTATCTCCACGCTCTCAAGGAGTTGGAAGAGGAGAATCGGCTCGATCTGGATGTATACACACACATTGTTTGTGCACCGGAAACCTTTGCCATGGAGACCAGTGAGAGTTTAGCGGCTTTATTAGACGTGGCCGATGAGTTCCGCAGTAAGCATGTGCATACCAATTTTGTCAAGTTTTGGCTAGATGGAGCACCTTTACCACCGGGATTCACTCAGTGCGACCTGGATGCGCATGGCCGCCCCGAGACCAAAAACATGGTTATTGGTTGGGATTTTCTTCACGATGCAATCAAGAAATACGATGCACGCGGCATGACCTGTAAACTCCATGTTGCAGGCGAGGGCTCAACTCGGGGGGCGCTAGAGGTTTTGGAAAAGATCCGGGCAGGAAACCCTAGCGGTCCGCGGCACGAGTTAGCACATTGCAGTGCTGTCCATCTAGGTGAGGCTTGTGATACCTTCTATTCTGCGTTGAGTGATCTGAAGAACCCAATATCAGTGATGCCCCCACTCGAAGTTCTTGGTTTAACATGATTCCTGGGCAGATGATATTCCTCGATTCGCCGAAAATCGCATAACCGCTGAAATGTCTCCGGCTATCTTTCATGAACCAGTCGTCAACAAGATTCCTCACCTCCTGAGATGGCCATTCAACCAAATTTTGGAAAGTGGCGCCCACATGACAATCGGGTCGGACTGGCTACTCCCGGCTAATCCAAGTCTCTTCGATGCGCTGGCTGCGATCGTAGAGACGGTGAAGTTCCACCCCGGCGGAAAGAATAGTACATCTATATTGCAAGGAAAGAATGGAAAAGAGCAAGGAGGTGAGATCCTGTGTCGAGTCATCACCCTCAGTGGTGCAGAGGCTGTGGGCGCCCAAGACCGGGTAGGAAGCCTCGAAGTTGGCAAGACCGCAAACTTCATTGCCGTCGATCGTGACCTCAGCAAGGGAGAGTTTTCCGGTGCTAAGGTTCTAAAGACCTGGTTTGAAGGGCGGATGGTATTTGACTCTTGCTCCTCCGGAGGTGGGGTGATGGTTCACGGAGCCGATAATACTTTATGATCAGGACTTGTACTTGATACGAACACTAGGAAGTGACAATGAATTGATATGAATTTTCAACCTTGCAAAGAATACTCCTTCAGGGTGTCAATGGAGCAACTATACTAGCATAAAGGCATAATCTAATGGTACTTGACGCCATCCAATCAGACAATGGCGATTTTCAACTATTCGCTCAAACTCATCATATGCCTCGATCCTGGGCTGTCCGCTTAATGATACTATGTAGGGCCCAAGTCCCGATCATACTCAATTGACATCCATTTCAGCCTGACGATTGGCCAATTATATGTGAGTAAAGTTATTATGTATCGTGAGAAAGGTTTAAACTGTTCCTTTTACAGCCTATATAAGCAAACGTACCACAAAGGAGCACATTGTATGATTTCCCAGGCACACTTTCTAATACCAGTAGGCGCAGATATCTATAGCCACAGAAGCTGCCACCACCATATATACAGTATGTCCATCACGTGATCAACCTGATAGTGATTTTCATGCGGAATCGTTGTGACGCGTCAGCGAAATTCAGTATAGCTGTGACCAGCCAGCGAAACGGTGTCTGTTCTATATTTCTACCTTCCATTGAACCTCACAAGCTCGAGATGGCCCACTTCACTCGGTAGTTCACTTCTAATATCCCTAGAAATTGCACAGTCCACCAGTATGTAGGGGATTGTTTCTTAACCGCTGAACGGCACTGGACGTCGTCGCGGGCTTGGAGGTCACGAGACCGCAATTCATGCCAACTTTCCACTCATTGGCCCTCCGCATTTCCCCGCATTCTCCGACAAGCCAAATCAGAATTTCACATTCCTTTGTCATATAATTTTCCCTTTCTACCCTACCACCTTCACGACCGATATTATTTTGCACTTTGGCGCCCGGTTGTATTTGGACCTCTCATCTATCTTCATACTGGTGTTTCCAGTATAAGTACATGATGAGTGCACAAGCTCGTCAGCCCCTTCCGCCCCCTGGAAGAAGATCGGCGAAGTCACGCAGTATGCTTCCCGAACGCAATAAAGAATGGCAATATGATTGAATTGACCATACCTATAGCGGGGTGCCTCAAATGCAGACAGCGGGTAAGAAGTTACCTCAGCCCTTTCCAGATATGCCTGCGGTTCGTTTTATCCCATAAGAAAATTAAGTCTCTGATCTTGATCACAGCGCATCAAGTGCGACGAAAAAGCCCCGACATGCGGCCCATGTGCCAAAAAAGGCCTTCGATGTCCTGGTCATTCGCGCCCCTTAAAATGGTCACAGAAGCATCAACCAGCATTGCCCTTACCACAGCATTGTCCTGCCGAAATCCACTATTTGCCCGAAAAAACATTATCGCCTTCGACTGCTCAAGAACCCATCAAATCAACAGATACCGATGGAAGTGCAATGTGCAATATTCGCGGAGCCGAAAGACTGTGCATTTCTTCTCACGTTGTGTCGAAGTGCGGCACTAATGATCGGTCACTTATTATACCCCCTCACCAATCATCTTCGCCAATTCCATCTCTTCTCTTGATCCCAGGCCCATCTGCGCCCTTTGGATCACAAGATTCCATACTGACAAATTATTATTTCTCTATCCTTTGCCCCATCAATGCTTGTTTTGATACTCACCACAACCCCTTGCGATCATACATTGGAGCCATTATGTTCTCAAGCCCCATCATTTATCAGTGCGTGATGTCTATGTCGGCCGCACATATATATCAAGAGAGATCAGACATGGTTTCTGTTGTGCTGAAATACCGGAAAAAAGCTGTGACTTCTTTAATTTCACAGTTATCTCTGCAAGCGACCACTGGCGCGAGCTTAAAGCTTCTATTAGGCAGCATTCTTCTCGGCATGACCTCGGTAAGAATATATTCTTTTCATGGCAACTAATGCTAATCAGGTTTGGCATGTTAGTCTTGGCATAATGTGTCATCTATTGATGTGGTTTATCTACATACTGCTCGCATTCTGGTCAAAGATTATGTGACGCCTCAGCGGCATCATACCTCCGAAGTCCAGCCCGATATTCTAAATTCCGGGACTCTCGGCTTCATTTTTGGCCTTTTGGCTTATTGGGAATCGGTCATGTCGTTCATTCTTGATCAAAAGCCAGAAGACCTTGGCTATCTTCTGCTCTATGATGATTACGACGAGCATAACGGCTACCCAAATCCTTGGACCGGGGTTTCGAACCAAATATTCATATACATGGCACATGTAGGTGCACTATCTCGTCAGAGACTTATGGGAGTGAAGTCCTCTAAGATCTTTTCTTCCTCATTTGCGCATCACGAAGCACTTGCAACCCAACACAAGCAAGCAACGGAACTTGAGCATCGATTACTAAATTTTGTTCCACGAGAGCGTATCGGGGTTGTCGATCCAGGTGATGAGCGCACACCCTTGAATCACCTGTTCCGTCTTGTCCAAATCTACCGTTTATCTGCTCTTTTACAATTATATCTCTGCTATCCTGATCTAATAATCAAGAAGCAGGAGATCACTCAGTTTGTATCACTTTCAATTTTACAAAAACCAGAAATATCCAATGATCCAAGCTGGGATTTGATATTGTCTCTAGCGATCAGCATTCTCAACACTATAGCAACTATACCCGAAACATCGCGTGTCAATTCTTTCCTTACACTGCCCTTGCTTATTGCGGGAAGCGCATTGCAATGTCAACGAATTACAACTGATACGGAAGGACTCTATGCAGAGTTTGAAGCTGTGTCATCTACCTCTCGCACGATTGAAAGTGAGCTGATCCTTTCATTCACTGCCGACTATATGATTCAGCACTGGCGGTCGTTCGTAAAAGACCGACTGGCGGTACTACACAATCTTATTGCACTTGCACCTATCACCCGCGCACGTTTGATTCTTGAATTGGTCTGGGAGAAGTCAGACGCCAAAAGTCTTGATCAAACAGCCGAATATCCTGGATCACTGAATGTGGTACATTGGATGGAAGTAATGACGGATGGTCACTTGGAGTCATTGTTCGGATGATGATCTCTACGGACGTACGTGTGGAAGTGTAAAGATCGTATGTGGTGTGAAAATGTGGTATGGAGAGACGAAGTCTAAACTACTGAAAGTGAAGGGATATGGTAGATACAGGTCAGGTCACCCAACAGGAGACAACTTGAATGATATGTGAATGTGCTTGCAAGGATTAAAATACCCCTCCTATAGTGGGTACAATTAGATGAACAGCTTGATGTTGTGCGAGATTCAAGGCGGAATCATTTCCGATTCTCACGCCGAGGGCGTGCGTGGCGCGCAGAGAACTTCGGATAGCCGCACTTTATTTCCGAATTTGATACCGTCTCGTGCACTTCCTCAATAGCACGATTTTTGCTTCTAGGAGCCAATGCTCTAGCGCCAGAAATGTTGACGTGCATATCGGAACTAGGTCCTTCCATATTGTTCGGAAGCTCCTTATTCCGTAAATTTTCTACGTCTCTTTTTCCCGCGCCTGAATATGTTACTTCCGTTTATTCATATTTCATCGCTGCCCGTCTTTTGGGGTTTCGAAGCCGATTATACCCCTCCCTGCTGTAGTCTGACATAACTACAAAATCCTCTTAGTCTTGTATTATGAATAAGTAGACCATATATTCTACTTTCCAAGCATATCTCCCAAGTACTGTACATATCCTATCTAGGTATATGGAGTGAGAAAAATGGATAAAGCAAAATGCAAATTGGATATGCCAAGAGGTGACAAGTTAATTTTACTTTGACGAAGAATTCCCGGTCGAATTGATCATTTTCAGACCCATTGATTGTTCGATCACCTGATCTGTATCTACCATATCCCTTCACTTTCAGTGGCTTAGACTTCGTCTCTCCATGCCACATGTTATCACCATATACGTTCTGTACACTTCCACACGTACGTCCGTAGAGATTGCCAGATTATTTCAAACAAATCAGATCTGTTGTATTTCCCATTTGCTCACCAGATATACTCTCTGCACTATTTTCCGACAGGTCACAGGCGGCCTTGTCATAGCCTAGTGACAAAAGGAGCCAAGCAAATTCAACTGTGATTGGAAATCGCAGTATTCGTATCCAAAGACATAAGAAAGCGAATGCGAAAATAGGTGGCTAAAGTAGTCACAGCTTGCTCAAGGGTCTACCTCCACATTTCCAAGCGATGCCGTAGCTCTTGGAAGAAAACGTAATCGTACTGCCCCGGGGGAAATAGAAGGTATCGCCAACTCCAACTGTTGCAGCTTTACCGGTCTCATCCCGAAAAGTCATTTCACCTGTAAACTTAGTATCTGTAGTATCTATTGTACAGTCACGATCTGTCTTACCCTCAATCACAATGCCAACTTCATCATAATCATAGGTCGGGGGTGTTGCTTCCGGTCCTTTCTCAATGCGAAACCAAGCACCGGTGATGGGATTGTTGGCCTTTTCATTCTCCGTTCCAAGGTAGTCAGCTGCATCGTGAATTAGCGCTGCACAGATCAAGAGTTGCTAATTAATAGCTGATTTACCGAAGTAGACATTGGGTTTACCCCCAAAGTTGGGGACCTTGAAGATCTCAGTCTTATCCTTGACATGAATCACCATTTTCAAAGATACTCGAAAAGTAGAGTCAGGAAAGCAAAGGGGAAGCAGAAAAGCATCTCAAATATCTTTACTATTGCAGTCTTTTCCTCATACTTTCATACTGGTTTCATATCGCGGATCGGGGGGTTGGCGGGCGAGGGTCGGAAGACGGTAATATCGACCAATCGCGTTCAAAGTCGCACAACATTGCCTAATCGGGAAAAACACACGAATATCAAACTAGAAGAAGAGGATTGTAAAAGTCGAGATATGTCAAAGGCATCATCTTACTCCCTACACAGCCCCTCCACTATTCTCCTATCCCCTAATTGCCGATCAAGGATACCATAAAGTTCTTGGCAATTACTGGCGGTAATACGAACAGGTAATCCTAATACCTAGTGCTAAATACAGTAATCATGGCTACCGCGGCTTCAAACCACCTAACTAGGCTGCCCACGATACGTCTTGATAAGCGCGACTGGGGAGGTTGACTCCGAGTTTTCAGTAATCAGGAATCTTCTTGTGTTCCTTTTCTCGTGCTGGGCCCCTTGGCACAAGAGTTCCAAACCGTGTAGCTTTGACAATAGTCAATTGGACTGGTCGCAATTACGCTTCGATTTTACTGCCTAAAGAGGCTATCACTTTTCAACTGCTTCAAATACCTGGAAATCAAGACTTGACTGTTCTGCTCTTCTTTGTCTAATATCAACTTTGCCCTCTCCCGATCCTCGTCTTCACATTGACTTTGCGACCTATATGCATATAGATGGGTCCCTTGGAAACAAATATACCAACATGCGATTTCTCCTCTATTTATCATTTGCTTTTAAGCTTTCTGAGTCTGCCTCGGGCACTGACCCTCCTGTTCTACGAGGCAAAGGGTGCCTCCAAGCCAAGCCACCAGCGTGTCTTCTCCACTGTCAACGAACCATCCAGGCCTTGATTTCCGAAAACATCAAAGCTGCCTCCCACAACTACCCGATATTGGCCTTGCTCCAGACACCATCTGTCTTCTAGCTCGTCCCAGAAGCTAAGAACGTACGCATCAATCTCAATGTCCACATTCTTGCTTTGTCCCGGAGCAAGTAGCACCTTCTCAAACCCGGCAAGCTCCTTCACAGGCCGAGGAACTGATGATTGGGGTGCAGAGACATAGACCTGCACTACTTCTGCACCAGACACAGCTCCTGTGTTTCGAACCACAACGGAAGCAAACATGCCTTGCTCGTTGGTTCTCAGTTCCATTGATGAAAATTCGAAGCTGGTGTATGAAAGCCCATGACCAAAGCTCCACAAAGGCTTCCGATTCAACTTTTCATAGAATCGGTACCCAACAAAGATGTCTTCCCCGTACAATACCCGGCCTCGAGATGAACCCCAATTCAGAAAGGTAGGGTTGTCCTCCAAGGTATGTGGCCATGATACTGGAAGTTTGCCAGAAGGATTGAAATCACCGAACAGAGTATCGGCGATCGCATGTCCGGCTTCGCTGCCTCCATACGAGGCTTGAATAATGCCCTTAGCGGACTGGTGCCACGGCATCCCAACCGGCATGCCGGAAATATTGACGACAACCGTGTTTGGTGCTCGCTCAAGAACTCTTTGAATCATCTTATCGACGTTGGGAGGAAGGTGCATGTCAGTGCGATCGTTTCCCTCACCTTCCCATTCACCCTGGAGATACAGTCAGCAACAAATCAGAATGGAGATTAGAGGTAGAGCTTACACTCAACCCAACGCAGATGATAGAATAGTCTGCCTCAGACGCGATTCGAACGGCTCTCTCTATCATCTCATCCGCATTACGTAGTGGGCAGGCGCCCAGTCTTGCTCCGCCACCCGGAAATTCCACGGCTGATGGGGAATTCAGTGTGGTTGTTGTAGCGCTACCAAACTCAATACGGAGCTTGTAGGACTTCCCTGCCTCAAGATTCATTGCCACCTTCTCCTCTGCGGTCCCACTTCCAAAGAAACTAGTTCCATGGCGCTGAGCGGTACAGTTATCAATAATCATTATTTCGTCTAGGAAAAGAGTGCCGGATCCGTGGACGGTGAGGCCTAGCTCCCATAGTCCCGAGCAATCGGGAATAAAATCTGCGTCGAAAGAGGCGAAGAAAAGATCAGAATTGATTTTCTCATGGAGATAGTCAAGGAGGTGGAAGTAGCTCCTTGAGAGACTTTTGTGGTCTACTGCCGTCCGATTTGGTTCAGATGCTGGCTCGTTGAAGAAGCGGAGGACGGCATTTTTCATCAGCCGCTCATTCAAGACTGGTAGCATCTTGTGAGCATAGGCACCAACTTCAAATATCACCTCGACATCAGGGTCAAGCTTGGCTTTGATAGAATTTAGTGGGTCGGTGGTGTAATATGCCTCAACAGCTGTGCTACCAACACCTAAAACAGACAGGTCGCGGATATGAGAGCCAATAAGGGCCAGCGTCTTCATCTTCTTTGGCAAAGGTAGCAGTTTTTCTTCATTCTTCAACAACACAATGCTGTTATTGCAAAGTTGACGGTTAAGTTTCCTATCTTCCGGGTAGTCGCGCTGTCCTTCAATGGGTGAGACTGGAATTCGACTGGCCCGTTTAGCAAATTGCAGAACGTTCTTTACACGTGCATCAATGACGGACGGTTTAATTGAGTTCGTTGATAGCGACAGGGAAGCGAGAGTTCCTCGGACTCCGTTCTTGCCAGGCATCTCTAAGTCCAGTCCTGCGTCAAGGGCACGTTCGCAAGAGTACAGACCATACCTATCTTTGTTAGGTCATAACAGATGAATATCGCAGAAGACATACCAGTCGCTCATGACAAGCGGATTCCAACCCCACTCTTGTCGAACGATCCCTTCCAGTATCTCTGCGTGCTCGGAGGTATGTACCCCATTGACTCGGTTATAAGCCGTCATTAACGCACCGGGCTTTGCATCTTGCGCCACGATTTGGAATGGACGAAGATATATCTCCCGAAGGGCACGATCAGTCACCAAAATGTCAAGACCCCTCTTACTTTCTTCCTGGTCATTGCAAACCAGATGCTTGACCGTCGAGATCACCCCTGTAGATTCACAGCCAAGGATAGTCTCTCGGGCGATAATACCAGTGAGATAAGGGTCCTCTGCAAAGGATTCTGCGCCTCTGCCTCCGAGAGGCGACCGTTGGATGTTGACGGTTGGTCCTAGCCAGCAACGAACGCCCTTGGCAATGCATTCCTTGCCCAGGAGCTGGCCCGCTTGCCGGAGAAGAGGTTTGTCCCAGGTTGAAGCGAGAGCTGTTCCACAAGGAAGAGCTGCTGTTGGAACCCCTTCAAACCAGCGGGTTCCGCGTATACCGCTGGACCCATCGCTTAGACGAATAGATGGGATATTGAATTTTTGTATAGGTTTCGTGTGCCAAAAATCAGAACCTGAAGTGCATCTTGTTATGGTTCATGCTCATCTGAGTAATGTAGAATGCATACTTACCGGTAAGCAAGGCTACCTTCTGGGCCGTTGACAACTGCCTCAAAACCTCATCGGGGTCGAAAGCCATTCTTCTGTCAGTATCTGTCGTTTGAGAGGTTGTTCTGGATACGAGCCACAAACGCAAGATTGGTGGTGTTTTTAAGGTTCAAAAACACTGTCGGCTGCGCTTTACATCACTTAACCGACCTTGACCGAAAAGTAGTCGCTCGGCAGAATTGTCTGTCAGGTATGTACGGAGCCGTCGCATTTTCTTTCCAGCCACGGCACTGGTGGACCTGGAGCTTCCAGATTTCGCGTCGAAACAATTGGCTCATGCACTTTTTTTCCCTTTTGGGAATAGACTCAGTCCGAGGCGCATAGCGGCAGAATTGTGAGTTATTTTACTGGTAGTCGGTATTCCCGATCCCATCGAAATCTCTTTCTAGCCACGGCACTGGTGGACCTGGAGCCTCCAAAATTTGAATCGAAGGATGAACTAATGCACTTTTTTGCCTCATTAGGAACACGCTAAGATATTCACAGTATGGTCGAGCCGTTAAGCTTCCAGAACAGGCGCAGTTCGTTGGGAAGGAGTAATCTACTTAATTTTGTATATATTTAGCGCCTGGGTTAGACAATACTTCTTTTAAGAATCGGCTTTGGATTGCACTTTTCCTCCGTTTAGTCTGCCTATGTGACTCACGACGATGTTGAAGTTTTTCTCATCCTCATCATGGCTATCGGTCCTGTTGATACTCTGCTCATGTATCACCTCTGCGGTATGTGAACACAGTAAGTTATGTCAAAACTTGGACTAACGGTGTCAGACAATTGGCTACGATGGCTCTTTGATGTCAGTTTGTGGACATTATGAAATGCAGAGATAGTTAGACCCTAACTATGTGTCACCAGGAACGGCCTCAATATTCTCCCAGCATATAACAACTACTTCAATTTTGATGCAGCCCTCACAGGGTTGTCAACGGCGACGCTCTATATTGGAGGATTCATTTCAGGAGCGACATGGGCCCATTTCACAGACTACTTCGGCCGCAAGTGGGCAATGTTCTGGGCGGCCATGATCGCTATCCTAGCTACAATTGTCACTACCACCGCACAGAATGCCACGATGTTTATTGTTGGGAGAGTCCTTGCAGGGTACGGGGTGGGGGCTTCTGCTGTTGCAGCACCGACCTACCTCGCTGAAACGCTTCCATACAAGTGGCGCGCATGGGGACTTGGTCTGATCAATGACTCTTATTACATTGGTAAGTCCTACTGATCCGAGACATGTGGGACATCAGCTATAACAGTCTGAAATAGGAGGTCTTGTCGCTGCTGGTGTGACTTATGGCACCTCATCTATGGGCGACACCACTTGGGCCTGGCGTATTCCGTCGGCCATACAAGCTGCGTTCAGTGTCCTCTGCATTTTGATTCTTCCCTTTATCCCCGAGTCCCTCGTTGGCTTATATACATGGATCGCCACGAAGATGCGCGAAAGGTCCTTGCCTTGACGTGCGCTGATGGCGATATGGGAAGTCAATTGGTAGCCACTCAGTACCAAAGCATCGTGGATGCCTTCGAGTATGAGAAAAACGCAAGAAACATAAGCTTCTTTGCGGCTTTGAAAGGCGCTTCTTCTCGCAAGAGGCTCCTCCTAGCATCCAGCACGGCATTGTTTAGCATCATCACAGGTCAGTACAAGTCCCGCTGCATTATTTTCTTAGCTGACGAAATTTTCAGGCAACATGATAGCAAGCTAGTACGCCAGAAGTGAATTAATTCCCATTTCACTTGACTGACCACTTCTCACAGTTATCTCGGATCCTTTTTAACTAGTGCAGGTATTCCAAACACAAATACGCAACTGCAAATCGTACGTCATCCCCCACCACTTAAGTATACAGAACTGAGCAAAGCCATATACGCTAGAACATTATATTGAACTGTTTCTGCCTCGTCTGCGCTCTCGTCGGTACCTGGTTCTCCGACAAGATTGGCCGCAGAGAGAGCGCTCTCATCTCAACAATCCTCGCGACAATCTGTCTCTTCCTCGTTGGAGTGCTGTCAAAATTCTACGGTACAACACATGACACTAGCGGTATTTATGGAACAATTGCCATGATTTTCCTTTTCATGGGCTCATACTCATTTGGGTGGACACCTCTACTGTACCTCTATCCTCCGGAGGTTTTGAATTATCAAATACGTGCTACGGGAATGGGCCTGATGAATGTGGTAATGAATGGGGCTGCATTGCTCATGCTATTTGCTCTGCCTTTCGCGTTGCAGTCTATTGGCTGGCGAACATATATGATAAATGCAGCATGGGATGTTCTTATTGTTGTTTTCATCTACTTTTGCTGGGTTGAGACCAAAGGGAAGACTCTGGAAGAAGTGGACTTCCTTTTCATTGGAAATAGGCCTATTTCAACTTCAGGGTTGGAAAAGGAGGCGACTGGTGATGAAGAGAAGGATCTGGAAGTTGAACATTTTAACTAGTACTAAGAAGCTTCAAGGACGATGACTAAAGATGCCAATGCACCCCCAAAGACTAGTCTGACAGAGGCTTACAAACGGCCAATCTCATATTTAATCGGCTGGACCAATACACACACACTTTTACACTTTCCTGTCTATACGTGGGAGGCCCTAGGAAAATCTAATTTTTGGGCAAGCCGTGATTGATTGGAGGAGGCTCAACTAACTAAGATTTGGTACAATAGAGTCTTAGGATATTTTCACCAATAAAAAATAGTTACCTACGTTAACATAGTAGGTCCTCTAGCTTCTCTATCGCATAGTAGCCTTACCTATTCATAAAGAGCATCCTATAGCACGGAAGATTTCCTTAATAAAACTAAATAAGAAGATAAAGTAAGATAATATAATAAAAGTGCAATAAAAAGACTAAATTATTATAATTTGTATATAACCATGCTACTAACTCATAAAGAGGGACGAATCGGTATATAGTAACTAAGTAGATATGATTTATATTAGCGCTCACGCGCAGGAATAAGCAAATCAAGACCATATTCCCTTCCACGAACCACCTCTAGGCTCTCCTTCCTTATCTCCCGCTGCCCCTAGTGGACGATCCTGGACGTGGTCCCTATTTCGCAGATACACCACTTGCCTCGAGCGTTCCCCACTACGCTAAATACCTACAAATATCTACCTCAGTGGGTTAAGTGCATATACTACATTTACTAGTCTCACCCTGTTCTCACCTCTATCACCTAGTTTACAAACTTCTAACCACCGGGCTTCTACCTGACTGAGAACATCGTTCTCCTGGTCAACCACTTTTACTGGATTTTCAAGCCAGCCTTTCGCCAACTCGCGAGATATGACCGGGCTTTTTTGGCTCATGGGTGTCTTGGATGCCAAGTTCGATTGCAAGTTGGCTGCAGTCTAGAGCATACTCCCTAACCCCCCTAGATATTTGGTAAATCACGACTCAAGAGCGAAAAGGCAAGTCTCACCCTGCTCGAGCTTCGACGGCTCGTCAGACCGAATCCAAAAAATAGCATCAGACTGCCCTCGCCGCGAAAAAGCATATTCGATAGCGATTAACCTTTTCCCAACGCCAGCGGTCCCACAAAGCACGACATGCCGTTTGTGTACGCCTTCGGAAGGAAGCATTAGTGCCTGAGTTGACTGGACAAGGAAATTCGTCCAGCTTTTTGAGAATTGACTCGCGACCAAAGAAGGTCTGATTGCGCACAGGAGTTTTCAATCATAAAGCACAGAAGCTTTACGAACCGTCTCGCGGTCGCAAACCCATTTAAAATTGGTAGAATTCGCCATTCTTTCAGGGTGGAAAAGCCAGCTTTGCTTCATTGCTTCCAGTAGGGACTCTGTGAAATTTGCGCTCGCTGTCCTTCAATGCTAGAAATATCCTCAGCGTCAATATTCCAAAGTTTTGGTAGTGAAGTCATGTACCAATTCTAGCGGCATCATAGGATCATTAGGATTACATGCTTGTCAAGCTGATAGTGAGACTGGAACCTTTTTAAGCTTTAAGCCATATTGCATTGGTAAGAGTCAGACGGTCATGTAATACCGACAAAGTATAGCTACGGTAGCAACCTTCCTGGATGCATTCTTCGTTCAACTACCTTCAACTTACTGTTACTTAGCACAAATTGTAGCCTTGCTTTGATCTTTCCATGAGACATCCGGTCTCCCCGCCCAGATTTAGGTAGCTCGGCATGTGAGCCAGTGAGAGAAAAGTGTTGTTCACGCGCGGCTTCACCAAAGAAAAATCGGGGCCGGTCAGCTAAGTCACAACAATCAAATTAGCGCGCTCTGATGCTTCACGTTCTAATGGACTAACAGCTTAGCTGTAAGGGTTGAAAAGCGCTTTGAGATCCCTAGTGCCGATGCGAATTCGGGTCTTCTCCGATTCGTACAGTGAGAGAATCTTCACTTAGAGATCAATATCGTCACATGCCTTGCAAGTGTCGGCAGGCACCTATGCATCTTTTCTAATACGGTCAAAGTCTTGATTCGAAAGATTATTGGGGATGGAGCGTAAAATAGGGACGTAGCGCTCAATCAATTTTGTGGGGTTCGATGGCAGGTGGAACGCTATTAAGAACATAATAGCAAGAATAAAGTTGAGAAAAGAGGAATATGTATCTTTTTAAGCATTTGCGACACATAAAGCCTTCCCAGTCAGCGACAGATAATTATGTTGGGGGGGGGGGTTAGTCACCTGGTTCAAGAGCAGACATCCAAGACTATGGCCATTCAATATAGATAATCGAATTAAAGAAATCAAATTTACAGAAATCATACTTAATATATCGACATGGTAGCCTCCACGCTATCTTGAATACTGGACAAAGTCCCATACACGTGTTGACAAAGAAAAGCACATAAAATACGCGAGGCGTGTCGGGTATTATATACAGTGATTTATGATTTGGTGCCGGACGATTCAGGTGTCCAGCACCGTCCTCTTTCTTCCAATCTTGGTGCTGCTGATTGTAAAAAACGATTACTCAGTTCGAATGTTAATACGATAGTGCTAATATTATATTACGGTATATACTAGATCGATGGTTTTCTCATCCATGCGAAAGAAGATTGCTGGTATAGCGTGATTCTGCCTCGCTTGCGGGAGTAGTCGGAGATAGAACAGGTACACTAACTACTCATAAGAATTGTCCCGATCCAATTTTTGCCCCACACCCATCAAATATATATATCTATTATACAGTACACCACACCACCATATTATATATATATATATCTATAATTATATGATTACAAAGCTAGAAACGCACACAATATTTCGGTTAAATTTTAACGTTTAATACCGCGTATAATACCCCCTAGCTCGCAAAACTGCTACTAACCGTCTCGGCATGCTTATGATTAAACCATCAATATGCTCCTGCGAAATTGCCCACCAAGCCTCCGTTAAACAGGCCTTAAAATAGGTCCAATCCGCCTCTGATCGACCCATTCGAATAAGCTCTGGATGGAGCTGGAATAGCTTAAGCTTTAACCACGACCATACTAGTTTAATGGGGTTTAAATTAGGAGAGTGTGCGGGCCACTCTTCCACATAGATCCTATACTCTTTAAACTAGTCTCTCGTTACGTATGCGTTATGAATACTCGCGTTATTTTGCTAAAAGACCCGTCTAGGCTTATAGATTAGAAGAAGACCTTCTTTAAGCGCGTCTATATACGAATTCGTAGTATAACCTCCTCGAGAACCCTCCCTATGATCCCGCTCCATAATGATTAACTCTAACCGTCCTCTAAGCCATATTGTACCCTAAACCATTTAGGAAATATCCTTCACGTGGACCTTAGCGTTCACTAAGTCCCGTCGATATATTTTAGAGACGAATCTCTAGCACTATTTCGGACTAGTGTTCGAAGTTCGTTAAACCGAACACTCGTCTAAAAAGATCTAATTTTGAATTGCGTTTTCTCCACGAATCTAGCCCTATTTTCGATAAAAAGCACGCCGTTTTAAAGCTAAATAGGGCCTAATCGGGATTTTCTTTTTAGAAAGGCGTTTTAAGAGCCCGTGGGGGCGTAGAATACGTTAAATCGTTAATCGAGATAGATTATTGGTAACGCTCGTGGAAAGCTACTTATAGGTCTAGAACGGATTTCTTCGGGCTTGAATTTTAACGGAATTACAAGCCCGTTCGTTAAAGACCTTAGGCCTTCTAGACCGAGGTAGAGAGATAATTCGTTGTTCTTCTTTAAAGCGTTAAAGTGTACGGTAGATTGTCCTGCGGGCGCACTTAAAATCGTTAGCTAATTTCGTCTATGATGCTCTATGCTGGTGCATATATATAATTGTAGCACGTTACTCGGGGGTTAACTCAGCTTTAGGCCTTCTTTTTCTAACATATCCCAGCTCCATAAGAGCAATTGGGGTGGTATAAGAAGAGAAAAAAAATAAGGGGTCGTTGTTGGGGCGACCTACCGAAAAGTGGATCGGGACAATTTTTTTGGACGGGTATGTAGGAAACCCGAATTTATTTACGGTCGCTTAGCGAGGGATTTATTGCAAGGCAGGATCGATGTTTATGGTGGATCTCAAGCAGGAAGAAAACAATTCAACGAAACAAGACTAGGCCTTGAAGACAAAGGATTTTTCAAAGATTCCGGTGGCGTGACATGATTCAATATTATTGAAAAGGTATTAGTGAGCATAAAAAACGACTGCCAAGTAACATCGGACTTCAGCTAAGGATTCGTATCCCCTGAGTGCCATGCATGAAGCCAAGTCTGGAAACTATTTATGAAGCATGTTTCCTTTTTGTCGGACGGCCTACATTCCCCACCGGGCTTATGTACTATCACATCGCTACCAACATTGTGTGGCTATTTGCGGATGCCATTTCTCTATAATCCAACTGTTTCAGTGACTTCCTATTCCCAACTGTTTATCACAATACAGTATCTTGCCATAGAACCTATGGAAACGACAAACGCCTGCATGGCTAGCCAGGCCGTTTTGAAATAACTTAATACCCCTAATGGCCAACCACAACACGTATTATTAAATTTTGCACCGTTGAAGACAGTTTATTTTACAGTTCCTATGATGATAAGTTGTAGCGTGGCATGAAAAATCCATACCCAATTTGGCCAGATACTGTAATCTTTCCTGTACTGTTCAGTTGCTATAGTGATCTCGCTTAGCGTGTGATAACCATGCATATTGCTGGGGTGTGATACGAGACCTAACTATGCCTAATAAAGACCGATATCCATTATCTTCGTACTTCTGGATCCTGGTCGAAGGATGTCAAAAAATTTCCAAAGAATGTTTAACCCCTATTTCTCGACTGCCAACAGCCTACGTGATTCAATATGCGCTTTTCATTATTCTCTCCTCTCAAATCTTGTTATTAAATCTTGCTATCTCTATTCTGTGGTCTTCCAAGATTCCCTCTTTACCTATCACTTCGATTCGCTAGCTCCTTGCCCATGAAATGTCGAATCTACCCATCAAAATGGATATAGATTCTCTCAATGATGGCCCACGGGCTCCCAACCATATCCCACGAACACACGACTGGGACTGGGCAACTTTGCGCCAACATCCCCTACGAGATTTTGAAACTGTGAGGACTTCTCTTGAATTGACTATGAGTCATTTTAAGGACTTTCAGGATATCTTGTACGGCAAGAAATGTTTCGTGCTCCAAAACCCCGAAAACGAGAACATGACTTGGGGCAGCGTGGCAAACGATTTCATAAGCCAAAAACTTCAGCGAAAAGGCCCTCGTATGATGGGGCAAAACGAAGACTTCCAAGACTCTGCCTGTCTTGATTGGATAAAAACAGTCCAGGGCCTGAAAGCCGGCTTGTTCAAGTCCTATGAAAGTAATGAGGGAGGCATTGTATACCGAGGCGATTTGAAAGGCCGCCAGGTTGAGATCACAGTGACGGAAATGGCACTCTTGAATACCTTTTCTATGGAGAATTCCAATGTCCCCTCCATCAGAGACCAGCGGATGGAGCTGGAGATCAGGCGAACATTCTTAGAGTCATCTCACGAATTGGCTCGCCAAGTTAAAGGTAAACTTTCTTGAGCTTGTACACCTAGAAAGAGATTTACTTATTGATTATAACAGACAGCTACACCATGATTCTTGACTTCAACACGACCATGGAACAAAGCTGCAAGGACCTTGAACTTGACATACAAGTGGGAACCGAAATACCCAAAGACAACCCATCGTCGAATCCACATCTGGAAAGGCATCATGAAGGCTTGGCGCCTAACGGCGAGATAATTGATCTGACACAAGAAGGCTGCCAGTCCCTGATAAATGAGACACAGCTCATCCAACTCAACGATGTCATTGCCACAACCCTTGCGCAAACAAGTGCAGAGAGTCTTCAGCCCTCAGAAGCAGATATGGAACATAGCCTTCCATCAACCGCGTCTCATTCCGTGACTAAAGATGAAATCCCCACAATTTCACGTCCGCCTAGTGAAGTTGAACCTGTAAGTTCAAACTTACAACCGGCAACCGAGAGTCTCAACACAAACAGAAATCCTTCTACCCCGAGGTCGCAGAGGTCATCCACACCAACTTCAACGAGAGACAAACCAATAAAGAGGAATGAGATGGAAAGACGTCAAGCGGTGCCCTTCGTTGAAGATCTGCTGTCCCAAGGCTTGAACTTCGAACAAATCCGGGAGCGGTACAAAGTCAAATTTGGAATCCGGCGCACTGCTGCATCATTGGCATGCTATCACAGCCAGAATAAGCACAAACATCATCTGGTATTCAGAATTTCCCCATCGCGACTCCGCGAGATCTTTTGTAAAGACACCCGCTCATGACTAGATTTAGTCTACATCTAGCCTACCTTTGCGGAGAATAGGGGTATCACCACTCAATTCTACTCGAACAGCTACCTCGGCTAATGTCGGGCCAAATCAACTATGTTGGGCCACCGCAAGTTTATCAGCTACACAAGATACTGCTCCAGCCAACACATGCATGTTGTCGGGGCTTCCGCTGGTCACTAGCTCGAATGACTGAAACGCATTATCTGTGTGTTCTCGATGTTACAAAGGAGAAGGTAGAAATAGCCTGAGTTTTGAATCCAATTGTGTGGAAGGAGGACTTTGCGTTTGAATGTGTAAGGTTAGGAACTTCAGAGAGATTCGAATCCTATTTGCCATATAGACAACGTCTCACCTCGGAAAGCTTCACAGAGAAGCTCTCCAAGCGGCTAGTGGCGTGGTGGAAACGTGTGATATACAATAGCTTAACTACATTCTCTGTCTATGACAATACATGTCAATTCTCTGATGACATAATTCCTTTACGGGGATGGTTTCTGGAGTATTGGACTCCTCACAGAACCGCGAACATATGAGCTGCACCAACCACAGATCTCACTGTGGGGCAGTTTTGATATATCGGAACTCAGATCAAGGTAATATGATCATAACACAAGATCAAACATCCGAATCTCGACTGTCACAATTCAAGTAATTCCGACAAGATCAATTCTCCGGCAGGAGTGTGTAAACATTTCGCTTACAGGCAGGTCGTTTCAACTTCATTATTGACTGCAGGATTATTCCTAGTTATAATTCTCATAGCTGAGTAAGCCATCCCGTTGGTTACGATGGCGTGCCATGAGTTTGAAACCAGCCTTTCATATCGCTACATAGCTTACCGCCCACCAACAAGCAGCATGTTTGACTCGACAAGTGAACCCCGGCTAAAAAACGATCCTTGCTCATAATGCATATGTGTAACGTTATTGAGAATGTTCTAATAATGTCCACATTTGTGAGTCCTGCGCACTGAGCGTATATAGCCAAATATGAGAGGTTTTGGCTGGCAGAAGATATGGCAGAATATTATGTAAGCAGTGTAAAGGGTTTCGCTTATGCAACGTCACTAACTAGGGATATCTGATTCTACCACTACAGAGAATATTAAATCTGTGGCGGTGAGCGAAAGTACCTTGATGTGAAGTCCACATAGAAATTTCGCCAGCAAGAGAATATACTAGGTGAGCTGTAGCAAGGCTAATTGCAATACACGTGCACATGAACATAGATCTCGCCAGCGAGGTGTAGCATCGAGGCAGTGAAGAGTAGAGCGCCAAAACCAAGTTCCCAGGGGTAGCAAAAAAACATACAACAGTCAGGATTCGCATGTGGTCACCCACCATACTACTAACTAACCGGCGTGTGGCTTAAGTACGGCTGAGCGGACGGGAAGCCCTGTTCTCCACACCCTATGGTCGTATGTACTAGAAGAGGCTGTATTGAGGAATCTATTGCAAAGGTCACAAGAAAAACGTAAACTTATCGGCGTCTTATAGCTTGGTATAGTTGCGAAATGTAGGTGTCAGTTGGGTTTGAGGGTAAGTGCGCAACGGACGCCACGGTTCGCATGCGTTATGTGAGCGCTTTTGATCAAACATTTGACTATCTATCAGAAGGCCTCCAAATTCGATCGCGGGAAGACAGTGCAAAGTGGTAATTTTCGGTGAATATGGGGTGCGCAATATTCCGCCTGCTTAGGTCAAAAATGTGTGAACAAATCAGGTGCAAAGCATGAAGCGCACAAAATTTCGGTTGCCCGATATGTATCGGCAATGAGTTAAAAGACATTGCAGTCTGAAGAAGGCAAATCGCAGTTTGAAGATCTCTTTTGATATCAAGGGGCGCATCCTGATCAGCTTTATGATGCATCTTATGAGCACGAATATTTTTCAAAGCAATTCAACAAACATATGGACAGCTTTGTCCGAATCTCCTTCGCCATCTGTTTCAATATTGCTGGAAGCATTCCGGTCACCTGGAGTGGCTCCGTTGATATCGGCGATCATTCGTATTGCGATCTCCCTGTGTGCTCTTGCAAGAGTCCGGAGCACTAGTCTTAAGGACAAAAAGCAACCTCATCGGTCTCGCAATCAGCTACGCTTAATTCCAGGACAACCTCGAGTAACGACAGATCCAGTCACTCACTGCGCGGCCGCAGCTGCGTCCACGCCAACAGCACCGACAACGAAACGCTGATGAGGGGCCAGGGCACGGCGACAGAATCGGTTCGAGTGTTAAAGCGAGCGTGTCGCAAGAATGAAAGCTTGTAGGCTAAAATTTGAAGATCAGCGGGTGGTTTTAAGAATCTGACAGGGATCTTCCAATTCGACTTTTGGCCCCCAACCTGAGCACTGGGCCAACAAATTGGAGATGGCAAGGCTGCGTGTCGATCACAACGCTAGCTTTAGAACATGACTCAGTTGTTTGACGTTGCAGCGAGTTTTGATCTCTTGATTGGTCTCCCGCGCCTTCATTTTGGGGGCGAATTTTGTAGCCTTGGTTTTCTTTACCCACACTTATTGCTTGGGTACATTTGTCCATGAGCACCAGGGCAATCACAAACAAATTACGTTGATAATTCATTAATGTATTTAGACTGCATATACCCGCAGGTGCGGAGTAAATCCTCCTACCCCCTATACCCGGTCTCCATTGAAAATTGGGAAGCCATTATTCGTTAGCCACCCAGCTCCCGAAATCCGAGTATTTATCACGAATCATAAATTTCTATTATCTAGACATTTCCTGGCCACTGCCTTTTATTAATGACCAATTTCTAATATCATCAACTGGTCATGTCAGGTTCAACGTTGTTCGCTGCATATACCGTGCTCACCCTCCCTGTCCGTTTGGTGACATGGTGGTTGTGGTATATTCCTAGGTCCAACCGTCCCAATCCTGCATGGTCATGGAAGACAGCAGTCACTTTGCAGGTTATCGCCTCAATAATACGATACCGGGTGGCGATGAGATACCGCACCCCAAAGTCTTTGGAGCCGGGCGCAGATGGTGATCGATTTATCGTGCTCAATCCACAATTGACTATTTCAGATGGATCAGCTGTCTATAAAGGAACACTCAAATCCCTGCCAGCTATCCAGCCTGTGTCTATTGGCGCTGTCTGGTACCCGACTACTCCCTCTGAAATTCCACGAAGATTGATCATCCATTTCCACGCCAGCGCATTCGTGCTTTTTGGCCCACGACGTGCGGATGGATGTGACTGGGGACCCACTAAGTTCAGCGAGCTCACTGAGTGGCCAATTCTTTCAATTCAATATCGGCTATCCTTAGACGCAGACAAGACCTTCCCAGCTGCCGTTCAGGATGCAATCACCGCCTACGTCTACGCTTTAGAGACTCTGAAGATCCCACCTTCGCAGATCGTGTTTTCTGGCGAGTCTGCAGGTGGAAACTTGATTCTAGCAATGTTACGATATATCATCACGGAGAATCAGAAAATCCCTTTACCTCGTTGCGCACTATTGTGGTCACCCTGGGTTGATATGACTCAAAAGACTCTCACGAATATAGTGAAAAATCGCAATTATCAATCTGACTACCTTGAATACGATCTGGGTTACTGGGGCACAAGCAGCTATATCCCCCCTGGCTGGTCTGAAAGCCATCCATACTTTTCGCCGCTTGGAAGCGAGTACAAATTGACTGTTCCACTTTTCATTCAAGTTGGCACGTCCGAGGTGCTTTATGATCAAATCGTCCAATTTGCGCACAGCATGAAGGAGACTGGCACGGAAGTCGAGTTACATGAAGCCCATAATGGGGTTCACGCAACCTTTGGGATCGCTGATGCTTTAGGGATGCCTGAAGTTGCTATAGACGGCCATGCGCGGGGGGCAAAGTTTATCGCCAGAACCGGCGGAGAGTGAACGAGAGTAATCTTAATATTGCTAGTCATACTCATGTCACTTCTATAGAGTTGAATGCAAACTACTTCCTACGGGGCATTTTTTGGGGGGTGGTCAGGGAAGATGATGATTCTTGGGTGGAAAACCCTGGAAGTCGGCACCACAGTAGCGGAATTGGCCAAACCACAACTTTGCTGTTTATTTCGTCGCACTGCGGAAGGGACCTAGCCGTTCGCAAGGAAAGATAAAGTGCAACTGGAGTGGTTATTGCGCTTGTGGGGCCACCTACTGCGTATCAATTGCGGCGGATAATATCATTCGAGGCATTCAAGAAGACTTCCAGCCCTCTAAAGCTCACTTTTACTCAAAAGCTATGTTATGATCATTGAAATACGCTTAATTGTATTTATAGTAAATGTTCACTTACCGCCAGTAAGCTAATGGTTACGCAAACCCACATTTCTTTACGTTAGTTGAAGTGATTTACTTCAAGCCGGTATAGTAAAACCTCCGTGTTATAATTACCGAGTATTAACGTATAAGTCTTTATCGCCGCGCTACGCGCGGCGTCCGATTACGTGAGCTGGAACAAAATGTAACTTAACGGCGAGGAACCTTTTTGACTCTCTAGTATAAAAAGTAGGTAAATGATAGGCCCTCTTTTCTCCTCTAATTTTCTATGTTTTTTCCGAAGTTTTATAGTTTCTATCTGTTTTTTTGGTAGTTAAAGCTTTTCTATCCGTTTTTTTATAGGTTCTTATTTTTAAGTGTCTCTATTATAGTAAAATACTAACACACTAAGCCTTCTATATCTTAAATCGCTTCTATAGTGGCTTTAACGGCGATAATAGATCCTCTATCTAGTCCTTATCTATATAGGTTAGCTCTAGTATTATATTATATAGATATTATTAAATATACTACTTTAGTATTATTATTTAGCTCTTATATTAGATAATCTAAGCTTAAGGGAAGCCTCTCTATCTATCTAGTTAGAGCTAGAGTTACTAGAGCTAGAGTTATTATCCTTAACTATCTACTTCTTATCTTTATTAATATTAGGCGTGGCTATTAATACTATAGAAGATATAGGTGATGATCTCTTTAAGGGAAGTATTAGTATTAAGGCCTAGTAATAAAGATTATAGAACTCTTTAATAACTATATAGAGTAAGCTCTATTAATCGTAGTATAGTATACTAACTACTTCTCCCTAGAATTAGATAAGATTTAAGCTAAGGATAATAGGGTTCTACGCTACTTATTAAGGGCTCCTATCTAATATTAAGTAATATAGCGAGAATATTAGCTAGTCTATATATAGTATATCTATAGTATAGAATAGGCTACCCTAGACTAATATCTTAAATCTAAAGATCTTATATAAGTGCTTAATAATCCTATTAGAGATAATATTATCTACTCTAGTAATCTATAGGGTATATACTAGAGAGGTACTATATTAGAATCTAGATAGTAGTATAATTAATTAGGATAGTCTAAGGTCCCTAAGTAAAAAGATATATATTAGAGATAAAAGCTATATCTATAGTATATTAGGCTTACTAAATAATTTATATAATCTTAAGTAAAATATAGGGTATATAACTATTATCTATTACGCCTATTATATTATAGATATATATATCTATTTCTATAAATAAATATTAGTAGTAGATATTAAAGAATAAGATTATTATCTTAAGAGGCTAGCTATCTAAGCCCTCTATAAAGGGTATACTATTTCTTATAAGTAAGACTTTAAACTTTAACTATAACCCTATCTTAATAGGTTCTATTATAATCCTATTAAGGCCTATAAATATTATAATTATAGTTATTATAATACTAAGTAGCGTTTAGTAGAAGCTAGGTATTATATAGGAGGGTATAGTAATAGAATATAGAATAGATAGAAGAAGGATAGAAGAAAGAAGGATAAAAAGAAGAGGGATAAAAATAAGAAGAATAGGAAGAAAAGGATAGAAGAAGAAGGATATTAGAGGAAATAAAGTAAAATTATAAAGATAAGGCCTATATAAATAGAGATCTATAGAGTAATTATAATAAAGAAGATATAATATAGAAAACTCTATTTTATTCACTAACTAGATACTACTATAGAATTTCTTATAGATTTTATAGTTTTAGGTGTCTTTTTTTAAGGTTTTAAGGTTATTTATATTTTTTTATAAGTTAGCGTTTTCTAGTATTTTAGCGGATTTTATTTATAGGTATATTTTTAGTATTTTAATATTTTTATTACTAACTAATAAACTTATTACTTCTTTATAAAGCCTAGCTTATTAAATACTAACTTCTTTAATTAAGAAGAAGGCTTTAGCTACTTCCTTATAGTAAGAGTTAGGCTAGGTAGGTCCTACTAGGTATTAGCCTTTATTAGGATAGTATTAATACTAGATTAGTTATTAATACTAGACTAAGTATAGTTAGATATAACCTAGAGGTCCTTACTATAATAGTCTTATTTATTATTTATTAAGATTAGTCTTATTTATTAGGAGAGAAAGGCTAGAACTATATCTATAGGCTAAGCACGCTTATTTATTAATAACTATTACCTAGATCTTAGTACCCTTATAGGAGTATTAATAATTATATCTTTTATTATATTAATTAAGGGGGCGTTAGGGGTCTAGGAAGAGGGAGTACTTATATACTAAGGGGTAGCTAGTCTAGTAATAACTATAGAGGGTCTAGTAGTGGTAGCTATAGCTTCTATAGCGCTATTATAAAATATATTATATCTATAAGAGGAACTAGTAATATTTTACTAAAATCCCCTTAGGGCCTTAAGGCTAGTAGTAGATAAAACTATAGTAGCTAGTACGCTAATAGCTAGTATTATTTAGAACTCCTTAACTATAAGATATATAGCGGTTAAATTATTAAGTATAAACTAGCTAACTATTTCTCCTTAAATCTAAATAAACTAGGGCCTAGAAGTAATTAGATACTATTTTTTCTATTATTTATTCTTTATATTTATAAAGCCCTAGAAGAAAAAGCTATAAGGATTAGGATAAGGGCTATCTAGGCTATAGAAGCTACTACTATATATATAAACCTCTAGATAGAATACCCTAAATCTATCTAGGATAACCTTATTATTAGCTACCTAGGTAATAGTAGTAATCTATAGATAGTAAGTAGGTAGAGTAACCTTCTTATAATTATACTATTATAGATTACTTAGAGGCGGCGGCATACTAGAGTTACTAGGTAGATTAGAATTATAAGTATATTAATATTAGTTAGGGGAATATACTATAGTATACTTATATCTTATATACTAATATAGGGAATATTATTTACTATCTTTACTAATATTATTCTATAGATATAGATATCTATACTATTAATATATAGAAGTTAGTCCTAATTATATACCTAGATAACTATTATAAGAGGGAGGGGTACTATACTAGCTATATTTAGCGCGCTATTACCCTTAAGAGATAGATAGATTAAAGTATAGTTTAACTAAAACTAGGTCTTAGCGTAAATCCTACTAAGGCCTATAAAGATAATAAAAGAAAAGGCTATAGCTATATTAGGGAACTAAATAGAGAGAATACTATATAAGTAGCGGGATAAGGAGAGACTAAATAAGAGTAGTTAAGGGGAAGAGAGAGATTAAGGAAAAGGAAAGAAAGAGTTATAAAGAAGTAATAGAATATTAATACTAAGAGAATTAATTTTAAAAACTATACCTTACCTAATTAGGATATATATTATACCTCTATCTCTATCTTAATATCTCTCTATATCTCTATCTATATCTCTAGTTATATAAGTTCTATATTAATCCCCTCTAACTCCCTAATATACCTCTTAATAGCTAATAATATCTCTAGATATATATAATTTTATACCTATCTTAACTCTATTATTTCCTCCCTTAATAGAACCGCGATTTTCCTAACTTCTTATACCTATAATATAGCTATATATAGTTACCTATACCTAAATATATTACTCTATAGGTCTATATCTACCTTTTCTAGGGTCTAGCCCTATGCTTTATTAATAGTTATTATAAAGGTAAGCTATAGCAGGAACTAAGTTCTAAAGATCTTAAATATATACTCTATTAAGGTACTAAGCTTATACTAGAAGAATACCCTTTTCTAAGACTAGAACTACTACTTATTAGTAATCCTAGCTTTAATAAAGTACTTACCTAGCCTTATAATAATAAGCTTTATACTATTATAGAGACTAGCTACTAGATTAATATTTCTTAGTAATATAATAAGAGATCCTATCTTTAATACTAAATATAAAAGTAGTAAGGAAGTAGGAGTGGCTATATTAATAAATCTAGTGCTTATATTAATAGCTTTAAAGTTAGATTTATTTAATAAGTTATAATATTTCGCTATATCTATTATATGTTCTAAGAGCTTATTATTTATATTAATAACCTCCTTATTTATTATATATAGGATTACCTTACTCATAAATTAGGAGTTAGTACCTATCTAGATAAATAGTATAGGCAAGAAGATATTATTAATAAAAGCCTATATCTTATAGTACACCTATATACTTTATAGTAGTATTATATAGTTATCTAGAGATATCTATTAGTAAGCGAAATATATTTTACTTAGATATATATACCTCTTATCTAAATACTAATCTCTTTAATCTAGTTTAGATACTCTTAGTTCGCTAGATCTATTAAGTATATATATATATTTCTTTATAAATCCTATATCTTTAGGCCTACTTAAACCCTTAAGTATAGTAAGCTATACTCTATAATATCTACTTAGCCTCTATAAGGAACTATAGATAAGGTCTAGTGAAAGTTACTATCTAGAACTACTAGAATACCTCTAAATAATATATCCTTTCTATATAGCTAGCGTAAAGCTATATTAACTAAGTTAAAGTTAACTACCTTAGATATAGGGGCTTTATCCTAGATAATTAATAAGGTCTATAGTAGTAAGCTTCTAATATTAGATATTAGATTAAAGTTAATTATTATA